TTATCCGCTGCTGGATCACCTTATCGTTTTTGGTAATTGGCTTGCAATGCCTGGTGAGCTTAACCCTTGCCTTTATACCGACGCGCCTTCTGACCATTGTAATTTTGCAAAGCAGCGCCGCATCTTAATGGTTCACGTATTACTAACCGTTTTTCAGCAGCCGTCTATCCAACCATTTTTTCGATCCAGCATTTTTCAGTTGTTGTGTTCGCGATTGTTTTCGAAGAGCCCAGGATGAAAACGGTTAGCGGAGTAGCTGAAGATACGTCGCAGAAAGAAAAATGAAAATGTTGTTCCGTGTGTTTAAATTGCTAAAATTTTGTCTTCGATAACACAAGAAAGATTGAACAATACCGCCTGCCAAGACACGGATTTAACGAGCGTCATCTTTTCAGCCATGATTTGCACCTGTTGTTATAATGTTGATATTGTGCTACGAAACTTTTTTTCAAGATAGTGCAGCCGATAAGATAGCTTCCACACTTATTCATAGGTAAGAGTAAATGGACTCGAAAGTTAACAGGTTCGAGTTTTTCGGTGCAGACATTTACCTCTGTCACTGATAGCCAAGCAGATTTTGGGAGATTCGTAACGTTGACACAAAAAATTTTTAACTTTAATCACGACTTGCTCGGCGCGTGCCGCTTGATCAGCTGAAATACCACACTGTACAACGTGACCCTTATAACGCTTAGATACATTTAAGATGGAAGCATTGAATTGGCGAAAAGTCGGTGCCAAAACAAATATGAAAATTAGAAGAAATTTGGCGCTCATCTGGCTTTTCACTGCTTGTTATTGACATCAAATTAACGCGTATTTGTGCTCAAGAAGGAATGCTGGAACAGTTTTCGATTTCGAGGTTGTTAAAGTTTTGCATCAGATATCTTTTAATGCTGGGTCAATAAGTCAATGAAGAACACCATTCAACAGCCTGAGTTATAAGCATTAACAGCTTGATTTTTTCGCTCAAAGATGTTGCCGCGTCTTTGTTGTTCTGGCTCTTGTCGATTTTGATAATATGGTCGACTATCTCCTTTAGATTTGGCGTTAAGGGCCTGCATTTTCGATTCCGCGAACAGGGCTGGCATTGTCGACAGCATTAAAAACCAGCCTGGGAGAGCAAGACAACCTATTGAACAGCCCCACTTCTGATTTTAATCAAAGCCTAAAACTCCGAAATTCGGTACATATCCACTACCTCTCGAATATTCACTATTATAATCATATCTCTCCACGCACCGGTTTTGGAGCCGGAGAGAGCTTGGGCAGCAGCACGACAGTTTTTCGTCACAATGAAAATTTTTAAAACAGCCGTCATCTATCCGCTTTTTGAATTGACGCCATTCATTTTACAGCAAAATACTCAACAGCTTGAGCGCCAGGTGCGGAAATCGCTTTTTTCACCTGTGGCATTAGTCGTTGCCGATTTTCGTTTGTATCTTCGACGCATTTGTTATCATTTTCTGTTGAGGAATTGAGCGCAAAATATCACATTTTTTCAGCGATATTGATGCCGCCCAGGTGATCATTCGTCGGCCTTATCGATAAATTGTTTACCAGGCGATGTACGAGCGAAACCTGGATGGCAGTGACCGTTTTAGCCAATGTTTGAAATTCCGAAGGAAGTGATTTTTAGTTTTTCATTCTTTCGAATGAACTGTCCAATAGATGATCATCTGTTTTGAAAAACGGTAACCATATTTTGCTTTCTGTTCGAAAACTCACCCGAGCCTGACCATTTTGCAAAACGCTTTCACGCCGTTCCCTGGCCTGAAACGTGCAGTCATTTGACACTCTGTCGACAGCCTGCCAGAAAATGTCACAGACCGATTGCATGCAGTAGTCACGGCAGGTTCTTTCAGCGCTGCGTTTTTCTGCATACGCCGTATATCACCGATAGAAATGCAGTTTAAGAATTTTTGTTATGTGAAAATTTGAGCCTGACTTTCGCGATTCGCCTGCCACTTCCAGAACACTTCAGTTATACTACACCAAGATTCGACTTGGCTTCCAATTAAAATCGCCTACTTAGCATTCGATTTGAGATCGCCTGAGCGGTTAGAGATTTTACGCCGCAGTTGTCGATCTTCTTTACGAAATGTGTTACATTGACAGCGCAGAGTTGTATCTCTTGAGGCGATTTTCCGATTGTTTTCTGAGCTTCACTGAGGCCGTGTTCATTACGGCATACGTTGCATGTTTTCCAGCGCTTCTACCAGTTGAAGCGATTTGCTGTGGATTATCACCGCGTTATTTTTCTGAGCCGGTACTTTTGAAAACTTTTGAGCAGTACAGAGAGCCGCGCCTGTATTTTATGATTCATTTCAGCATTAACAGCGAAAAAATTTATTATCCCAACCGAGATTCTCTGTAACACCGTGCACACAACATTTTCAATTTTACTGAAAACAAAGCTCAATTTTCATTTTTAGGTCATCACCTGAGAAGCCTGTTGTCGCTGCCGCACCTGTAATCAAAAATCTTGCCAGCTTGAGTTCTGTGGTCTTCGAAGCTGGTGGCAGGCATCCAGTGATCCCGTATTAAACAATATTTTGACAGCAGCTCGCGAATTATCGTTTATCGTTTTGAGTTTCCTTTAAAAGCGGGTTTTTCGGGAATGTGTTCTGTAATATTCACGTGTGACCCGAACTTTTGAACGTAAATGGATTTCATGCAACATTTTAATGCGACAGCGAGTTGGTTTCACCCAGTCTTTTGTTCTAGGCTGGATGGCGATCAGTGGTTGCCATCAACGCCGGCATCAACAATGAGCGGGACACGAAACACCAGTTCACGAGTCCCATTTTTAAGTATAAGATCGTTATTATTTGAATGAGACTTGCCATCGAAAGTTTCGTGGGCTCACATGAGCTACTTGAAAATCTGGGAGGAGCAGTCAACCGAGAAACTGCAGCTTATTGAGCAAAATGAAAAGTACCTGCAGTGCACCAGCTTCCGGCTCAGAAACCATGGATGCCTCATTCTTTATCACACAACAAAACAAAAACAGTAATCGCCTTCACCATAACGGATCGCAACTTCGACACGAGTACCACCAACATAACACCACCAAATCAGCGATATCACGACAGCGTAACAGCAATCACATTGACTGCATACAAACAGCTGCGCCCAGTCGCATTTGCTTCACCCGCTGACAGATCTTTCCAGCCCGACCAGCCTGATTGGTCCGTGCCACTGAAAGACCACATTGCCAATCTGATAAACTGATCGGCAGTTAACGCCTTCCAGTAAAATTTTGCAACTTCTAATTTAACGGCAACATTTGTTCCATAGCGACAACTGATCAAAAGAAGTTTTCGCGTAGTAACGAGTCGTGTCTTTCAGAAATCATACTTTTTTTCGCTGCAGAGCTCATTTTCTGCTGTAACAGCGTTATTGGCAACGAACGCCTGAAATTTTCGAAATAGCAACAGCCATTGCCTTCGCCCAGATCTGAAGCCGACAATGAAGCACGGTGAGGCTGCTGCGGGGCACGAGCGCCTGGCACGCGAGAGTTATTTAAGAGATGGGTCAATGACCGTGATGGAAGTCCACACCCGCAAAACAGCAGGATCATTTCAACGACGAAAGCTTAATGGCAGTTTTGCAGTGAAAATTTTCACCTTCGACGAAAGCATACCTGAAATACCAGCGAAATCATTTTCAGCAAGATTTCCTAGAACTCAAAAAGAAAACTTGAATTTTCAAAATTGAAATGAGAAAGGCACCATGCACCGCCAGAAATTCACCTCGTAGAGGTCGTTAAGACAAACATTTTTTCAAAGACTGGTGAGAAAACAAACCGACGTGGCCTGGCCTTCATTCACATTAAAAATTGCCCGATGGCCACAGCCGCATTGCTGGTGAACAGACGAGAGACCAGCGCGAAAGCACACGACCGCCCCCGAAAATGCTTGACTAGCAAGCTTAAACAAACAAGTCGTCGCAGTTTTGCCATTTCAACGACTTTCGACCACCTGGAACTGGCTCTATAATTGTTTTTTTTCCAGCTCAATCGAATTTTAAATGAAAATTATTATTGATTGTTGGTTGGGACCGTTGTTACCTTTCAAGACTTTACACTTCCACCTTCTGAGACGTTGCAAGTTTTACGCCCTGCATGGCAAAATGACTGTTTTAAGGCGTCAATTACCAGATTTGTTTATCTGTTTGTAACGACGATTTTCACCAGCTCGAATAGAGCTGGCCAACAGATGTTTACTAAAGTTTTAGCTTTTCAGTTCGACAAAATTGCGCTACGACATAAAACAAAGAACGAAAATTTTATCAGCACCTCGCACTTAGTTTTCCATAGTTTGCCAGACAGATGAGCCGTTCTGGCTTTGCAGCAGCCGACGATCGCCCGAGCAGAACAGGATGCCGCAAGCCTGTGCCCGTCACATTCTCAACACTGTATCAATACCACGCAGCCAGTGGCGCACTTTTTCCTTCGTTGTTTCCGTTCTTCCTTCACCGACGTTTCCGCAGCAATTTCGATAGAATCGGATGGGAACAGCGACTAACGGGCTTCTTCTGCAACCGTACTTATCGCAGTTCACAAGCGAAAGCAAAATGAATGAAGAAGCGATTGCCTGCCAGGCGTTAATAAATTGGCGGAACAGATTTTTCCAGGTGGAACCATTTGTTTTGTCATATTTTCCTTTTTCGATTGTGGATGTCTTTGTTCATATCGGATGACCTTCATCACTTTTCGAATGCAGGCTCTCCATTACATATTGGCGCCATACCTTTGCGCGGGATTCAGACAATGAAAATGCCAGTCATGAAACTTTTTCACGACAGTATTAAGTTATCTGATTTAGACAAGAGCCATTTTTGTCGAGTTATTGCCTCAGTCATTTGAGATCTGCTCTTCGTCGTCGATTCTTCTGAATAGGTGTCGTTGTCACAGGTCGATTGATTGCTCCATGCTTTCTGACAGCGAGTTTAGAAAATATCCTTGGACAGGCTTCGACAGCTGCACAGCCACGTTCGTTCACCTTACGTGTCACTTTCACGAAAATGGGTTCACCGCCCACAAAGGTGGAAGCAGCATCGTTTGTTCCCGCAGCTGCCACCTGGGATTTTATAATTAACAATACACCGATTAACCGTCGAGCCTGATCAGGAGAAAATGCGCGCAACATAGGTCTCGCCTCCTCGATATTCGAGTTTTGGTTTTATATGGAAGCTGTTGAAAATGGTCTATTTCCGACTTTTGCCATTTGCATAGCCGAGGACTCAAAACTGAAATGAATGAATTGCCCGCAAAAGCTTCGAACAGTGTTGATGAATCGTCATGCGTTTCAGTTCACTCAGCGAAGGTACTGACCTACCGAGCCTAACCGTTAAAAAATACTTTCAACAAGAAAATATTTTGATTAATTTTCTAGTGATCAACATGTCTGAAAATGTTTTATGCCTGGCTTCAGGAACGGCAGCGCGTGCGATATCGCGATTCTGGTCGCTCAGTAAATGGAGCTTTTATTTGATTCATTCTTTTCGGTCGGCTTCGCCAAATTCACTTGGTTTATCTTCGATACTTGAATGAAGCAACAGATATAAATAGCCGTTGCCTGCGGTGACGACCACGAGACAGGCTCTTCATCGAGCACAGTCGGCCAGTCGGAAATTGCCTTGCTCGACTCATCAGCGCGCAGCAAATTTTGACGCGCTCGATGAAGGCACTTCACTATTTGTTTTTGTTTGAGTTGATTTGTTGACTTTATACAGCTTGATGGGGGTTCATTTGTGTTTATTACAGATCGTTAACCATGTGGTCTCGAGTCAAGATGTACCGCACCCCATTTCCGTCATCTCTCGCTCGTCGTTGGTGTCGTGCTGACACCGCGGAATGACGACCGGCCACTGATCAGCAGTGAAATCGTGGTCCGCGAGACTTCACAGGCAGTCCGAGATCACCTCGAAAGATGCGTCCGCCACGGATAAATACAGAAAGCAGTTGTAAAGCACATTCTGGAGCACCGACGAGCTGGTCGATCGAGTCGCGAGTTGCGCTTTTTTCGCTGGCAGACATTCTCAGCAATTTTACGGCAGCCGTACGCGTGCCAGATCATTGTCGCTTCCATTCTTGCTGAAGACTGTCACATGAGCCATTCTTTTCTGAAGTCACACCGCTTTCATCACGGTTAGTAAGATTTTGCTTGTGTTGCGTAACGCCAGGTCGCGCGCCAGCGAAAAAGACGTTTGGTAAATAGCCCATGAGCCGGGTGAAACTTTGAGACCGGCTGGCCTCGACAGATCGAGATCTCAGTCACGAGCCGGAAGACGGTTTTCTGTTACTGACGCCAGAATGGCCGTTCTCGCGGATTTTGAATCTGCCATTACTTCCGGCTGGAACGCTTCAGTTCGCCAGCCACATCGAGCCTTCGAAGTCGCTCATCGGCTCATTGTCATTCAGTCATTGCTGCAGCCTGCCGCATTGCAATAGCGGCGGTATTGTTTGTACTGCGCGAGTTTTTTTGTTGTTGTTCGAATACACATTTCTTGAGCGATTCGTTATTGCAGCGTCACCATATTGCTCGTATTTGGGATGGCCTCGTGGCGATAAGTTTGATTGAGCGTGTCGCTGGCTAACATTGATGTATTCGACAACATTTCAATCTGTCTCTTCACTGGATGACGAGATTTGTGCTTCATTTTCGAGATCGAGACGAAGAAATGTGCCATGGCGAGGAGAAGTAAAGATAGTCCTCCATTCACAGATTTCTGCCTGGTTTTCTTCCACTACGTAGCGAGATAAAAATAAGATTTGTTGGCAGCATCGAGGCGTTGTGCCTGGTGCCACCGAGTTACTGAGGTTCGATCGCTAACGCCGCGACGCGATCTACCGCTTCCCCAGTGATAGCTGAGCATTAGCAACAACTTTAAAGCCTATTCTCGTCGGAAGAAAGACAAATTTTGAGATGTGGAAGACTGGTGATTTGCCATCTTTGTAACGACTGCTTTCTGATACCAACGCTGAGAAAACAGTCAACACCTGTTGCCACTGACCTTCACAAAGAGCCCCTCACATCACATGCCTGTACATCGCTTCCGATTTTCGAGAACTTTCATATCCTTCAGTTTTACTGCTGATCGTCAAGATTACACCTTCATTAAAAATTTCGATAAACAACCGCTGGTTTTCCGCAACGAAAATAAGAAAAACTTCGAGCAAATATCCTGGTTTTGCTGAATGTCCTCCGCCGATGCATTGATCTGCTCTAACAACAGCTGCTGTTTGCATCTCCAGCTTCCGGGAACAAAAGTCCGGTATCGTGGTCACGAGCCGACGGTCATGGTGTTCGATTCTTCTGTTATATTCCTGGTCGCAGCAGGTGGTATTTTAAGAGTTGCGACACCAACAACAGTGACACTTCACCTCTGCAAAGCTCCTCGTCCAGTTACCATTCATCGCGTCGCGATGGGCCAGGCGTCGTGACCGTCGGCTGGCCGACTTACCGTACAGTCGCGATTGCTTCACCGCTTATCTGCAGCATCACTGGAAGAGGGTGTCGAACGAGATCTTCTTCGCCGCCCTTTCTCTTTCTGTGAGGTCGAGATTTGCGTGACAAGCGCGGTTGATGTACCAAAGAATTATCAGTCGCATTTTATGCTCTTTCTCTTTGAGCATTAAATTGGCGAAAATACAAAATCACCGAGCTTGGCTTGGTCACGACGAAGGTTCGAGCAGTCGAATCTCGTTATGCGCACAAAGCGACGTACCAGATCCGGCTTAGCTTTAGGCTTAGGCTTAGGTTTAGTTTAGCTTAGGCTTAGGTTAGTGCTTAGGCTTGTGTTTAGGCTTAGCTTAGCTTAGGCTTAGGCTTAGGCTGGTTTAGGCTTAGCTTAGTTTGCTTAGGCTAGTTTAGCTTAGGTTTGTGCTTTAGGCTTTAGCTTGTTTAGCTTAGGCTTGCCAGGCTTAGCTTAGCTTAGGCTTGCTTAGTTTAGCTTAGGCTTAGGCTTGTGCTTAGGCTTAGGCTTGTTTAGGCTTTAGTTTGGCTAGCTTAGGCTTAGGCTTGAGCCTGCTTCAGGCTTGTGCCTCAGGCCTAGCCTGCAGCGCCTAAGCCTGGCTTCCAAGCCTGCCCTAAGCCTGGCTTCCAAGCGGCTTCAGGCTTAAGCCCAGCCTGCCCAAGCCTAAGCCTAAGCCTAAGCCTGCCTCCAAGCCTCAAGCCTAAGCCCAAGCCTAAGCCTAAGCCTAAGCCTGGCCTAAGCCTAAGCCTCAAGCCCAAGCCTGCCCAAGCCTAAGCCTAAGCCTAAGCCTAAGCCTAAGCCTAAGCCCTAAGCCTAAGCCTAAGCCTAAGCCTAAGCCTAAGCCTAAGCCTAAGCCCTAAGCCTAAGCCTAAGCCTAAGCCTAATCCTAAGCCTAAGCCTAAGCCTAAGCCTAAGCCTAAGCCTGCCTAAGCCTAAGCCTAAGCCTAAGCCTAAGCCTAAGCCTAAGCCTAAGCCTAAGCCTAAGCCTAAGCCGGATCCTAATTTTGTCCTTTTGTCGCACTAAGCGAAAAAGTTTCCCGATACTCAGAGCCCGGCCGTTTACCTTTCATTCGTATTAGGTAAGCTCGTAATTTTCGGTGTTTTTTTATTATTTTTTTTCATAGTTTAATACTCAAAGAGAACGCCGAAAATCATTTGATGAATTCTTTATTTACATCAACCACTTTCTTGTCCACGCAAATCCTCGGTTCGGCCTTCACAGAAGGAAAAGGGCGGCGAGGAGAAGTAAGAGATCATCTCTCATTCGACACCGCTTTCTTTTCGATCTTTCTTTTCTTCCAGATGATGCTGCAGATAGAAAAAATGGTTGTAGTTGTAGAGGGCAATCTCATGACTGTACGGTGAAAGCACCATAATAAGTCAGCCGAAGCTCTGCAGCCAGTCTTGATTACTTTCGTCGTATGAGGTCTGACGCTACAACGTCGCGACGCGATCTTTGGCTCACGCTCTCTAGTGGATAGTAGCTGAGACGAGAACTTTTGCAAGTGAGAGGAGTAGTTGTCACTGGTGACAGTGTCACTAACCTCTTAAAGCTCCTACCACACCTTGCCGACCAGGAACCAATAACAGAAGAATCGAATTTTCACTATTAAGTCAGCTCGTAATTTTTGATACCGGTTTAAAAAATAGCTTTGTTTCCCTCCAATTATCTTTCGGAAGCTGGAATCGCAGCAAACTATGCAATATTCCTTCAACTTTATTCCCCAAAATTAGAGCAGATCAATATACTTTATCAATGATAAAGGACGATTTCAGTAAGCCAGGATATTACCACATTTGCTCTGAAGTTTTTCTTATTTTCGTTCTGGAAAACCAGCGGTTGCCGTTTATCGAAATTTTTTTAATGCGAGTGTGGGAGGTCTTGGCTCTTGACATACATTGATCAGCACAATTTTCGAAAACTGAAGTTACATGAAAGTTCTCGAAATCCGGGCGATGCTGAACGCCTAAAATGAGAAATTTGTTGAATAACGTAGAGGTCAGTGGCAGTAGATTTGTTTATTTTGTTTTCTCAAATAGGGACGACTTCTGTTCCCCAATGAACATCAAGAAGCAGTCGTTGCAAAAAAAAAAGGAGTAGCAAATCAGGACTTTAAACCGGTCTTCCATCTCAAGAAATAAGTTTGTCTTTTGTTTCTGGTCCCTGTTCGGCAAGGAGTAATAGGAGCTTTTAAAGTTTAGTGACACTGTCGCCAGGGATAACATCAGCTACTATCCACTAGAGAGCGTGAGCCAAAGATCGCGTCGCGACGTTGTAGCGTCAGACCTCATACAACGAAAGTAACCAAGACTGGCTGCGGAGCTACGGCTGGCTTATTATGATGCTGCCAACGAACAGTCCTGACATCGTCTTCTTCAATTAAACTTATTTTTTCTATCTCATACGTAGTGGAAGAAAATTCGAATAGAAATCTGTGCCGAATGGGAGTTTATCTTTTACTTCTCCTCGCCGCCAACATCCTTCAATTTCTTCGTCTCGATCTCGTCTCGAGATGAGAAAACCTCGTCTCGTGCATCCCTGGTGAGGACTGAGAAAGAGGATTGAGAAAGTGGTTGGTTCAGATGAAGTATACATCAATGTTGTAGCGTTTTTTTTATCAATCAAACATCATACAGGGTGCGCACAAATTACGGAAACAAATATAATTGACGGTAATTGTACCTTAGTATTAACGAATCGACTCGAAATTCTGTGGATAGTGTATTCAGAACAACAACAAAAAAATAGCACCAATTTTTTTAAACAATACCGCCGCTATTGCAAATGCAGACCCGAAGACGCTTGTGAGTTGCGATGACTCGGCGGAGTGGGGGTCGACGCCTATTCGGGCCCATTCTGCTCAAGGGAGGCCTTCAGAGGCTCGATCTTCTGATGTGGTGAAGTACAAGCTTTGGACTCCAGAACGTTCCATACGGAGTAGTACATCGGATTCAGATCCGGCGAATAGGGCGGCCATTCTGAAGAGTCCGTGAAGCCAGAAAGCCACGTCTTGCATCATTGTTTAAGGATCTCGGCCCCTCATTCTTGTCGGAAATTCCATGGCCGGTCTCCAAAGTTTCACCCGACTCATGGGAGCAGTGCCTTTTGCAAAACGTCTTTTTCATAGCTGTACGCGTTGACCTTGACGTTTTGCGGCACGAAAACCAAAAGAATCTTGCTTGTTGCGTGATTGGAGCCCGAACGATGACCGGAAAAGGATGGCTCATGAGACTGACAATTCTTCAACTAAAATTGGAAGCTTGGACTTTGGTGACAATGATCCAATACCTTTGAAGATTCACGGCTTCTTCAACCGTAAAATTTTTTACATCTTTGAAGTCGATATCGCGGAGCTCCGCCAGCGAGAAACGAAAAAGCAACTCGCGACTTCGATCGACCCTTGTGGCTTTCATCGGATTGCTCAGGATGTGTGCTTTTTGTATCTTTAACTGCTTCATATGTAGTTTATCCGTGAAAATTTTCCGGACGCTCTTCGAACTTATATTCATCTTTTCAGGGAGTTTTCTCAAAGATCTTCTCGGATTTTTACTGGTGAAGTCGCGGACCTTTTTTATTTCCTGCTGATGTAGCAGTGGCCGGTCGTCCATTCCTTGAGTGGTTTTCTGTTGTGTCAAGCACATTGAAACGTTTGATGGCCTTTGACACCAACGACGAGCGGACGTCGAGTTGTTGGGAAATGAAAGAGTTGCGGTGACCGTCTTGATGAAATTCAGAACTTCAGGGCGCATGAAAGTTTGACGTGTCATTCTGTATAGTCATAATAAACTTTAAATAATTTTATATCAAAACATGCATAAAGGTTCAACAAATCCAATAAACAAAAAAAACAAATGAAATTGAGGATGCCTTGCATCCGGGCGCGTCAAAATTTGCTTCCCTAATTTGCGCGCACCCTTTAGATGAGTCGAACAGAACAGTTTCCGATTTGGCCGACTGTTGTCTCGATGAGAGCCTGAAATCTCTCGTGGATCGTCATGCACCTTGGGCGGAAGTATTTTATATCTATTTTGCTTCATTTCAAAATTATCGAGGTCATTAGAGTGAGATTTTGTCTTTTTTTTGGCGAAGGAGCTCGATTGAAAGAATGAATCAAATAAAGCTTCTCCGGTGAGCACAGGCCTTTTACTTGGCCATGTTAGAGTCACGAATATCGCACGCGCACCGTTTTTCTTTCTCAATCCAGGCTTTTTAAATGAGCGCAAAACGTTTTTCTAGACTTATGTTGGTCACTAGAAGAAAATTAATCAAAATAATTTTCTTATTTGAAAGTATTTTCTTAGTTAAGGGCTCCGGTAGATTCAATTTGCACCTTCGCTTCAGATTCGACGGAAACTAGTGAAAACTAGCTTTGGGAGCACATGACTGATTCATCAACGCACTGTTTTCAGAGAAAAGCTTTGCGGACGGTTCGTTCCATTTTTTCGAAGTTTTTTTTGGAGTCCTCAGTAAATTTTTAAATAAAGTTAAAAGTCAAATAAGATTCAAATTTTCAACAACTTCCATATAAAACCAAAACTCTGGATTAGTTATCGAGAGCGAGATATATTTGCGCGCATTTTCGCCTTCTTACATCTCCTGATCGAAATTTTTTCGACAGTTGATTGATTGATTTTTCATCAGTTAGAGTACTGTTGCATTCATGTTAATTATAAAAAATCATCCCAATAGATTCGCCTTTTCGCCTGAACCGGAACAAATAAACGATGCAAAACCGCACCTTTTTATTCGAATTTGAACGGTGGAAAAATTTACCCATTTTTTTCGTGAAAATCTGTTACGTAAAATTTGAAGAACGGACATTGAGCTTTGAAATCGTATGCAACTGTCAAGTATCAAAAAGGATATTTTTCCTAAACTCCTTGTCAAAATGAAAGCATGGGAAAACGAAATCAATCCGTTTCTTGACAACTTGATAGCACCTGGTTCAAGGAAGAATCGACTTTGACCGAAGGAGCGGGTCTCTAAATTGCTTGAAGTGACTTATTTTATTGAGCGAATAAGCCCCTTTTTCGGTGCACGGAACAAAAATGAAAAACTTCTTGTCTAGAGGTTAGTCAGATAGCCCAATAAGCTACTGTCGTGAAGAAAAGTTTCATATTTAACATTTTCGGCCAATGCAAAGATCCGCGCAAAGAGTATAAGCATCGCTGCGAAGCAATAATAATGGAGAGAGTTTGAGAGGCCGCCATTCTGCCGAAAGAGAGTATTAGGAGGTCATCCATTGTAAATTGACAAAAGACATCCTGATGGCTTGAAAAAAGGGAAAAATAGTCATACTTAAAAAACAAAATAAATAAGTTCCCGCATTCGGAAAATCTGTTCCATATTTAGTGGCACGCCTGTAATGAGAGCCATCCTTCTTCATTCATTTTTGCTCACTTAAACATGAACTCGCATTTTACAGAATAGGAATTTTTGAGTTTTCAGAGAAGCCCGTTGGGTCGCTGATTTCTCCCATCAGTTCTATCAAAAAAAAAAAATTGCTTGCGGAAGGAGCGTGGTTGAGAGAGGGCAGAGAGCCAGCGGGGAGAGAAAGTGCGCGCCACTGCGAACACTCGCGTTGAGACCTATTGACAGTGTTGAGTGTGACGTGGACTTTGAACAGCGAATACGCAGACGCGGCGTCCTTTTGTTTCTGCTCGAAGACGTCGTCCGAGCAAAAACCGTAAAGCCGAAATGAATATTTTTCGGCTCTCCGCTGATATGGCCCATCTGGTGGCCATCGCCGTCTTGTTGGCCAAAATATGGAAAACTAGAAGTTGCGAAGGTTAGCAATTAAAATTTTTTCGTTCTTTTTTTTTGTTTTTATGTCGTAGCTGGTACATAATCAATAAGGTTTTTAGTATCTGATCAATAAGGTTTAAATACTGAACTGAAAATAAAAACTTTAGTAAAATTTATCTGTTTGTGCTGTCTGTTCGAACTAATTGAAAATCGTCGTTACAAAACAAGATAAAAAACAAATCTAGTGAAAAAAAAGAAATTGACGCCTTAAGGTAGTCATTTTTTGCCATGCGAAGGGCGTAAAACTTTTTAACTGATCTCAGAGGGGTTGGAGTGTGCCAAAGTCTTTGAAAAATTAACAACAGTCCCAGATTTAATAACAATCATTTAGTAATAATGAATTTTCGTTTTAAGTTTGTTAATTTTTGGAAAAAAATAATAATTTATAAATTGGTTCAAAAGACTTAAATTTGGTCAGAAAGTCGTTGAAATTAAGCAAAACCGTTGAGCTTGAACTTTTGTTTAAGCTTGCTAGTCAAAAACTTATTTTCAGGAATATCTGGTCGTTCTCAAATGCTTTTCGCGCTTGTCTTCGTCTCTCGTTACCTCGATCTGTTCACCAGCTTTTATTCTCTCTACAATACGGCTATGAAAGTTTTCTTCTTGGCCACATCAATCGGAACCGTTTACCTCATGTGGATAAAATTTAAGGCCACGTACGATCGGTTTGTTATTTTTTTCTCACAATTCTTTGAAAAAAAAGTGTTTACATTATAGAAATAACGACTCTCTACGGGTGGAATTTCTTGTAATTCCATGCGCCATTCTCGCTCTGCTCATCAACCACGAGTTTACTGTCATGGAGGTTTTCTTTTTCTCATTTCGAGTTTTTGGAAAATTCAAGTTTTTTTCTTTTTTTTTGAGTTCCTAAATTTTCGCAAATCTTTGCTGGAGAAATGATGATTTGCTTTGGTAATATGTTTCAGGTACTTCTGCTTTTTCACTTTGTCAGAAGATTGAAAAATTTTCCTGCAAAACTGTATTAAAAACTTTTCGTCATTGGGAAATGAATCACAAACTTTGTTTTGCAGATTCTGTGGACTTTTTCCATCTACCTCGAGTCGGTGGCCATCATGCCCCAATTGTTCATGCTCTCGCGTACTGGAAACGCCGAAACCATTACCGCTCATTACCTTTTTGCTCTTGGCTCTTACCGTGCTCTCTACATTGTCAACTGGATCTACAGGTGATAAATTGAGTAGCCTGTTTGCCTCGACACAGAGAGATTTTCAGGAGAAAAGTTTCTGATTTTCTTAATAACTGCTTTCAATTACTAACTTAGAGAAATGAAATGTATTTGCTTGAAAAAATTATGGTTTCACAGAGAAACAGGAATTTTGTTTCAGGTACTACACTGAAAACTTCTTTGATCCAATCGCAGTTGTCGCTGGAATTGTTCAAACCGTTCTTTATGCCGATTTCTTCTACCTTTACGTCACACGTGGTACGTTTTAAATAAATTAAAATGAAAGTTGCAAAATTTTACTAGAATTTTGTTAGCTACTTTTTGCCGGATCCAGTCAAAGTTTTTATCAAGTTGTGTTGAAAGCTTGAAATATTGTGAATTACAAATATTTTTCGAACAACTTTTCAAATGTTCAGTTCTGCAATCGAACCGTCAATTCGAGATGCCTGCCTGAGAAGATCTGTCAACCAAACTGTAACACTCAATTCCATGGGTAAACCTGACATAGTAACTTGTAACTTTTCCCAAATATAGCATTTGTTCGTTTTTTCAGCTGTTTTTGTATACGGATCGAAATAATGATTTTGCCCCTTTTTCTGATTACATGTATCGTGATATCGCTGATTTTTCTGATTAGTTATTTATGTTGGTGGTATAAATTGTAAAGTTTGCGATCCGTTTGTAATTGAAGGCGGTTACTGTTTTTTGTTTTATTTATTTTATATTATTGATAAAGAGTGAAATTGCATGGTTTTCTGAATTCCGAGAATTTGAAAGTTGCGCCGCTTGCAGATTCCGCAGAGAGTGTGATTCCATTTACTTTTTTTCATTTTGCTCAATAAACCACGTACAGTTTTCTCGGTTGACGCTCACTTTAAACTTCCCAAAGATTTTTTCAAAAAACAAGCTCATGTGTAGTTTTTTTGAAACTTTTTCATTAAGAAAACGTTTCATTTCCAAGAATCCTATCAAATTTCAAATAGTAGCGATCTCATTTTGTATACTAAAAATGGGATTTCGTTGGACAGGATGGCTTCAAAACGTTGACAGCAAATTGTCCGGCTCGGTTGTTGTTGCCTGAAGGACGGTAGAAAGCAACAACCACTTGATCGCCATCCGCCGCCAATTTTCTAGAACTGTAAAAGATTTAGATGAAACCGAAAAAACCCATAGACAATCGCATTAAAATGTTGCATGAAAGGTCCATTTACCTCACGTTCAAAAAGTTCAGATCACTTTTTGGTGTTAAGAATAGTGTACAAATTTTTATTCCAAAAAAAAACCCTTTAAAAAAGGGAAACTCAAAACCTGATAAGTGTGTCATTCTGAGCTTTGCTGTCTCAAAAATAATTGTTTTGTACAGGATCATAACTAGAGGATGTTTTTATACCACCAGCTTCAGAGATATTTTTTTAAAAAAATTTCCAAATGAGAGTTAAGTTTTTTTGATTACAGATTAAGAAAAATCCTTTTTTTGAAAACACGACAGGAAGGATAAATTTTTTTAGCGGTAACTTGAACTTCTCAGAGTGATGACCTAAAAAATGAAAAGAAGTTGAGAAACCTGCAGGACAGAAATTAGGCTTTGATGAAAACCGTGAGAAAAATAAAAAAATTGATATCTAGAAAAAGAATATTTGAAGAAATATTACTTTTTTTGATTGTTGTAATTTTTAGAGAATCTCGAAGTTTAGAGTTAATAGAATTTTTCTTGTTAATGCTGAAATGAATCATAAAATTCTAGGCTTCTTAACACGCTGTCTCTGTACTCTTCAAAAGTTTTCAAAAAAAGTAAGTACAGTAGAAAAAAAATATTTTTGATTTGATGAAAATCCACAGCAAGAATAGGCCATCATTTCCTTCAAACTGAATTTAGAGCTTAACGGGTAGGCTCGAAAGCTGTTTTTTTTTGATTGAACATTGCATGCAACATGTAAAAGTAATGAAAGACACAGCCTCAGTAGGACTGAGCTCAGAAAACAATGTTGAAATCGGAAAATCGCTGTTTTTAGGCCAAAATCGGCCTCAAGTTGAATTTAGAGCTAGGCGGGTATGCTAAAAGTCGGAGGAAAGTACAACTCTGCACTATCAAATGTAACACATTTCAGTAAGAGATCTGACGAAAAAAATTACGTAAAAATCTCTAACCGTAGGCGATCTCTCCGTCAGATGCCAAGTTGGGCCTCTTTGATGCGATTTTCCAAAAGGACAGGTAGGTCAGATCTTTTTCAAAGTTGTATCTATTCGTAGGTATAGCTGAGAAGAATGTTCTAAGTAAGGTACCGGCCGTGGTCTTCCCCCTAACCCAAAGAGTGACGGAAAAACCGAAATCGCAGAAAGTCACCGAAACTCAAAAATTTTCCACATTAACCCATAATGGCATGTACTGAAAAAATTCTTAAAACTGCATTTCCTATCGATTGATATACAGTATGCAGAAAGAACGCATACATACAAAAGGACCTGCCTGCCGTAACCTAGCTACCGAGCTACGGTAGGCAGGTGCAATCGGTCTGAAAATTTTTGATGACATTTCTGAAAGCAGGCTATCTCAGTAAGTGGAGTGTCATCAAATCAAAAATATTTTTTCTATTGTACTTTTTGTTTATCAGAATTACAGAGACAGCGTGCTAAGTGTCTCAAAATGTTTTTGCAATAATCAGAAACTGTTAAAATATCCTAAAATACTGTACACCGATAATATTGGAAAAAAATAGATCAGAACTCACTCTGGAGTGGAGTTTTCAAGAGAACTGTCTCCATCGGAATCAGAAGCTCCAACGACTGCTCGGCCTATGCCGATCTTAAAATAGTATAAGTTACCGTTTTTTTTTTCAAAACAGATGTCGACATACATATTTAAGTTGGTTCATTCGAAAAAAATTGAAAAAAATAACTAAAAAAAATCACTTCTTCCGTAGATTTCCAAACGATTTGAGTAAAATAATTGGTCCCGCACTGCCATCCCGGGGTTTCGTACTCGTACTTTTTCATGTTCCACGTACCAGTGCTCTACTACTAAAACAATTTATCGATAAATTAGATTGAATGATCACACCTGAATCGGCATCAACATCACTGGGAAAAAATGTGATGTTTTCTCCTACACCGCTCAATTCGCTGTAGGAGATGTGTGCCTAAAAATTGTAGATAAATTCAAGAGATTACAAAAAAAAGAGCGAGAAATCGCAGTTTGAAAGCTTGGCGATATTTTTCTTTCCAATGCCACGAATTGAGAAAAAAAAGCGATTTCCGCTTTTCTCCGAGTTCTGGCAGCTTCAAATTGCTGAATATTGTTGAATGTTTTTTGCTCAACCAAAATAAAAAAAAATGAATAAATCAATTCTCAAAAAGCGGATAGGTGTTGTCTTCTTAGCGCAACGCGTTCATATTTTCAAAGCTTGTTTTACTAAAAAAAATTTTCGATTTGTAATGACTTGAGGAAAAATTACTTGTCGTGCTAATTTTTCTGCCCAAGCCTGTGCCATTTCTTCGAGCTCATCGCTATACCGAAGAAAAAGGTGCGTTGTGCTGAAAAAAATTGGAAAGTTATGATTATAATAGTGAATATATTCAGGGGTGAGTGGAATTATGTACCGAATTTTCAGAGTTTTGGAACTTTTTGAGTTAAGAATCAAAATTCGGTTTTCTTCTGTTTGTTTTCTCAATAGAGGTTCTATTAAACATGTCCCGAGAACGAGTTTTTAATCTTGTGTAATCGTGAAATGGTGTTCTTCGAACCAAGCAGTACTTGGCTTCCTGTTCGCGGATTCGGAAATGTGCAATTTTTTAATAGACTAACATAAGAATCTAAAAGGAGATAGTGCATTATGTTATCAAAATCAACCAAAGTCTTTAGAACTCTTGTATAAAAGTTTTGGCAATATTCTTTTGAGCGAAAAAAATCATCAAGCTGTTTTGAGTAAAGCACTATTAGCTCAGGCACTTGATTTTTGAACTGAATAAAGTGTTCTTCGTTGACGAGTTATTATACATTAAAAAGATATCTGATTACCAAAAGGCTTTTAAACCTGCTCGTGGCTCTCGAAAATCCAGAAAAGTAGGCATAACCGTTCAGAAAGATTCCTTCTTGAACAAATATGCGATTTAGTCAATTATGTGCTTTAAAAGCAATTAAAGCCGTTCCCGTCTATTCTGAATGCTGGGTGAATGCCAAATTTCTTCTAATTTTCCATATTTGTTTTCTTTTTCGTACTTTTTTCATAATTCCCATATTTGAACGAAAAAGTCTCCCCTAGCTTATCTTCTACGTTACGACCCGTTTTACATCTTAAATAATGTATCTAAGCTCGTTTATAAAGTCCACGTTGAGCAACACGAGTGTGTGAAATATTTCCGGCTTCAGAACGATCCAGAAAACGGCCGCCTCTTCAGTGCTCATAAAATTTTGTTTTGGTAAACAAGTCGTGATTAAAAAGTTGTTAAAAAAAATTTTGTGTCAAACGTTTTGAATCATACAAAATCTGCTTGAGGCTATCAGTGACACCAAATTTTTAAATATCCTATAAAATTTTTTCGAAAAACTTTCGAACCTGATACAACTTTTCGAAGTCCGTTTTATATTTCCACCCACCCCCTTATGAGATAGAATATGTGGAAAGTTTATCTTAACATGCTCTTCGAACCCTTTTTATCTTGAAAAAAAAAAGTTTCGTTTTTTTTTGCTTCTAATATCAAACATTATGAGCACGATTGGCAGGTCTCACTTGGAAAAATCATGAAACCTGAACCACGAGCAGATCTTGGCCTTCGATAAATCCCATTAATCTTCTTGGAAGCGTGGCGGTTGTTCAATCTTTTCTCGTCTTTGTGTTATCAAGAGACAAAATTTTGCCAATTTTATTTTTGGAACAACTGTTTTTCATTTTCTTTTCGCAAAAAAAGACGAAAGAAGTTCGAAAAAAATTTATCTTCAAGCTAAAAAACAACTCCACTAACCGTTTTCCTCCTGGAATTATGTGCTTCGAGGATTTGCAAAGCGAATTCGTCCGGCATACGGATCAATTTTAACCAACGACTCCAGCTTTTTCTGAAAAAATGCTAAAGACATTTTCGAAAAAATGGTTGGATGAATCAGGTAAGTTTCGGGCAACTTTAGCGAGAACAGAAAAGCTTTTAAGAAAAACAGTTGCGTGAAAGTTGGACCCAGAATAATACGTGAACCATTTAAAACGGATATACTCCATTCATCGCTGCTTTGCAAAAAGAATACAAAAAGTGGGTCAAGTACATTTTTTGTGCAGCTTTCTGGAAATCGCGTCGAGACGCCTATTAAATTTTTTGCAAGTTAGCGATAAATGAACTATAAAGGTAAGTTATTTGGTTAGGAGCTCACGGAAGGCATTTTAAGCCAATTACTAAAAAACGATAAGAAGGAGGTGATCAGGTTCGGCCAGCTTTTCTCGGACTGGCCTCAGCAGAAACGAAAAAATGCGGCGACGCCAGTCGCGCTCGTATACACTCCGCCTTTGCTAGCCGGAAACTTGTGCCTTCCTTTTCCGAGTTGATTTGCCTCCTCTTGGGCGCTGAATGAAATTGAAGTACATTTGGTCGATAACTGCGAATCAGAGCCATTGAGGCGAAAATTTTTTTTTATTTATAGAATGCCTTTTTTGCTCGCAAGGGATTTTTTGGCAAGAAGTCTTTACAGAGTGAGTTCAATTTTTTACTGACTCTTTGAAAGTCTGAATAAAAATTCGCGCAGTGATTATCTGAGAAACTTTTTTTGATTTTGAGAAAAAAAAATGAAAGTTGCTTGGTATTAGTTAGATGTATACCTTAGACCTGTGTTAAACGTTAATCTTCCAAAAAAAGAAGTTTTCGCATTTATCTTCACCGCAAAATTCGGATTTTTGGAGATTAGCTGCTCAATGAAAATATCATTTCTGTCAAAATAAAACAAAAAGTGGAAAATGTATTGTTAGAAATGTTTTCCAGGTCTAACATTTTACGTTCGAAACGAACTTTGAGAATTACTCATTATTTGAGATTTTTTATTCACCGTGAATTTGAATGTTTTTTTTGAATGAGTTTATTTTATTTTACTGGAAGTTCGAAAAATGAATTTGTGAGAAGCTCACAAAAAGCATCAAAAGACGCTTTCAAAATGCCGACTCAAAATTGGAGAATCCGGAGAATCTGGGATAAACACGTTTGGCGGCGTAACCAGATGAGAGCCCGATGCCAACCAGAGATAGCTATAGCCTTCCGGCTCGTTTTCCATCAGCTCGTTTTCCATTTCTTTCATTCCCATTTAGCGACTGATTGAGTTTTCTCGAAACGTTGGTTGCCTTTTTTGCGAGGCAAACGACAAAAATTGGGTCCGAATCGAGAAAGACCACAATGGAAATCACGGAAAAATAAAATTAATTCAAATTTTCCCGGAAGCGGAACAATTTCGCCCAATGTTCTTGCTTAGTCAAGAAAAACAAGTTTTGGCGCTTTTTTTAAAGAGAAAATGTGCAAAAAACACGCACCTTTTGGAGCAGCACATCTCAGTCGTGGTAAGTCAAATATTTTGTGATGATCCACAATTTTAAAATTTCGCTCATAGTTCCGTGCTTAAATTTAAGTTTAATGAAAACCGAAACTAATCACAGAAAGGAGGAAAGGAACATTTATTACATAAAAAAGCAGTTCATTTGGAGGAGAGTTTCTTGAAAAGGTGACACTTTAGCCCGCAAAGAAGTTAACAAAAAGCGGAAAAAAATTAGAAACAGCTAAATAAAAGTTTTGGTAAGATGCCGGGTGAAAGCGAAAAGCAAAAAAAAAACTCGCAGGTGAATCGTTAAAAGCCGGAATTTGAACAGATCCAAACTTTCAGAACCAAAAAAATGTAACCTTTAATCAGTAAAAATAAAGACGTTAAATTGGCAAAGTTGATGTATGTAAAAAAACACAAAAATGATTCCTATCTTTTTTGAAAAGCTGAAAGAAAATGAGAAAAGAGTTTTTTGATAAGTAAAAGTTTTTGGTAATGTTATAATTGATTAGAACAAATTTTTGGGATTCAGTTGACGTTTTACGACCAGGAAATAAACATGAAAAAAAAAGGACATAGGCCAAAACTGGTTTTTTTCATTTGAACTGACCACAAGCGAGCACACTTCAGCTAAGCCGAATAAAAATAGGTGTTCTATTAAGAATTGCAGAGACACATCGCATGAAAGGAATAACCGAGAAAATTATGAAAAGTCAAAGCAGGCTTGAAATCTGTTACAATCACGAGAAATAATCAAAAAAAGTACTATCATAAATTGCGGTGTTGATAAATGAAAAAAGCTAAAAGATTTAAAATTACAATAAAAGTCGAATATGCCCATGAATGATGTCAAATAATTGCCTGCGGCAGCTAGGACATCGTTCACTCAGAACAAAGTCGTCTAACTATCGACAATAAAAACTAAATACAAAGTTTCTTGTGACTAACAGGGTACAAATAAACTTATTAGCGTAAGGCGTTTGAAAGAAATCACAACAATCAAAGCGTTCAACATTTTTTGAAGTTAATTCAGAAGAAAAATCTAGAAAAGTTTGTTCTTCCGTTTCAAATTGATTCGCTTCCATTCTGGCAGCTTGTAGAACTCGATCGGCGCCATGTTAAAAGTTTTTTCAAATTGTTCTTTGTTCAAATGGCGTTCCAAGTGTTGCCTGAAGAAAAAAACGAATGAGATGAGAAAATAAGAAGAGAAACTACCTATCGACATCCTCGGGTAGATCTTTGTTAGTGGTTTGCAGTAGTTGGATGTCGTACTGTTTGACAGGCTTGCTCATATCCGGAAGAGACGACCTCAGAGCGGCGCCACCAGAAGACCTCGGGCCTCGGCCCATAGTGCTTCCTCCAGTTCCAGTCGCCGCCGACAGTGAATCTGAAAAAAACTATTTTGATTTTTTGATGCGCATGTCATAAAAATTGATCAACATCAAGACGAACTTACTAACGAACTTTCACAATTTTCTTATTCATCATCATTTGTGTGGTGGGATTAGTTCATATCCAGAATTTTCCCGTTGAATATTACTCCAAACCTGACAATTCCCAGCTTTTTATTGAAAAAGAGGAACAGTATCGTCAGAAAAGATACGAAATTAACTTTCTTGTAGAGAATTCACTCTTTCTGAAACTTCCTGAAGCTGTGAGGACTGCTATTTTTACATTTTGATGAGGTGTTCGTTTACAGAAATGAGCGCTGTTTCAGAAACTTCCAGGAAGATTGAACTCCTTACAAGAAAGTTGTGACCAAAGTCGCGTTTTTTTGTATCTTTTCTGACGGTACCGTTTCTTTCCCGTGCCCAAAAATTGTGAATGTCTGAAAAATAGCTTACGGTCAGAATAATGGCTGCTAATGGTAGTGTCAAGGTGCTCCATGGACAAGTTCTGTCCATAAGGATAGCCGGTAGGTAGCGTGGCAGCACGCAAAGTGTTGGCGCGGCTTTCGGGCAAGTGAAAACACGGTAGGGTGTTTCCACCGGCGTCGCGCTCTCCGCCTTGCCAGGCGACCCATGGCCGAGGACGGCTCATATGTCGTGAAGGCGCTGAAAATTTTTGTCAGCATTTGATGGTTTTCTTATAGTTGATTATCCTTCTGAAAGAAAACTAAGAAACAACAATCGAAAAAATCCTCCACCGCGGTTAATTTTCTTCGGCGGAGCGAAAATAGGGATTCAAACTTTTTTTTTGCTTTCGAATGAACTTGTCGGAATCAATTCCCGTAATCAATAAGTAGCAGTAATAATTTTTTATCCATTCTGGTTAAAAATTGGTTGGCATGGAAAAAAGTCCAGCAAAAATTCAAACGGCGACTTTTCCGATTTTTTCATATTGCTAGGGAATTTTCCGACGGCCACCTTTCCGAAGAATCTTTTTCCGACTTTTTTTCTCGTTAAATTCTTCGTTTTAAATCTTTATATAAAGTAGGCAAGCTACTCACGATTAAAAAACAAATAAATAGGAAACAAATGTTAATAGATATCTTATAAATCGAAAAAAATATAAGCCAAAAAAAGTCGAAAAAAAGATTCGTCGGAAAGGTGGCCGTCGGAAAGTTCCCGCGTCACGAAAAAAATTGGAAAAATCGCCGTTTGAACATTCGCTGGCTTTTTTTCATACCATCAAAAATTGTTGATTAACTTTGAATTTTAGAAGTTTTTTTTTTCAAATGCATCAGCAGATATTTTGAAGCAAAATCGTATCAAGTCGAAGTAAAAAGTTCATAAACACATCGACTGGTCTCGACTGAAGTGATCTAGAGCAGCTTGAATGTCTAGCTTTGACAATAAATAAATTCCATCAAAAATAGCGCGAAAAAATGAACTGCAAATTCAAAATTTCTTCTCCCTATTTGAATTACTGGAGTTGATAAAATTCAGAAAAACTTTTGCTGTCATAATTTATAAAAGGTGAAAAACGAACAGGCATTTATCGGGACATCATAGCGGAACTTGAGATGGGGCATTTTCTTGCCGGATGGCGTTCGGCTGGCATTCCGAGGATCCCAGTGAAGAGGCAGTCTGATTATTTTTCTAGAAAAAAATCATAATGTCAAAAACCTTTGTTTTTTGTGGCTGTCCTCGATGTTCTGCTTGATGACGTGTGCGATGGAGGAATCGCCAAATTTTTCTAATGTCTCAACCGTCTGAAAAAAACAGACTTTCTTGTTAAAAAAAAGACGTTGATTTTTGAAGTAAATGTATTTTTCAGAAAAAAACCAAATTCAAACCTTTTTCAGCTTAACTTCGTCGATCCTTTCGCTTTCGGAAAGATCGTCATCCGAGATCTCATTCTCGATCGATGAAGTTGAAAGCCTTCTTTTCAACTCTCAAAATTTTTAATACTTACAGATGAAAAAAAAAATTTTCCCACCTTCCACTGCATAAGGATAGGGAGGAGCTGGGAAATCATCGCGTTCAATGGCAGGTAACTGAAAAGGAAATTTTTATCTTTTATGATGAAAAAAATTCGTACCTTGTCAGGATCAGGAACTTTTGCTGCGGGATAGTGAGCCAGTTCTATCGGCTCTTCATTGTCCATATGAGGCGATTTAGGTCTTGGAATATTTTTCTCAAGATCCTCGGCTAAAAATTGTTATTGATTTGATCATCAGCTCTTTTTATTTTTATAAGGGGTCCCACTCACTCAATCTTTGCATTCCAGTCTTCAACATGGACAGCCGCGACTTCCGGATCTTAATAGGGCCTGAAAAAAATTTAGGTTCAATTTATCCAACAAATTTTACCTTGTGGAACATGAAACTGAGGTGCGTTTGGTTCTTTTGGATTGGTGATCGGATGACGCAGGTAGGTCTGCTCAGCTTCCGGAAGCAGGTACATGTAGGCTTGATGAGTTCCAAATGTCGATTGGTATTTCGGCTCGTTACGGGACATCGAAGCTGCCCGACCAGAAGGCTGAGAATCCCAGTTTTGAAACGACCAACTTTTTTTCGAATTTTGAAAATTTTATTGCACTTTTAAAATAAAAAGTCAGCTCACCGCTATGTTTTCGGTGGTACGAGCGTGTTCACAAGACGGATGCCAAATTTCGTCCCCCTGCATGTACATCTCCTCGCCATCACCAAAGTGTGAGCCGCATCGTGAGCAACGAGCGCAAGTTGGATGGAATTTGTAGCCTCCCGCCTGGAAATTGCTTTTCTCTTCATAAAATAATGATTATTGGTAGAGCAAGGTTTTTACAAAAATCTTTAATACATCGACTAAGTGTAAGAAATTACTACTAGTCGAAAATATTTGTTTTCAAACTGATCAACAATTCGATTGATGATTTGATTTATTTGAACAATAATTTTACTGAAAAAAAGAGGTTAAAATTTGTAAAAAAACTTATGACTAAAAAAATTTTTCAATGATAATTCAAATTACTCCTAAAATTTTTCGGATAATCGGGAGAAGAAAAAAATTTGGTTTTTCTTTTTGAAATTTCTTTTTCAATTTGAAATAAAAAGTAAGTAAGAATCAAAAGAATTGATAGTTTGGAATTTTTTGCAATATTTTATTATAATACCTGAAGAACTTTGCCAGCAATGAACTTTTGGCATTCGTAGCACTTGACACCGTGTTTCTCGTTATAGTCCCGAAGACACAGAGGCTTCCCGTCTTGAGCCATGTACTCGCCATGGAGAACAGCCGCGCACTCGCTGCATTTGAAGCAGTACACATGCCAAGACATACCGAGGGCCAGCAGGACTTGTCCCTGGTGCAGTGGCTGGTCGCACGCCGCACATGCTGCAATTCTCATTATAAATTTTTATTAATAGAGGTCAATACTAAACAACTTGAAAAAAAAACCAGATTAGGCAACATTACCCTTTTTCCCGTTTTAATTCGATTTTACAGTATCTTTTGAAACTCTAATTATGATCAAACCTCTTTTAAAAACGTGCAAGCGTAATAGAGCGAGCGAAAATGAAACATTTTTGTTTTTATTTTTTCATTTCCGATGAAGAGAGATCATTATGACTGGATAAAATATTGAGATAAAGTTAAACGCACTTTACCCACTAGTAGGGAGCGTATCAACAGGGGCCGCAGAGCCACGCCATTTTCCCTCATAAAACGCGCCATGTTTTGTTGCAAAAAACGTTATTCCGTTTTTTTATACGTTATAATAAAATTGAAAAAAAGTAAAATTTTTTTCACTATCATATGTAATCGACATCGCCTAACAAATCTGGTTAACTTTTTAAAGTTTAGAAAAAAATGAGAAAATTTTTGGCTGCGCCCCCAAAAAGTATGATACGTTTAAACAAGCAATTTTTTTCTCATTTTTTTCGAAATAAAATTTGCGCATTTTGGTGTAGCATTGCGTAATTCTGCTGCTTGGCGCGTTTTAATCTAAAAATTTCAATTTATCGATTTTTTGGGTTCACCTAAAATACATCAAAGTGAATTTTGTTTTCTGGTTTATAAGACCGTTGAAGACTATTTTTGGAAAAGTTTGAAAGAAGTATAATTTAGAACAAAGTGTTTTCAGGCTTTCTCGAAGGTTTATTTTAGTTTTTAAATTTATTTTCAGTGGAATTTATGAAATGAGCTAGCTATTGTTCAGCACAGTCTACTCAATGTTTAGCAACCTGAAACCGATTCATAAACAGTCCACAAAAACGCGAAATAAAATAAAAGAAAGCGTTCTGCAGCGGGTAAACCGTGAGATTGAGCCTGCAGTTCATCGCACCGCGCGCTAGTTTTTTGGACATAACTTTTTTGTTAGAAAGTTTTTTTTTCGAAAACTATAAGGATTATGAATTTAGACAATCTTCTCTATCGAACCATGGGAAAATATCTTTAGGATCATTTTGAAAAAATGGCTTGCGGTCCCTACGTATCAGAAAGCTTTGTGACTAGGCAAGCATAAAAAACTCGAAACGTCATGGCATGACAGAGTGTCTCACTTTTTCTCTCCGTTGTTTGAGTTGGCGACCCAAAAGGGCTTCTCTTGGACTCTAAAAACTCACCACAAATCTCTGAGTTCTGTTAGAAATGCAGAGCAATGATACTTTCGAAGTTTACTGAAGTAAACTAAAAAACTATGTGACAAGTTTTTCATTCTATAAGATAAGAAATAAAGCGAAGAAACTCCTTCTTATTATTGCTACAGTTGTTCGAGATTGTTAGGGATAAAGTATGTATAACCTATTTCAAGCAAGCCGTTAAATTTTTCACACGAAAAAAGGTTTGATTGAAAGAATGAAAAGCCATGCTACTTCATCTGTAAAAGTTCTGTCGAGAAACTAGAATCTTTCACAAACGGCAAATCGCGCAGTGTACGTGAGTGATTTTGTAAACAAATAAAACACTCGAGAGAGATTATTGAGAGAAATGGAAGAATGAATAGTTGAAAAAAAACGCTTTTTGTACTCGGAGAGGTGGCTGAAATATTTTGAGAAGAGTATGGCTCTCATTTTTGTTTATGCACAACCGATGCGCTGAGAAGAAAAGCACAAAAAGCGAAATATACACGATCAGAAAATCTTGGGAAAGAAAGTTTGAAAAACAGAAAGGCAGTATACCCGAACCGCTCGTCAAGATATAGCGTGCTTAATAATGCGGACGGGTGAAAACGAAAAATTTTTTTATGAATATGCCGCTATGTGGGATCTTGAAAGAAACTAACAAAAGTCTTTCTGAGAACAAATCAAATAACTTTCAGGGATTACAGCTGTCCCGAAATTCATATTTCTATTCTCCATCCCTCGGGTTACTTGAGGTCATCCCGATTGCAATATTCTATGTTCGAAAAATCGCCAAAGTGTTCAGAAGTGTTCATACAATCAACATAAAATATCAAAAAAATATGGTTTTTATTTGTTTCTTTTTTTAAGCTTTTTTTCATATTAAACTTGTATTTTTTTCATTCTGAAGTTTTCATTGCTTATATACGATTTTTCAATTCCATCAACAAAACTTGGAGCAAATATCAATTCTGTGGGATTTCAGAATTTTGTTCTACCAAACTTTTGCGCTATTCAACGTCTACAGGAACTGATTGTTTGAAAAATGATTGAAACATGACTGGTTCGGAAAATATTTGCTCTTCTAGCAAATAATTTCACGCTATGTTGAGCGTTTGGGTGAATCTAATCGTTACCAAGTTGGAAAATAAAAAGAACTGACTTGTTGGAGATCCGAGGGGCGAGACCTGCTGCGAGGTGGCCACATTCGAGGCGTTGTCACCGTTGGTGGTCCCGTTGGATTGAGGCGGCGACTTGGAAGCAGCGACGGCGGTAGACGGCGCTCCACTCGTCTTTACTGTCAACTCCTTGGTCGCCGCTCGGAAATCTTCTGGACACAAGTACGAATTGTCTGACGTCGTATAGAAGCCTGTCTCTCCAAGATTCCTTCTGCATTCTGAAACTCCAAAGTTGTTTTCCAGGCTGATTTTTTTCCACCATTGGACTATGAATAAAGTATATGCTTTTTTTTCTAAATTGAAAAGTTTTGGCAGACTTGAAAAACTATATTCCTGAAGCTTTCACACCGCTCACGTTCCCTTTTCTACGCTCGCCTGCGAGGTGGAAAAGAATTCACAAACATTGAAAAAACAAAAGAGATCGTTGCTGAAAGTTTGTGCAAACAGAACTCGCAACAAAAAATTATGAGAAACTCACTTTTGCACTGAAAGCAGTTGATATGAAAGTACTTGTCGTTAGCTTTCAACACGTCTCCGGAACATTTTTTTCGACAGACATCGCACTTTTTGCCTGAAAGAATTATCAAGTTATATTCAAAAAAAAGTTTACTATTAAATTTTACTAAAGAGAAAAGCTTTTTTATCACCGATTTTGTGTTGAAAAAAATCAGCATCAAGTTTGGGAGAAAAAAATTGAGTAACTGAGTACTAAATGGAAATATGTATTATACTATCACACGGAAAGATAAAATTTTTTTAAAAAAATAAATCAGGTCTTGAAAGTAAATTTTTGAGACAGCAAGATGATCAACAAGCTTTTTATCTGTTTGTAAGTTCACTAAAGATGAGAAGTAAGACTTAAAAAAAATTTATCTGCAGAAACTTCAGACCCATAAGACCAAAACAGAAAAAAAATAGAAAAAAAAACAGACTAACATTTATTTTATAACAATTTTTGAATAACTGAAAACCGTTATTAAAACATAAATGAGATGTGAAGCCGAATTCCTAAACTCGGAAACATCGATGCGTGAAATCAGACTGGCTCGAAGCCTATCAGTAATATGGTTGCCAATAAAAAAGATAGGCGTGGGACGCCGTTCGTCGAGCTAATCGGTCCATCAATCTTGAAAGCTTGTTTCGATTTGTTTTGTATTGGCCGCTGTAAAGCGGACGGCTCGTCGGACGATTGATATGATGAAAAAAAGTCTGAAAACGTACCCATGCCTGTGTGGTGCGCGTCTCAGCGCCTACTCGTGTCGCGGCTGGCGGGGTGAGGCTGCGGCGAAGTGCAGCCGCGGCAAGAATACAAGAGTCGAACGCACCGATCAATATTGCCCCCGCTGCGCCGCCAATAATACTCACGCTGCACGCTCACACGCTCTCGCTGCAACGCAATGCCGCGGATCGCCGTTCGGATGTTTCGCTTCCTCCAGATCCATCAGCCGCGACCCTAGAGCTGTCAGGGACTTCTCCCTTGTCTTTCTCGCCAAATCAACTTCTATGCGAAACTCCTACAGAATGAAAACTATGATTCAAATCATCATCGTAGAAGACACTCGATTTGAGCAAAAAGATAACATTTAATCGAAACAATTCTTTGTTTACGTTTTCAATATATAAGCTCATGAATTTTTGAATAATAAGAAAATTTCGTTCGTAATCGCCAAAAATTATAATATACAAAAACTACTAGTTTTGAAAATGGACCTTTTTAATCTAACGAAAAGTATTAGAAACCGCTTGAATGTGCTTTTCGAAAACTCGTAGATTTTATTTTATTTTTTTTGAACAGAGATAGTGCAGAATATAGCTCCGGCCTTTGAGAGCATTTTGATGAGATTTCAAGGTTGAAATTGAAATTTATTGTATCAGCCGCCATATTAGCAGCTTAAAGGTAAACTCTCATTTAAAAAAGTTTAAGGCATCCAATTTTTTGTGGAAGCCTGAAATTGTTTTCGCAAACTATTTTTTAAAGGTTTTAGAAAACTCCTTTATCAAAATAAAATAAAGTGCGCATAGAAAAAAAAAATTCCGTCAAAAATAAAGAGAAGAATCAATTTGAAATATTTCATCAGGAGCTGATGAAAGAAGTCGAAACTTCGCGTTTAACTATCCTGACACCTTCGAGTAAGGTTTGATAGACCTTCGATTGCACCTAGCAAAGTTCCAAGTATTCAAAGAAATTTACTTGAACATTGTTGAGTTGCAATAGTAACTGACCAGAAGTTAAAGAAAGGTTACGAGATGTACCAGCAATTATCTGTGAAATTAATAATGGTGAGATGAAAAAAAAAGATTTCTTGCTAATTTTTGAGTTTTTTTAGCACGTTGTTTCAACTAACATTTTTTAAAAAAGTTTCAAAACTCCTAAAAAGTCTCAAAAGTATATCTACTCTACGTAATGAATCATCCGCAAGCAGCTAATTTTTGTCTAGCGGTCGATAGAAATTTTTGCGTTTTTTTCGATTTTTTTATTTTTAAAAAAAACTTTAATTAAGCTTAGAAATAAAATTTTTGATCTAAATGTGCTCTCGAGATGGTAATAAGTACTTTCAAAATGGTAGAAAAAAAGAAATGTTTTAATGACGTGTCATTTATTTCTCGATTTATGAAGATTTTTGTGTAGTCAAAGTCATATTTGATATCGTCTCAGCTTTCAAAGAGCTTCTACGAATCGGATTCGAAGTCGAAACTCCGAGACCTTAGACACAGCTCAAAAGCCTCTGATGGAAAACCCATAATTTTTCTTTTTAAAAACCTTTCTTAATTCGAGTTGATTTCAATGAATACGAATTCAGACCTCCTAAACATAAAAAACACTCTCTCTCTTCAAATAGACTGCTTTGCAAATAACTCATTTACCCTTCCCAATTTTTTCACATCTAAAACCTAATCAGCATATGAATGAATGTTCTTATTCCGCGTTATGATGCATCCAGATTTTCTAGGCGGAAGGAAAATTGTAGGACGCTTTTGTGATTTGATGAGAGTTGGAGAGCGAGAACTAGGAGCCACCATGAAAGGAAGAACGTAAACTTTCACAAACACATTCTTCTAAATAAAAAAGAAGATAATTTCTAATTTTTCTCTCCCCATTCATATCTTGAACCATTTGATTAGAAACTTTTTCTAAGAAAAAGTTGCCCTTTTGAATAGTTTCCTAGTTCAAGAATCTTCTCTTTTTCCACTTGCCGGAAAAGTTGCCTGATACCCGTTTTTCCAATTCTTCTTTCTTCAACTCCATTTTTTCCCTTGTGGCCAACCGATCTGTTTCGAACGCACAAAATGGACAAGAGAGGAAAATAGACAGAACTGACTTCAAGCCCATGGACACTTCTGAATTTGTTTCTCCTGCTCCCTGGTTTCAAGCTTCGAAGAGTACGAACTCCAAACTAAGACGTAGCCCATTGTGGTAGCATTTCTCTCTATTGAAGATTTTCTTTGAAATAACATTAACATAATCGATCATTCTGAGATTTAAAAACTCCGTTTCCGTTTCGAAATTAATTCAAAGATGTTTTCAGATCTCGAGAGCGCTTCAGCGCAAAGCTTCAACAAAAACCATTCAGTTGAGATGAATACTGTTAGAAAAATGTTTATTTACGCCTCCTCCGAAAATTCCTGCCTCATATCTTTTAAGAGGTTTTCTGAGATAATTTTATGAGCGTTGGATGTATTCAGCTTTTTATTACTGAAATTTCGATCGGGGCACAAACAGTTGTTTTCTTGTTTCTGATTTTGATAGGGCAAGTAAAAGTTTTTCAAAATCTTTGAAGTTTTCGCATCTGAAGATTAAGCAACAAACCAAAATTAAACGGAATCTCATTTTTTCATCCTCTGTTGCAATTTCGAATCGACCCTAATACAGCCCAGTCATTTTTCGCATTGAAATATTGATATAAAAAAACAACAGAACGTCCATATTTGGTTCGTCAGCTAGCAATTCGACTAATGCAATTTTGGAAACGCGTCGTCGAGCACAAAGAAACTTTGCGCCCACCAGTCTCCCAGGACGAAACTGCATGTCCATATATTCCCAAAGTTTTGGTTTCAGAAATCTTCAACCCATTTTTCTTTCATTCCGTGTATTCACGGTCAAGTAAAATTTCTAGTTCAGTTACTTTTTCGTCTTCTTTTGTTGTTGAAAAAACGAATAACTTTCTTTGAATGCATCTTACAAAGTCTCACATTGGCGTTCCAAGTTTTTTCGATCTACTTCAACAAACAAAGCTTAAAGCCTTAACTTGCAAAACTTTTTGAGTCCATCCTGAGGATAGATAACTTGCAGAACTTTTTGAGTCCATCCTGAGGATTATTTCGAACTGTTTTTTCCTCCATAACCGACAGAAATCGCAGCTCCCAAAACTTTAATCTGATGCTAAAAAATTGTGAGTATATACTTCAACCATTAGTTAATTATTTTCCTTTCCGGATATCTTCCGGTTCAAATTGAGCTTTTTTTGTTCATCAATGCTTCAAGTCTTGTTCCTCGTACATAACAAAAGAAGTTTCGTACTCAGCAAGAGCCCATACTCAATTGGGACGTGAATTTTCGGAGAGCTCCAAAAAGTAGTCCGGAAGTGCTTGCGTTCTTCTAAAAAGGCCTTCCATTAGCTGAATGTTTTTATGTCTGCGACTTGTGAGTCCAAGAGTCATATACATGAAAGTTCGTTTTTTATTTTTGATAAGGTTGGTAGTCGGACTTTTTTTATTCAGGAACCAGAAACTAGGGTTCCAACTGTATTTGAGGAGCTTTTTCCCTCTATTTTTCACTTTCAGAGCTTTACTCTACTATTCTCTAGCCTTCGGTCATATCTGAAACCAAAATGCATTGTTAAATCTGGCAAAATTTTGGGCGAAAAAACGGGTATTCCCACAATTTCAGATATGCGTAACTACCTAATTAATTTTTTTGCTTTGAGATTTTTTTCAAAAACAAATGTGTAGTTGAATGAATATGGAGAGCGAAGGAATAGTCGTTCGGTTTGTGTTCAAGAAAGTTGCTCGGACGAGAAGCGACCAAATCTCCTGGGGCGGTCCTTGGATTTCTGGCTGTTGGTTTGGTGTGTGGTTTTGCTTCTCTGCTATCGTTTTTTTCGGAAAAAATTCTTCCCGAAATAGTTTCACTTTCTTGCCATTTTTCTCTCTGTCTGGATTTTATTTTAGAAAAGCTTATTTAAAGAAAAGCGGGAACAATCGACGTTCTAAAAATTGTTTGATATGGTCGCCAGAGAAAGAGAAGCCTTCAGATTATTACATTTCATCTCCAGAAAACCGCTCATAGTTCGATATCAATTAAGTCGGGAAAGTTTTTTTTAGGAGCTCGTTTCGATAATTCTGCTTTTCGTTTTGGTTCGGAGTTGTAATCTTTTGGAAATCAGAAAGTCTCGCAAGTTGAGACAATCTCAATTCGGTAAAAGAAAGAGTGTTCCAACCTTTCACGAAAACATTTTTTGCCGAATAAAAAGAAATTCCTCTCAATTCTTCCATTTCGCGACTTTTTTCTGATTTAGCTTGAAAAACTTTTTTTTAGTACACAAGTTTTTTCATTTTCCCTCCAAACTTCGGAATTGCAGTTTATCTAAAAACTGTTTCATATCAAGTTAAAGGTGAATACAGAAAATTTTCCAGTAAGATCGAACTTATGACTAGCTGCGGAGCAATCACGCGCGCTACCTCGCCGATTTGCGACGAACAGGAATGCTGCATAGACATGCTCCATCACGAAATCAACGACAATACCTTGCCTCTCATCACAATGATGCCTCAAATGCCTGCTGCGGTTAGTCCATTTGACTTTGTATTGTAAAAGGCCTCATTTTTTTTCCCAAGAAAGTCGAAAATCCTAAAAGCTCCACTTTCGTTATCGTACAGAAAGCCGCCAAAAAAGCTGTTCCAAAAATAGCAGTGGTCATCAGCTTTCAACTTATTTGAAGCAAACGTGTCACATTCTGTTTTTTTTTTTCAAGAAAATCACAAAAACTCTTCAAAACATTAGGATAAGAAAGAAAGTCTTCTCAAAGTTATTTTGAAGATATCTTTTTATTTTTCAATTGATTGAATCATGGCCCCATGCACAGTTCATTTTTGTTTCATTATTTAGCATATTTTAAAAAAATCTTTATTTCTTCAGGAGATTATTTGAACTTCACTGGGTGGTCAGTAAAATGTCTGTTTTGTTGGGAAAAATTACGGGATTTTTTCGGTCATACAAGACATTCGCGCCTCCCGCTGGTGATATATTTTAAATAGCCACAGAAATAATATTGATTTTGTGAGCCGCTTGGCTGAACTTCCTACACTAAATCACTTTTTCTTCTTTAAGAGTTTATTTGAAAAAAAAACCTTGAAAAACACGCACTTCAAATCATTTATTTTGTTGTTTTAGTCTGATGTAATTGACTAGGCGGTGAGCAAGAACTTTAAAAGCTATAACGAACAATCGCCGTTGGCGAACTAGAAGTCCAAACGTGTAGTCGAAAGAGTTGAAAGATTGGTCTTACGGTCCTTCGCCTCATTCTTCTGCGCGTAGTCCATCCAGTTGCGCCTTGTCGAGCTCAGAATGTAGTGGATGGTGTAGCTGGAGCCCGGAGACCGTGCTCTAGGTGGAAGCCTCAGAATGACAGCGACCCCTTCGAGTGAAGATTTTACACGGAATGAAGATTTTACACTTGGAGAAAAAAAACCATTTCAATCCATAATCCTAATTTATAAAACTCGAACATCAGAATGTGATAATTGATTCGCAAAATTGACTCAGATTTTTCTGAGCTGAAATTCTCACTCTTCCAACGATTTTTTTCAGATCAAGACGCAGGATCGACCTGTGGTCCTTTACATGGCGCCCATTCACAAGCAACAGGATTTGAACTGCCCTTGCGGAAATAACTCCGACAATGCCGAATCTACTCGCGAGAAGCTGAACAACGTCCGAATCTGAAACGAAACGAATTCGCGTTTCTTGTAATAATTTGAGTACTTTCAAGTCAACGAAAAACCCTTTGTAGGAACTCATCGTCTGATCAATTTCCGATTTTTTTGTATGTAACTTTTTTTTTCGTGCTAATATTTTTCCGGATACTGTTCTCATATTTTTTGGACGCACTTATTCCATGACCAAGAGAAATTTTCTCATTATGGCTCCGAATTTGATGGTTTCATTAAATGAGCTTGGACAGAGTACATTAATTATTTTTGTTTACTTCGATTGTATTATAAATGGTAAAAAGTAAAATAAATTTTTCAAAATTTCGCGAGTGAATTTCAAAAATTAATATGTAGGATGTTTTAAGACAAGGACGTTATGAAAAACCGTTAAAAAAGTGCGATTAGAACTTTTAAATCCGTCAAACCCACCTCCTTCAAGCCACTATGAAAATAGGAGGAGTTATTGTCGATGGTTCTCCACTGCTATCATGTTCTGAAAAAGCGGCAGTCCGGTTGGGTTCGCTGTTTTGCCGCTTTTGTTGGGGCTATTGTCTCTGGGAATAAGCTTCGAGGCCGTGCGAACTGAGGAAGCAATGCCTGCGCTTGTATGATTTTGCTGTAGAGGCCTATTCTCTGCTTTATTTTCCATTCTCCTCAATTTTCAGCTACTTTAAAAAAATGTTTGTGATGCTTCAAATTGAAGGCCGCAGATGCGTGTAACGTAACCTACTGGTTTTCCAAAAAAAAACTTCAGAATTGGTGTAAAATTATCAAAAACTAATGCGTTGAACCGTTTTCAGAAACTTTTTTTTATTCAAAAACTGGAAAGTTTCGCAGGTAGCGACTCTCCGGTTTTTCATCTGGCAATCAAAATAATACTCTGATTGAAAAATCGGAAGATTAAAAAAAGCAAAACCGAAATATTTCAGTTATAAGTGATTCAATTTTAAAAACTTATTGCTGAACGAATTTGCTGAAAACTTTAAAACGCTTTTCAACTGGGTAATACCTTTGGTGCTACTAATATTATACTCTTGAATTTTCTCTTTAATTAAAAAAAAAACTGAAACCCATTGGAAATTTTTTATCGGTAACTTGGATGACCGAGAAGTTCTGAAGACGTGCGTAAATCAGGAAAGCTCACAAGCTTTGCCGTGAAAAAAAAAAAGTGAGGGCAGTAATTCGAAAACAGCCTGCGGGCAAATGGCCAGAAGGAAGATCTAAGTCGAGTCGAGTGCTTTTCGCTGATTTCTGAAGTCATCGTTCAAAAAACGGCGCCTGGTCAAGCCCTTCGGTTAATTAACCTTCTCTCAGCAAAAAAAAAATTCAAAGTCTTGTCCAAGCTTCATCAGCCATTGTTCAGTTTCTGAAATTGCATCTGACGATTTTTTTTTGTTATTCGTGCTCCTCAACCAACAATTTTTAATTTTTTTGAGTAGTGTGATTTTTTTTATTTGGAGCACCCGATTCTGTTGCAATTTTAGGCTTTGATCAATTTTTCGTAGTAAATTTAATAAAACCATCAAAAGGCATCACATAATGGTAACGAACAAAAGTTCCGAAAAATTTTTTTTTGAGATTTTCTGTGAGCGAACTTCCGAGGAATAGTTTTTGCGCAATCAATGAATGCTTTTCATTGTGATGCATATCTTTTTATAGTATTGTAATTAAGTCATTTAACGAAAAAAAGTGAGGAGCATCAAGATTTTCTTAGTGCAATAGTACTAGTTAAAGTTCTGTCAGGAGGCCAAGTGCAAAGAAAAAACTAGTTTGGAGTTTTTGTGTGGATATGTGGTGATAAATCAAGATTTATAAACCTCTTTTCTCGAAATTTTTGAATCAAAGCTCTAAAACTTCCCTTCGCCATCAGTTGAACTGTATTTTTTTCCTCGTTTCAGAGCAGTCCTGCAGCTTGCCGTAATTTGAATTATAGATGGTCCATTCCGTGTCGATATTTTTCCTTGCACTTTTGGTAGTAACTAGTGTAAAACTAAGAAGAGGACTTTCCAGGCGTTTATTTAACTTTCAGGCCATCACTTGGTCTCTCTTTATGTCTCCGAGCTGAGACTCTCCATGGCTCATCCAGCGCGATAACTGACCAGAACGGGCTCAGCAGCTGAATGGCTTTTGGCCTCTCGGACCAGCCTAATTAAAACTTGCATTGTGTTGCTTCGGTGTTGTTTCTTTTCTTGATGCGTGGCTGCCGGTCGCGTGAGTGCTCGTGCGTGAACATTGTGTGTGAGTGCGAGTGTTTGCGTTTGTGGTGTGTGTTGATATTCGAAACGACTTCTTCTGGCAATTGTCGAAGCGATAGGATACGTCTGCCTTGCTTGAAAACTATTCACGCTTCATATCTCACCATCTAGTTTCGTTTTTTTTTCACCGGTCAACTGTGAGAAATGCCTTTTTTTGTCTATCTTAAAAAATGTGGCTCTAAGTTTTTCCAAACTTGATCAAGGTCCTCGTTCGAAAGATCTTGATAAATCACCATTCTGTCGAACATGGAAGAGAAGGGCTTTTCGAAGTAGACGGACCCCACCATTTAATAGCAACAGCTCACAAACGGAATTTTTTTATAAAATAAAAATGTTCCGAAGGTTTTAAAAAATATTTTCCCTTTATGCCACAGGGAAACTTTTCAATCAAAAGGTGATTTGTTAAATAATAGTTCAGAACTGGAAAGTATCAATGTACATGATCTCCTAGTTTTGAACTTCGAAAATTCTAAATCGGAAAGAGCAGATTTTCCGTGATATTGGAGGTTCCCTTCATCAACTGATGCAGACAACTGAGGCTTATAACGTATTGCTCACGGGTCTTGATGGTATCAGAGGTTGCCAAAATTCTACCAGCAACTAAACCGTTTTCCCATAAACATCTGTCTTGAAGAATAAAGTCTGTGTGCCAAGGCTTGAAATTTTACCGAACGACATTCCGCTGTTCCGCTGCGTCGCGAAGCGTCTTTGGAGCTTCGGGGTCTCACTTTGACTCGATTCTCATTTCTGATAGATGGACTGCTCCACTAGGAACACGTGCTGGTCGAGTTCTTAAACAAAATGAAAAATTGAAGGCGCGCAATGGCACGAGTGGAACAGCGGAATGTCGTTCGGCGAAATTCTAAGTCGTGGTACACAGACTATATCAGAGCCACAGAGTACGAGAATCGTGTTCTGAAGATTTGAAAGTTTTTGAGGGTATTTAGTTTTAATTATTTTTCTACCACCTCATCTGATCTAATCGATAGATTAGATTAAAAACTTCAAAAAACCGAAAAATTATAGAATACTGAGAACAGCGTTGGAGTTAGTAGCGTTTTGTCGCAAAAAGTGACGAAAAGAGGTCCTCTCGGGGCTTCTTAGGGCCGCCTCTTCCAACCACGCTTTCGTTCTCTCGTTCCATCCGAGCGCGCCACATAAACACTACTCGTTGTGCTTTTTTCTTGACTTTAACTTGTTGTATTTCTGGTCGCCTTCGGGATGAGTCGGCATCATTCTTGACCATGCGAGCCTACGACTTTGTCACCAACACGCCTCTGCGCTTTGACCAGCATAAGAACTACCTGGTCGACGATGTCGCCTTGGTTCGGTCTTCGCCGCCGCTCACACCTCTGCCCAAAGGTATTATCATTATTTTTTTCTCATAGCGAGCAAGGAGATTTTTACTTCGCCCTTCAAATTTTTAAATTTAATCCGAAATCTTATAGAACAAGTCTGATCTTTGAAACCCCAACCTTCTCAACTCCCAATGAAGAAAATTTTTAAATCTAAGAACTGTTTATTTATTTTTTGGGTATTTAAAGTTTTTTCTGACTTTCCGGAACAAATTCTCGAAAATAAAAGCGTTAAGCACGTTTAAAATATCGACGCTTTCTTTTGGTGTATCAAAAAGGTTTCTGGTTAGTTTTAGAACTTCTTCGTTTTCTTCCTCCACGGCACAGATCTGTCTTTGAGCGAACGATGAAAATTTCATTTTTATTTTGACAAAAAAAAACTTCTCTCCATTTTCGAACTATTTTGGCTTAGTCAATTGCACTTCAAAGTCATCTTTCTTACTTGAGAAACAAAAATCAGATTTATTGTCATTAAAAAGGATATTCTGAATCATTTCTCAATTATCACATACAATATCTAATTCACTATCACGATAAATTCTCAAAAAATCTTTTTGTTTTGTATTCTACCCGTTCGTCGCCTCGAAACGTGGATGTTTTGAGAAGTTTTGAGAGAACCGTTGTTTCCAGCTGTGAATTTGATCAACAAAAAAATGATAGAAAACATTTCGCTTTCGAATGAGAATGAAACTATTTTTACGACGAGAACGGAATTAAGTCCTGAAGTTTTCAAAAGAGCCATGAAGAAGAAGGTTTAAAGTTTTCGATAAAAGAAACAGTTTTCAAAGAGAGAAGAGCGAAGTTTTCAAGATGATACGCTCCAGGAAGGAGCCATTGTAATACTTTCATAGTTAAACTTTTTCACGTTAAATTTTTGAGCCGTTTGGTTGAGAATTTCTTGGCAACTCAAGAGATGGATAGATTCTGGCAGGTGACCATTTTTGGCCACTAATCCGTTGTTCCTAATCGCTTCTCCTATGCAAACAGGTGCACTGTCGTTTTTCTTCGCACGGGATGACCAATTTTTTGCGTTTCCCAATTCGTTTTAGCAGTATCTCTATTAAAAAAACGGGTATTCCTTTTTGCAAGAGTTTATTTGCAATTCAAAGAATAGTTTTGTTTTTTGTTTCGAGATTTTCTGCGCAGGAATTGATTTGGAAATTGGACACCTGTGTATGAAACAAACCGAAATTTCTCAATTCTCTCTCTTTTTTCTTCCATTTGGGCAGCCGTTGAAACTGCAATCGTGAACTTCTTAGAGACTTGAATACTTCCAGTCACTTTTAATACTAGTACGCGAAAACTTAATCCTACCGCGTTGCCCATTTACGAGTTTTCACCCCATTTCATTCAAGTCGTCAGATTGTTGCGCGCAAGATTCCACTGAGAATAAAGAATTTTCTATTCCATCCCCTCTTTTTGTTCTTGTATCTGTTATAACCTCTTGGGATTTGTTGGCGCGCAGGATATGCGTGTGTGTTTTCAAAAAAAAAAAGAGAAAAAATGCTTGTTCTGTGACGTTATGCCAGCTGTTGTGATTTTTAGAGCGCCTCGCTGTTCTTTTTTCTTTAAATCGTTAAAAAGGTACCTCCTGAAAACCCGAAGTTTTTTTAATGCTACATAGAAAAACGGCCTGAAAAATTTTTGTGAGATCTTCTGAACTCACAAGAAAACCTCGAGTTTTTTCCAAAATTTCACCAATTTTTTTTCAACTGCTATTTTTCTTACTACTTTTTAGTGCGCAATAATTTTTGAAATGTAATAAAGAAGTAAATTTGGGTAACCACGTTTTCCCGGCGGCCGTTCTCACTGAACTTTCAACAAAAAAAACAGGCGTCAGTTTTTTCTTTCAGAGAAATTTATAAACATGCCGAAGAGCATGATTTATTTGGAGATCGGAATCGGACTGCCATAAACGAATTATAGTAACTGCTCATAAAATGCTCAAATAGAGAAATGCATGATATCGTTTTGAACAGTCAAAATATAACATTCGTTTCTGAGTTAGCATTATTTCCCTAAATCGCGAAATTCTTTTTTCTCGAGAAATTATTATTCTTTGAAAACGAGTTTGAAGCTTTGTTTTGCCTGCTGAAATTTCGAACTGGAAATTGATAGCATTTGCGACAGCCGCTGCGGAACACTTCCGGTGTTCGCAATTTATTTCGAACTCGTCGAAATTTAAAAAATTTCTACAATAGACATAGCAAATGCATTTCAATGAATGGATAGAGCGACGAATCTGATTAACTGTCAAATTTCGGATTTTTTTTGCACAAATTCAATGACCTGGTATCAGAAGTAATTTAATGATAAAAGTTGAAAATCAACAAAAAAATGAGCAGTAGAAAAAATTTTCAGATCAATGATATAGTTCATTCAGAGAAAAGAATAACTAGATAATTCGTCTAGGATGTCCAGAAATAAAAACTGCTAGTCATTTTTCGGTCAACTTTTGATTGATTCTTTTTCGTGATTGCAAAAAGTCGCAGAAAATTGTTCGGCCGATCAATGACGACCATTTCTTAACAGTTTCAAGTCTCCGATTCCAAATACTTGCTACTTATTCTCTCAGGAGCCCGCAAAAAATAATTAGATTGAATCAAAATATTTTAATCATGAGGTGGTAAAATTTTTATCATTCTTACTCTGCTTGACTACGATGAATGTTTTTGATTTTTGCGAGCGGAAAATTTCTTGATTTTCTTCCGACCGTCACGATTTTCCATGCTAATACATTAGGAATGAACATCTTCTGACGTTTAGGAGAGTTTGCGCAATTTCTACCGGACACTCTGACCTTGGTGTTAAATTTATTGTTCGCCGGTGCTTAAAATGTTTGCCAAGTTTTTATTAGTGAAATATTCTCCTTCATTTCTTGTTAGTCAGCAACTTTTTCTAGTAGCCACTGCTCGAAAGTAAACAAGAATGACCAATTTATTTTTCGACTGACAAAATATCAAAACTTGTTTTGAAAAAAAAAGTTAGCGCTTTTTCGATTTTTTAAACAGACCTTCGTAAATTAGCAAGCGCCTTTTGTGATTTCAAGCACATTCTCTCATACTAAAATTATTTTTCTCTTGTCTACCTTTACTGAGATCGGACTTTTTGATTGCTCCTTGACGCGTACTAAAAATTGGAAGACGTTCGAATATTGAAAACTGGTTCGAGAATAGACACTGCTCTCACTGCAGAATGAAATTTTTTTTTTGATTCAAATAAACAAGGGTTCTGGGGTCGTTTGATTAGTAATGTAGGCCATCCGGCGCGTCCTCTCAACTCACGACAGGAAACTCGTCGTGATCCTCTGCGACTTCTTCTTTGCCTTCTGGCGGTTTTCCCTCTTCTACGCAAGCCACGGCGAATGACAACAGTCTCCACCACTAGAACTATTCGGAAAATCGAGAACATGAACTGAGAGTGAAAACACACTCTCGTTTGATTTTCCAATTTCTTGATTTTTGCTCTATCGTGCTGATTGTACCAAAATCCGAGAAATCAATTTCGTTTAACAAGGAAAGTATTCTAATTTGTGCTTTAGAATTTTGTTCGATGAACTCGATGCGGATTCTGAAATAGAAAAAAGAGGATATTTGAAAACCGGCTAGATAGGTAGCTTTGAGTATAACTTTTTTACAATCGCAAAACCGAGCATTTTAAGAATTTCAGGTGATTATTATTAACGTAGCACCCTCTTTCAAAAAAAAATTATTTTTTTTTGAAGATTATAATCATACTTCTCTTTTCCTTTTCCAAGAAAAAAAGAGTATTCTACCAAAACTTGAACTCCCATTCGTTTGGAAGACGACCTCCACAGCCGTTGATCCTTGCCGCCCTCATTTTCGTTTTCCATCTCAACATTTGCTTCCAAAGCAACCGATTGCTTGTTTTTTGTCCACTTTTCGCCATGGACAACAAATTTATCCGCGGGTCTGAAACTTTGCGTTTCCTCGCCTTCTTCGACCACCGCTAAACCACTTTTCCATTGTCGGATTGCCTCATCAATATTCGTCCCGGATGTTCACGTTTTTCGTTTGTTTTAATTGCTCGGTTTATGACTTGAGACTATTTAATTATTCTATTTGGCTCAGTTTTGATTCATCGGTTGTTAACGCAATGTTGAAAGAATTTTGGAAAATCAGCAAAAAATACTTACTTGAAAAGAATCAGTCTTTTTAATAGGCTTCATGTAAAGCCTTCAGATCTAGATCAGGACCTATCACGGTGATTATCTGCGTGGAATTTCATTTTCTGAACTTTTACTTTCAAATTTAAAGTGCTAATAACTGCTGGCAAAACCTTGAAAATCGGTCTTTTTAGTCATTTTTTTAAGCATTCAGCAGTAGTTCTTTTTTTAACATTTTTTTTTTCGAAATAAAGTTTTGATAACATGATAACAATATCGAAAAAAATGCAATCCATTTGCTTCCCAAATCGTCATCAGCACAGCTCACAATAAAACTCCGATTAGCTTTTTTAATTTCCTGAGCTAACCACTTTTGAAGTTTTCGCAGACGAATAACTTGAAATGCGCATTCTCAAAAAAAAAAGGGGAGACTCAATGTAAAATTTTATTCGATACCTACTTATATTTCTTCTTCTGACCTTCGTTAACAAGATTGGATAGCGCAAAGAGGTTTGTCTGCTCATCATCTATGGGCAGATTCAGCTGAATCCAAATCAACTTTGCACTCCGCCGCCGCTGCTTTGATTCGAATCCTTGCACTAGTGCTGTTATTCGTCAACTTCTCATTTATAGAAAAAATGAATTTTTAGCTTTAGCGAGGATCTATCAAACTTCCCTCTCGTCGAGTCATTCCGCCTAGCTAAAAAGTCATGATTCGAACTTTTTCAAAAGCTTTTTGCAAAAAAATCTTCATAACCACAGAAAATTCAAAAAAAGACGAAAATTCTGACAGTTTATGATTATTGGGGGTGTAGTAGTCTTTCTCAACCGCTTCATTTTTTCCAAGCTGGCGATTCTTCGTTTGTTCAGCATTGTCCTTTTATTTGATTGTTTTTTTGAAACTGTTCTGAAAGAGAAAATGACGTTTCAGACGACAATTAAAACGACTTTTTTTAAACTGATTCTTTTTTTGTAAATTTTTTTAGAATTTTATGTTTCCATATTTTTTTGCTGGTTGCATTATTATGTGTTTTTTTGTTAGTGAAATCGCTTTCTCAGGTTAAAGGACATAATCAGGATAGAATATTTTTTTGGTTGATAGTAGAAAAAAAGACAGTTTCTCCTAAAAAAATATGGCTATATGATGTTATCATTTAGGAGCAGTTAACTAATCATTCTGAGTTCAAAATTTTTAGTTCTTTTTATTTTTTTATAGTGAGCAGGATAACGATCCCAATCATGAATTTTCAACTTCAATAACCGCGAGCAGACGTTGCAGCCAGTGGAGTTGGGATGATCGAGAGATGCGTAGTAGTTCAACGACAAACGGATGGATTTGGTCTGACCGTCACTGGCGATCATCCTGTATACGTCCACACCGTGAAGCCAGATGGAGCAGCCTACTGCGCTGGCGTACGTCAAGGAGACCGAATTCTCAAGGTAAGCTTGTTTCTTTCTGGAAGCTTCTTTAGGAAAACATAAAGTTTTCTGACTTTTCATAGAGATGGCTTTCCATAAACTATGAAAGTGAGAAAAAACTAGAGCATGTGAAACCTGATCACTCGAAACTTTCTCAGGAAAAAGTGTACTTGTCTTTAAACGGTCTTGCATGTCTGCGTACACCTATTTGAAAAAAATCATTCAGTTGAATTTCAACATGAAATGGAACTGAATTTTTGTTTTGAAGATTTTTTTGAAGATTTTTTTGATATAATTTAAAGTTGAGTTCAAACGATTAAAAACTTATCACCAAGCATATTTTTTTGTTTCAGTTCCAAAAGCTTTGAGCCAAATCTGATAAGCAAACGTCAAAAAGACCAACTATGATTCTTATCGGACGATCTCCTAAATTATAATGATATTATCAAAGAGGGATCTGAAGCGGACTTGTAACGAATGACCAAAATCTTTGGCAGCCTTTGCGGCTGTTAGGCGCCGAGAAATGGATTGTGAATTCGGACCCCAGGGGCCATCGTATGACCTACGAGCCGACTTTCGGAATGCCGTGCCCCTTCTTTCCATGAATTTTCTTTGAAATCCGGGGATTTATGAAGTGTTGTAAACTGAAAGATTTGAGTGCTTTGATGAGCTTGAAATCATGGTTTTCTCAACCTCTGTGGGAGTTTCAGCAAACTTTTTTCATTCCGATGTTTAAAAAACAAACAGTAGGCCAGGAAGTCGTCTGAACGCAAAAACAAGTAATTCAGCAGCAGGAACATTGTGTGGAATTTGTAATAAGCCGACTTGCCCGAATTTCAAACGCGAAACGCTTAATGGGGTCGTTTAAGAAGTTCGAGCAGATTCACTAGGAGAGATTTTTTGGAGAAAAGCTCTCTTTTCTCGTCGCGACTTGACTGGAAATAGGCTAAAAAAAGAACCGACCATGAAACAAACCACATTTCAAATAGCGTTTAAATTGAACAGATACCAAATTTGATGGATATTTCAAAAATTTACAGGTAAATGGAATGCCTGTAACCAGCAGCAATCACCTGGAAGTTGTACGAATGATATCTGGTTGGATTTATAATTTTTTCAAAAGTTAGATTAAGTTCATTTTAGGCGGGCAAAACGTAGCGTTAACATTGTTAGGAAAACCGCCTGATCCTCTGCCCCAGCTGCCTGTTTTGAACTACAAGCTGGAGCAAAAGTTTCGTACCTCCGATCCAATGCTAGAGGTTTTCTGATTTTCTGTAGTGAAAAATAAGATTGCTTTTTGAGGCGAATGGAAAAGATGACTGGCGCAGGAAAAGGAACGATCTGCTTGGGCAAATGTTGGACGACGAGCAAAAGCACGTTGAGGTACGTCTTTTTTTCCGCATATCGTATCATTAATATGATTTCTTCCTTGAATTAATTTTATCGCTTTAAAAACTATTCGCTGGCTGCCGTTGGGAAAAACGAAAAACATTAAGATCATTTTGAAGCTGAAGTTTCATCTTTTCAAAATCATTGAAATTTATCAGACACAAACTCATTTCAAAAACTAATTTTGGCGCTCTTATCGCCACTGAACTTCTCTTTAGTTAAAATTTTTGATATTGAAAGCCTGCAAAGTCTAATTAGTCATTTCAAGCCACTATTCAACAACTTTCGAAATCTTGATAAAAAGAAAACAAAAAAATGCTTATTCCAAAAAAACTATGTGTTTTCTCATCAAATTAACTGAAGTTTACCACTGCTCCAATCTGCTAATGCAGCTTCAAGGGTCATAAGCATTCTCATCATGTTTTGTTAGGCTTGAATGAGTCCCTGAATGCGGCTTGCTTCTCGGCTAGGACCAAGAAGCGAGCTCATTGGGGGTCTCTTCAGCCAAATGCTGTGGGTGTCCGGCGTCGGCAATCACATCGCCTTGTCAAACTTGCGCATTTGGCTCGAAACTCTTCGTGTCGCCACCCCCGGCATTGCACGCAGCTCAATCTGCTCCCGCAGTGTCTTTAGAACATTTTCTTCTGGCTTTCGTACCCCAAATCCGAGAACCAAGGTCATCAGCAGCCGTGTCTTGTCTCTCGTTGATTGTCACCCTAAAAGTATGGGAAAACAAAACGACATAGTCCTGAAGCTTTTTTTTTGTTAAAAATTACCAGCCTTTCCCGGCAGGTAGCTAGTCTTTGCAACAATTTTTATCGGGGAATGTTCTGAACAAGAAGGTGGTGATAAAGTTATAATTTGAGGATAATTCGGTGATTCTTTAGTGAAAAACATCTCGCTAGGTTAGAAAGTCGAATGTAATATATTGATGAAAAATTCTTTTTTTACTCAAGCACCAGTTTTTTTAAATTGACCTATTCTTTCAAAAGGCCGTCCCCTTTGCAAGAATCTGTTTAAAGTCTTTTTTCTGTTCAACTCCTTTCTTGTTTCAATACTTCTTGATTTTTTTAAATGGTTTTTTTCTTTTGCCTTACCACTCTCTATATCCTCATGAAAAATCGTTGAGATATTGAGTTTTTTAAGCAGTTTATATTAAAATAAAGTTAGGCGCATACGTTCCACGCCAAAAATTGTAAAAAATGAGTTCGAAAATTAAACCAAAAAAAAAATTTTACTCCTGAATTTGTTTGAAAGCGCTGAAGTCCAATAGTTGAAATAATAATTGAGAACAGCGCAACGTTACAGAATAATTTCAAAGCTACTTTAAAATAATGAAAAGACTTGTACATCGCACTATTGTTCCTGCAAAAAAAAAGCAAAGCTTCAAATAGTTCTTCGACATTTTGACCAATCTCTATCAGCCTCCACACTAGCAAAAATGAACTTTTCGTAGGGTCTCCGTGGGTCGTCGGAAAATGGCGAAAAGCTCGATAGAGCTTTGAAGCGGATCGTTTCTCTCCAGTCACAGCTCAAGCACATCAGACCAACTTCTTCGGTCGTTACGGAAAAGGTTGGATTTTGTTTGAATGCAACTGTTTTTTTGTTGACGTTCGACAACAGGAAACAAGCCATTTGAGCTTGTATTGAGAATAACCTAATTAGCCGAACAAATAGGCCGATGACGCCCACTAGACGCTGTCAAGCTTTGAGAAGCTTCTAAAATTTCTTTTCGATAATGTGATCTTTTTCGGAGCACGCATTTTTTTAGCTTAACTTTTTCTTGGTTTTTTGAACCTTTTCAGCGTTTTCAGATCCCTATGGACATCGACACAGATGAAGAAGAAAACGAAATGTATTTGGTGGGTGGAAAAGGAGAGTTTAAAAAAAAAGAATAATTTTAGCCTGGATCACAAGGCCCTTTCTCAAATTTGGCCGAGCTCAAAACTCATCCAGCTCATCTTGCTGTTTTCATCAACTATCTCCTGACTAGCGCCAATCCAAGTAGCCTTGTAGGTTTTATTTCATTTTCCCTGTTGTGTTTTGAACTTTCCAATGTTTTTGCAATCTTCTTACTAACATAAAAATTTTTTTCCGTTTTTTTCGTTTTTTTCTATAAAAAAATCAAAGCGATTCAAAATAAGATATTTTAAACGTAAAAAAAATCTTTGATGTACAATATTAATCACATCGCAGTTTCAAAATTTGAAAAAAAGGATTACAATCTTTCTTTTTTTCTAATAAAGATCATTTAATTTTCAGTTTTTTTCTACTTGATAACTGATGCTTATCAAACCGCCTATGGGTCAGCCAAGGAGTTTCGAAGATGGGCCTTCGAAATTTTTTCAACATTCATCATTCCGAATTCTCCCATGTCGATACCGAACTCTGATCAATCAATAATTCAACCTATTGATAAGGTAGAATTAAAAAAAATGAGAAAATAGTATCGAAAAGTTAAGATTATTTGCATGACGGCCGAGCACATTGCGGAGAGCGATGCGGACACTTTGAAAAGAGTTTTCGTGCCAGGAAGGCAAAGGGCGGTCACCGACATCAATGTACACCTGAACGAGTTCAGGCAAAAACGTCCCATTCGTGAGTTTTTCATCAAATTTTTGAAAATCCCCTTATAACTTTTAGAAACTGGACAAATGTTTGACGAGGCAAACCAGCTTTCTCATTTAGTTCGAGGCGATGTTGCGATGGAGCAGAGAGTAAATCAAACAATTTTATAAAGGAGTGTACGTTGTGCTTTTCAGGTCGGAGAAAGGATGTTTTTTCGTACTTTAGAGTCCTACAGTGGATCAGTTGACTTTGACACAGCTGATATCAAAACACAGTCAACCATCTCCAGTTTGGCAACTGTGATTAAAGTATAAAATTCAAAAAAAAAACTACAAGAAACTCAAAACTTTCGAGTATTCAGATAACCCTGGGAAAGGCTTCAACTATTTCAAACGAAAAACTCATGGAGAAGTTTCCGCAATTTATCGCACGTGATAAACCTGGGAAACTGAAAAAACCACCAAGTGGCATTAAAGCGAAGATTCAAGTAACTGTTTCAAACAAAAGTGTTTATGGAAAATGAGTTTTCAAGGTGAAAGGCCACACTTTTGCGATAAATTCCGTGAACACCGTACACTACTGCTATCAATGCCGCGATGCCATTTGGGGCATGCAGCCTTGGATTTACTTTTGCAACAGTGAATCGGCTCGAAAAAAAACGAAAAAAAAAAATTTATTTCAAGATTGTGACGTAAAAGTCCATCCTCAATGTACTTCTTCTCTAACCGACGCATGCTATCCAGTCACGCAGTCGAAACAAAAAAATTCGAAGGTGAAGTTTTTCGATGATTTTTGAAATCATGAATCGGAAATTTCAAAGGTTAACCTCCTTGCCAACGTCTCATTATTCTGAAAACGCCGAAATAGGCAGCAATTTTGTTTTCAGTTTTTACTATATTATTTTTCAGTCACGTCTATCGGGTTTGATTGGTCGATCAGATGCGGAAGAAGATGAGGCGACGTCTACAAGAGCTCCAGGCGAGCCGAACGTCAAGTCGACGAGTTCCGATAGTGGAATCGGCCAGGAAATTCACGATCGGAGTGTGAACCGCTCCCACAGCATGAGAAATAGAGTGGTCCGTTTGAACCCAGTTATTGCAAGTTCATTCATATACTTCCAAATAATCAAATTTGAGACTCCTCTAATAAGAGAGTTGAGTCTATTTTTTAAACATTTTATGAATAGCTGTTTTCCATTCATTTGAAAACTACAGCCTTTTCTGCGTCTGCATATGATGAAATAAAACTGTGAGAATGCACGTGTTATCGTTAAGTTGATCTGATGGATTGTTTGTGCAAAAGAAATGCCACTTTTCACAAATTTTTCCGAGCGCAGATTTTCTGGAACATTTGAATGAATGATCATTCCTGGGACAGTTTTTCTCGGCTCTCATTCTTTTTCTTGTTTTGCAATGGGTGGCGTTTTTTCTAGGCCTGTAAGTTTTTCTTTTTTTTTTTAACTTTGTGCGAATCTACCTTTGTTTGAAGCTAAATTGAATCACTTTAGGTGAAATTGGTTAACCTATAATTTTTTTCAATTGAAAATAAAATCAAAAAAAAAAGTTTTTTTGGAAGTATACTCCTTTTTTTATAGTTGCACTAGTTTCAGTTTTTTTTTTTCAACTTCTTGCAAAATTATTGCTATGTGAAGCTATATTGAGTAATTTCTAGGAAAAAAATTGGTTAATCCTTAATATTTTTAACTGAGAACTGAACTAAAAATAAAGTTTTTGGAAGCATGCTCATTTTTTTGAATAATTTCATTAGTTTCAGTCAACGATTCCTCAATCGGCGTCCGATGATAGAGTCGCTGTGAATCATCGGCGCGACCGTTCTTCAACTCCTTCATGGCAAAGCGGAGCGACAACTCGCGGCCTCAACGATCTCACGCCTGCTGATGAAGCCGACGAGTGCGACCGCCGCTTTCGTGGAATTGATTCTAGGTGATTGCGATGAATTTGACACGAAGTTTCTGGGAAAAAAATTCTTAAGAAAAAATGGGTCACCGCTTGAATATCGATCACAGCTGCACTCAAATCAATTAGATACATTTTGAGATCGAAAGAAGGCAGCAGTCGTTTGGCTATTGACTTGCAAAGCGTTAGTGCGAGCTCCAGCTGCTCTCATACTAGTATTCCTATTGATGAAGAGGTTATCAGTGAATGAAAATTAGTTCATTCAGTTCAATGTATTTAAGTTACAAATGAAGCGGCCAATCCAGTTCGTAGCTCTCGTTGATAACGACGACAGCGACCTGGAAATTGAAACTGAAGCACCGCCGCTCGAGCAGCTCGTCGGATGGGAAGTGATCCGACACCTCAAACCAAAAGAGAAAAAACGACAAGAAGTGATAAACGGTGAGATAGTTCTCCTATTGTTCCTTTCATCTCATTTTCAGAATTGTTCCATACTGAGCGAACGCATGTCAGGAACCTGAAAATTTTGTTCTATGTGTTTTGCAAGCCAATGTTGATGAATAACATCGTGCAGTTAGATGTCGTTCGGCTCCTTTTTGCCAACTTGGAAGAGTTGCTGGCGATTCACCAGAAAATGTGCAATACGATGCGGGAAGCCGTTGAAAAGGTTTGCGAGATTTAAAGAAAAAGAATAATTAATCAAGTCTAGTGGCGGTTGGATTCCAATCAAAACGGGTTATATGGCGATATCGGAGGACTCATGGAGGGTATGTTCCAAGGAGAGGCAGGAGAGCATCTCAAAAATGTCACTTCAATTTTTTGCCAGCATCAACAGCATGCCTTGGAAACTCTTCGCGCCAGGTGAGATAAACTAATTTGAGAACAAAAAAGTTTCAAAAACCATTTTCAGGTGCAAACGGGACAAAGAAGATTCTCTGGTACGATTTCTGGCTGAAGCCGAAGCGAATCCACTCTGTCGAAAGCTTCAAATGAAGGACATGATTCCTGTGGAGATGCAGCGTTTGGTCAAATATCCACTGCTTCTCGAAACTATCGCTAAATATACCAGCGAGCCAAGTGAAGTGAGGATAGATTTTGTCAGAAAAAAAAGTTTCAAATTAAATTTTCAGGAGCAGGAAAAGCTGCTTCAAACGGTTCATTCGGCAAAGAAGATCTTGAGCGCCGTCAACACAGCCAAACGGAACGCCGAGAACTTCCGACGTTTGGAAGATCTACAGAAAAGAATCGACACGACGCCGTACGACAAGGAATTCAGCGGTCATGACTATGCCGCTTTGAACTTGACAAAGTGAGAGATCTAAGCGCAAAACGATATCAAAATGACAAGATGAAAAATTATAAAAAATTAAAAAAAATCTTTCAGATACCGTCTCGTGCATGACGGACCGTTGACATGTCGTTTCCATCGTGGAAAAATGGTCGAACTTTATGCCGTTTTGTTAGAAAAAATGCTCGTGTTGCTCACCAAGCACAGCGATGGGAACAAGCTTCAGCTGAAGGTTATTTAATCTTTTTTTTGAAAAATTAAAAACTACGATTTTACAGTCCCTGGAACCGTCCAAAGAAGCCAAATGGACTCCTATCTTGCAATTGAGCACTTTGATTGCGAAAGAGAAAGCTAATGATAAAAGGGCTTTTTTCTTGGTGTTGAACAATCAGAATGGAGCCCAGATCTACGAGCTGTGGGCAGGAACAGCGACAGAGCGAAAAACGTACATTTTTCAAAGATTTCAATTAACAAATCATGTTTTTTTTTCGCAAAACTCCAACAGCCTAGTAACTGTTTTCAAATAAATCTGATATTTTTTTCAGGTGGCTGAAACTGATGAGCGATCAGATTGAGAATGAGAAGAAGCAGCAGACAATAAACATTGAGCCAAGCTTCGAAGTTGGAGCTCAGACTTCTTCCGATTCGGACGGCATGGCAAAGGTAAGAGGGTTTCCAAATGAGCTTTTATTGTAAAATTTTTCTTCAAGGTCTTTGTCATACAATGAACTTTATTTCGTTGTCCAATTCAATTCAAGATTTTTCGTTCTCAGGTACAAGTCGTTACGCATCCAAGGCTGGTGAACGCAAACGAGATCACAGTTCAACAACCGACTATTTTGGAGCATGCTCAGCCAGTTCTGACCCCTTCCGAAACGCTGAAAAGAAGTGACGACATCATTTTCCAGGTTTTTCAACCCATTCCCAATTTATTTTCACACTCAAATTTTAGGCGTTGTTGACAAAGCAAAAGATTCTTGCTCAGCACCTTCCCGGTTCTGACAAGGTAATAAAACTTTCTGTAAATCTAAAATAATATCTGAATTCAGAAAGCCAAAGCTGAAGAGCTGGAGAAGCTAACAGAGCTACTCGGAGGCCTGGCTGTCTCTGATTTAAAGCAGAGAGACGGTAAAGAACTTGCCATGTCGGCCATTGTACATGGAAACCGTCTTCTGGACAGTATCAATCAAAGTAAGATTACAAATTGAAATTACAAAAAAATGATTCAACTTTGAAGGTCTCTATGCTCGCAAGGAGTACGATGAAGAAGCTCCTGGAGGCGATGTGCTCGTTTTGGAGAATCAAGAGCCCAACGTTCCATCAGTCCCATGCTACAAGGTCAATAAATTGCTCGAAAAAACTTGGAAATCTAGGGGATGAGCTTTTTTCTTTTCTAAAATACTTCGCACACCTAAAATAAAACTTTTCCAGCTGACCGCAATTGCTGCCCCTCTGATGAATCACCTCAAAGCAGTCATGCAAGTGATACAAGATCAACAGAATGAGCTCAACGTTGTGAGACAGCAGCTTTATCATTACAAAGTGAGTTCAAATCTCATCTTCCATCATTTTTTGCGATTCTTTTAAGAAATTGGCATCTGACGTTGAGACGCACGACAGATCCGTAAGCGAGGAAACGTTGACAGATATGGGAGAGCAGGGAGAGCGGAAAATTGTTACGAAGAGACAGCGAGCTCCTTCCATACAGCCAATGACCTGACAACTCTCTTCTAAAAATATCAATAATTCTATTTTGTATTTCCCGTAAATCCCTTAACTGTTGATAAAAGCCCCTTCTCAATATCCGCAATAAAAACCAAAGGTGTGATTACTCACCGCTTGAACCCGTGTCATTTCTCTTTTTCTTCCCCGCTTTTTGTCCTTTTTGTCTTTGCTGTTTATTATATATTTGGAATTTACAAAAGGAACCTGACGTGTGCGGAAACTTTCGCTTTTAACAGTATTTCGAGTGAATAATTAAGATCTTTATGGAATTTATAGCTCTTTCATTTTTTCCCCTTCCAATGTAACCAAGTTTTTCCAACGATGGTTTTTTTGTGAACTGTAAATTGAAACTTTTTTTGTTGATTTTCATTTTGCTCCAAACTTTGCTCTCATTTTTTTAAATTTTTTTAACCATAAAAAAATTATTGAATAAAAATTGCATCTAGAAAAATCTAACACAGACGAACGCATCTTGGATATATTATATGTCAGTGATACTTAAGGTCCCGGGAAAAATGGAATTGTGAAGAAAACAAAATACAGGCAGTGAACGACTGGTTTAGTCGAGTTTGATGGAGTCGTCAGGCACGATGTCTCTCGGGGCGTAGATTTCAGAAGTTGAGCGCCAGGAAGTGAAAAAGACCGGGATCACGCAGCAGGCAGCCAAAATAATTCCCCCTTAAAAATCTTTTTAGTTAATTTTTTTAACAGCAGAGTTTAAAAAAATCTTTTTCCCCCACAAAAAAAGATTTGGGCTCATCCTTCGGCTCTTCAAAAATTGATCGGACCGAACTCAACAAAAGTTCGAAAAATGAAAAAAAGAATCAAAAAAATTTTTATTTCAATTTTTTTCCTTTTTTTCCAATTTTATCCGACTGGGGTTTTTAATATTTTTTTGTCATGTGCTAATCAAAAAGCACAAAGAGTCGGTGGTATTTCAAACTTTTAAAAGACGACTAACCCAAAACGTCTGTCGGGAAATGCCAAAAATCGGTGACACGTGTAATCGCAGTAAAAAGTGTCCAAACAGTGTAGGTGGGAAGAACTAGCCAACGGAAAAACGAAATTTCAGCAACACGAGTGTGAGAACTCATTCTGAAGTTAAAAATTGAAGATACACATATTTTTGTTTAATAGGTATGTATTACCTGTTGAGATAAATAAAAAGGAAAATGAGAAGATGGAAAGCAGCAGCAGTGTGTCCTGAAGGGAAAGATGTGCGTGCAGTACGAATGCGATGTTTGTCGGGATTGGTGCAAATCATGTCTTCCGCTGTAAAATGTATCTTTAATAGGAAGATTTCCTAATTAGAATAATAATTAAAATAATAATTCCTTGAAAAAAACGCTTTTCTGGCAAGCTTAAGAAATTTTCTTCCCGCTTTTTTCAGGATTAATTGATCGAACTATCCATTCAAAAAACTTAGGTAAAAAACCAACGCTGGATGATTTTATCCAAAGAGTCGCATTTGATGTTTTTCCAATCAGGATTGCAAACTTCCACGAAATGAGGACGCATGCGGCCAACACTGCAAAAAATTTTTCAGTTAAATTATAGAAACTACACGCACCTGCACTTAAGGTATTCCATGATAAAAGTACACAGGGCATACGTCAGCAGGTACTTCATATAAACCAAAGTCGTCGTTGCGAAAAACTTGGAGAGCCGATTGATGCCCTGGAATCAAATGATATACCTGCACTATTTAGGTACAACTTACAAGTGATTTATAGAACAATATCCCTTCCACGATCACAATGACAAAAAATGGTGAGCCAAGCGAAATGGCCAACAAATGCTGAACTCCCAGTTTACTTGAAGTAATGTGATTATAGCTTAAACCTTTAGTCCGACAGTATTTGGCTTGAATGGTCTTTTCAATGAGTCGTCACCACATGGAAATGGACGTTGGTAAGGGGCAACAGCTTTTCTAGAAAAATTGAAAATAAATTGAATCAATTCAGAGACACTCACCCGGCAAACCAATAAAAAAGCATAATAGACACAGCAAGCACAATAGAAATGTCAAGAACCATGTAAATCAACGCCTGATGGTATTATATTGAAAACTAGCACAAAAAATATAAAAACAAACTTTTATTATGTTGTCACGCCAATTCTGCTGCAAGGCATCTTTTTTGGGCATCACAAGCCGTCCACTGAACGTAACGTGGCGCAAAACCTCGGGCATCGCCTGTAAATTATTGTTTTATAAAAGGATTCCAAGTATTTTACGCATGTTACAATAAACGGCTTGAAAAGAATGTTGAAGAATAGTCTAATGCCTATACAAAAAAGGGACAACGTAAAGAGGTAAATATGCCCTAGTGAGAAAGCTAAAATTAGAATGAAAAACGGACAAAATTTAGAAATTCCTCTCAATTCTGCAGAAACTTCAAAACAATGAAATTAGAATGATGACAAATAAAATTGCAAAAGTTTCCACAGAACATTAATTAAATTGCGAGTAAAGTAAAATTTGAAACGCGGAGGGAGAAAACGAACGTGCACGCACAAGAAACACAGGAGCTCACGAGCAGTTGCGACTTTTGCGCGTAACAAAGCTGTGTCTCTTAATTTCCCTTTTCCCTTATCTCTCCGCATATTGTTTGTTCGCAAATTCTCGTCAAAGTTTTTAACACCTCAAGGCACGCCATATGTACACGTGTCCAGCAAATAGTCGCCTGAAGATTCACGAGTGCTTGGGCAGTCAGCTTCGAAAAATCGATAGCTGTTTGAAATTTCTAATTTTACGAAAGTTGGCACAAAGGTTTGGAATCTCGGAAGGCTCCCCTGAGAGTTCAATCAAGCTTTTTAGAATTCCCTCCGCAAATGTATGAATTTTTCGATCGCTTTCTCGAAACTTTGAGGATATGAAATCACAGAAAAGTTAAAACGCTGTCTCTGTAATTTTCAAAATTTTTCAAAAACAGTGGGTATAATATACAAAATTAATTACTGATTTTTATGAAATTTCACTCACTTCGATAGTCTGTCATTAAAAAAATGCCGACCCAAGTTTTTCAGACCGATTCCCCCTATCGTAGCTAGGTTATGGTAGACAGGGGAATCCTTGCGTATCTAAGAAACTATGCGTTTTTTTTATTCATACTGCATATCAATCGATGGGAAATGCAATTTAAAAACTTTTTCAGCTCATATCATCATAGGGTTACTGCAGAAATTTTTTGAGTTATGATTTTTGGGTCGCGATTTTGGTTATTCCGTCCCTCTGTTTGTCAGGGGGAAGACCACGGATGGTACCTTTCTTAGAACATTGTTCTCAGCAATACCTACGAATAGATAAAACTTTAAAAAAGATCTGTCATTTCGAAAAATCGCTTCAAAGAGGCGCAACTTGGTATCGGACGGGGAGAATCGCCTGCGGTTAGAGATTTTTTACCTCTTTTTTTTTTCGTCAGAGCCAGAATTAGAGTTTTTTTTTATCTGATAGTGCGCGTTCGTGTCTCAAAGTTGATAATGCTTCCTCCAACATTATTCAGCCTACGTGTCTAGCTAAAAATTCAGTTTGAAGCTATTTTTCGCCTAAAAAGAGAGATTCTAAGATTTCAAAATTAATTTTTTTCTGAGCTCAGTTCTACTGAGGCTGGGGTCTAAAATGTCTTTCATTTTTTTAAATATTTTGCATGAATTTTTTGATCAAGAAAAAACCGAAATACAGAGACAGCATGTTAAACGCGTAGCGATTATGCAAACTTGATTATTGAAAACTTCTTTCAAGAAAAATTAATAGAAATATGCAAAAAAAGATAACTTAGAAGACTTCTAATGTCAAAAAGAGGTTTAATCACCATTTCTTTTCCAAAATTTTTCCATTTGAATTGTATCAACTCGGTTTCGAAGTGCTTTATTCGGCAAAGTATAAGAGCATTAACATTTTGAATCAATTCAATAAAAAATTGCATGAGGAATAAGGTCAAATGACAAGAAATTTTTAAAAGGAGTTCATTCTTTGGGTTAATTATGACAGAATGTGGAAAACTCGGAATAAGACTCTATCAGCATCTGGGGCACTATTTGTTTAAGATGAAAAATTTTCGCCGTTTCACGGCCAACTAACATTATTTATGGGGAAATCTGTGCTTCAGATCAAGAACTAGATTTGTCATTATGACTATTTTAAAATTCTAAGGAAAATCTTCACTATTTGTCAAAAAAACAGTCCTTATTTGAAGTTCAATAGAATTTTTAAGAAAATTATCGAGAAAATCAAAAATAGCTTTTTTGGAATTGAATTCAGAACTGGAAGCATCATTTTTTTTTTTCAATATAGTCAATCCCTCCCGATTTGAAAAGCGAAGAGGCGAAGAAGTGGGCGAGACGCGTATCGTGTGCGTGCGCGAATCTTGCCACGAGTTCAATTCAAGCTCTACAGAATATTTAAAAAGCTCGGTCACCGCTTTTGTGTATCTATTCCACTATTTTTCAATGCCCAAGAGAAAATAATCAAGAAAGAATTTAAAAATTAAATGAGCGATAAACGAGCTCTCCAAATAGCCGCTGGCGGTTGAACTGAACTTGTGAAGAACCGCGAACGCACGCGCTACGCGTCCCGCCGCCTTGCCCACATCCCTCGTCATTCATACTGGGAAAGATCGACTATAGATACACGAAGATATACATATGTAGGTGACCTTGAAAATCATAATGTTACAGCAGATTTCCCGTTCAATGGGTCCTGTGAAACAGGATATTTGTGTACAAACATGAAGTTGTTTATTGATTTAGAATTCAGTGATAACGACCAACGCTGGTCTCGCCGCGATTTTCGCCACTGATCTGCAGGTACTGATCGAATTCTCGAGGATTAATGTCCTGTAAAGAGCAAGTTTCCGTAATTTGAGGATCTCGTTTTCGTACATCGATTCCATATGATGTCCGCAGATGTCCTGGCCCGTAGTCGACTTCCATGGCGGAGTCTGCTTGCCTCTGCAGCAGCAAAAATTATTTTAAGAGTCTTTTATAAGAAAATTTTGTTTCCTAAATTAATTAACATTTTTGATTGTGTGTGAAGTGAGGCTGTGGGAGAGGGGGTTGCCCCATTTGCTGATGTTGGTAACCGTAGCCTTGGTCATGATGATGCTAAAATTTTGCAGATTTTTCAAAAATTTCTTTCAAATTCACCATCATTTGAGGCGCCATTTGAGGAGACACCGCTTGATATTGTTGCGGGCTGTCCAAAAGTCCCTGAAGCTTCGAGTTGAAGGCTTTTTAGATTTTTGTTTTCCGTACCGACTGCATCAACTGCATTTGTTTTTCTTGCATACTCATCCTTTCGTTTTCCAGCTGCTGTACACGATCGTGCGTAGTGTTGTAATCCGCCTGGATTTTTTAAGGATCAAAATTCAAAAAATTTTGCTTTGAATAATTCACAGGCATGTAATGATGCTGCGTTGGATGCTGAGGCATGTGATGTCCCTGAGGAGGCATGGGGGGGAGCGACCTAGCCTGACTGTGGTCGTAGTAGTGGTTTTGAATAGGCTGAGGTGGGTACTGCTGTCTGGGCATCTGGTCAGGCTGCAAATGCAGTCCGACACCTGAAAGTGCGTCGTCTTATTATTATTTATTCTGAAGCTTGCCATTACCCAGCCGAGGATCTTGCCACTGCGTCGTTTTGGTGTTGTGATTTGCAAAGTATCGGTTACCACCTTCGTCATAGCGCATTTCCCAGCCGTGAGGAAGCGGTGGATCCATTTCCTGTAAGGTTAATTGCTTGTTTTTAATAATATTTATCAAAAAGTATTCGAAAACACGTTGTTTTATCAACAAAAAGAGTCAAAAGGATCAAACCGGCTGCTGCATGAAGGTACTGCGCATGGGATCCAGCGACTGACTTTTCTCTCGCGCCTGGGAAAACATAGGCTGCTGCTGCTCCATTTGGCTGAAAAAGAAAAAAAATGCATATCGTGTGAAGAAAATCTTGCAAGTGGTTTAATATGTCTTGTTTTGAAGAACGAAAAAGATAGCGGCTAGACGGTTGGATGAATTTTTTTTTGTTCCGAGAATGTAGTCGACTGGAGATGAAATGCAAAGTTAGGAAAACCAATTTTTTCGAAGATTTTGGAGAGGACCTTCGAGCTCACACGACCGTTTTTATGGTTGCTTTAATATGAGAGCTTGGAGCTGTGTGGGCAGGTTGCTGCGCAACAGTGATCTGACGTAAACGGAATTTTGTAGTCGGTTTCATTGGAAAATAGTTTTATAATCTACATTCTCCGGTGTATTTGAGTACGAATTTGGTGAAATTGTCGTGACTTTTCGGAAAACTTGTTGTAGATGACGATTTCAGGTCGGAGGTACTTATTTTTAGGAGGATTACAAAAACGTCAAATGAAATCACCATGGCAGAGTCGTACTTTGTTTTTTTCGGAAAGAGTTCTATTTTCTACTTTCTCAGCTGCACTGCAAAAAAAAAGTGAAAAAAAGTGCTTATCCCAGCTTCCACCGATTAAGAGAAGTTGTATAGTTTCTGAGAAAGAAAACATGATGGAACTTCAACTTTTGATGTTTTGAAATGAGGGGGTTTATTCGAAATCTAGAGCCGCTGATTTTTAGATTTTCAAGCTCAAGTTTGAGCCTGAATGAGAAATATGATCAGTTAGGTAAATTTACTTTGCACATATATTTTTTGAGGCGCGAATACCTTGGAAGTGTCAACCTACTGACTTTCCTTTTTTTTATTCCTTTCTTCAAAAATTTCTGAAAAGTTCCATGATTTCATATTTTCAGAAAAAGTTCTCGACCTGTTCTCAGAAAGTTCCACAGTACCAGATAATAGTAACATTTTGTCAAGGAATGATTAATATTAATGAATCAAATTGATTTTTCCCAATTAACTTCTGATAATTTCGAGTCGTGGATTACTTCCAACAGAAAACGCCTATTATGATATTCTCAATGCAGATATGAGACGGACTCCTGATATCCGTATTGACTGTAGTGTGCCTCGTGAGACATGGATTTGGCGTGATGCGTCGGCGGTGTGTAGTCGTTTTGCATTGGTGGTAGGGCCGATACACTCTGAAAACCACTTTGGATTTTTTCTGTGAAATATGGATCAAAAGTTCATCCACGCAACGCTCTATGATCCTCAAGTTGTGCCTGTCTTTTTTTGTGCTCTCAAGGAAATGCTTCTTATCTTTGCTTGGAAATTGGTAGATTTGTGTTCGTTGAGTCCCTCTTTTTTTATTCCCGATGTCATAAAAAAGGTTAATTTTTGTTTCTGACTTAGGTGAAAAGTTGAATCAAAAGTTGAATCAGCGCTTAAAAAAATACAGAAATTTTTTGAAACCTATCTTTTCTCCCTGCAAAAAGCAGACTAAGCTTTTTAAATGGATAGTGGATTGAACCAATAAAAAGTTTAGCTCAAAAAATCGTTTTCAGAAGATATTGAGCATTCCAAACGTCTTACTTCTCCTTGTTTCAATATATTTGTTTGAAACCCAGTGATCGGAAGTTAACAAAACAAAGCGGAACTGATCTTACTTTGGAATGTTGGTGCACAATTATTGGAGCGCTCTGCGGAGGAGCCACGGGACTGAAATACAATTTCATTTTGTAGCCTCATTCTTTTTCCGAGCCCAACGTGACTTACCGAAAGCTGTAGTCCGGGTGCAGCTCTGGCGCACTTATTTGCCTTTTGTGGAAATGTTGAGAAGGTACGATTCCAGTGACGGGACTCAGAGTTGGGCGGCTGGTAGATGTGCAGTCATCTGATGACCCCTGAAACTGGTCCTATCTAGAAATAAGGAATTATTCAGGTTTTGTTGTGTTTTCAACTTGCAAGCTCATTTCTACAGGCAGTTGGAACTGATTTGGGTCATTGAAAGCTATACAATTTTTAGACTGGTGGCAAATTAACTATTCTGCAAAGAAATTCAAAAAAAACACGCGATTGGAGCTTGCTAGGAATCTGATAAATTTGAAGTACTCTATCTCTAACCTAAAAATTTTCAAGTTTCGCACATCTATTTTTAAACCATTTTCTTCAACAATGAAATTTGGACTGAAAAAACCTGGGGAGAGTGTCCTGCGCTGCTGCCGCGCGGCCTGCGTGGGTTGTAGAACGAAGGCGGCAACGATTTTTGGAAATCACCCTTCTGAAGAAAACACGCTTATCATTAGTTAAACTGGCTCCTTTCAAAGTACCTTGGGATTTGGTCGTCTTTCATATATCGAAAACAGCTCATCGATGCTTTTTTTAGGGTCTTGATAAGTATTTATCAAGATTTTCTGCTTTGTTTTCTTTGACGCCATCCTGCAAAAACTTATATAGTGGGATGAAAAGACCTTTGAAACAACGGTAACAATTTAGAAAAACAGAGATGCAAAAAAAAAAGATGAAGCGGTAAAGGGAGCCGAATGGACGTTTTGCAGACGTTCTAAGAAAAGAAGTCAAGTTGATACTTTGAAAGTTAAGTGTCCTAGGTTCAAAACAAAACTTGTAAAAAAAGTGTTTTTATTAGTAATTTTGGCAAAGAAACCATCCAAATTACACGGAAAATGAAACGAAATCAGGTACTGCTTCTTGTCCGTTTATTTTTACTTTTTTTATTTCGATCATGCCGGAAGGAAAAGTTTTTTTAAATGAAGAACCAGGTAAAAAACAGTTTTACTTGATATATTTGCTTTTTGCGCAGTATGGCTTCTTTTTTGATACCACACATAATCTTCTCAATAACTTTTACCGATGCCAAGAATGCAAAAAAAAAATTCTTTCTCTCTGTCATTGTGACTTTGCGTGAACAGTGTAAAAAAAATTAATAAATTGGAGAGAAACTCTTTCTCCCACCTTACTTCTAATTTTGACAAAAAAAAGAACGATTAAACAGAGAATGAAGAAAAACGGGCCTTGAAGGTTTCAACGAATTGCGAAAGTTGTCCACGCGTCTCATAAGACGAAATGAAGTTTACACAACTTCACAAAACAATAAAAAAGTGAGACGCTGATAATAGCTGATAACGTCTTATGATAATCCTCTATTTTCTTTTCTTATGAAGCTGCACATAACGTTTAAAAAATGCGTTGAAGTAAAAAGAGCTAGAAACGTTGAAAGCAACTATAGAGGTATCGATGAAAACAAAATAGCTGATAACGTCTTATCATAATCCTCTATTTTTACCTTAGTTTCTGACACGACAATCTTCTTGCGTGTCGATTGGAGAACGTATTAGAAGTTTTCCGGGAAAAAGAAACGCGAATAAAAAGTTGAAAAAATGGTATTTATAACCGTCGTCTCAACGCCCACTTGGTCATGGGTGAACGTTAACGAAAAAGCTTCCGGTAAAACATTTTTCCGAGAAATTTCTAATACAGCCGATCTGAGGCGTGTTTTAGTATCACTGAGAATAACATCCTTTGCAGAATGATATTGGAAATTCTCGAGTAACTTAAGAAGTTGATGGATAATCTGTACAAAAGTAGTAAAGAAGCTTGTATGAATAAAAGTTTTAAACTCTTCACAGCAGTTATCGTCTCAAGCTGTCGGCCTTTGCAGTACAATACTCTCATCTAAAATTTTCTACGGATTTTAACAGAAAATTTTGAAAATTTCTTTTTGACGACGCTTGTTTACCACAGGTCACTGGTTGTTTAATAAAAATTTATGAAGATAGACGGCTAAATGTCAGCCACACTCAGCTTTGACATAGTTCTTCGAAGATGATTGATGAACAAAAATTGATTCTCTTGAAATGTAGAAAAAATGCCACGACAAAAATTAGTGGTGAATGGTTCTGATAAGCCGGAAGGGCAGAAAGGTGGATAAGTGGCAGCCGGCGAGTCTGAAGACGGTCTAACGGACAACGACGAGTGCGCGAGTAACGGAAAGCGGCCGCGCCAGGCGCAATCTGCAAGGTCGCCCGCGTACAGAAGGAGATGTGTTAGTCGATTGATTCGACAACTCGGCGGCCGTTCTCTTTTCTTCTCACCAATCAGCTCAGATCCGCCCTTCTACCTTCACTCCTTCCTACTAAACGACAACTTTTTTCTCGAGCTTCCGAGCTGCTGACAGCCGCTTGGTGGCGCAACTTTTTGAGACTGAAAAAAGTTGGTTGATTGATAGGAAATTCCGAAACTATAAAAAAAAATGAGCGAGTGCGTTCAAGCATCCGAAACAGTTGTGACTCGTTCAGACCAGCATCTTCTTTCGATAAATTCTAAAGCTCGGTCACCTCTAGCTCGATAAGTTATTCGAAGAGAGGTTTTTAGAAATTTTTAGAGGAATATGTCCTTCTAGATTTGTTCTACAAAGCTGGCGTTGAATGAAACGTATTGAAATTTCGAGCTTTCAAGCTCTAAAAACCCGTTTGTGAGCATAATTTTTGAAATCTTGAACAAGTAAAAATGGCGAAATTTCAATAAACTGGTCTCATAACCCCGGTGTTTTTTTAAGCAGTGAAATAACTTTTCCTTTATTTCTTAAGGCAGGTTTTATCCTGAAACATTCATGGTTAGGGGCCCGGACAAATATGCTGTACAACGGTTCATTAAAAAACATGGTCTCATCTTTTTGTCTCCCGAGTCTTTATTTTCAAGTTTTTTTTCCGTTTTTGCGAAAACATCACATGTTTTTTCTTACTTTCTGAGCGGTACGATGAATATATAAAACACTGAAAAATTTTTAGTTAAACTATGGGCTGATGCTAAACGCTGAATGTAGAACAAAATGTTTTTGAAGCAAGCGCAGCATGTATGAAAAGGTAAAAAAAAAATCAAAAAGCCAATGGGTGGAATCATATTTGACTCACCTGTCACGTTTGCGTTTGAAATTGAGTGGGTGTGAAATTTCTGTATTTCATGAGCCGGAAACGCGAAATAATTTTCAAATTTTTGCCGCTTTTGAGCAGAAAAGAAAGAAAATATCGATGGGCAGGCACCGACAAACGATTATCAACAATAATAATTGGCCAGAGAATACGGTTTCACGTGATGATTTTTCGCAAACCTTCCAATAAGATGTCACGGTACTCGCAAACAAAATCGATATTTAGTTTTGTTTTTTTCTTATCAAAAAATAGCTCCTATTACTGTCTGGGAAAATTTGACATTCTACGGAAATTTCGAAAAAAAAAACCTTTTTTTTTTTGGAGCAATTCAACTCCGAAGATAAAGCGGGAAAGGTCACCTTTTTCTCGAACTTTTCTCCTTAAGCGGATTCGTTTTCGAAAGTGAACATCTTCCTGAAGATTCCGTGTGCAAAAAAAACCCTATACAGCATCTTTTCTCAACCTAGGCGTCCATATGATTTGAGAAATTACTCAAGGATTTCCGAGCCGCAATTACCGAGCCTTTTTTCCCATTGATTTATATTTTATATGGTGTTCGGGCAAAATTCACAATCTTCAGATGAATTAATTAATACTGTGAGGAAAAAAACCAAATAAAAAAAGTTCACGTTAGTTTTTAAGCGTAACATCAAAACTATTATAAGTAGCTGATAACTCCCCCCGTGCGTAACTGAACGATTTCCTTGAAAAAAGGAATTTTTCTGTGAGAAAGATAGGTATGGCGTCAAACCTTCACTATAGTTTTCAAAAATTCATTTTCCTTCCACAAAAAGGAGGATTCATTTTGAGCTTGAAAAGTCTCAGAAAATCCTAAAAAGAATATTTGTGCGAAATTTTTGAAAAAAAACCGCTGCCGAATAGAGAAAAAACTCTTCTTGAAGTTTTGATTTGCAATTCTACCTATGATTGTATCATTGTAAGCGATGAAAATGGCAGTTTCCGAAATGAAACTGAAGAAGAGACTTTTGGATATAATGATAGCTTTGCCTGTTTTTCGGCTGATGTGTTGTATTCCAAGAATAAATAGAGTTAGAAAAATGCAAAAGGTGAGAGAAGTAGCATTTGTGTGGAAACGGCAAAGTCATTTTTTAGACAAAAAATAATGAAAGACGAGTGGAAGAGGAACAACGAAAAGAAATTGGACAGGGACGAGAGACGAGACTCATTCATCAAGACAAACGACCACAACGTAATAATGTCGAGAAATGATTCCAAACAGTGCCCACGCCATTTTAACGCAAACCCTCTCGTTCTTTTTTTGTTTTGAGCATGTATATGAATGATTCATTTTGAGGTATTCGAAAACGGTAGATTTTTGGTCTTGAAAGCCGTTCGATTAATTTTAACATGTTTAAGTTAGATTCCATTCAAATTTCATCGCTGGAGTTGTTTTCGAGGCTCATGAACAAGGTTCTGAGGCAAAGAGATCCAGAAAGGAATTTTCAAACAAACTTAGGGCTAGCTACTGTTATTTTATCAGAAGTCTTCGAACTAAATTAGTTTCTGAATAAAATTACAAGAGAAACTGTACACGGTCTTTTCGACGACCGTAAATGGGAAATCTAGTGCTGAAAAGTAAAATTTGAACAGAAAGTGATTTTTCTGAAGAGGAGGGCAAATTTCTTGGAAACTTTTTGAAAATGTTTCTGAGTTTTTATGTCAAATTTTGTTCAAAGTTATACCAATCTCCGAAAATCCTTGGTGCGGTTTTTTTCAACTTGAGACTTGGCCTCGTCTGATATTCAAAAATTTTTCTAGCTTCTTAAAGACAAAATTTTAATGAAAATAGGTACTTTTTGCTAATTAACTTCTCAGAGTTGCTCACTTATACTTCCTTTCGAAAATATCCTTTTCGTTCTAATTTTTTACCATGAAAATTTGAGTGATTTGAAAAAATAAGCGTCAAAATGATTGATGTTAAATTTTATCAAATCTCCGAGTTTCTGAAATTTTGTCTGATTTATTTGTACCAAACCGATCATTTCCGTATGAGGAAACTTCTGCTTCCCAAAATTACATAAAATCTATGATTATAATTATATCCTATTTGAGTTGGGATTTAATAAGAAAAAAAATATTTTTCTTCCTGGTACCTTTTTGCAAATTGCGCCTGCGCTCTATCGAAAGATTTCAGCAACTTCTATCGTTGAAAACTTGAAAGTAGACATAGAATGTATACAAATATCATATGTTGTTCCAATCGTGTTATTCTGAAAATGAACTGCATCGGAAGCACTGAATCAACTAGAATGCTCTTTTGGTCAGGATAATCCATCGCCAAGGTTTGAAGTTAAGCCAATCGAGCAATATTATTGGCGGAAAACGTCGGCAGCCGAGATGCCCGTGTTTACGAGTTCACGAGTGTGTGCGTACGGTGTTACACAGAGCGCAAACCGGCGGTCCGATGACTTTTGGGGTGGGGTCCGCCTACGCGGAGCTCTCAAACACTTTGTTCGACCATGTTGGTATTTTTTTTCTACATGACGCTTTTTTGTCTAGTCTTAAGAGGTACGGAAAAGTGAGAAATTTTTCTGTCGAATCGCAAAGCGAACAAAAATGAACTCTATGCCGATATAAACTACTCTGACGCAATTCTCCTATCATCTGGTATGATAGCTTAATAATTCAGGAAGTTTTTTTTCAAACTTCATTAGGTCTCAAAGAGTGAATTTTCGAGGAATCCTCAAAAGAAAAAAAATGAGAAATTTTCCAATAAGTCCGAACTTTTCCAAATGATAAACCCGCTCTTGACATCGGACAAAAAGAGGATATTTTTTTGTTTTTTTAAAATATATCAAACAAAAAAACCTCAATGTGCGGTAGCAAGAAAAAAAAAGATTATAGGTCGAGATATGTTAACTGCTCGTTCACGAAATTTTTAGTTCCAAGAAAGTAAGAGAAAAGTTTAGTTTAGATTTGAATTTGTTAATCGTGTCGGTGAAAAAGTACCGATGATGTTTCGAATCTTCGGTTAGTTGACAACAGCGTATTCAGATGTTAGAAACGAATCGAACCAAGTTTTTGTAGCTGGATCTAAAATGTAGCCGGATTATCAGTAACCCAGCCAAATCTCATTAGACGAATCGAACTCTGGAAAGAGAGATGATCCGAAAGAGCCTAATAATGATCGGGCGGGCTTCAAAAAGACAAAGATGGATAAGCCTCAAGGCTATATCCACCTGAAGGTGGGTGTTGGCATTAGCGGCCGCAGTCGTCTCGCCAATACTGATTGTTATCGATCGGGGAAGAGGGCCGCCTCTAGGTTCTCTTTGTGCGTAGTGTTTCCTCTCGGCGGTTTGGCGTCTCTCGCTTGCAGCAACAGAGGTCTTACCTTGATTATTCAGACAGTCGAGAACACCTTGAAGTTTCTCCCCCACTGCGACGAATCATTATCGACAGGCAACAGTTGAGAAAAGGCGTATTACCGGGAAAATTTTTAGTGGCTACGATAGAGGCTCGCCAAGGACTACTTGGAGATGACACTAAAGTTGCCACTAATCCCATCTCTGTAGTGGCCACCATTTTCCGTTTTTGTGGCCACTATTTTCCGTTTTTGTGGCCGCTAAATAGAGAACAGAGGTTCCCTATTTAGCGGCCACTTCAGTAGTTTTCATTCAGCATTACTTTCTGGGTTTACTCCGAGCATTATACTCCATTTAGATTCAGAATGACGAGCAGCCTACATCGCCTGACGTAAACAGCACCTTTTCGCGTTGATTTTTTATTGTGCGCCACGATGATCCTTTAATAGCGCTGCGTTTTTCGAATGATCAAGAAGATCGAAATGCAGCGCTATCGAAGGATTATCGTGGCGCACAATAAAAAATTAACGCAAAAAGATACTGATATTCGATGTCTGAACCAGGGACGCACGAGGAAACAAAAAAAAAGTTATCTCGAGACTAGCTGACACCGCCCGACGGAAACAGCACCTTTTGGAAGAAAATTTCGAGACGAGACCGAGACTGTCTCGAGACAAGTTCGAGACTTTTTTCATTCTTCTATAGTGGCGACTAAAATCTTTAGTTGTCTAGTAGTAGCACTTAGACCTCTATAGTGACCACTGATTTTCAACCCTAAAGTGGCCACTAATTTGACTACTATAGCGGCCACTAAAACGTCAAAACTCTATAGTGGCCACTAAAAATTTTCCCAGTAACTTCATTTCACTCTCATGAGAAACATCTGCAACTTCAAACAAAAACACTACATAAATTTTGAACTTGCTACTTTGGTACCTGTTTTACGGATCGTTTCATAATACTCGTAACGGCATGTCTCATGTTAACGCCGGATTAGCTATATCGGTATAATTATTTTTTTCAAATTAGGGAGCTATAAATTTCTTCCAAGTTGAAAAAAAGATAATTATGTTTTTTTCTTTGGGAAATTTCAAAACTCTGAAAGTTTTTCAATTTGCGAAATATCCTATTTCCGATCAAGAAATCCCTCTAACTAAAAAAATATTCAAAGACGGCTGTATAGGTTTCAAAATAATTTTGAAGTCTTATCTCTAAAAAACGGAAATTGTTCTCCAGATTGAATCTCGCATGATCTTTCTTCTGAAAAAAAAGTTGGTTAGCCGAACACAAAAGTGCACGACTAGAAAATGACTCACCTAGAGAGTGGAAAAAAATGATCACATTTCCGTGAAATTTAGTACACAAAAACAGAATCATTAAAAAGTTAGCTGAGTACTGTGCCAAAAAGCAGGGATTTTCACGCCTTAGTTGGGATTTTTTTTTCGAACAAGCGGTGGCGATGCGTTTTTTTCATGAAAAATACGTTAAGAACAGCAGCACATTGGTAATCCAATAATTTTCTCTTATGAAATGAAAGAAAATAGACAATAATTATAACGGAAAAAGTGGAAAGTAGGCATCAATCATATCTAGAAAACAGCAAAGGTTATAATAATCTCAATCTGCATAAATTTATAATTTTCCAGATGAAGGAGCTCAAAGTCCAAGGAAAACTTTGATAAATTTCTTCTTTTTGCAGTCTGAGTTTTGAATTACCAGTAAGTATTGAAGACTGACACTGTCCGGATTTTTTGCTAATACATCAAAGAAACTTGCTCTAGGAAGTTCTTGATCGCTGATTAAAATGACTTTCCTATGCAGCTGTTTAAAGTTTCAAGCAATGAAAACCACTATCGGTATAAAGAAAAGAAAAATTGGAAACAAAAAAAAATGGTTACATGCTAAAAGCCTGAGTACAGAGAAATATCTTTAAAAAATGCCCAAGTTGGAGCAGGAAAACCTGTGGCTACGATATATAGTGACAGCCGTTAGTCAAACATTGCCCCTACTTATTTGCAGGGAACCATGTAACTCGTATCTCCTTATTCTTTTCACGTTGATAATGACTAAGCAATCAAACTCAATTTACTTTAAAAACTGGTATAACAGTCGAAGATTCGTGAGCCACCCACGAGTTGAAGACTTTGCAAATTTGGGCAACCGATTGATCCGAAGAGCTTGTTGAGGATGAAATAAACCTGATTTCTTCGTAGCTTTGATCAGATCATTCTGATGTTAATAAAAATTTATAAGGACGAATTAAAATATACATCAAATAGAGATTCAATAAGGCTTTTGTTAATGGTTAATGGGACTCGAGAACCACGCGGAAAGGGCTTAGGCCGACGACAACGCCTAAAAACATTGCTTCGCGAGTTTTGCTGAATGGGAGAAAAAAAAAAGGTTTTTAGAAAGGGCGAGCTGTTTAAACATTCGAAATGTGCACGACCACACAAGTCTTGGTGCAAATATGTTCTCATTTCCGGTGCCAGATCACTCGGTCAAAGGTCACACTTACCCACTAGAGTTTTTTTTTTCTTAAATTTCAACGGAGTTTGAGCAAACCGCGAAAACTCTTAGATACTCTTTTCTATTGGAGTATGATTTTGAATGGAGGCCATTTTACTCGCACGCTTTGTGAAATTTTAAAAAATGGGAGTGTAGGACAAAAGCGCCGATTCCAAGAGCGCCGTTCAAATTGAGCGCCGGTCCGCACTGCGCCGTCGCGTGTAAGCGCCGTGTATGCAGACGCCGTTTCTTTTTGCGCCGATTCCGTTTGCGCCGAATCGTTTTGCGCCATTATTCTGAACTTTCATTTTTTTGCTTTTTTTCTATTATTTTTCCATTAATTGTGTAGTACAAATTCATATACGACTCGAATAATTTTTCGCGCCATCTGTCAATTTTTGAGTCTTCTGCCACTTTTTCGAAAAATACGCGGATTATTTTTTCAAGCAAATGAGTTAATCATGACTGAAAGCCGTTCTCTCACAGTTTCGCGACTGCTAGATTTCAAACTGCCGTATCTCGGCCAGAAAGTTTTAAACTTTACAAATAAATCAAGTTTTTTTTTTATTATGTCAATCTATACTTTTTTATTTATTCACTTTTTAATTCAGAGTTTTTTTTTCTCTGAAGTTCAGAGAACCATTGCTGCTTTTTTATTAATTATTTTTTGCGATCGGAGAAGTATTGAAAATATAATTGCAAAAAACTTTTTTTTACCTAGAATGGACGAAGATGAAGATGTTCAACAATGTCTGAACGAAGTAGTGGAAAAAAAGTTTGCCACGACGAGGTACTTGGTTTACCGGTATGTCTCAGACCAAATGGAAATTTTTCGTGTTATCAAAAAAACCTGATTCACGTTTTTTTATTCTGATATCAGTTCAGGACATGGAAGATGAAGACGATGAAGAGAATGGAGAAATTATAGCTTCCGGGTACATTGATTTGGGTGAATGGAGAAGGTTTTTTTCGAAAAAAACTCAGCTCAAAAATAAAAAAAATATTGTTTTTGTCACAGAGTTGTCGGTGAATACAACCTGAAAAAAATGGCTTATACATATGGAAGCGGGAACCATTGACCAACCTATCATCGACCAACGGGTATCATTCGAAAGGCAATTCCAGGAAACTTTTTAAATTCAGTTCTTACTCTAACAGTGGAAATGCCGTTTTTTTGAAATTGAAGATACTTTCTACAGTCCAAAAAAAGGGTCCGGAAAAACGGATAATGTTACTGTCTGCAGGTTTTTTTAAATTTCTGAGGCTCATTAAAAATCATATCTCAGATGCTCCGTGAAGAACTGTCGTTCCAAACTTTTTCATTCACGACCTGAGATACGAAGTAAAAAGGTCTCTGCAATCACGGGATCCTACCAGAATGGAAAAAGGGTATTTTTTTGTTATCTGCACAGTACGAATTCAGAAAAATTAATAATAATAATAATTTAAAAGTTTTAGATCCGTTCTTTCCTACGAAACGCAAAAAGTCCAAAGAGCTTCTGGCGTTCCCGTAGCCACTTGTGTGTCGAACGTTATCTTGAAATGCTCTGACGAAGAGCTTCAAATTGTACCGTCGAAAGCAGCAATGCGAAAGCAAGTTCAAAGACCAATGGAAACTAAATATTTTCGAGGATTACATGACAAAAATCGATTGGTCATCATTCCGTAAGAATTTCATTAGATTTTTCAATTTTTATTTTTGTTTCAGATTGCTGGTACTACGACTCAATAGATGATGAGGATTTCGAACAATCAAAGAGGCTACTGATTTTTCGAAACGATTCGGTTGAACCATTCCGTGATATGGTAAAACATGTTTACGCGGACGGAAAATTTCTTCTGAAGAGTGGATACTTTTCACAGTTGTACGTTATCGTGGCTGAAGTTTAGAAGTTATGAATTCCGCGTTTTCAATCGATTTTTCAGGTCTCACACATAAACATTCCTCTTTACAGTGCTTTGTTATCAGACAAAAGTCAACCTACTTACGAAAAATTGTTTGCAAAAATTAGAGAAGATGGCTTGAGCCCAGATTTGGTGTCTATGGGTAATTTTTTTTTCTTCCATAGGAAAAATAATGAGCTGTTCAGATTTCGAGTATGCAGCTAGAAACGCAGCGAAAATGTCCTTTGGTTCAAAAATCGCTTATTGTCGTTTTCACTGGGTGCAGCTGATTCGAAGAAAAGCCAAAAAACTAAGTAAAATTTTGCGATAAAACTTTCAATAAACTAAATATTGAACGATGAAACATCGAAATTTCAACATTTTGCAGAGGTTTGGAAGGCACTGAAGTCAAAGGCCGGTATCGTTTTATGGCGAAAAGTAATGGCTTTGGCATTCCTCAAGGAAGAAGACATTAAAAGTGCTGGAAACACTATTTGCGACGATATCCTCTCGTTCGGAGAAGGAAAAAGCGACAAATTCAAAGGTTTATTCTCTGAAAAAAAACAATATGTATTTTTCCATTCCAGAATTCACGCAGTATTTGAAAAGATACTTTATTGGTGACAACGGTTGGGACCCTGTTTTTCATATATCCGAATGGGAATGCCGGACAAAGGTTATTAACCATGAGAACACAACGAATAACCCCGCGGAAGTCAACTTTTTCAAGCTTCAGCGTAAGAAAATATAAAAAAAGGACATAATCATCAATTCAGTTGCGAATCACAAAAACCATGATGAGGTTCCCATCTATTATAATCCGAGATTGCTTAAAACGTCAAGAAGAGACTACGAAGAATTTCATTATGGAAACTTTCCAGAAGAGAGTTCGTAGTCCTTCACGCCCTTCATTATATAGAGATCGAAATTTCGTCTCATGCGTTGCTGAAGACTACAAAGACGTTGGAACACAGCTTAACAACATCTCGCATTTTTTCGTTAAAAAAAAAGAAAAAAAACTGAACTGATTTTTGTTTTTTTTTTCTTTCTGTTTCATAAAATGCGATATTTGCTGCCGTTTGGGAAAATCCCTCTCAATTTTTTTGACATCTCCTTCATCTTCCATCAATATCTCTCTTTTAAATTTCCACCCTATCATTCCTTTCTTCACGCTGTTGTTTATGAATTTGTTTACATGATATTTTTAAAATGAAACGCTCCGAATGCGATAGTTGAGTTATTTTTATTTTTTTGTTTGAAACTTTCTGGCCGAGATACGGCAGTTTGAAATCTAGCAGTCGCGAAACTGTGAGAGAACGGCTTTCAGTCATGATTAACTCATTTGCTTGAAAAAATAATCCGCGTATTTTCGAAAAAGTGGCAGAAGACTCAAAATTGACAGATGGCGCGAAAATTATTCGAGTCGTATATGAATTTGTACTACACAATTAATGGAAAATAATAGAAAAAAAGCAAAAAAATGAAAGTTCAGAATAATGGCGCAAAACGATTCGGCGCAAACGGAATCGGCGCAAAAAGAAACGGCGTCTGCATACACGGCGCTTACACGCGACGGCGCAGTGCGGACCGGCGCTCAATTTGAACGGCGCTCTTGGAATCGGCGCTTTTGTCCTACACTCAAAAATGGGCAGGTTATTCTTTAGCTCACCCTACCTCATTTCAATATTAAAAGCCACAGCCGGTGCAAGTCTCCGGTTTTCTGATAAAACAGCCTCAAGGTAAAAGAAGCAAAAAACAAGATTTTTGGCTTTTATTTAAATTTTTGAAGTGTCTGATCTAACGAACTAAAAAGTTATGGACGTTTTGATGCTCAGAATCTTAAATTTTTTAAGCTGACCTTTTTCTATGGGTTATAATTTTGAAAAAAGAACAAAGGGAGATTTCCAAGCTATGAAACTGATTTATTAGGCTTTTTGTAGGCTTTCATTAAAGTTAAAGGCCAAAAGGTTTTTTTGAAACTAGTTACTACCTGGAGAGTTGAACAGAACTTGTTTAGAGATTTTTATTCTCAAAAAGATGACTAATCGAATCAATCCACCCCATAGGTTGACATCAAACGTTTTTCTAATTTTTTTTTCCTGGGGCTGCTTTGTACAGAAATCGAGCAAGAAGTACCTATTCTGCAAAACCAAAAAGTTTCATGTTTTTTGTTTTTGATAAACAGAGAAGAAGTTTATGGATTTCGTGACTTGTGATTCATATTTTTTTGCATGGCGGACCTCCTGTTGTCGCAAATTTCAAGAAATGTTTTGAAATCATTTTTTTCTGTTTAGTCACTGCTTAAATCCTTTGAAAAAAAGTATCTTTTTTTAAGAAAAAAATATTTTTCCTTTAGTTCTTCATAGATACAAGATTCGCGAAAGATTTCTTTTTTCCAACTTTTATCGTGTTTTTCTTGCGATACTTTTTGAACGATGCTAGTTCTACGCAACTTGTCTCAAATTATTTATTCAGGATATCAAATAAAAGCATCAAGTGTCACTCAGCCTTCTTGAGATTGGCAGAACATGTCGAGTTTCCTTGCTCGGAGGCTTGATGATACGAAAAAAAATTTTTTCTTTTGTATCGTTTGAGTTTTTAGTTTTATTCCAATCGTCATTTTACAGATTTTTTGTTGATTTATCTTGCAGAGGTTTCTCAGATACTATTTTTTCGACCTTAATTTAGAGCGAATGAGAATATCATCATCATAATCAGTTTATTCATTTTACAATAAATAAAAACATTTCTAAGGGCCATAAGGCCTCTTATTAGAAAAAGTAAGACAAGGGAAATTTGAAACAAAACAAAATAGCATTTTTAAAAGTTAGGAGAAATTTTTTTAGAAAAAAAGTGTAAATATAGACATGTTTGCAATAAATTTTTTTCCTAAAAAGCGGGGAGCGAACAATTACTATCAAAAAAATGGTCAGGGATACAATTCCAAATATTTATAACGCGTTGAAATATTCAAGCAATCCTCATTTTTATCTATGATAACAAGGCCCTGTATTTTGTGAACGCTGAAAATCTCTGTAGGTTACGCACAATTATCGCACGGATTTTCCGAGCGCTGTAGTTTTTTTCGTTCTCAAATCAAATAATGTTTCATATGTACATTTTTGAACATTATGTTTTCTACTAATAATTTTCTGAGAGTGACTATGGATCTTTTGTTCTGGCAAAATGGCGACAACCAAATCATTCCGTACTTTGTTTTTCGCAGTTAATTGCTGCTAAAAAAGCGTTACGGGCATGCGCTCATCCTTTTCACATGTCTTAGAATTGAGAAACTGACCGTACTTTTTTAAATAAGCTTCCTAGAACCTCTGACTGTCATCTATTAAAAAGAGCACATTCAACAAAAACCGTTCGGTTTTCCAAAAAGATTCTGCGCTCATTTTCACCTCTCCGATTGAAATAGACTGGTTGGGGGTGGATAATCCTGGCTTCGACAAGTTCAAGAAAAAAAGCTTACTACTCACCCGAGAAAAAATTAAATTATGCCCACCCTTGTATAGTTTAAGAGTATTTTTATGAGAAGCTGAAGCTCAGTTTTTGTCGTGATTTCTGGCATTATCCCTAATTTCGACATTTTGCAAAGATGGTATTCCCGAAATCAACAAAAAGTTCCCGTATTGTTTTGAGTTCAAGTCAGAAAAAACTGTTCCGCGGCGGATTTTTCGCACTTGACCGCACTTTGCTTCAAGACCTTCGTTTTTTTCTGTTTTTGTAGCAGTTTGGTGGAGCAAACGTTTCTATTGACGGTAGTTTTTTTTGCGGTCCTTTTAAATCGTGAGCGTCTCGCACTATACTTTCTTCTCAACAAAATATCAGAATCACTCGTGCGCCAAAAGTAATTTTTTTATTTCGGAATGGGCGTCAGATGCTTTTACGAAAAGCTTTTGTCTAGCTCCGAAAAGAGACTCTAGAGTATGTTAAAGTCCAGTGCCATCTTTTTTTGACCGTTGGACCTTTCAGATTACTAGAGAGAGCGCAATAATTATTTTTTTCACTTGAGAAACGCTAACGCTTCTCGAGTGATTACTTAATGATGCAAACCCACTTGCTGTCTATCAGGGTTAGCGAGAGCGGAGTGGACCAGTTGAGGACCAATCGATTTTTTTCTAGTCCTGCGCGTCGTTTCCTTCTTTATTTTGGTATTTGCATTCAGTTTTTTAGCCTTTTTGTTTTTTGTTTTAGATATGTATTCCTACTTTTTTCCACTTCTCATTATCTGTTTGAAACAATCCCATTGGACATGAAGCACTATTATTATTATCATTGAGTTTTTGTTCAATCCATTTTTAGGTTTGAGCCAATAATGGTCTTTCAAACAGTTTCTACTTCTATCAAAGCAAGAGGCGAACTTCTTTTGAACGTTTTTTTTTTATTTTTCTTTTTCCTGTATTTACGGAATAATGTTCTCAATTTTCCATAAATATTGATATTCTCAAAAAAACATCTTTGAATTCTTCAGCAACGTAAAGTGATGGTTTTGCGATGAGAATTCAATGAATTAAAAAAAAATTATAGGTAATATTACATCGAGAGTCCGTGAATTCGCGCTTGAGTGTGTCTGCAGACATTGTTTCGTTCGTTCTCATTTTCTGTTCATGTGATTTTTATTACCGCGGGTATTGACCATTTGTCTTTTGCAGTTTTTTCCCTTTTTTCGCGAAATGACGCTCCATCTTTCGCAATGGTTGTTCTATTGTAGTATTCTCTTCAACGATTTTTCTCACTTTTTATGTTATAAACAATTTTCAGGCGTCTCCTTTCGTCTACTTTGAATCCAAAATGAACGACAATCTTCCTCAAGGTTTTTATCTTTTAAAATTGGTGCAAGAAATAGTGATGTCAACTTAACAATATATTTTCCAAGAATAAGATTTTGTATCTAAAGTTTTCTCAACTTATTTTTTTAAGACTTTTTCTGAGAATGTGCAGACTACTCCGAGAAAGTTGACGTTAAGAGTCATTCAGGCGCATTCACAGCTTCTCCAAGAAAGCTAAAAAAGACGTTTCTGTTATTATCCATTTTTTTTTTCGCCTTTTATTATAAAAAAGTATTTGAAATGTGGTCGTATTTTTTTAAGAAAGGCAGTTTTAATTTCCTCAGGGTAGTTCATTATTTCTGGTGTATGAATCTATCGGTTAGAGACTGTCCTTGAACACTGCGAGATAAGGCGGTAAGGTCAGAGAGGACCCGACAAAATCAATCGATACTCGGAATGGGGAGGTGACACAAAGCGGCGAGAGTGTTTCCACGTTGACTCGCGTGGCCTTTTTAGCCCATTTTCATTAGCTCACTTTCTCGCTGCTTTTCCTTTTCATGCTTAATTTCTTTATTATCAATCGTCAGAACTTTTTGATATTTATTTCTTAAGATTTTTCAAAACTCATCATTGACATTGTGATGACTTTTTGAAAGAGTAAATTTTATGAGATAGGAAAACAGAATAATCGAAGCTGCTTCTTACAGAATATTGTTTTTTTCATTTAAATTTAAAATTTTTCAAATTATTATGCTAATTATTCACTTCTGCATGATTGATTGATATGATCAACATTTAGTTTTATATAACTTCAAAAATCTTTCTAAAATAACTATGACTATATGATATTCACTAATTATCTTGTTTTCAAAGCGTTTCGGTTCCGAGAAAACTTCTAGGGACTCGCAATAAACAGATTTTTCAATTGTTCAGCTGCTCCAGCACTTTTTTTTGTCAATTTTTCACGCGATTGCGAAACTCTCAAGAATCGAAAGATAATTTTTTTTAATGATCATTTCGAGATCTCACAGCAATATTTTTCCAAACTAATTGATGTGAATACAAAGCTAAAAACAATTTTTAGTTCATCTTCTCTGACTTAGTACTTTCATGTTGTTTTATGCACTGAAAATCCCAGTCGGGTTCATTCATTCATTCGCGATATCGGATAGACCAGAAAAGTTGGCTAATAAATAGATGGCGAGCCAAAAAGGAACAAAAGCGTCGAAAGAGGAAATGTCAAAGTTTGCGAAAGAACTGGAGGGCGACGATTCGGAAGATGAAGACGCCGTTGTTATCGGCGCAGAAGACGTCGCCCAGACAAGTCAACCTTCTTTGAATCCAATTCAAAACAAAGGTTCTCTGACTGAACTGGATAAAATTCAAGGGTTTACAATTGAAATATTAGGAATTTCGATTATTGCGAGAAAATGTCTCAAATTTCAGGCAATGACGGCATTCCGTTGAGCGAGGCGGAAAAAGAGCTTTTGCGCGAAGAACTCCTGAAGGTAAGAAATTTTTCAAATGGCTAAATTTACAATGCCGTGTTCCTTTTAGATACGTAAAATGCGAAAATTTTTTCAAAAATGTATTGTCTTTTTGAGCTCTTACCGGTATAACGTTTTAATACTTTTCTCAAATTTATCTTAAGCTTTTTCAAACTTTTTAGTAGTTTAAAAATAATAAAATATAAACTCGTCACTTGGAGTTTGAATCTTCAAAAGCGCCTTCCATATTGCATATCCTCTGAAAAGGTCACGGATGAATTTTAGCAATTCATTAAACATCGCAGTTTGAGATTGTTTGTCCAATAAAAAAAAGATGGGTTTTTTCTTGATTATTAAATTTTTTTTCAGACTGAAGACGAGATTTCAACCCTTAAGCAAGTTCTTGTAGCCAGGCAAAAGGTTGGTAAAACAAAAAAAAAATGAACAATAAAAAACTTTCTTTTCAGCATGCCGGAGAACTGAAGCGCAAACTCGGTCTTTCGCCGTTTTCTGAATTGTCCCAGGACATCAACCGAAGCGTTAAAGTCGTTACAGATACCGAAGCGTAAGTTTTCCACCTCCTGATCAATATGAAATGAACGTAATATTCATTTCAGTTTCCAAAAAACTGCTGAAGTTACCGCCGCGGCTGCTGACACTGTCAAGGAAAAATGGCAAGATATGCGCAACTCTTCGCTTTTTAAATCTTTCGAATCCAAGTTGGGAACAGCTTACAATCAGGTATAATTCATGGCTTAGATACGTTGTTTTGAACTTCAAAATATTTATTTGCAGGCAAAAATGGCGGCTTCAACCTCTATCGATCATCTTGCTGGAGCTGCACGTGGTCAATCACAAGCCGGGACGCCAGTTGCGGAAGAAGCCAAACCTATGCCTTAAAGCATCACTATTGTATAATTGCTTATTTATTTTTTCTTTTTTCAACCCTTCCATCTAAAGTTGTGCTTATAACCCCTTCCTACTCCAAGACAAACTTTTAATCTATTTTCATTAGCTTGTTCACAAACATTATTGCTTCGATTAAGATGTAGAGATGAATTTTTTTCGTCATTTTGAGTTTCTTCCACTTTGGTGGTGATTCTTTTGCGTGCGTGTTGTGGGAAAAATTGTACTTTATTGAAAAAAGGTGTATCTTTGTGGGCAAGTCGATAAAAATTGTATAAAACATGGAGAAGCTGTACAGAATAATTTTTGAATGAGAACAAATCCTCATTCCTCTCAATCTCTTTGCATCAAAGCAAATCCCTCTCTGAAAGAAGCTCAATAGAAACGGCACTCAGTCGTTTATTGGTCGAACTAACCAGTTAACGGAAAATTTTTCATTTTCGCGTGAATGTCGATACATTTCCATGGTAACAAATTCGCCTTATCGCCTCGTGTTTTCAAGACGGCTGACAGCGCATCTTTCCGTCTCCTTTCATTTTTTCAACTCGACGTTTTGGTCTCCTTATACAATCTTGCCCGTTGAAGCAGGCACATGCTCAAAAGTTTCAAGTTCGAGATGATGCCCTGCTCGAGATCAACAATCGCTTTTAAAAAAATTGTGTCTTTTTAAGATTTCTCAAACTTTTTCAATAAAGGTTTTAAATAAAAAAACGAGCTTCATAAAAAGCGACATAAAAGATGATGTTTCCAAAGATAAGCGTTTTTTTAATAAGTATTACCTTGATAAGTTTATTAGGTGAAAAAAATATTTTTCTTCAAAGGGTCACAGGGAGCAATTAGTTTTGACCATCTTCAGACTTTTCTGAGACGGTTCACGTCCCCACGTAATTTTGAAAATTTCTTCTTTCATATCTGACATTGTCTACAAAATTTACAAAATCAGTTTGATGAAAACCCTATAAAATCTCTAAATAAGCCAAAAAGCTTTCTTGTGGGAAGTCGAGCCAAGTTTATCATTTTCTTTCCTTTTGTTCATATAAGAATAACACAGATCGATTTTTTAGGGCTCCTGGAAGCTGGTTTCTGAAATGGGAGCCAATGCAAGGCAATATCTGCAGGAGCACAATATACCTCAACTTTTTGAGGTTTGTTCATTTTTAATAAAGTTTTTTCTACGAATTGTTCGAATTTTTTCTAAATGCTAGGTAATGCATCGTAATTTTTTTTTCAGGGTCTCATGACAGGCCTGATATACAGCAGACCAGACGACCCTGTGGCTTACCTCGAAGAAGCGATTGCTCGAATTAGAAACAATCCGCATATTCCTGTTAGCTGGAACATGTTCATTCCGAAAAGTGGGTATTAAGCTTTCATTTTAATTATTATTTTCATGAAAACTTCTGAAAGTACTATTTCTTGTGTTGGAGAAAGAGTGTACTCTGAAAACAGGCTATAACTCTTGTTGCAATCTTTCAAGGAGTGCACCATAGGTATACTTTAATCTACGATAGTTTATGGAAATTAGTACATAATTATGGCAGTATACATAATTATGGCAGTATACCTTTTTGGCTTTTTCTGAGCCATAACTTTCTGGTCTCAAAAGATAAAACTAATGCTAAGGGTTTGTAAAAAAAAACCAAATGAGGTAAGAGTTGGTTCGAAATTGGATCTCGTGAAGTTGGTGAAATTTAGAATTAAGATGGAGTGAGTGAGCAAGAAAAAATGATTTCAAAAAATTTTGAAGGTTGGTTAATATTCTAAGTGGTGTTCTCAAACATAGTAGACATCAAGAGGCCTCAAAACGCAGAGGCCTTCCGAGGTAGAAGCTACTGAAAGCTTTTTATTTGATTGACAGGGGCTAATTCAATTTTTTCGGGTGCCAAAGATGGTTCTTCCCAAATAATTGGCCTGATACTATACTCCATCAAAGAAAATGTTTCAAAAGCTACCAAGCGTCCATTTTTGAATAAAAAAAAACAAAGCCTACTGAAAAAAAGGTTCTAGAAGGGAAATTTGAAAAAAAAAAGTTTTATCAAATAACTAATATGATTTTTCATAGTTTATTCCAAATCAATTGTACATTTAGCTTTGAAGAAAGAGTAGAAAGTGGATGGGAAAAAGTGGCTGCAGAGCACACAAGTGCCTATTTTGAAGCCTTCGGGACAATTATCGCATCAATACATGTCGACATTTTTCTTTTACCTGGCTCTTCGCCTTTTTCTTTTCAGTTTGCTAATAATTCTTTCTTTTGAAAATATTTTCTGTTCAATCTAATTGCCTCGTTCAGTATTCATTTTACCATGTGGCTTGGCGCGGTGGAGCATTTCATGTTCAAATTATCAATAACTTGAAAAAAATTATCAATAACTAATCGAGTAAAATTTAATTTTCCATAATTATCGCATTGCTCTGTTATTTTTGCCACTAAGGAGAAAAAAACAAAGAAAAAAATAATTTTTTTCAAGTCCAGCAATGTGTAAAAAAAAATTCTTGAAAAACGGCTGTTTTCGGCTCGAAAGCAGGAAACGCGAGCACTCAAGCGGGCGCTCGACTGCTTCTAGGACAAGTAACTGGGCAACATGTTATGGAAAGTCTAGTAGATCTTAGAATTTTTACTAGTACTTGTGAGGACGTTTTTTTAATCACTTAATTGTAAAAAAACTCCTTATAAAAACTTGATGTCCAATTAATCACTTTTTGAGCAAAGACTGACATTTTTTTATGTTCGTTTTTTTGTGCACGCAAAATCTTCGAAAAAAAATCAAATTGACTTTTTGGATTAACAAATTTGAATCATATTCTTGATATTCAAGAAGTTGATAGACATCTGTTCTATAAAAAAACATTCTTCACATTTCTTATTTCTTTTTGAATAAAATATTAATTTTTGGTTTACAGCAAACGGAAGCCCGAGCGTTGCTCATATAACAACAAATGCGATAACCGATACCGTGTGAGTTTTTTTTTTTGACTGAACCTGGGTCTAGTTGTGAATTTGCACGGTATATAATTTTTTTCTCCACATCGTGGTGTTAAATTATAACTTTAAGTGACGAAGCCGACAGCGACGTTTCGCGAGAGCCTTCTCGCACGAACACCATCGAACGCAGAAGCCCAGAGCCGAGGCTTCCTTCTGTCGACTCCACGGAAGATATGGTTTAATTGATAGTGTTTTCATACTTTGAATTACGGCTTTTTTTCCCAGGTTCTGCAACGGGTTCCGTCAGTGACGAAAGCCGCAGAAGTTGCCAGAATTCCCAACGTTCCTGTTATTTTGTTCATGGGTGAATGAAACCACTGAAAAACAAAATTTTTTCCCAAGTTTCGGTCGATTTCACAAGTGAACAAGCCCTGGAGTATTTTTTACTATTAAATCCATCCAACGTTTTTTTGAAAGAAAGTTATATGATTTTGAACTCGAAACCCTTTTATAAAGCGAACTGTATACTGGAGCGTCACAGAACTTTTTTCATCGTGAATTTAAGGAGGACCTGGCGGAGGCAAGACCCGCCATGCTGCGAAAGTTGCAAATGCCTTGGCGGAAAATGGATTGGTACACATTTGTATGCCAGATGTGATACGGAACGCTTTAGGACGGTACAAAGACAAGTACCCTGACTGGAAAGAAGCAAATGAGCACTATATGAGAGGTTTCTTTCACTTTCTACGACTCAAACTTTCATTGATTACTAAAATCATTCAGGAGAACTGATTCCAAACGAACTAGCTCTAATACTTCTAAAGGTACAATCTTGAAAATTTCAAATTCAAAAAAACGAAAAACAAGTTTCAGGCTGAAATGGGTAGGCATCCAGATGCAGGAGCATTCTTTCTTGAAGGATACCCGCGAGAAGCTCGTCAAGTGGAAGATTTTGAGAGACAGGTTGAATTCGCCTTCTTTCTTTCATTTGAAACTCTTTCAGGTGAAATCTGTTAATATGGCCATGATATTAGATTATGACGAAAAAAACTTTACGAGATCACATGGAAAGACGCGGGCTGGGCATGGAAATTATTGACCAAAAAATAAAGGTGCTGATTTTATATTTCTTGATTAAATTCGATTCAGGAGTTCAAACAAAAAACTTTGCCATCCGCTAAATACTTTGACGATCAGAAGTTGCTTCACCTGGTGAATAACAATACATTGTTTTTATTTTCAGACTTTTTTGCAGATTCCCGGAGAGAAAGACGATTTGACAATTTATGAGAAAATGAAGAATTTGGTCTTGAGAGCCATCGACACCGGGGTGCCAGTTCTGAGTAGCGTTCCTCCAAGCCAAAGCGGTTCGAGGCCCCCAACACAAAAAGTACCCTTCTTGTTCTTTATCTCCATCTTTGGAGGCTTTTTTAGTCTTCAACTCTAGCATCTCCCCCAGTTGAGCATCCTGTAGAGATACCATTGCCTGAAGTTCGAACGGAAGCTCCAACTCCACAATTACGACAGCCAAGTTTTTCAGACGCCCCAGAGACAGTTGAGGTCACGAATACATGACTAGAAAGAGAAACAATTTTGTCTTTCAGGAAATCCATGTACCTTCGGCAAGTTTCCCTTTTATTACTTTATTCAAGTTTTACTGTTTGTCAATAGTCATTTTAGCCTCCTGTCGTGGACCCACCTTCTTCCAGTCCAAAATCTCCAGGTTGAAATGTTCCAAAATTCTTATTTTTCGAATCATGAGCGTTTAGAATCTCATCCGTCAACTCCTGCTGTCCAAACGCCCGATTCTCAGAGTTAGTTGACTTTTCATTGGTTCTTGGAAACTTTCTTTCAGGTCGGAAAAGCTCAGCAGCACAGTCCAGAAAGTCTACAGCTGCGAGCAGAAAACAAGTTAACGGTATTTTTTCGCTTCCATTTTTTAAAAATCAACTTTTGAAACTGAAAAGGAATAATTGGCAGAAGACTGTATTAAGAAATACCCTCGCCACCTGTGATCCCGATGTTGGACCTTCCAAGCGAAGACGGTAAAAAATAATGAGCGCATGGTGTGAAAATTGCACGTTTAGAGAATGGAGTAAAATTTTCAAAAGCTTCGTTTGAGAGAATGTTTTGCTTGAAGAGCTTGAAGTATTTTTTAAATAGGGCGAATTCTTATTTTCATTTTTGAATTGTTTTTCAATGTCCTATTTTTCTGTCGACTTATCGAAAATTTCGACACTTTCTTTGCACTTCAGTTTGAATGATTCAATTCATTTGATTACAACCAGAATTTTTCAGGGAGTCAAGACAGAATTTCAACTACTTCCGGAAATGATGAACCACTCTCGCCATTTGAACTTCCAAATAATGCTCCTGTAGTTTTGGTCGTTGGTGAGAACTTACAGACATCCCTTCTACCGAACGGAAAAAATTCAGGCGCACCGGGGTCTCAGAAAAACGATATTGCTAAGAGAATAGCGCAGAAATACGATGGTTTGATATTTTCAAAAAAATCTCAGTTTTTTCTGATTCAGGGTTCACACTTTTGTCAATGGGAGATCTACTGCGGAAAAAAGTGCAGACTGAGAAAGATGACGAATTATGGAAAAAAGTGGGGAAGAAAATGAACGAAGGAGATCCAATACCTATGGTCGGTTACTAATATCCTTTAAAATTTAAAGTTCTGTGATTCAGAAGCTGGCTCGCACAGTTCTTTACGATGAAATTGAATCACTTGGGAACGCAAACTGGGGCTACGTCATCGAAGGCTACCCAAGAAGTATGGAACAGCTTGAGGATTTCGAAAAATCGGTTGGGCTTTTTCTGCCATGCTCATAGTTTCTTAAACTTCAATTTGAGGTTCAAAGACTCGATATTGGAATCCTGATAGACTGTACAGAACAGTTTTGTTTGGATGTCGTGCAGAAACGGATCGAAAGAGCACACAGACCTGGTTACATTCTTGGGAATCGAATATTCTGGAAAACCAAAAGCAGTTCAGATGATGCTCCGGAACCTCTTCGGGTCAGGATGGAGACGTTCAAGAAAAATACGCTGCCCATGTTGAAAGCCCTGGATGATAAAGGCAAATTGCGAGTGGTGAGATATCCGCACGACAGGGTATGCTTCTTCTAACTTTCCTTTTCGATCAATTTTCTAAATGTAAATTAACATCATTCTTCAGTTTTGACAGCTTCTACACTAAAAAAATAACTGGAAAATTGAATTTTATGAGGATTTGTAGAAACTTAGCCCAGAAACTTTATGACGAATACTTATAGCCACATCAATTTTTTAAAATTTCTTCAGACATATTTGCAAACCGTCCTGCTCGAAAGGCGCCAATATGCCTCTTTTTCTTGCATAAACTTTTAGCCAAAACCAGTTGGTCGAACTCCCAAAGCTCGTATTTTTTCCGCTACTTTTGAAAGCAGAACTCTAACGCATGTATCATTTTTTTTTTACTAACTTCTTCGCATGTATTCACTGTCTTTCTCTTCCTTAGCATGAATACTTTGCCTAAGAGCATGAAACAACGCTTTTCCTTCATGAGGATGGGAATTCTCCAAAAATTCATAGACAGCATTAAGGTGGACGGAGACTCGGACGCGGACACCGTTTTCAAAGATGTTGCTCAAGTTATCGATAGAGCTTTATTTATTGAAGGTAGGAAAATGGATCAGTAATTGATTTCCGTTCGAATAAAGTTTTTTTCTTGTTCTAATCATCGGAATAAATTTTCTGAATAAAGCCATGAAGTGTGAAAGCTCGAAAAAGTTAAATTATTTTCAGATGACGGCGACGGTAACAGTTTAGGCGATTCGAAAAAAAGGAGCCCTCTCACAACCCTCTGCGACCACATAAAACCTCATTCTTTCAGTTTAAAATTTGATTTTCGTTATTTATATCTTTGATATGGTCTTGTAGAAGAGCATCTTACAATATGCAGTATATGTATATTTTTTTTTTGGAGAATAAACTTTTATTTGCCACAAGACTTCAATCTTGGTACGAGAATTGTATTTGATCAACAAACGTGAGAAACAAGAGAAGACGTGAACTTGTTTCTTGTTCAACTGAACGATTTCTCATCATTCTTTGAGTTTATCAAGTGACTTCGATTTAAAAAAGAATGTTTCCTTCTAGTTCGTTGTACACACTTACAGTTTTGCGCGTAATTTTTCAAATTTTTTAAACTAGGGGAGTCGATTTGCTGTTTTAGGGTAATCGACATTCTATGCTAGGTAGTTTGAAAGCACCAAATTTCAATACTCCATAATTGAAATGTGAATATCATAATGATTTAGGTTCTTTTATTTACTACTTTGGGAGACTCGTTATTGTTTTCGTTGCTTTTTGTTCTTCACAGAGGAAGTTTGAATAGTCCAGCTTTAAAATTTGCCGTCTAGAAAGTTTGATCAAAGGAAAAGAAAATTTCCCCTCGATGGTTATTCTGACCACCTTCTGATTCGGACAAAAAAGACGAAAAAATGTTTGGTAAAGAGTCATCAACTTGGATTTTGAAAAATTGCGCACAATGAACTTTAAAACTCTTTTCTCTAAAAGTTCCGAAGACATGGTTCAAAAAAGAAAGATTTCTACGAGAAATCTTTCTTTTTTCATAACTGATATTCTTATAATAATTGATCCAACTTGAAAAAAAAAATGAACGTAAGGGAGGCGTATGCGGTGCATAGTCATCAAAGCGTGTTTGCGGTCTGTGTTGCCGCACAACTTGACTCTCAATTTGCTAAACTTCTTGTTATTATTAAGTGAAAACAATTTTTAAGTTGCGTTTTCATTTTTCTCACTTTCATTATTCATTTATAATAATAATTTTTCAAAAAGGTTATCATTTCCATTTGGCGTATAAGCGATGGGATTTCAATGATTTTTCTCAAAAAAACTTTTGTGTTTTTTTCAAGTATCATAAGCCTTATTTTTCATTTTTCTTTTTAAAACGCTTTTTTCTTTTTTTTCCATGTATAATTTATCTACATGAATCGAATTAGAGCATTTCATTGGCATAGTAAAATTAAATTTTCAGGCGAACCAAATGGCAGACCGCGAATCGATTGGTAGCGATGCGACTGCGCTGATTGGCAATACGCCAATGGTCTACATTAACAAGTTGGCCGCTGGATTGCCCGGCAAAGTCGGTACGGATGTGACTATTTTTTTAAAATGAAAATAATCGCAGCTGTAAAACTGGAGTTCATGTCGCCTGCAGGATCGGTCAAAGATCGCATTGGCTACGCCATGGTTAAAGCAGCTGAGGATGAGAAAAAAGTGAGCGATGTCATTTTTTCAGAAGTTCAGTTTGGTCTCCAAAATCAGATTGCAACAAGTTTTTTCAAAAGCAACGTCAAAATAACTGGAACTTTTGGAAAAAAAATTTTCGTGACGATCATAATCTCCCAGAAAACTTTTCTATCATATGAACTCAATATCAGATCAAAAATTACCGACCTGTCTAGTAAGATTTGAGTGTTCCGGAAACGTCAAAACCATTTTTTTTCAAGAAAAATTAGAACAGAACTTTTATTCCTCACAACTCGACGAAAAACATGCGTTTTCTTTTTAAGGGAAATCTTGCCAGCAAACTTAGCAAGTTTTCATTCTTTTGTCAAAATTCAATAAACTAACTTGAAGTTGTTTGATTTTTAGAGTGAGGTTTTACAAACTGGCAATACACTCTGGGATTATTATACTCAAAAGTTTTCAGATTATTCCTGGAGTAACGACTTTGATTGAGCCGACATCTGGAAACACGGGAATTGCCCTGGCTTTTGTCGCAGCCGCAAGAGGATATCGGTGCATTGTGACAATGCCTGCATCAATGAGCGTCGAACGTGTTTGTTTTATTTTTCGCGATAAAAAAGGGGAAAAATAAAAAATGTTATCTGTTTGGGAAAGTGAAAGAATAGAACTATTTTTAGGAGAGTTGGCTTTCTATAAACTAAATTTTCCTTAAAAAATACTTTTTAAAAAAATTTACGCAGTATCATTTATTCTAATCAATAGAAGTTCCTTTTTTGAATAACTCATTCACGAAACTTACAGAGAACCTTGCTCAAAGCTTATGGCGCCGAAGTCGTCTTGACGGATCCCGCAAAAGGAATGAAAGGCGCCATAGAACGTGCAAACCAGTTGAAAGAAAACATCCCCAACTCTTTTATTCTGGCTCAGGCATACATTTGAGAAAAACTTTCAATCATATTTTTGCTCTAGTTTGATAACATGAACAATCCAGCAATCCACTACCAAACAACTGGCCCAGAAATTTGGCGTCAGACCAAGGGCAAGGTTTTTCCATTAAATTTTCAAAAAAGGTTTGTTTTCACTCAGGTCGATGCAGTTGTTTTTGGAGTTGGAACTGGTGGCACGATCACAGGTGTCGGAAAGTTCCTTACTGAGCAAAAACCGTCTGTCCAGGTTTTTTTTTCGTACAAAATCTGAAATTGAAAACATTCTCAAGGTCTTTGCGGTGGAACCCGAAGAATCGGCTATTCTTAGCGGACATCCGGCTGGTCCTCACAAAATTCAAGGTGAGTTTAGTTGAATAAAAGTGAATGAAGTTTGTTGGACTCCAGGTATTGGTGCTGGATTTGCCCCAGGTGTCCTCGACACAAAGATTTTTGAAGATGTAATTCGCGTGCACAGCGACGAAGCCATTGTCATGGCTAAACGTATGGCTTACGAAGAAGGAATTCTTTTGCGGTAAATTTTTTTCTCAGAAAAAAATTCAAAATAAAAAAATTTTGACATTCCCAGTAGTACGAATTTTTTTCTGAAAGCGCAGTTTTTAGTAAAAGCTTGCGAGTTTTGAAAATACAGCTTTTCTCGCAAAAAAAAAAATGCAAACTCTGTTATGTTCTTTATTAAACATTTACTCGACCCAGCCAAAAATTAAATGGGAGGCACAGAATTTTCAAGGAAAATTCCTGAGTTTAAAAATGACTCCTAAGGCTATTGTATTATCAAATTTTATGAGGGTTCTCAGGTATCTCTTCCGGTGCTAACGTCGTTGCTGCGCTCCAACTCGCAGCTCGTCCAGAAATGAATGGGAAGTTAATCGTCACTGTCCTTCCGAGCTTTGGCGAACGCTACTTGTCAGTTTTGAAATTTCAAGAGCTTTTATTCATTTTTCTTCTTCGTAGATCGTCAGCTTTGTACACTGACGTTCGTGACGAGGCCATTGGTCTTGGAGTTGAAGGTCTGGACGAGAATCTTAAACAGCTCAAGCTCCACGAGTACGAGGTGATGGAGTAAAAGACCGTTCAATCGCTTCCTTTGTTTCTGCACGTGTCCGTTCACATATCCCTCTCTTTGCTTCTTGACTCTTTTGTTTTTGAAAAATAAAACGAATAAAGTTTTCCCAGTAAGGCATCTGGAAAAAAAAAAACGAAATTTTGCTATTTGAACGCTTTTAAATTATTTTGGTTATTCGCCGTTTTCTTGCTTTTTTGATGTCTTCTTTTAAAGTTTAACTTCGTCTATTTCTTCTGCCGAAAAAATTCACAAAATGATGACCCAAAATCTTCAAAAATGACAGATTTTTCAAGATCAAAATTCACCCGCTTCGTCTCCCCCTGTCTATTTTTCAGCGCTTGTTAATAATTCGCACATTCGCAACTAAAATCGAATCTTTTTCAGCACAATTCGCAGAAATGAATGCCACATTTTGGAAGCCGTCAGTTTTGTAATAGTTTGTATTTTCCCAGTTTGCTCAATGTGATAAAAAAATAATTTTTTTTTTCGTTTTTTGATCAACAAAAAAAAGACAAATATCGAGAGCGCATGTGAACGCCGCAAATTTTCGCAATAAATCTTTCGACAAGAGAGCTGATTAATGACCGCGAAATGTTTCACTTTGGCGATCTGTGGAGTTGAAAAGTATCAAAATGGGTGCCCTTTCCCACGCGTTGGATGATCGCCGATCTGCAGTAAGGGTTGGCCTTAATTTAGCGCCAAGCAGGTCGAACTTTCACCTATTTCTCCTGTCACAATGAAGTTTGAAGCTTTCTTAAGAGCTTCAGAGAGATTCTCTACAAAAATTTTCAGAATGTTTGCGCTAAAGACACTTTTTGAGAGGAAATGTCGTTCAAGGTGCGAAATCTTGATAATTTTCAGATTTTTAGATATATTACGATCAGATACTTAGTTCATCGGATCTCGAATGCGATAGATGTTTTTTTGCGATTCTGTAGTCTGTTTCCCCTTCAGTTGGGAAAAAGTACAAATTGTCAATATTTATAATTTACTGTCGCGTTTCAGACATAATTTGATATTTTCTTCAAACGAAGAAAATTATTGATAGTTGCCATTGCAAATTTTCAGTTTCGTGTAGAATATTTTCAAAATTTCTCAAGACCCACTGAAACGCATCAAGGGCATGAGCTGTAAATTTCATCATTTCTTGAATGTTGACTACACATCTCAGAACGCTTTGCAATCTTGTTCTTTTTGTCTATTTTTGGAACTTCAACAAAATGTTTCGTTACCGACAAACTTTATGGCTCCTTAACTCACTCGAACGGGTCTACAAAAAAAAAACGTTTCATGTAATCAGATATAAGGATAATTCATAGGTGATTTTCGTGAAGTTTCATCAAGTGCCTCAGCACTCTATTCGTGAGAAGTTCGCTCGAATTTTGAAGTTTTACAGATTAAGAACCTCAAAAACTTCGGAAGCGTGAATTTCGACTAAAATTCTAAAAGGGAAATCTGGAAACGAATATGATGTTCGAAAAACGAGGTAATGCAATTTGGGCTTCGATCAGTAAGACGCGCAAACCGAAAGTGTCAGAATTAGCGCTGTGTCGGTTTAGCGAAAAAGTTGAAATCTATTACAAAGGACATTCTGGAGATTACTATCATAAGGACATGCCCCACTCTCCCATCTCGTTCCGAAAAAAATGTCTCAGTTCTTTGAAACTCAGAAAGGATACGGTTTTGGAAATGTGCCGATGTGCGGCGGGATAAGATCCCTTTGCAATCTTGGCCTTTGACCGTTTCTCGTCACAGTTTCAAATCATTTCAAGGATTGCTGTAGTGCCTTTCGCATTTATTCCGTGTATTGGAAAAATGACAATGCTTTCAATTTCATGAATTCGAAAGCCTCAGTACGGTTTTCCAGAAAAATTTGTTTTTAAAAAAAAGATGAATATGACCTTCTAGATCAAACTATTTATCAAAAAAAAAAGAAATCAGAGACCAGAAAAAATTTTTACTCCGAAGCCTTGAAACTCCTGAAACATAAAAGTTTAATCTCGTTGATCCTCGATTTTGAGGCAAGAAAAAAAAGATGAAAAGATTGGTTGTCGTTAGTTACGGTAAACTCGTTTTAGCAAATACATGAATGACACAGTTTCGCACATTTGAATCAGACGTTACCCTTTTTGGCGGTTTGTTGGGTTTAACGCTGATTTGTCCGAAGCTACCGGATAAAAAGTCGGCGAAGCGAATCTTGCAAAAACCAGACCTGAAAAGTGAAACAGATGATTCGTTCAACTTTTAAAAGGTACGGCAAAAATTTTAATTGATTTAATGGATTTTTCTTACATCAAAATTACTGAATTTTTCATAGTTTGAACAACTTTGTCCATACTTCACCTTCAACAAGAAAATAGCCAATTCACGTATTAATCGAGTCATTCTCACGTTGTTTCTAATTACCTAGTTCACAGTAACTCATTGTGTTTTTGTAAAATTAAATCAAGTCGGGCGTGAATGCAAGTATAGGGATCGAGGTGGGAAGTTAAGTTTAGTCTCTTTGTTTTTGAGCTGCCCGGAATCTTTGAGGGAATTGCGGAAGTTTGAAGTTTTCTATTGCACTTTCTTCGTCAGAAAAAGTGTTGAGATAATCTAATTTGGACGCACAGAAGAGAAAAAAAGGTTCATAGGGATGACTGTGGTAATTGGCCGTTTTGTTCAGACCTCGTCAAAGCTGTCGATTCTATTGATCTCCTTCAGCATCCCTATTACTTCCCAGTTTTTCCAGTTGTGTTAAGTTTTTTTTGGAAATTTTGACGAAAAAAGAGTCAAGTATCAAATACCTCTTCACTTAAACCATATTTTCAAAACGTCGAATTTCGAGAACTGAAAAATGAAAAAAAATTTTTCAAGTTTCTTGTATTCTAATATTTTGTGTCACGCCTGTCTGCTTCGGTAACCAGGGAAAGAAAGGCAAGTGGGTCAAACCCTATCGTACTTCGAAAAATTCCAAAAAGGAAAGTCCACGGGAAAAATGCACTCCTACGGACATGGCCCCGCCCCACAGGCCTATTTCTATAAAATAACCTCGAACAACATCGAATTTTTGATTTGAGCTGTTCCAACGTTTCTTCTCTTGTTTTCACATTTCAGGTTTTCAATTCAGATGCATTCATCTGATAAACAGAAAGGTAATAAAATCTTTTTGAAATTTTCGCAGCTCTCTCAGAGCTGTTAGAAACTCACTTTCGTCTGTTTTTAATGAATGTTAATTTTGCTTTCGATGGTGACGGTGTTAATATTTGTTGCTATTTCTCGGTAAAGTCAAAATCCCCAACTCTTTAAATCTTTCATCAGTCAAATGGCGCATGCTTTTATCTCAATTTTGCTATCTTTAAATTTTTTTGGAAATTCCTTTTTGAAGCAACTCAAAGCTTCAAGGAGTTTCTCAATATTTTGCATAACGAAAAAAAAATACCACGCGGTTTTTGAAAAGCAGCTGCTTTTTTTAGTCTTTAATCTCTGTGGCGGAGGTTTTTTGGCTTTGCTTCGATTGTTGAAGCTTTCAGGTTTGTGGGAAATATATTGCTCGCATCTTGACCATAAAATGCATTTATCGATTATTTATTCACTTTTTTGGAAAGATTTTTCTGGGAAAAAAATTCCCGAAAAAGCGAAAACAGTGAAAAAAAAATTGAGAATGCATTTTCTCGTACCATTTTTTCAATTACTTCTTTTTAAAGGTTGTGAAGCAGTGAGTAAACTGGCATGAAAAACAAATGATCACAAACACACAGGCTCCAAACAAAGACTCAGCCAAAAAAACATGAAACAAAGAAAAATCAACTAAAACCAAATAATCTTGAACGTTGGAAAAAAATTTTTCTCTAAAAAAATTTTTCAGAAGGAATGTGTATTGAACTTGTTTTTTGAAAACTCACGTCCATCTGTTTCAAGTTGTGGAAGAATATTTTAGGAATTTTTCTAAATTTTGAATGTTAACCTCGAAACAGTTTAGCTTAAATAATCAAGCAACTTCTTTTTCATATTTTCTTCCCATTTCGAAGTTTGATTTCCTGATGTCTTTTTTTCTCCTTTTTTAAGATCAATTTTCAGATGTCGCCTCATCCTTGGTTATTAACTGTGGCCATAATTTTGGTTTTTCCGGCTTGTGCCTCCCCGCAGGTAAAATTTAGAATTTTTCCTATTTTTCATCGCACTGTTTCAGTATATTGCGAACGATGTTGTTTCCGATTATGGAGAAGTAAAAGAGCTTCTGAACTCTTTTTACAGACGCCACGCTCGTCGTTATGGAAATGATTATGTAATTGTTCTTTTCAAATTTTAGCTAATGTCTTTTCCATGTCAGGACCCTTCTGCCATTTTGATCACCGAACCCAGTTTGGACCAAGCCAGTACTGATAAAACAGAAGCCACAGTGAACAGGAAAATTTGGACGGAAGTTTTTGAAAACGACATTATCTTGACCCTACCACAAGCGGAAGCCTTACTGAAAGAGCCAAGTGAGTTTTTGTAAATCTTTATCAAAAAATCGCTGAGGTTTTCAAATCATCAAACTTTTTAGTTAGTTTTTAAATGAAACCGTCTCTAGTTCTCACAAAAAAAAATTTTTCTCGTGGAAATTGAAAACTTTTAACCGAAAAAAAAAGTTGGTCAATGAAAGAAAACTTACTAGACGTTTCATTTTCAACTTTCAATAATTTTTTAGACTCTCGTAAGAAACGACAAGCAAACCGCGACCCACGCTTGTTCTGGACAAACCTCACGATATCCTACGAATTTTATGGCGGCGACGGTCAGAATGAAAACCGTGTTTAGTATCCAAACAGCCTATTTTTCAGATAAGTGGAAAAACTTGATCCGAAGCGCTTTAAAACACGTCGAACAGAACGTTTGCTTCAAGTTCAAAGAGAATGGAGGAGACAAGTGAAAAAATTCTCAAAAAAAATAACAAAATTTTGAACTTCGTAGAGATGGTTTGCGTTACTATCGCGGCCAAGGGTGTTGGTCAAACGTTGGAAGAGTTGGTGGAAAACAATTAGTATCCATTGGTTATGGATGCGATGGGGTGAGAAAACTTTTTCCTTAAGGTTATTTCGATTTGATGTTGAAATTTTTCGAGATTCAGAAAATTAAAAAATTAAATATTGCAAACTTTGAGACTTTCAAGACCTTCAGCTCTTCTCTCAAAAAGTTTTCTGGTCAACTTCCGCAAATTTTCAGAGTTCCACATAATACTACCTTTTCTGTATTCGAAATTTTCCAATTTTCAGTTGGGAATCGTTTCTCATGAAACTCTCCATGCCCTGGGCCTCTGGCATGAACAATCTCGAGTCGACCGTGACGACTTTATTTCCATCGTTGCCGACAAAATCACCCGGGTCAGTGTAAAAAGCGAGAAACTTTTCAAAAAAATTTTTAGGGAACGCAAGGAAACTTTGCAAAAAGGTCTCTTGATAATACGGATAATTTGAGTGAGTTTCTTTTTCTTTTCAAAAATTTTTCATAACTTCAGACCAACCTTACGATATGGGATCTGTTATGCATTACGGATCAAAAGCTTTCGCTTACGATTGGACTAGGTTTTTCTTTCAGGAAAAGGAAAAAAAAATATGAATTCCATTTTGAGTGACACAATTGTGACCAAAGACTGGCGGTATCAACAAACGATCGGACAAAGAGATGGAATTTCTTTCAAGGATGCGAAAATTATTAACCTCCGCTATTGCACAGGTAATACAAAAGATATGAAATTAAATGTTCTGATTTACATTTGATATTTTCCGAGCTCGAAAATTGATGTTACAGGTGTCTGTCGAGTACAGCTGCCGTGCCAAAACGATGGTTACACAGATCCCAACAACTGCGGCCAATGTCGCTGCCCATCCGGTTATGGTGGAACTTATTGTCAAGAAGTTGCTTACAGTACGAAAAAAGTATGAAATCGAAATAATTGATTTATTTACTTCAGCTTCTTGCGGTGGAACTTTGACGGCCACTGCATCTTCTCAAACTCTGGCAAGTGGAAATGCTCTTCCTAACGCTTATTGTATCTGGAGAATAAAGGTTGTTCATTGGAAAATTTTGTTTTCGACTATCAAAACTCTTTTCAGAGCAGATATGGAGAAAGAATTGAAATCAGTTTCAGTCAAGTGAGTCTCACATGCTCGAACCCATGCACGAGTTACGTCGAAGTGAAAGCCAACAAGGAAAAAACAGCAACAGGTCGGAAAATCATTCGAAATAGAAATTTATACCTTTTGAAATGATGCAGGGGCCCGACTGTGCTGCAAAACTCCTGGAACGTTTGTCAGTGAGGGCGACGACGTTGTTCTGATTTACAAAGTTGCACCCGACTCTCAGATGGGATGGCTCGGGTTCACGCTTCGCTATAGAACTGGTAAGAAACTTTGAGAAATTTTAAACATAAGATGAAATAGTGTAATGAACTTTTCAACACAGCAAGGCGCCCGACCCACAAAAAACGGTGGAAAACAATTAAACCTCAACGACAATGTTGGTTTATATCAAAGCTTCTTACCTTTTTTAATTGAAAGCTTTTCTGCTTTATTCCGCTTTTCTACAGTTCTGGACAAGATTTGTCGCTTTTTTGTGAGTTTTGCAAAAACTCTAGTCGCTTTGGTTTTGATGGGGTGTATTCTCCGAAAAAAAAAGTACATTACCGTCAGAAAAATTACAGAAAAAACGGGGTTTCGTTCTCAACTCTCTTGCTATGAACTTAATCTTTTTGAAACTTTCAGGGAAACTCAAATCCTTACAAGAATTGTATGACCAAATTCGCGTTTTCTCGTATCTTTTCTGACGGTCCTGTATGTGAGTCCATAATGCCTTCGACTTCATAGTGTTTATAGAAAAATTTTGGATTTTTTTATAAAAAGCTTTTTTTTTCTTTTTCTACGATTTATTCAAACGGTTAGTTTTTTTTGTCCCTATAGAAGCTTTTCTCATTTTTTAAACATACTGCCTGAAGAAGTTTTCCAAAAAGAACCTTCCAGCCAAAGGATAAACGAGTTTCTGCAGTAAGTTTGTCGCAAGCTAGCCGCGAGTAGACAATAGGGCTTGCTCAAATTTTCAATGCCTTTTTGCTCAATGTTTCAGTCTCCTTCCGAACCATTCCAAATTTGCAGTTGGTGAGCCGGAAACGACAGCCCCGTCTACTGTGGCGCCCACAACCACTACTGAAAGTGCGACAACCTCTGCATATTGGATCAAAACGGCAAGTGGCGGTTGGATTCACTGGGAGAAATCGGCGGAGACCTTCGGGACCAACGATGAATCCAATTCCATACCTGATTCCATCATTTCGCCCGACGGAAACAAATTGGATCCACAAAAACGCTCAGAAAGCTCTGAGAAGCACGCTGCACTTTCAACTGTCTCACCTGCACAAAATGAGTCTGTGAGCCTTACACTTCGTTTTTTTTTCAGAAAGTTAGAATATCTTTCCAAGTTTTTGCCTGATGAACCACAGAAAGCATGCAAAATCGTGACACATTCAATTGAAGTTATTAGTCAATTTTTCAGTCTACATCAGTGAGTTGATAAGATCTTTATCAATTCTATTTCAGCTGATGGAAAAAAGTTTTAATTGCACAATGCATGAATTCATTTTATGTTCTGCACCTTGTCGGCACGTTTTGAAAATCACAAAAGTTTTTTTTTTCAAATTTAATTTAGTAAGAAATTCAGAAAAAATTATTTTTCTTTTTTTTTGCATTGAAAAGTTTCAGAAAATTAAAAAAATTTTGTTTGAAAGTTTATTAGAAGATCCAAAAAAATTAAAATTTATCCATGTTATATACATGACGGTTTTTTGACACATGCATGTTAGGTTTTGATTATTTTTAATACACATAACTTTAAGACATCTTCCGATTTTTCAGAATCATAATCCTGTTTCAGACATCTAGTGCTAGCGAGTGGGGGCTTTGGGGTGAGTGGTCCTCTTGCTCTCAGCCTTGCGGCGGATGCGGAACTCGTACGCGAATTCGCGCCTGCTACGGAGGTGGCAGAACATGCCCGTAAGGATTATCATATTTAAGAAAAAAAGATAGAGGCTACATTTAAAATCAAGAATAATTACTTCAAGTAATCGAGGTGCTATTTCTATCGACGTTGTTACTAGAAACTAATTTCATTTATTTTTGAGAAATTTTAGTGGAAGCAATTTGGTTACCGAGACCTGCAACGCACAAACTTGTACTCAACCTAAAAAAGGAATGATTTGCAATGGAAGGCTCATCATGCCTTGCGAACTCATCTCAAAGCTTCAGTTTGGATCGAACAACGCTTTGAATCCACGATTGAGGGATCTTCAACGTGAGTTTGGCCTTAATCGCCCTTCAAAAATCATATTTGTTGAATTTTTGAAAACTGTAACAATTGGGAGGTCCCCTCTATTCTCACTCGAATTGAGCCGTATTTCGAGAGGGAGGGTCGACATATTTAAAAAATGTATAAGTTGGTTGGTGAGGTTCAAAGAAGGCTAGAAAAAAAAAATTCATTTTTTGGGAATTTTAAAGTTTTCTGAACTTTTAAAAAGGAGCTAAAATTTCATTTAAGTTAATAAATCACACATCAAAAAAACCTTTTCAGAATATTTTATATTACAAGCCATCCGTGAAAGATCAAAAGTGATTATTGAATGAATATCTTCATAGCTTTTTTTCAGACGCTCTTCCTTTGCCCCGCATCGCTGCACGAGAAAGTTTGAGCAAAGAAAAGTGAGGCCTACAACAAAATATTTTGCCAGCAGCATTAACTTCAGGATTGCTCCCGAATCATCTTTCATCAAAAGAGTGAAACGAAGAACGTCCAACCAACTCTGCGAAAAGTATGCTTTTTAATCGTTTCACATTGCTTTTATGGCTCTCTCGCAGGAAGTTCATCTACCAATGCCCGACGGCACTTCTCACCATCAACGTGGATTACAAAGACGACGTCCCACGCGACTCACTTGCGTATCAGGTCAGTTCTTATTCAACGCGAAATCAATCCTTTTTTTATCCTTTTTCAGCAAAGCCAACTGACCTCCGAATGTTGTATTGGCTACACGGCGCAGTCAGGAGTTTGTTATAAAATTAACTAGCTACAGTTCTTTCTGTTTGGTTTCGATTGTTAATAAGGACTTTAATAATGGTAATAATATATTTGTTGACTGTTCGAGTTTTTTTTGTTTTCACATTCTCGAGAAGTTTTCCGTCGCCAGAACCTAATCTGTCATCCACAAGAACGTGTAATTAGTGTGACTTCTCCACGTGACCTTGTTCTCTTCAATACACCCAGACAAAGTTAATAATCTCCGCTGGTTTGCTCAAGTTTTGCGAATTGAATAAATAAAACATTTATTATATTATCAAACCGGTGTTCCACACAAAGTGAAAAAAAATGAGCTATCAAGTTGTACAGAGCATATTGCATATCATGCTGGAAACTTTCAAAAGCAACCCGTTTCTGAGCAAATTTAAGAGAATAGTTTTGAAAAACTATCAAGTTGGTAAAAAATAATGAGCGTTTTTAAGTGCAATTCGTTTCAACATAAAAACGAAAGGAGTGAAGATACTCTCAAAAGGTATCCTCCATTTTTATCAATGACTTGTCGACAACGTCTGTGCAAAAAATGGATGCGTTGCTTGAGGGAGAATTCCGGCGATTGCGAGGTTGGTCGCTTCGATTAATTTCGTGGCTTAGAAATACCCTATTTTCCGCTTTGATCTATTTTTTTTCTAGAACAAAGATAGAAATATAAGCAATATCAAACTTTGGTGCTGATTATGAAGTTGTTTGGCGTGGATTAAAAAAACTCAATTTGAAACGTTTTTTTTTCGATGAATTGAGGTGTTCTAATCTTCAAAGCTCTAATAACCGTCAGGAAAGCATCGGAACTTTGAATGTTATTGGTTGAATGAACAAAGCACAATTGATGAACATTTTAAAAAAATAAAGTCAAAAATTTTTTTGCTTACTATTTTTTTCATACAAAAAAATTCATACCAAAAAAATGCGACCACATAAGCAATTTTTTTCGGTCATTCTTTTCTAATATACTTTTCTCGTACAAATGTATAGTTAACATAGCCGAATTGTATATCAAACGATGCGTAAGAACACGTTCTTTCTAATAAAAAAAACTCTTCCAAAAATATAATCTTATCAGAAAATTACTAACGACCTGATAAATGGCTCATTATTTTTTTTTACCAACCTACTTTTCAAAATTTCAGAGCAAAATAGTGAGAGTAAATAAAGAAAATATCAAAATTGACGCTTTCTTGGAGTTCGAATCACTGTTTCTAGTTCGTCGACCAGCATGACAGTACTGCGAATCTTTGCAAATACATTCTCTGATATCCATTTTGTCGTGCAACCTGAAAAAAAGCCCTGGATTTTTTTTCTTACACAAAGTCATTCAAGGTCTATAAACTTTGACGTTTCGCTGAAACTTATTTGAGAGGCTATTTAGAAACTGCTGTTCTCAGATATATTATCATCAAAAACATTTTATTTCATTTTATCAAAGCTATTAATTGAAAATTATAATTAAAATGGAAATTTTTTTGTTTTAAGTCAAAAACGCAACAAAAACATTCGAAATTATATTTTATTTGCACAGATCGAGGGAGCTCTATGCAAAAAGTTTCCAAACAAGTTTCAGCTTGTTCTTACTTCTTTTATTTCAAGTTCGTTAATTGCTCACTTGTTGCAAGAGTAGTCTGGTCTGCTGTCCATTACCTGCGTATTGATGGCTCCAAAGTTTTCCGCGCATCCTCTTATCACAAAACTGGCCCCTTGAATGAATTTAATTTATTTCAAAACAAACTCGGAAATTCAACCTTCGTTATGATCCACGAGGGAGAGAGTTTGGCAGTAGTGATAATTGCACTGTTGCTTCAATAAAGCCGAGAAATTTTTTGCGCTCACACATTCTGGAGTTACAGCTTCTGGAAGCAAAAATCGAAATTTTCGATATGATTTGCAGACCAAATAACCTTGGGGATAAGTAGTCCTTCTCAGTTCAAGAAAATTTCTGACAGCTTTCCGCAAATCTGTGGAGACTTTGTTGATTGGTGACGCGCAATGGTAGCACCAAAACTTCTCGTTTTGTTGTGGTTCTTCTGTAATAAAACAGTCATTGATTCTAAATTTTTGTGAGGTTGAATGCAGATATTCCTTATTCTGAGGATTTTCTAAAGTTCATGCAGCATTGACTATCCAAAAAGGCGCTTTCATAAGTGGAAAATTGCTGATGAGAAGACACCTCGAAAAGGTAGAAATTATTATTATTTTTTCTTTTTTTTTTGAAATATTTATAAGAAACAGGTTGAAATTTTCATTGAATTCATACAATACGAAACTCAAGCTCATTCGACAGAAACACCGTGGATGATTAATTGAAGTCTGACCTGGTTCGGGCGATCTTAGAGGGTCGGGAAGCGGATCCGCAGGTTGGAAATATTTCCGTGATTTGACGTTTGAAGAGTACAGTTGTTGAGGTTTTTCATAAGTGGGCTTATAACCAAGTCGAGTATATTCTTGAGCTCGCATCTCATTTTCGAACATCTTTCGCTCTTGATCGTTTATCTAAACAAAAGCGGATTTTTTTCAATTCGACTTCAAATCGAAAACCGGTAGAGTCACACATTTTTTGACAGATCCGCCTGGTGGTGTCAGTGAAACCCAAAGTAAACATGTCTGGTCCGCGAGGATTAAAAAATTCTCATATTACTATGGTGCCAGAAACGGCGATAAATTGTAACGAATAATCTTTGGACAATTCTTTTTGAAATCGTGTTACCCAGTGATTTTATACATTTTTAAATAGAAAAAAAATTTTTTTCGAAGTTTCTCGAAAAAAATTAAAAAGTTTACGGCTAAAACGCTAGAACACCTATCACCTGTTAACTTGCTTCAAAGTTCTTATTGCAATTTTTGATATCGCTGCAACATCAAAACTCTAAGTTTTCTCTCGTAGCTTACAGTAAAACCAGTTTTTCATGGCGTTTGGGGTAATCGCGTTAAGTTTCAAAGGTTTTCATACTCCTTTCCTCTTTTGATGTTAGAAAAAAAAGCGAGCGACTACTACGTTTCCGTAGAGTTTTCAGTAGCGCTAGAAAAAAAAGAAGTGGCTGTTTATGGGCGCGTGTATTCGTATAGTCACATATGTTAATGGTAAATCGATGAGCGATTCCCCTTTTTTTCAATTTTCAAGCGTTTCATGAGGATCCTCGGAAGGATAATTTTGAGCGAAAACGTGAAATTTTCAGAATGATGATCAGAACACAGAAGCGGAAACCAGAGCAAAAATCGAAAAAAAAGCCAAGGTAAGTATCCTTGATAGAACAAATCACCGTGAGCGTTTCGAAAAACTAGAACTAGACAACAGGAAAGTCAAAGAATCTCAAGTTTGTTATTCGATTTGTTCGATCGAAGAAAAAATCAATTAGTTTTCTTGCACAGAAAAAATTTAAGAGATTCAAAATTACTAGCATTTGCTTTTCGTGTACGTTTAAAAGAAAAAATGGCTATTCATCAAAGCAAACAAACCTTCTTCTAAGAATAGGTGTCCACTTGTATTTTCGTTTGAAGCCCTCCTTATTTTGGTAAAAAACTTTCTACATACACCTCAGCAAAAACGTTTTCCCACAGTGATACTTCAAAACAAGTTATAAGATTAACAATTCCAATATTTAAATTATTTCTTCTCAAAACAAAATACTTCAAAAAAACTCACGTCCTGAATGCGGCGATCTTCGTCTTCTTCAGTCCAACGTCTACCAGTCGAGCTCCAAACAACCAGAAAAAACATCAGAAACATCAGTGCGGACGTCATCGGAGATCAAATCGAGGAGAAATTTGAATGAGTGACTTTCACCACGCCAGCGCGATCAATGCAAAAACGTACAGAAGGGTGCGAAGCCCCGCCCATCACCTCAATTTCAGTGGAGAAACAGGGCCCTCCTCGATTCTGAGCGCACGGCACGGCCATAGACAATTGCGTCCTATTATGCGTGGCGACAGTAGGGAATAGAATATGTCCTTCGATCTTTTGTCTTCGTTTCCACGTTCACATGCAGGTTTCAGAAGATATAAATTGTTTGTGTGAAGTTTCAGGAAACTCTCTTTTCTATACAGCTATTAAAAAAGATTTCACTTTCAGTTTTTTTTCCGTACCCTTAAATTCAGTCAAAAAACTATTTTTAGAGAGATCGTAAGACCATTTTGTAAATTAAAACAAAGAAGGGCGTTCTACTTTGAGGTTGGGGATTCCTGAAAAACAGCCCAAACACTCTTTGAAGAGCCAGATTAATATCCTGAATGTCTCAACCTGTACAACTTCCTACTTTTAGAGAAGGAACTCCTCAAACTCTAGGAGAACGTTCGGAATATGGCTCTTTGAGCCTTTATTTATTGGAAACAAAAGATTTTTTCCGGTTTGAGAATTTTATAATTTCTTCCGAGGATCCTCATTTTTTCCATAAGGTCCATAAAAAAAATGTTCTCGCCAAATTTCAGAAAACTCCCGACCGTTTATTGTGCTCGCAAGGAAAATGACTTTTCTTGTGAGCACAATGAAATCAACGAATTAGGCAAATTGAAGTTTTCAGACCCTTCATCTGGATCTATTGACTGGTCAAAAAAATTCTCTTTGTAAATGTGAGCGCTTTCTTTCGGAAACAATGTACCAATCATTCATTTCTTTGCGTTTTCTGACCACTAGCAAGTTGAAAAAGTCGATGATCTTTATTTTTTGATTCAGACGATTCTTATATCTTGCCAGGCCATCTTACCGCGACTGCCACATTCGAGCCGGAAGACGATGGCCGCGGCAGAACAAAGGCAGGTCGAATGTGTGAGATCTCCCACCTCTGAGAGTCGTATCTTCCATTCATCTGACCCAGGCATTATTTTCCGCAAAGGAAAATGTCCTCTCCAGTGTTTGCCAAAAAGGTAGGAGGACCAAGGCAGAAGTGGTGGCAATTAATTACCGAGCATCATTAAGGCCAACAGCGGGTGGTCTTCTCGTTCCTAACAATTCTTAAATGATGCTAACGACGGTATGCAGGCTGGATCAAATTTTTGATTTGCATAATTTTCAAAACGACGCAGCTAATGACGCCACCAGGACTGTGGCTTTTAAGGAAAGTCATATTCGGAAGTTGAAGCGAAAAGTTAGCCAGATTTCTCTTCGATCAGTTGAATGAAAATTCTGGATAGCCTAGCGAAATTCCTGGGTCTTGAGAAAAAAAAAACCTTCTGAAGTCTATGAAAAAATCGCAACACGGCCAAATTGGCCCTGACATTTTGATCCCAACTTTTTCAAAAAATTTTTGCTCCGGTGGTTTCGACTTTCAGGCTTGTCCGTTCGTACATCAAAAATTAACAGGCCTTTCAAAAAAAAATCTACACCCGAAACGACAATAGTTCTTGCTAAGAGTTGGAAAAAGGATACTCTGAAATTTGAAAGAAATTCTGTGAAAATAAAACTTTTTGAAAAGCTCAACTCGGAGCATAAACTTTCATTTTTGCGAATTGTAATTCAAAAAATTCAAAAAAACTATTAATAAAACTTTAAAAAGAAAAATTTCTACTTTTTCCCTTCGTTGCCCCTCATGAACTGAGAATTCAGCAACTCCAATTACATCTTTATTAAAAATAAAATAAGTTTGGATTATCAGCATTTGGACCTACATATTTATTATTGCACAACTAAACTAATAAAAACAGATTATTGTGCAATTTTGAAAAAAAGAACTGGAAGGATCGACGAATGAAAAAAGTGTAACACGTGTGCAGGAGAGGCGATACAAGGGAAAAAATAAGCATGGAAAATAAAATTCAGAAAATGTTAGTTTTATAGAGTGTGTTTCGTTTTTATGATAGCCTGTTATTCGAGGAGTTTTGGTTAGGTGAGGTAGCGCTAAATAGAGTTTTGAGGTGGGTTCGCGGTTGCAGTTGTATGCACGTATCTAGATGGATCACCGAAGCTAATAGACCTGTGGAACAAAAAAGATGCTAGTGCAGTGTCTGAAAATGAAAATGAAGTCCCAGCTTCATGGGTTACAAAGGGCTATCAAATGAACTAATATACTCAATTTACACAGAAGCCAGTGAAAAAAGTAATTGATATTGAAGAGTCACCATAAAATAAGAAAAACTACAAGAACCCTAAATATTTCAAATAACTTCACCGTATGTTATACTAGGAGGGTTTTGGTCAAAAAAAAAAACAAACTTCAATCATTTCGCAGGAAAGAAGAGAAGAGCTTCTCAGGGAGGGGAATACAAAAAAGACGTGAAAGGGCGAAATCAAGCCGATCGATAATTTTTTTTATGTGGATTCTCACAATAACATCACTCAGAAGGATAAAAGGGTGGGGAAATTAGAAAAAGATGCAAGAAATAAACTATTGTGGAAACGGGAAAGCCAGTTGAATCACAAACATAAGAATCTAGGAATACAGTTGACCAATCGAGATACCGAAGTAGACCTTAGAAGAGCTCACTGGTACTTTCGATCCAAAGAAAACCGTATTCAAATTTGTTGAACCAAACAAAATTGAAAAAAAAGCCTATACAAAAGCACAAAAAAGGAAGTCTTGAACCGTGTCGACACCGATACTTGAAAAAAGAAGTGTGGATACATCGGGCAAACAGAAGCGTCAACCGGGAATAATTCAAAATGCCACGAACCGTACAATACGTTGTTGCGTTCGCAATGGACCTTGAAAAGTCTTCGAAAAATTCACGAAGAACTTAGAAATTGACAAGCAAAAAGTTGTAAGTTCCAATGCAACGTTATCAAATCAATAAGTGGTTATTGACCTGATAACTTGTAACGATAAGAGTAGCATGAAATTGAGTAAAGGTTTAGAAAAAATGGGGTGCAAAGACAGGATAGCGGAAGGGCTAATATAGCCAGCAATATGGAAAAGAAGCGATTTTATTCAATTTTGAAAAACTCCTTGGGCAAGTCGGCTGCTTCTTGAGGTTTCACGACACCCATGAAAATCATGCCGGCGTGAGTCGAAATATCCTGAAGGTACATGATTTTTAGAGAGGCTGTTGAAAATAGTTCTAAAAACGGTAAAAAAATTGAGTAGTTCTCACGTTCAGCATGTGAAGAGCCGTTGGAATGCGAGAAAAGAGCCGTCGAGCGTTGTCTCCATACAAAGAAGTGAGATACCTGAAAAAAGTTTGAATTCCTCAACTCAAAAGCTCAAAAATTCTTTGAAGGCCTTGTAAAAAAACTTTTAGAAGGCCGGTTGGACGACGAAAAAAATTTGGCTGAACTTTAAAACCTCCCAATTTTTTTGAAAAAAAGTTTTGGGGAATTAAAAAATTGTTTCTCTTTTTTTCTTTGTGAAAATTCAGACGACTGAAAAAAATTTTTCGAGCAAATTTCCCAAAAAAATCAATGAAAATAAAAAAATAATTTTTTTCAACCTGTTGAGAAGACACATGAAGTGGTCGTGCTGGATCGTTACAATACGAATATCGGAATCGCACATCGGAGGATCTCTCCGAATCGTGAACAAAACGGCGCACATCACTAAGTACACCGCCAGTTCGTTCTTTTTCAACTCTTCGTCAAAGAAATGGAAGAACCTACAAAAATTATTCTTCTTTTTTTCTGTTTCAGATGTCTTGAAAAACCTCAAGCATTTTTCTTTCTGCGATTGTGCGTTGGCTGTGAGTTTAGCAAACATGTCATCAACATTCACCTGAACTTTCATTCTAAATTTGTCTCAAGTTGAAATATAGACTGACCGAAGCAACGACGCCTTTGATAGTAGGTGTAGTGAATGAGTTTGTGGCCGTATCATAACGGGTCATGCCACGAATTGTCAGCATTTCAATCATACCACCTGCAAAAAGAAATATGATATATTGAAAATAATTTCAGAAAACCTTTGAGCAAAGAGAGTTTCCCATCCTGCGTGAGGTCGTGAAAAGCCGGAATCCGTTTGGCGACGCGAACGAAACGACGCATACCAGCGTCAACGATGTGCAAAATGTCGACCGGCATTTTGTTCACCTGAGAATTTCTTCTAGATGAAATCAGGGCTTTAGAAACTTACTTTCAAAAAAGCTTGAACGGAAGGACCTTGCTCCAGTTGGTCATCAATGTCGTAAAATGCTTCTTTTACCTTCAAAAATTAACAGTTATTGAGTTTATTCAATATTTCACCACGTCCAAAGCCCGAAGCTCTGCAGCATTGAGCTGGTAGTTCACACGTTGGTCAGGTGGGAAAAACGAGTCGTACTGAAAACTTTCTAAATTTTAAACTCCAATTTTTCGTCTTACCAATTCCGGTTTTGGCAGTATGCATGCACCTTCGGCGTTTGAAGGCTGTACGTTGGTGTCAGGACTGTCAAGGGCTCTTTGGATGATTGTATCGTAGAAGAGATTCATCCGACGCCCGAATTCTTCGGTCGAATCACCACCAAAGGCATTTGCCATGCCCATTCCAAATGATGACAGATCGAAGCCCTGACTCTGAGAGCCGTGTCCTGAATGGGGATTTATTTTTAAAAATTATCCCACAAAATTAATCTAACCAGAAGAAGCCGAGTCGTTGCGTGTGTTTTGCATCTCGGTCAGTGGAAAAGGCGGTGTGTTGTTATTCATTGGAATTGGCTGTTGGCCGTTTTGAGGTGCCGAATAGGCAGTTCTGAAATTGTTCAATTTTTATTTCTCTTGATGGAGCGTTGAAAAACTCTGAGTGAAACCGCAAAATGTGTGCAGAAAAAGGAAACTTGTATAATTTTTAGGGTGAATGAGGTATACCTTTTGCTGGTCGGCTCGTCCCCATCCATCGAGTGCGATCCAGGAATGCGCGCCAAAAGTTGTTTGTATTCGAATTCAGAAAGTGTAACCTGTTATTGAGATCATTTGGTTCAAACTTCAATTACATTACTGATTACCTTTCCTTCAGAATCGATTTTTGGACGAGGTAAGTTGGGCTGATGATTGACCGGCATCCGCTGTGACATGATAATGTTAGGATCATACTGAACATACTAGATTCTACAACATTTTTTAGACAAAAAAAAGTTTACCCCTTCTGGGCTGGCGCTGTCGTTGTTATGAAGCATGTTGAGATGACGCGAAGGAGGCGAATCAGAAGCTGTTGATCCCATTGGTGACGTCATTGGATACTGAAATATTTCTGTTTATGAAGCTCTGCACTTCGGATGCGCTTGAAAATTTTGAATCGAGTAAAAAAAAAAAGCAACGAACAGTTTGTCCACCAGGAGGACTCACGAGCGTAGAGGCCAAGCATTGATTCCTGCTGTGCTGATTCATATGATGGGCCGTCTGGACAACTTATTTATTGGCAAGCTTTCACAGTTTGGATTGTTACCTGAGTTTCCATTGGAGTGATGGAAAGAGGTCGCTGTGTCTGTTGTTGCTGAAAACTCTTGCATTGTTCCAGTACTGACAATTTTCACTCCTGATGGACATGCAGTTAAGATTAAAGATTTAAGGTTATTTAGCTCTTTTCTAACACTGAGAACTGTCTAAGAAAGAAAAGAACTCAGATTTTTGCGTTTTTTTTTTTGAGTGTTTCCTAAGACTGTTCATTTTGAACTTTCGAGAAGTTCTAACTAATTTACAAATTTCGACTTTTTTCATTCTGAATAAGTTCAAAGTTTTCTTGGATATGAACAGGATACTGACATAGACTGCGACGGCCGGATTTGTTGGCATCGAAGGCTGTTGCATTTGGTGGTGCTGTTGCGTTCTTTTCGCGCTCGCCACATTGTTCAGGCGCGAGTTTTTGCGCCGACGCAGCTGGTCTTCATTCAGAATCCATTCCTTTTTCATTCCGACCTACAACTTCGAGGGAGAAGAAATTGGCAAAAAATGAAAATTTTCTCACCGTGAAGCACTTTCTAAGACGACATTTTTGGCAGAATCTGCGGCTGACGGCATTGATGTCACAGTCTTCCGAGTACGGACATTTGAATTCCTGCAAAAGGAGGCTTTTTAAACTTCTTCTCGGTTTTTTTATTTATTTTTTTGGCTTCAAAACATTGTGAAAAAAATGTTTTTTTAAGTATGTAAAAAAAGCTTGAAAAGTTTTGAAACCTTAGGACGAAGGGCGTTGCGGCGGAAAAAGGCTTTACAAGACTCGCATGTGATGACGTTGAAGTTGTAACCGGTGGCGTGATCCCCACAAACGCGACAAGTTTTCTGTCTTCGCCGACTTTCCTGGAATACAGTTCTGGTTCACTCACTAAATAAGTTTGGAATACCTCAGAACCCTGATCACCACTATCGTCTGGAGAAGTGCAAGCTCCGCTAGTTCCATCTTCCATCTTCACCTGACCGTTGAGACCCGAGTACCCTGAAAAATCAAAAACTTAAAAATTATACAACGAGTCTTCTCTATCACACCGTTGACATTGGAAGGATGAGAACCGAGAGCCGGTGGACTGTGAATGACCGGATCATCTGGAGTGCTCAGAGGCGGCTGTAATTATTTTTCAAAGCATAAACCATTATTCATTTTTTTTTTGTAATGTTTTTGTTTTTTTCAATCATCAAGAAAAGACACTTGATAGGCTAATTTTTTTTTCTGAAGTTTGAAAAAAGTACCGTCACGTTTTGAAGCAGTCCTACATTATTCTGTAACGAGATCAGTAATTCGTTGTAATAAATATTAGTCAGCATTTGGAAGCACGCCAATTTAAAAGAATCGTCCTCGAAAAGAACGGCGACTGGCGATTCATCAGCCGCCATCAGTTGCAAGAGCCAAGAATTGCTCAGAAAATCGTTCCAGTCGACCATCTTGGGCGCGTTGAAAGAAGTAAATGACGAGCCGCAGCAGGACGAAAAAGGGCAGCGTGTGTGACGGTCGGACGCGTCGGCATGAGCTTTCAACTTTTTCAGAGCGCGCCGTGGTGAGAACCAGAGGTTTCCGGCACAAAAGACCCATTTTGCTTGGAAAACGCCCATGGTTGCGTTTTCAAAAAAGAGCCTGCCGTCTTCCCCATGTTGCGTCACAGGGAACACAGCAGCAGTTCAAACTGCTGGCTCTTCTCTTGGCAGTTTCAAAGGCTTTGAAACCTCGATCTAACCGTTTAATTCTCACCCGTTCCAAAATGGAAGCTTGGAAGTAAGACTTTTAAAAGTTTTTTTGGATCCTATTTAATATGCACTTCAGAACAGCTTCATTCTAAATCGGCTTCAGGAAAAAGGAAAAAGGGGTTTTTCTTAGTTTTCAAAGCTCCACTTCTCATAGGTAGTGGCACAAACATTTTTGGAAAAATGTGTCACATTTGCCCCTTGACTGGCAGAAAAGCCCTTCTAACTCTTCACTGATCAAAACGAAAATGGCAAGCTGAAGTTTGAGTTTTGGGTTATTCTTGTTTATAATAAGGTTTATTCATTTTATCAGTTATCGGATCTCTCGAAGTGCAGAAACTTGCCTTGTTGTAGAACTTGTTGAGCACACTCCAGTTGAGGTAGTTCTGCGAGTGCAGTAAATTGTCCGCCATCACTTTTTACACAATGAGAAAGGAAAAAAGACGCTTTGGGCTGGGGTAGATTTCCACTAGATGAAATTGTCCCGCTGTGAATTCACATTCACTGTGAACTCTACGCGTAAGATTGTTGCATGGAACTCCTCATTTACTCTCCTAAAACCGAACCATTTTTTTTTCATTCAACCATAACGGGATGAAAACAAAGAGTGAAAAATGATCGAGATGAGCTTATTGACTCCAAATAATGGGCAAAGGGCAGAAGCAAAAGTTCACTTGAACTTTAAACAATAGTCCAAATTGCGAACGAAGACGTTAGCTTTGAAAAATGACGGACCAAGGATTTCTCATCGAAAAATGAGTGGAAACAGGAGATTTGATGCAATAGGTAAAGTTTCGAGAAAAATGGTATCATTATTTCTTTCAATTTTCGATTTTCTGGAACTGAGTTATTTTCAAGGAAATTCAAAAAAATCGCTGAAGCCCACTCCAGTTGTTCCTACATATCCATAAATTTACAATAAGACTTTTAAGGAATATTTCCATCCGTCTAAACGACTGCGCGGAGTTCTGAAAAACAACGCGTTGTTTTGGCGGACGTGCCGCTTTTTTTCCAGGAATGATCAGACCCGCCCGCCCTTAAGAAGTCTCTTTCGCATCAGCGTGCGAAGAAAAAAAAAATAATATACACGTATATAAAATTTTGTTTTGACGACGTTCACCGTAAGCCTTGTTTCCCGAATCGAAAAAACACGCTTTGAACGTTTGCTTGGAGTTTGGAATATTTTCAGAAGTCGACGCAAAGATATACTTATAGAATTAAAGGAAGCTTTCACTCTCAATGATTGTCTATGAAACATCCCAAAATTGTAAAAACTTCAAATAATTTTCACTGATCGTTCATGTTTAAATTAGGAACTTGAAAGAAAAAGCTGAGGTACTTCCTCACGTTTTTTGTTCTTCTGATGGGTTGGAGGTTTTCAAAACTTAATTTTTCACTCATTGATATAGACATGGTTTTTTTGTGTGATGGAATGATTCCCATCTGAATAATTTTTAATTCAGTTTTTGTGTTATCAGCATTGAAAAAGCAACAAATGACGTTTGCCTGGGGGTCATGCCGTGGACTACGGTATTAAGCGATTGAGTGAGTTATCGCGTGAGGGGAAAATTTCACCCCCAGTGAGCGTTTTTTTCTGCCTGCGTTTTTGCGACCAACCCAAAAGACGACGATGTTATTCAAGTGCTGATGGCGCACACGAAAAACAACCTCGAACGCAAACGTAAGGGACAGACCCAGAGGCTGCGGAAATAGCGCGCCTCAGACGTTCGAAGCAAAAAAAGGCACCTCAAAAACAAACGCAAAAAATTATTGGCCGAGAACGTCAAAAAAACAAAAGTGAAGGATAAATTCTATCGATCAAATTTGTCACAAAAAGGGAAATTTCTTTATAACTCAACTAATACGTGTTTTAAATATTCTGAATCATTGCTGATGAACTTCAGGCAGTGACAGGAATGCCCAGTACTTGCCCTTTTTTGACAATCTACACATTGTTGGAATCAAATAAAAAGTTTAACAAGTGTCGTTTATAACATATTCAAAGCTTATTCATAACAATGCTTGGCGGAGCAGAAAGCGGATTCAACTAAAAGAACACTGAAGGATGGTTTGTGTCTCTAATAAATATTTTCGATTTGGTTATCAAAAACTTCAAAATTTTCTTTCTGGTCCTAAGAACTTTTCCGCACCAATGCTTGAGAGCCAGGAAAGCAAGCTTGACGTCTATATCATTGAAAAGTCTTTGACTTGGAGTCTTCTTCTTAGTCCTTTAGAAGATGTAACAAGTTGACAATGATACGGTAAGATTTTTAATAATACCTGATACAGTTCAGCCTTACTTACAAGATAAAACAAGACCAACCTTATAAGGGAAGAGGTTAGAACAATTCTCCTATTATGAAAAAATTTCAACAAAGTAATGAACTAAATAAAAGAAAAACTTGAAAGAGCCAAAAAAAAGTTCATTGTGTCAAGATCATGGGTTTTTCTATTCCGACGGACTCTCTTCGCTCACTTTTTCCGTCCTTTTTCTCACTGGAAACCGGCCAAACACGCGCTCATTGGTGCAATAGCTTGACTCCGCCCAAGAAGAATCCACCCCTTCTGCTGGCACAGCCGAAACATGCCTAGGTTACGGTTGGAAGGAAATGATAACGCTCATAAAAAGTCAAGTGAGAATAATTCAAAATTATTTTGAAAAGATAAAAAGTCATGAAAATATTAAGAAACAAAAGAGAATTATGAAAACTCGGCTTCATCTAACTTTCTTTTTGAGAAATGGAACAGGGAACGCCTGAACGCTTGAGATTACTATGAAATTGGCATTATGGTAAGGCCGCCAAGGTAAGGAAGCGTGAAATGTCAAATCAAGGCGTGGGTGCAGGAAAATCCAAAATGTGAAGCTTACTAATAACTATTACTTAAAATCAGGTTTTTTTCCTTTGAACGATTTTTCTTTCATAGAAAAAAACTTCAAAATTAGTTTTTTTATAATTGAACTCTCGAAGCACTCCATTAAAAATTTTGTCTTCCAGAATAAAGATGAAGAAAAAAATGGTACAAAAAGAGCTTTTTTTGAAAAATTTTTTGGGTTTTTCGCAAGTTAATAAGGTAATTCTCAACTGACACAGAAGTCTTGACGTAGGGAAAACGAGAAAAAAGAGGAAAAGGACAGGATAAGGTGAAAACATGAAGTGCATAAAAAGGGCTTCAGCGGTGTCCCTGTAAACACGCGCCCTCACAAAGTACTGTAGGTCTTTTGAAAGGATGAAGTTCATTGTTTAGATTTTCAATTATCAAACTTAGAAAAAAAAGTTTTGATCCGGTAAAATGTTGAAAAGTTCGAAAATCAAGGAAAAAAAGTGTTTTGGTTTACTGCCATCTTTTTTTCGGCTTCCAAGAAGAAAAATCTTTTTTTCTTGGAAGCTCAAAAAGTTTTGATTTTCTTACTTAAGCAAGTTTCACACTATAAAATGGAAGCATTGAAAATTTTGATTTTCGACTTTCGTTACGTCTTTTTTCTGCCTTAAATAAATGCACTCCTTCCTAGTTTTGTCAATTAGTTCTTGACATTGAGCTAAAGTTATCAAACTGGATTTTCAGTCCTGCCAGGCTCGTCAAACGCAGGTCTTTCATAACTAGAGACTACGGTAGCTGTGATATTTGTTTTCGGCGAATGAGAAAACAAGTCATGATATGCTTCGATGCAGAGATTACAAGAAAGGCTCATTTGACAGATCTCTCAAAGGAAATTGTTAACACTCTCAGAAGAAGGGATACTTCGAAGTACCCTAATCGCCCATGATTATGAAACAGCATGAAGAAGTCAAAAAAAAATATCATCTCCAAAATTTAAAGTATCTTAATAGATCATCGGTGGAGCTTATTATTACTGTCTACTGCAACTCAGACAAAGATCAAAAACTGTTGAAGAGATTTACTTACTGTGTCCAAGAATATTTTCAATCCGATGCAGCGCTCCCGGAAGGAAAGCGCTACTCTTAGCTACTTTCGACTCAAAATAGAGGCTTTGGAAAAGAATATTTCGAATTCGAAGATTGTTTCTTATTAAAACCCAACAAGCTCACGTCCACTATTTATCATAATTCAATAGTTTCGGACGCGTATTCCTCTTCCTATCAAGTGCGGTAGCAAAAGTTGGGCTCTGATGAAGTTAACGAAAATAAAAATTAACGAAAGTTAGGTTTAGTCAACTGAATCAAGGATTTTCTCAAAGCAAAAGAAATGATTCGGAACTCGGATGTGTGCTCAGAGAGGACTTTCGGCAAGACTCCAGGTGCTCGGAGTTATAAGATCAGCTTGTGCCAGGCTGAGTACGGGCAGCAGCAAAACATTCAGGCTGAAAAGGGTCCTCTGCTTGGGAATGAAGGGGGTGCCACGAACGAAAAACATCAACAGACAGCGTTCCCTCAGCCGCGCCGACGTTCCGACGACGCCGAACGCTGGCAGTGCACACGTCGCGAAAACAAGCTCCCAGAGAGCGCATCAACGCCGGAGGGCCTGGACGCGTTCGCAAAAAACACTCGGGCGCAGTGCTTTGGCGAAAAATACTACACTAGGAACTTGGACACAAATTGGAACGGCCTTGTTTGAGACTACCATCGAAAAATTGCTCGGGACACAACTTCTCGGAGTACTTTCCCAGGCGTTGCTTCTCCGTTCTTAGAGACTATAGTCCTATCATTTTCAGTCATCATACGATTAACAGATTTCTTATTCAGTTTTTGAAAGCTTTGAGAAGCCGTTTCGCATTGGAAAAATATCTCTTGAGACAAACTAAACTAGAACTGCTTTTGTTGAGAAAAGCCCAGAAAAATTGCTCGGGACTTAGTTATCCGGAGTGATTCCTCACGCTCATTTTCGCGTCCTCAGACACTACAGTCCTATCATTTAGTGTCATTAAAAATGTAACGTAATCCACAATTTGGCTTCGTTTGAAACGAGGAAAGAAAACACTTGCTCAGCGTGATTTTCATGAAAGAAACGTTCAAAAAAAAAACGTATCCTATTCCCCATGCCGAAGAGTAAAAAAAACTGCCGAAAAGTAATTTTTTCGTGTTCTGAACTGTTTCTCAAGAACTTTCTCATTTTTCTCAGTTTATTGTCAAATTAAACGTTAAAATTTTTTTTTAATCAAAAGTCCAATTTGAATGACCTTTTTGAAAACCGCGGAAAAACTAACAATACTTGGATCGGGAAGAAGCGGTAAACTATAACTTGCGTTTGAAAACTTGCAAGTTACATTATCAGCTACAACTCGTGAATCCGGGGTGTAGTTTTGTAAGGCTCAATTCGAGTTTGGCGCAGCGAGGGAGCAATGGAACGTGCTTCAGTAGCGCCGTGTTTGAGGACTCTACATTTTTCAGTAATTTGCGCCCCACCTTTTGTTTCATTATTGACGTTTTTTTTTGTCATTCATGTTGTTTCCTCTAATAATCAATATTTTATTTGATTTTTTTCGTTTTTGTTTCATCATTCAACCTTTATGAGAAGTAGTTTTTAAATGATAAAATCAGGGAACTTTGGACCTAACTGATTTGATTAAAGGAAATGCGAATTCGAAAATTTACTCATGGAGTTCCAAATTATTGGTTTCATGTATAATATAAATGAATCAATGAAAGCTTTGAAAAAAACTGAAAATTGATGTTAAATTAAAGCTATATCTTTTGCGACCCTAATCCAAATTCGAAGTACCAGAAATCGGGATTTTTTTCACTTTGTGTGATTTAAAATGTCGGAAAAAAACTTGAAGCCTTGTGTTCTTGGTTCTTTTTCGAGGACATTTGGAAAAATACTTCATCTATATTGACCTAAGATAGAAAAAAAGTTTTTTTCATCAAATTTTTGAGTTTTTTTGATACTATGAATTGAATTTTTTTGTAAATCAAAATGGTCAAGATTTTTTTGTAATTTTTTTAAAAATTCAAAACTAGCAATAGCTGAGGTTTTTTGTGATAGTAAATTTTTTTGTTTCAGGAAGACCTTTACTTCGCATAAGTGGAACTCCTTCTCAAAACTATGAAAATTTAGTGAACGGCCATGTGCTTTTTTCTCGTCAGTTTCTGTCTATGATTCGACATTGTCTCCATCAAAACCGGATGAAATGTTGCCATCCGAAAGGAAAAAATTGAAAAAAAAGACAAATGACCGGGCGTCTATGTTGCAAAAGAGGTTTCAAAAAAGGTGACAGAATACGAAAAAATGTACTTATTAATCAAATTCTTCCAGACAGCGCCGTCATACTTTTTTGCTATAGTTCACCTCTTGACAAAGGCGTCTTTTTATCATTTTGATTTACGGCATGGTTTCAGATCGAGAAAATTACTGTTAAGAAGAAGTTAAGTTATAGATATACTCCATTCACCGCTATCTTACGACAATGACTTTAAAGTCGTGAAAACATTCTTTCCCTCAAAGTTTTGCAATTCGTGTGAAGATCCGTCAGTGAACGAACTGAACAAAGAAATTGCAACAAAACTTTCTGAGAAGAAATTGCAATTCGCAACGGAAGTTTCAAGGTTATATGATATAAGTAGCACGCACGGAACGGCTCTTATCGGTCACCAAGGTTAACTGGCACTTCGTGTTTTCCACTACTTGAACCGTGTCAGCCTTTTGTGTTCTCGAAATCAGATGAGATGTCCTTTACTGTATCATAGACTAATTGATCTGGGTTGGGCGGTGAAAAACGCGCTATCCAATTCGTAAGATTAGTAGTCTATGTGATAAGGCTTTATGCTTATTTCAAGTCCAGCTTGGGACAAAACATACTACAAAGATGCGCCGACTTTCTTTTGCACTTATTTTTGCTTATTGTACAGTCAACCATCACGTACTGTCTCATACCAGCAGTGAATGAACTTCTCTTGAGAAAGCTGCGAATTAAAAAAAGAAGAGTTCTATGAAAGATTGAAAAATACCACGGTAGGAAGTAGAACGTCTAAACTATCGAGTCCATCTATTTCCAATAAAAACCCGCGGAATCTTAAGCGTAAGTGTTTGTCCTCATTGGAAGTGATGGACCGCCGTGCTACGACGTTCCAAAGAAAGTCGGTTACTGAAGAAAGAAGATGAAGAATAGATTTGCATGTCCTCGCCAAGGTCGTTACAAAACCGTTTTTTACCTACTCTGAAGTTCTCAGCGCAAATTTTTCAATTTTTTTTGACAATTTTTCTAGTCTGTAAAGAACTTTGATAAAGTTTGTATATTTTTAAAGTGTTCATCTTAGGATGAATTTCGAAAAAGTACGAAACAGTCCACTCTATTTTACTGGAAACCCCGCGACCGGACGGGAAACGCAGAGAGGTTGGATAATGCTTGGAATATGAACTCCTTGCTCTCATAATTCCCGGTTCCCCCTGCTTAAGTTCCTTCAGGTCGTACACGCATTAACAGCTGATTTCAATTGAGACGATCAGCTTCCAATTTGAGACAAATTTTTCTGATTTCAGATAGCGTTAGAAGAACTCCGAATTTCTTTCTCTTGAAGTTCTCGATGAAGTGCAAAAAGAGCGCAGAAAAGGATAACAGTATTTTTTTGATTACTTCCCATTGAAAATTTAGAATTCAATGTTTGAGCTCCTTTTTTGAGCACACTTTCTCTCAGTCGAAAAAACGTAACAGACTCCAAATTTTTAAAAGTTTGTGGTTGATTCAAAAAAGAAATTGAGTGCAAAAAACAGAAAGTCATTCGGCTTTTCTCTTTAACATTCGAAATGTTTTTCAATGGAAATGCTCTGAAAAATGAAATTTTTTCCACAGAATCTATTCAAATTCATCAATTTTCTGCTTTTTCTGCGTAAGAACTTTAACTCACGTATTGCTCGTTCAAAGTATCAGCGAGCTCTCGCATAGGACTGTAGGGTTGATCAAATGGTCCAAGCGGCAAAAGTTCAGGCGTATAAGGAGGCGACTCTCCGGATTCTCTGTGGAACTTCTCCATGAACTCTTCCATTTCACGATCTTCCGACCGCACGAAGTCGTCACAGTCCAAATCAAGACCCATACAGTACCCATAGGAGGATAAGAACGTCATCTCGTCGAGAACTGTGCAAAAGCTTGAGGTACTGGAAAAAACGCATGTTCGGTTGTTTCAAAATAAAAGGAAGAATTCGCGTAAGAAGGGGCATAGCAGAGAATAAATCTATGAAAGCTCGAAAAAATCCGTCTTTAAGCTGAATTACACTTTCTATGGAAATAGCCTCAAGTCTTAGACTTTTTTCGAGTTTAGAAAAAGGAAGAAAAAAGCAGAAAAAGAGTGGATGAAAATTCTAGCCTTATCCGAAATTCGAGGTCAAAACAATAGGACAACCTGTTGAACAGTGTGCCAAACGCAACTGAACGTCTCCAATGGCCGCGGGGCACCAAATCCCCGCCCACCTTAGAAAAAAGGTGGCAAATTCAAGAGAGGCAGAGAGAAGAGACATGTTGCCTCGAGAAAAAAGAAAATGAGAATCGCTCGGAAACACTGTATCAAAGGAAGCGATGCGTGGAGGCTGGCTTTCGAGAAATTGAACATTCTTCTGATAAAGAGAGCGTCGTAAACAGCATTATTGGCTATTTGCAATAAATTGACGGTAAGTGCCCAATCAGCCGCTCATAAAAGCTTCCGTTCTTTTTTTATTTCAAGGATTGTGATATGAACGTGCCTCGATGGATGAAATACCTAGAATATTTATAAAACTTGAAAGAATCAAAAAATCTCTCTGCGTTGTTCTTCTGTTCAAAATCTAGGAAAGAAGGTAAGATCAGAAGAATAAAAAAGTTAAGATACTCTGCAATGTTCTCAGAGAACGTTACGCGTCTCTTTCTGAGAAATTTGTTCAGGTGCCCTTGGCATGGCAAAGAATTTTTCAGATGTGGTAGAAGATAAGAAACGAACGATAGAATGTCTGAGAAAAAGGTCGCAGCTCTTAGAAAGAAAGTATTAGACTACTTTAAAAACTAGAAAAAAATTATTAAGTTTCTTTGAAAAAAATTTGTCTAGATTCAAACGTGAATTTTTACCAATATAAATTTTTGATAAGAAAAGTCACAGCCAATTCAAAGTTTTTCAGAAAGTAGACCAGAAAAGTTTGAAAATTCTAAAAAAATAATTTTTGAAAGACTTATAAAGGAATCCAGCTTTGAAGAGCTAAAACGCCTTGATGTCCATGAAAATTCTCGAATGTTGGATTGGTTTTCTGCTTGTAAATTGAGGATTTACACATAGTAAGATTTTTAGGGTCTTCATTTAGTCCAACTGGAACCGTTCAAGGTAGTTTCACGAAAATTCCAGACTCAAAATTAGACGCCTTTTTTGTGAAAACAAAGCTCTAAAAAAGAGTATTTCTCAAGAAGATTTATCAAGCCAAGACGCCCAGAAGAGTGACTCTTTTTTTTAGCCGCGGATACTCTTATATAGTGGCTAATAACTTCTGATGTTTGTCCGTCTAGCTTCTTATTTTTGCACAAAAAGCTGTCTTGCGACCGGTCTGGTATTTTCCTAGCAGTAGTTCGAGCATTAAGGACATTTTTAATGTGATGACACAGCTTTTTTTTCGGATGCACTTATCACTTGAGTACGCAAATTTATATATATACGTGACAATTTTAAAATTATAATCAAGAAAATCTTCCAAAAGAACAGACGAGACAGATTTGATTGGCATCGATTTTGAAAGAAAAAGTTGTCTGGCCCTTTTTCTTTTTTAAAAAATACGGCTAATCACCAATTTCAAAACTAAAATAGCCCAATTCAAAAAGAATTCACAGTAATTGTAAATTTCTGATTTCAGTGCTTCCAAGCCCACTGAAAGATTTACTCCAATCGAGAACTTCTAATAATTCTAATAAATAAAACTTTGCGACTTTATTTTTACCTCGCCGGCATCAAAATGACTTTATTTCGCATTTGGGGACAAAATGAGTGAAAAAAAACGGCCGACGACGATTTTCTCGCCAACTTCGCAACGCATAACCTATATTCGCGGCGAAGCACAAAATTATGGTTTAAAGACTACAATAACTGCAAAATCAAACTTTGATGAATTTAAAATTGGTTCTGGAGAGTTCCTAAACCCGGATCTTTTTAACGGATGAAAAGTTTGAAAGTTTTACAGTTTTACAAAGTTTTTAACTTTTTTTTTCTCATAAAACAAATGATCTAGTGGAATAAAAAAATTTTCGAAATTGCCGGGAGTTTTTATTTATTGAAAATACTCTTTTCATCTTGTGAATGATTGAATATACATCATCAAAAATTACCCGTTAACCTGATGAATAAGTTAGAGAAGTTCAGTTTTTCACTACTCCAGAAGAAAAGAACTGAGATAATTTTCAGCCATATGTGTTTCAAAATGAACCTTCCTTTTGAACTCAAAAATCGTGTAAAAGGCAAGTGTTCACTATACAGTATTTCTCTTCAGTATGATATTTTTTGATTTTTGCAAACCTTTGATGACTTAAGTACATCTTAGCAAGCGATGAGTCAAATCTCTATGGTAACCGATTTGTTGGAAGACGGCAGCAGATGTCGTTTGGTAGTAAAAAATGTTTAAAAAATGAAAGTAAAGAAGTCTAGACGGTGTTATCATATGAAATTTCTTCGTTGCACTTTGAGGCAAGCTGTCATTCACCTGTCTACAGAAAATACGCCAATAAATAGCTCAAGAATATAGTGTTTGATGTCAAGTGCATACGCAAAACTCGCGAAGAAGATCATTTTTCCTTCATACTTAGGAAAATTGAGAAAATCGCCCTCCTTGCTAAATGAAGAGACTGAAAAGTTTCCAGTTTCAAAATCTCAAACTTTTTAGTTTCCAAGAAAAGTCACTTTCAAGTACTTTGAGGTGTTTGAGAACTTTGAAAAAAATATTTTTTTCAGGATAACTGAAAAAAATTAAAAGTAATCATAACTGTTCAATTGCAAAATATATAGTGCTTTAGAATGTTTTAGAATCACATTGATCTTAAAAGAAAATTTTTAGATTTAAAAAAAAAATAAAATCCGTTTGGAAAGTCTCTATTTTTAAAAAAACTCTTCAGAGTAGAAATAACTTTTTTTACTTAAATTATTTATTCCTTTCGAGGCAGCACCGAAAAGGGACGTGTTACTTTTCTTGATTCATGAGGGAAAAAAAAACGATCGCTGATCTTACCGCTAGTGCTTGTAGCATTTTCTCGAAAGACATCTGAAGCGGGGCAAGTTTAGAATTTTTGTTCGAGACGATCATCCAGAAAAAACTAGCCAGGTAGCAGCAAATCCGAATACTTCGCAGTAATGGTAACCTGGACGCAAAAGTCTGTTTCCAGCGCTGGAATACGATGAATGACTTTCAAAAGGCCAGCAGTCGTTCCATAGTTGTTCTGTTCTAGCTCGAGTTGACCCCAGGCCGACGCATAGTTATATGGAACACATCCCCCTTCGAAATGTTCCGAAAAGGAGCGGACCGACCTTGGTAGAGGTGAAATGTAAAAGGAAATAGTTTTCGTAGAAGAACGCATCAAAAAATTTTTTCTTCTTCTTTTCTTCGCATTTTTCGATTCGAAAACCCTGAATTGCGAGATCGATTTTCTTTGGCAGACCGAAAAAATTTGTTTCAAAGGGCAATAGTATGTATACAATTCTTCTCAAACATGCTAGAAATTTGTTGAAAATACATTTCCCTTTTTTTGAGAATTGCATTTTGCAAAGGAAAAAAATAAAAAAATTTTTTTATTTTTTTGCTTTTTAGCTTTTCTCTTTCGATTAAACAAAAAAATCATCAAAAAAAGCGCTGAAAAAAATCTCAAATATAAATAATTTTTGGCTCTAGAGCGCCCTAAAACTAACAATAGTTGTGAGATACTTGGTAGAATTAGCGTGGAGAAATATAAAAGCGCCCTGGTTGAAGATGTTTTGGAATCTTTTAAGAAATGCTTATAGTTGAACTGTTGAGCTGTTTTTGAAGCAATAAGTGATTTGAATACATGGAAAAAATAATGGTGCAGATCCAGTGTGAAAAGTTGCGACTTTTTTCCGTGCAAATCTCATCCTTGATAGAAATTTTTTCAAAAGAATGCTCAACTTCGGAAGAAATCAAAACTTTTTTTTTTTGACAATTTTTATACCTTTCAAGTGTCTTCCTTAGATAATTTTCACACCCTATCACATGGGTACTTTTGTTTTAACGAACGCAAAAGTCTCGAGAAAAAGAGTAAACTGGTTTGCGACTGACCTGGTCGTCGTCGCTGTTCGGCGGACTGAGACACTTTTGCTTCTCGTCGACCGTCGTCAATGGCCCACATCTTCGCGACCTCTGCAAGATATTTGCTCTGCAGTGAAGTGCTAACTTGAGAAGTTGAAATGAAAAAAAGGAAAAATGCAGTTATCTCGAATTCATTTCACATTGCCAGGAGATTTACAACAATGGACATCAAAAAATAATAAGAGTTGCATTGAATATTATTGAAAGTGCGTGTCGGTTAGGGCGTCAAGTACGAAAACTGCAAAATTGACTAAATAATCCATCAAATTCTAATTCAGTCAATTTTTTTCTGATTCTATTTTTTTAGAATGCTCAAGAGAACTTTTAGTGGAGTTTATAGTATGGAGCTCAACTTTCGCATTATTCCGCAACCAGTTTGGATTGGAAATTTAATCATTTTGAATTTTTTATTTGCCTAGACGTTTGTCAAATCAATATTTCAAATTCAAACATTTCGATTGGATTCCTTGAATCCGTTATCAGCCGCGTACAAGTGCGTACCAGTGCTTTCCACTTTTGGCTGACTTCAGCTTTTCGATTGGAAAAATGGACACAGGGTTCTTTCATAAGCATAGCACTGATAAGCTATCAACTTTCAGATAAGCAACCTGAAACAGGGTACAAGCGTCCCAAAATTTATCTGACTGATGTTCCAAAAAAAATGCCAAGACTCCTTTTTACTTATAGAAGGTCAGGTTTTGGGGTGGTAACACGACAATATTTCTTTGCTTATTTGTACTTTTGTTGAAAAGGTCGAAATGAAGAGCCTGTTAGAAAACCATAGTGAAACATTGATCATACTAATTCTGGAAATATGATATAAATAAGGAAAGTTTGATGGCGCCTTCTCCATCGGAGAATTCTTATTTGAAAAAGCAGAAGATCGAGGCTTCCAGAAAAACAGAATTTTTCCATGAAGTGTAGTTTATCCTATCAAAAAATTAACAAAAAATAAAATAACTGGAAAAAAGATCAAGTTTTTTTTTTGGAAAGCAAAAAAATATTAATAGAAATCACTGACCCTTCTAGTAACTCGTTTACGCCTCTGCACGACAGGGGCTATGTCATCTTCTTCGAGCATCATCTGGGGGTTGCTGAAGTCGCTTATCGTGTGGTTTGGAGCCATCAGCGGCACGTAGCCGCTAAGTGCAACCTGGAATTAAAAATATACACCAATTGCCAAATGAGAGAGGAACAAAAACGACAAGAGAAAACAAAAATAAAATCATCTTAAAGTTCTCCTGCTAGAGCGAAAAAGCTGCTGAGCGCTTGTTATCAATTTGCCGGGTAAGCAAGTTTTACAAAGTGGGCGTGGACTGTTTTTTTTTTCGACTTTTATAAACTGATAATCTTGGGCTTCTAGTCGCTTCATCAAAACTTTATTACTATAATGCGCATGTAAATTAAAAGAAGTTGGAGTCAGCAGAGGTTTAAAAGCACTCCTTCAAAAATGGAAGCAATGGAACTAAAAAAAACCTGGAAAGTGGTGAAAAAATTAATTTATTTCAATGCGCGGTTGTTCTTGAGATTCGATGTAACATGTGATGATATTACTGAGTTGTCTACTGGGAGTTTTTGAAAAATAATACCCGAATTATTTTGAAAAGATGAACTCACATCCAGGGATAATTATCGAAAAAGTTACTCAACAAGAAAAAGTTGAAATGATAAATTCTATCTACGAGAAAGTTGTTTTGTTATGAATCTGTTCACAATAAAATCAAGGCAATGAATTTTTTTTCAATATTTTTCTTTTATCATATACAGAACTTTCGATCCTTTTTTGTCTCATGCACTCGGTCATGAGTTATCACTCCTCTCATCTTTTCTTCCACGGTTCTGCGTTTTTGGAGAAAAACACACAAAACGACCACCCTTGTCTGCGGCAGAGAAAAAGGCGCGTTCCATTATTTGCCTCAAGCCAGGCTGACGCTCGGGAGAAGAAAGGACTCAAAAAAAGTGCGAAGGGAAGAAAACGCGTACTTGCGGATGAGAGAAGCTGCCACTGTGCTTATATATCCTGGCGCTATTTTTGCAAAACGTCTTTTGAAGATAGTGAACGAGTTGAACTCGGAAAAAAAAAAGTTGAACTTTAGCTATTAAAAAAATGCGCCTATTTATTCCAAATTGCACTTTAGATGAGTTTTATGCATTGATTTGAAAGGTTTTTTTTTGTGTTTTGGTCTCTAAAAGCAGTCAAAAAGGGGATTTGAAGCAAAAATAATAATTATCTGATAACTTTCTGAAGAATGAAATAAGGTTACTTGTTCACACTACGCCACTAATTTTTTTTCGAACGAAAATTCTAAAAATATCCAAGTCGAACTATTTTTTATGTTAGTATTAAGTTAAAAAGGAAAGAAGCCGTCTTAAGAAAGTCGGGAATTTCAAAAGAAGTTACTTGTTGAATCCAATCGAAGAAAAAGTTTACTCTCCAATATCAATAACCGGTTTTTCGTAATTTGAAAACTAGATAATTATAAACAAGTTTTCTCGCAAAGAAACTCTCGCACAAGTTTCGAAAGAATTGAGGTAATTTAAAATCGATTCTAAACTGGAAATATTGATGAAATATCTGAAGGGTGAGTGCAGTTGGAGCTCAGATAAAGCAGAACTCAAAAAAAAAATCAAAGCCTAAAAAATTGGATAGAAGCGTAACGAAATGCCACACACGGCTTCAAAAATGGGACAGAAGACAAGATTCCAAAAGTGCAAAGGAAAGCGGTTTGCTGTGGGGTGGGCGCATTTCGAAGGAGGAGAGAACCGTTAGAATGAGAAAGAGAAATGACGACGGTACAGAAACGACATGGAGTTTTTTTGCGCTGAATGATCAAAAATTTACGGCCACAAACTCTTCAGTTCTGAAAAAAACGGAAGGAACGACGGCCATGTGCCCTTCGCAACATCGACCCGCCCAGTCGCGTTTATTTTATTCCATTTGGTCCCTGCGATCGCTTTTTTTCACTCAGAATTCTCGGTTTCCACTTCAAAAAACTTTCTAGAAGTTTTCAAAATGAATCTCAATGTAAAGACTACATCAAAAAGTTATTTTTTAAACAAAAATCAAACTATTTGCAAATTTAAAGGTTCCGAATTTTTATCTTGATTTGGTTTTCAAGGAAGGCGAAAAAAGCGCTAAAAATTAACTTTAAAAGAGCTTCTCAAATCGGAAATTGGAACAAATAGCAAATGAATATTTTACTGTTGAAAAAAATTTAATCTCTTGAAAAATTTCTTCTATTCGGCGGCTGAAAATGTAGTTTGAGTGCAACAGGTAGAGTTTGAGATAACATCAACCGAATAGATGGAAAGTGCTTGAGTCTCTTGCACTTAATTAGGCGCTTTGAAGGTCTACTTTTTTTCAATTTTTTTCAAATGTGGATGTAGGAAAAAGAAAGCAAAATAAAATTATGGAGAAAAATATGAGTAGTTAGTTAAAGCACTTGCAAAGACTTGAGCTTTTAATGTTTTTAAAGTTTCAATTTTTTAAAGACAGCTTGTTGTGCTGTGAGCCAGTTAGTATTCATAGAATGATTAAAAATCGAAACTAAAATAGACCAAGTTTACCGGAACACGGAATGAAAAGAGATGGTGAACAGATACAGGTCAAAAGGGAGTGAGAACAAAGGAAAATTTGGAATAATTCGGAGGAACACAAAGAAAGCGCTGTTGGAATGGAGCGCCTGGGGGTAAGGGACAGGACGTCAGGGTGAAACATCCACCGCGAAAAACGAACGCGTCGCACTCATAAAACGCACATCGAGCGCTCACCGACACACAACAAATACATATAAATCGCGTACAGAAGTCGCGGCGGAGAAAGACGAAGACGATGAAAATAGCGCGGGGATGTGAGAATCGAAAGCCTCGAGGTTGCGCGAAAAAAGAAATGGACGAAGTACCAAGGAACGGTAGAACGAGTAGACCGCGGAACACTCGATTGAGGTAGGGAGAAGCCTTGGACTCGCTTCCAGAACTATTTGAGTAGGTCAAAAGGTAGAAACACGTGATGCTTATACCAATCGTCATTTTTTCTCTTCCTAAGATTTTAAACTTGTCTTGTAATAGAAAACACCTTACTTTCATTTTTTTTTTCTGAAAAATGGGTTCATCACTTTCAATACTTTTATAAACCCGCTACTGTCCAAAAAAAAAAATCGTTAGTCCTTTTTCCAAGTTGATGGAGTAATTCGGCGTCAAATCAGGGCAAAAGAGACCTCAATAAGTATGCATTTTGGAGAGTGTTAACTTTTTTTCTCTTCACACCAAAACCTTGTCGAATCTTTCTAAAGTTGAAACTCTCTGAAAAATTTCAGCAGATTTGAGATTGAGAAAATCTTCACACAACCTAGAAAAACCGGTAAGTGAAAGTGAAAGGTCGCGACTGTCCTGATTGCAACTGGCCATGAATGATGTGCCCAGCGGCTATGTTACACTCTAAGCTCGTCGCAACTCTCTTTTTTAATCCCCATTTGATTGATAAAAAGTTCCGCAAAAATGCCTAACTTCTGAAATAAATTTTTAGGTAATGCTATAGTCAAAGACTTCTTTTCTAAAAAAATGTACGTTTTTTCAAAGATCAAAAGATCACTTTCACGAACTTTGACCCTAAAATCTATACTTATTCGTGCTCTGAAGACCGATTTATAGAAAATAGTATGGTAACTTGGAAGATATTCAGACATAGAAGTTTCATTTGAAAACTGAAACAATTCATTTGTTTTTGTACTTTAAAACTTGTTGTTGAAAAAGAGCTGGAATAAAAATGATGCGGATGTATAACTATCAACGTTTTTCAATTGTAAAAAGTAAAAAGAATAAATTAATTTTTTTCCGGTTCTAAAAGTGGATTCGGGGTTCTGAGTATTTGAATGAAGATTTCTTTTTGATAATTACGATTTTTGAACTGTGAAGATCGAAGGGAAAATTTCCAATCTTTTGATGGTGATTTTTAATAAAGAAATTTTGCAATCTGAACTGAGTTTGGATCAAAGAAGATGGAACCAGGACTGAAAACTGGTAAAAAGGAACGCCCACAAGCTTTTTCACACTGCTTTGTTGTTATAAATCCACATAATCTGAAGTCCTGGCACCGACATCGCCAAGGCTGGAACGGACGCGTTTTTCCGGACGGCAAATTTAGGCCCAAAGAGCCGCCGTTCTCGCGTTCCTCCGCCGAAATGTTTCAGAGAGTCGTTTTTCTCTCTTTTTGCCACCGAGTCTCTCCGCCGTGGGAAAGCTATTTCGAAAACGCGTGGCGCCCTGGCCAGTATCATCTCGTGCTGGGCTCCTAGATGTTCGTCCGTTCAGAGTGTGTGCGCTCCGAGTATGACCTCTGATCGCGCTTTTCGCAACAAAATGAACGCTCCTCCGAGTGTTCTCGTTCCTGGGCCAAAGCCTGGCACTAAAAACAGCGTTCCGCATCGGACCAACCCTGGGAATTGAGAACATCCTAGGACAATAACACGTGTGGTCTGGTCCCAAGCACCGAGTCTTCAACTGGTAAACAACACTTTTCAGCGTTCCAAAGGGCGGAGCTACTTACATGAGGTCGTTCTAAGTAACTCGGAAAAAAAAAGAATAGGGGTGGTCTTTTTGTAGAACCAGAAAATGTAATTATGTAAGGGTCAGAAAATTAAAAAAGCTTTGCGACAAAAAACAATAATTAATTTTCTTCAACAGTTTTCAATTTGAGAGTTTAAAACAAATGAGTAAAAGTCCGAAGTGCCGAGAGTTTTTCACAAGGTTTTTTTGCTTTGATGACCTATTTGGTTTTTCAAATTAGTTAGGTTTGAGTATGATCACTGCGAAAAATTTGTCCAATAAGACCCACTATTTCAAAAAAATTTTCATCCGTGAAATCATTCTAAGAACTCTCTTCTTTTTTTAAATTTGTCTTTAGTTATATCAGAAGAAAGCTGCAAAAAAACATTGACATTTCTTGATAAATATTAAGTGTTTGGTTCTCATTTTTTTTTTTTCACTACTTCCTTATTCTCTCAAAATTATTGCAATTCAGAGGTCTATTTTGAGAGAATTGCGGTAAAGATGAATCTTTACGCTACATTATGCCTCATAGTTATCCAGAAACTAAATCTTTTGTCTAATTCTCTCTTTTCTAAACACGGAGATTCATATTATGATTGGTAAGTGACACGTGGGATTTTTAACAGCCTTGTGTGGACAACCATTCAAATGGATTGAAACTGCTTGAATACACTCAAATGCACAGCGGGCATGTCATGTTGCGCCACCGAGCCAAGAGTTAAAGTTTCGAGCCATTTCTAACATCTGTGACAGAGAAATAATTGAAAGAATTGTCAGAAAAAGTTACGTAAAAAGGTTAAATGGGGGGGAGGGGGTCAGTGGAAAGTCAGTTAAATCAGACGGGTGCTTTTAACATGCCCACGAATATCTTTGTGTATTCTTATCAGTTTCGAGCACGAAGACGCGACCACCAGTACGCGGGTTGCAATTACTTGCCTAACAGATTTGAGAATTTTACGCAACTTTGATGAGATAATTTTCAGAGTACCCGACTTATAAAAAAAATTTGAACTTCTTTCAAGCTGTAATTTCAAGCTGAAAAATTGCGTTTTCACGGCTAAATAGAATAGAATTCTGGCAATAAATCGACTTAAAAGCAAGTGTCGAATTTTCCAGCTTGATATATAATTAGAGCACTAAGAAAATATCACAGCAGAATTGTAAGAAATTCTCATTCTTGGTCAATAATTGCGGCACAGCTTAGAACTTTTCAGCTTTAACAAATGAAGCTTCAAAGTACAAGAGAAACACTAAGAGCTAGTGATATTCTAACTATTTTGATACGTATTCTGTTCCATTTTTGGAAGCTTCAACCAAGATGATCCCTGTGAAAAGTTTAAGATACCCACTTGGATGTTGTAAATAAATGATAGAAGCTGGAGAATCTGCTCGATTTCGAAGTTCATCGGAGACCAATCCATTGTTCGTCAGCTCGCTGGAATGAAGTTGGTAAGTGATGGACCACAGGAGAAAAACAATAATTCCCGAAAACTTTCCCACACATCGCCATCGGAAGCGCAAATTGCGTTAGGATTCAAGGAATAATATTTTTGATTTTTCCTTGTTTTGAAAGACAAATCAAGAAAAAACAGTCCATTTTTTGATTTTTTTCCACATAACAAATATGGAATACCTTATGCGAAAAACAAAGAAAGAAGTTCGCTTTTGAGCCGGACGAACACCTGGTTAAAATGACATGGAGTGTTCCACTAAGCTTTCCACTATATCAATACACTTCAAGCCTCCAGATGTTGTATAAAATGTTCAAATGTTGAGAGCAAGAGGAATCGAAAGCATCAAAATGATTGAAATGAAAGCTTCTGGCCTGTGCAGTGGGCGAATAATCTAAACAGAAACTGTTGGAAAAGACCATCATGATTCGAAAAAACCAAGCCGTGCAAGCGTTGACTCATGTTTTGCCCTTTCACAAGTTTTTTTTTCTGTTTTTGCTTTTTTTTTTTTGCTGAAGTTTATGGATAAACCGAACTATTATCAGTAGAAGATGTAGCTTTTCCATTTTGTTGTTTTTATGTTTTTTTTTTTTGTGAAACGTTTTGTACTTTGGATTTAATATTGTCAATTTTTCCTTTTGAATACGTGGGAGGCTGAGAAAGGCGTGGATCGAGTAGCGTGCGCGTACGCGGTTTTTGGCACAATTTTAATTTTACAGTCAGCAACTGTTTTGTGAGCTGGTTTATAGCTTTTTTTTTTCATATCTTTTTCAATTCTTCAATGATTCTTTTTTTTTCCTTCTTCGCATTAAAAAGATTAGAATATACACGAAAAAAGAGGTGAGTGTTTCAAATAGTCGACGGCGCCTGAATTGAGCTCATACCAAGAACCGCGTACGCGCACGCTACGCGTCCCGCCCACTTCTTTGCCTTCCTCGCCTTTCAAGCTGGAAAGAAATGACTATAAATATTGAATTTTCGATTTTATAAAAAACTTAACTTCTTGTCAGGAACAAACTTTAATACTCCTTTTCAAGATACAGTTAAAGATGTTTCCTTTTTCAATTTTCAACAGTTTCGACGTTTCAGATGCATTATGAACCTTCTGAGAACCGAAAAAGCATTTTTTGTGATTTTATTACTCGAAGGAAACGGAGAAATTATCTAAAGTTCATTCACTTTATGGAAATGAAAAATTTTAGATCATACTTTTTCGATTTCATTCAGATTATCAAACAGGCGAAGTTTCATCAACTCTGCTCTCAGAATCATAAGTTAAACTAAAAAGAAAATTTCAAACGGTCTCGAGACGCCCGATACACGTCACCTCAAGATTTTGTAAACACTTGATAAATACTTTGAATATTGCAGATAAACAGGTTTTTTTTTCTGTTGAACGTTATGTTTAGAAAACGACAAGCAAACAATTTGGCGGGAGTGGCGTGGTCACGCTCTCAGACTGCTAGCCTCCAAGACTTTCTGTAGGTCAAATCTCCGTGATCCGATCTCGCACTTTTTTCTATCGATTTGCCTCCTCTGAGAAGTTGCTCGCGCTATTTTTCTGCATTTGTTTACTCTCATGGAATTCCGATCACTTTTCCTGTCAAATTTATGCGTGTGGACGGGCAAAGTCTTTTATTGAAAAAAAACGACATTTGTTTCATTTTTCTTGCAATACGCTTTGTGAATCACATTTATTTCTTTCTCTACACAGCGGAATCTGTTTTTGCATTCATACCTTCTCGAATGATGTCGATATCTGATTTTTTTAGATTTAATAATTAATATTCGTCTCAATTTTTTTGTTTTTTTAAATCAATGATAAAAAAACCTGATCAAATATAATGTAGCAAAAAATTTTTATCAGCCCTCATGGGCAGCGTTTGATAAGGAATGTTTTGACAAGGAGTGAAAAATTTCCGGCAGTGAGGTCTGCTTTGAGTTTTTTTTTCATATTTATTTCACCGCTTGAAAATTTTCCCCGTTTTACTGTTTTTTCGTGAGAGTGCGAAAGCTAGAAAACAGTTGTGTTTGATTTTTCGGGAGTGATTCAGGGGTCCGTCTTGTTCACGTGTTGAACATGTGACTTTGAGTCTTTCAAATAAACTTATTTTGCAACAGACTTTCTTCTGGAGCAGCCGATTCTTGTTTTTCTTGAGATAGTGAAGGTGAAATAACCAATTCGAAGATTTTATCTGGAGTTTCATCCTTGTTACATAACCGTTTCCCCAAGACACAATTTTAATTTTTTTTTAATTTGCCACACCTGAACTCAGAGAATGTCTCGAATATTTTTTTTTGTTCCCATGTGACTTTGAGACTTTTAAAAAAACTTATTTTTCAAAAGATTAGAAATAAATTTAATTTGAAGAGTTACATCGGTAAGTCATGTGAATCTTGAACGAGAAGTAGATTCTGTAGTGATATGGATGTGATCTGCGCCTTTGAACACACAAAAAAGCGTTTTCAAAAAGCTATCATGTAGAACATCGAACTCTTAAGCTTTTGGAATGATAATAAGATAAGAAAGGCCTCGTGAAAGGCGTTGTACTTATCGTAAACTAGAAAAAAGTCCCATAAACCTAAAAGCTGCTTATTATCGCAGGTCGTTCGGGCCGTTAACTTTTGACTGGATCTAATAGTTTTGAGAGGCGCAGTGATAACGGCGGGACCAGCAGTGCCTGGCCGCCAGACATTGAGACTGTTCTTTCGATTTATATTTTGAGGCCGTTGTAACAACCAATTGGCGTCTTGTCGGGTCGAGTAGATCCGTCTGATCTCTCCCAACACAAGGTCGTGCTTTCTTTTTTCTTTTTCTGAAAATTCGCTTTGTTCAAATCTTCTCAAAAAGCTTACCTTCAGATTGAACTATTCTACAAAAATTTCTATGGTCCAAAAATTTCTGAGAATGCGCATAGCATTCTACTTCCCAGAAATGGGATTTTAACCATTTTTGCAGCCCTGGACTAAAAAGTTGTACAAATCAAAATTCCTTTATTTGGTACGCCAAAAAGTGTTCTAGCAAAGTTCCAGGAAAATCCAGATTGCGAAGTAAAATGACTTGTTGGTTTTAGTTTTATCGTTCAATTCTTCACATGAAGTTTTCTCGATTCTTTTCATTCATCTTCATTACGCCTGAAAAAAAACGAGGTACTGTTATCAATGCTATTTTTTGTTTTTCCGCCTTAATACTATGTTTAAGATAAAATCAAAGACTCGCTTTTTCAATTACTTCTTTCTTGAAAAAAAGCTGGAGCCTGTTGATTTCGAACCTTTCACCATCTTTGGTTTTTTTCCAGTTTTTTTCAATTTCAAAAGAAAACTAAAAAAATGTAATTTTCATCTTATCACCTGCCATGTGACGAGTGATTTCAGCAATTTTTTTGTTTGCTATTGTTTTTTTCAATATGTCACTCTCTTCTTGATTTCCCGTCTTTTTTTTTATGAAATTTCACTTCACCGGTCTTCAGATGATTTTACTGTTCTTTTCTATCTACTTGAGCATTTTATTTGGGGCTTTTCTCGGGACTGTTGCTCTCATCATGTTCGGCATGAGGTTTGAAATTTTTCTGATTCAAGATTTTTCCAAGAAACTGTCCATGGAATGGCAGAACAAAAAAAAAATTGAATTTGGCAAAATGATGAGAATAGAAAAGGAATTGGCGTTTTTTTGTAGATTTTCTGCAAGTTTTCTTATCGTACCCATCATTGTCCGGAATGTTTTTCTTCTTTTAAAAACAGAAGAGAACAAGATTAAACGTCTCGGTTTGCAAAAGGAATTTCTACAAACCAAAACTTTTTTTTTTTTACAGCTCATTGAGATGTGCGTTCTGGTCTGTCGTGAAAAAAACTTTAATGGAACTTTCTGAAGCTGACTGTCAATAAATCATAGAAATCCTCACGAAGAATTCCAAAACCGCTTTAAATAAGCTCTTTCAGCTGGGGCAACCTGCCGCATCTGTATCTCCGTCTGATCGGTCGGATTCAGTCGTATTTCCCCAAACCTGCTACAAGGCTTCCGAAAAAATTCTGCGATCATATCAACAACGACCAGGTAATTTGTTGAGTCGTCTATGAATTTGAACTTTTTCGCAGACGTCAATGTGCGCGGTTCCTGTTCACTCGAACGTAGACGGCGCTGGACTTTCTTTGCCCTTTGAAACCTTCAAAGAAGGGCTGAACGCAATTGTTGATGTGAGTTAAAAAGAGAAACTTTATCCTTGGCTTAATCTAAAAAATGTGCAAACTACTGGCAGTGATATAGTGGAATGCCTGTCGATACAAAATTGGAAAGATTTCAAAATTGGAAAGACTTCTTTGAGAGGCACTGAGACCTCAAGGCAAAAAAAGGTGCATTAACGCCTAAAATTCCTCTTTCTGCGATTTTTTTTTCTGTCGAAGGCTTGAAGCCAGAAATCAATGAATTTTTCTTCATCAAACCTTCATTCTTCTAACGATTGATTAAAAATTTTTCTAGGGAGATTTTGCCAGTGCGTTTGATCCAGCCACCACGACCAGAGAAACTTTAATGGGATTCAGACATGCGACCAACTGGACAGCAGCTCAGATTGTATTTTTCTACACATGTCTGCTTTTCAGGTCTGTTTTTACTTTAAGAGAGCAACTTTAGTGATTTTTTTTTCAGAATTTCTTTCCTTCTGCCTGTTCGCTTTTGTCTTCTTCTTACTTCCTTCGCATTTGTCGCATTAGCCGGTTTCATTGCTTCAATCAAAGTATGTTAAACTTATGATATTTTCTAGATTTTTTAATTCCAATTTTTTTAGAAGCTCAACAATTTCGAGAAAACCTGGGTAGCGATTGTTTATTGTCGCCTTTTCTGCTCGGGAATGGGCGTCATCGCAAATTTTCGCAATAAGGAAAATCGCCCTCGTCGCCCGGGTTGGTATGAAAATTTAAATGCCGGCTTTACACATTTATTAATGAGGGTCTCAATAAAACAACATTTTTTCCCCAATTTTTTCTTTGCGGCTCAAGGAAATGTAAAAGTATCGTTTTTTGCGCTTTTCATACTTAACAAAGTTTACACGCATGTATCCAGTTGATTCATCAGAAAAAAAAAAATGCATATTCCGACTTGAAAACGCTCCTTAGAGCACAGCGAATAGCCTGAAATTCATTCAGTATTTAAAAAATTTCAGGAGTGGCCGTGTCGAACCATTTGACCCCAAACGACATTCAAATCCTGTTTTCCGGGACCCCTCATGGCAGTTCATATGGTTTCGTAGTGACTGGTCAGAAACATGTCGGAATTATCGGTTTTGAAGTTGATCACATATTTATTTTGCTTGTTTTTCAGGTTTGATCGAAAGACTCGTGGAAAAGCTGTGCCCTTCTATTTGGGTCGAGAGAAAGTGCAGCACTGACAGACAATCTTTTCTCACCGAAATATTGAGAATCGCTCTGGTTTAGACTTTCTCAACTTATATAATGATCACTTGGACTTCAGAAAGACGGACCAGTTCTCATGTTCCCCGAAGGATACTGCTCAAATAATTCTCAGGTTAATTGTACTCTGGATTAAAAGTGAAGAGTAAAAAAGTTCCAGGTTCTGCAATTCCGTAAAGCTATTTTTGAAGGCAGCGTCAATATATATCCAATTGCTATTCGGTTTGTTCTACACATTGTTCAAAAAAAATCAGAGTGTGTGGTATGTGTGCCTCACAGCTAAAAATTAAAAAAAAAGGTGCGCTTTTAATTTCGAACATTGACTTTGATGAATATCTTTCATGATCTTTTATGGAATAAAACATGAAATTTTTAGCATTTCAAAAATATTAGCCATGATTTGATCGAAGAAAAAAGACAGATCATCCGAATTCATTTTCCTTTTTTACAGACAGAACGCCAACTTTGGCGATGGATTTTGGTACGATGAACATTTTCACAACTATCTTGTTCGTGTGATGTGCAGTTGGGCGATATCTTATGACATCCAGTATCTTGGTAATTCTTTCATATTTTGGTGGTACGTTAGACCTACGTTAGATATTAAGATCCACAAACACATTTAAAAAATCTGAGGCTGACAAAGTGAGTTTCAGAAAAACAAATTCGGTCAGATACTGAGACAAATGTCGAGTTCGCCTGCCGTGTTCAAAGCATGATCGCCAAGGCTATCGATGTTCCCTGTAGCAAATACGGCGGCACCGTTTGGTACAAGTGAGTCGGAAATTTGTTTTTAAGTTTCCGAGAAAAAATTCTTGAAAGAAAAGACATCCCCTGTGCTAGTTTTTTTTCTGATCGGACGATGAAAAATGAGATTAGGAGGTCAGAAATTTGACTGTTATGGCTATTTTGAAAACCAGCCCTAATGGTTTTCTGGATACTTGGATGCCCGGCATTTAGCTATAACATTTTCACAAGGGATGTGTCTGGTGTGAACATTGTAGATGTGGTCCGAACTTCTGTTGGTAGGTTCTTTTAAGTATTTAAGTATCGAAACACGAACATACGAAGAATTAAGAGCGAAGCGCGATAGGGCATTGCATAGAGAAAGTTTTCAACCCCCATTTGATTTTTTGATAAAACCTTTTTTCAAGTGCACTTAAGGACCTCCTGATTGCAGAACAAAAAAATTTCTCGCAACAGATCCTTTTTTTTCATAAAATTTGAAGTTTCAAAGTCCGCAAATTAAAGAATTATGACAAAAAAGCGCTATTCCCAGGTTTTGAAGTTTCCTAACTCAAAAACGGAATGCGAAAAAATTTTTTGTTCTGCAAGCGGAATTTACACTTCTAAAATAAAAATCAGCGAAGTTTTATCGAAAGTTCGAACGGAGGGTAAAAAAAATTCCCTGGTGAGGAATATCTCGTAAGAAATAAACGGAAAATGCTTGAAAATTTATTCTCCTTGGAATAACCGCTATTTATTTTCTTTTTCGAGGACTCTCTTCTAGGAGTACTTTCTACAGTTTTTTTGATCTGCAATGTTCAGAGAAGTTGAATGTTTCGAACAAGTCAGTCCACCTTTTTGAGAGACGAAAACAAAAAAAGTGAAAAAAAAATCAATAACCAAAACTAAAATCCGACAAAATCATGGATCATGGACTGCGTTGAATTTGGTTTTATTTTTAGTACAATACCGACAGTAAGCTGTTTTTTTTTTCAAATGCGAATTTCAGAGCACTCGAGCGCGAGAAGATACGGAAGCAGCAAGAGCTCGCGAACGCGGCTAGCATCGAGAAAAACGAATCCGCCATCCGGCCTTTCCTATCCCCTTGTTATCCAGTGAATGACACTCACTACAAGGAACCTGTTTCTGTATATAGTTAGATACTTTTTCTTTGCAGAAAATGTCTGGATTCTTATCTTTATTTGATAAATGCGGTGGCAAATCTTGTACAAAGTTTTTTTCACTAGTTCGTTCGGTTTTTATTATCGTTCATTGATTTGCATATGTAAAACAACTGGTATCTGTTTAATAAGCATTCAAAATTGTCTATGTGAAAGGAATAAAATATTGACCTGTAATTTTTGAGTTTTTTCTGTTACACACACGGCACGTTCAAATCGAAAAAATATTGAAAATGTCGCAATACGAATTTGCAATTTTGGTGACTCTGTTTAGAACTGGCAAAATTGTCAATGACATTTTTACCAGTTCTAAATAAAACATTGAAAAAGAGATAAAAAAGTCTTGCAGTCATGGCGTTGAAAAACATTCAAAAATAATCTGTATGTACGTTTTTTTTCGTTTCAGGTCATAAAGCTTTTTTAAACGAATTGTGCTCTTCAAAACGTCGCAAAAAAGTTGCAAACAGACTATATACAACAAGAAGAGTCACCTTACAAAAGAAAAAAAAGAGAATAACGAAAGACAAGGTGTGAAAAGGGAAAGGAACGCTGCTGCTGCGTCAAGTGCGCGCCATTGAGAACGAACGATTTTGGGGAGGCCACTCTGTTTATTTTCAAGTGGTCAGCGTTCGCATTCTTCAGCTCCTTGTCTTTCAAATTCTTGACTTCAACAACATTTCTATTTGAATGAGACTTGTATTTCATTGTTTTTGCAAGCTTTCTGTATAAGTTTTCATCCTTTTCTAAGAAGCGTTTCGTTATATTTATTGTTGAAAAAAAAACTTAATTTTTTTTTCAAACTTTCAGATTTCTGAGTAACACGACTGAAAAGAGGGTTTCGAATCAAATGTGAAAAGAGTACCGGTTTCAGTAGATTCTAGAAAGGTTTGTCTTTTTTCCAGAGCTTCGTACTATTATTTAAAAATAACATTTGAATTTGATCAAATCTAATTCAACTCACAACAATTTTTTAAAACAGCATTCTTTGAAATTCATACGAAACGTGGAGTACATGCCATTTTGAAACTCTATTCTACGGAAGATGTGAAAGGAAAAAAATTCCGAGTTAAATTTTTTTGAACTCCAAAAGTTATATGCATTTGATTAAAACAAAATTTTCAGTTTTGAAATTGAATAATATCGACAGTACTATGGGTCACACGCAAAGCACCGAGAAGGCGAATGCTTCTAAATCTTATAGTTTTGGTTGGTTTTTTTTTTCTTTCTTAGCTCCGCCCTAGCTTTTACGGACAGAAGGTTCATGGGAAAATACATATTAATCTTATGTATTTTGATTTGCGTCTCCAGGAACGTTCATCAACCTTTTTCAAATTTTTCTCTAAAAAGCTCTCCCTTTGTTTTTTTGTATTTTAATAATCAAATCTTTTTCAATTCATTAAAATTTTTGCATTATTGAAAAAAATTCATGGCAATATTTTTTTACAGAAAAAAATTTTTGAATATCATACGGAGAAGTTGGAAATAAGTGATATTTTTTCTTTGTTTCACAGGACCTCAACTGCATTTTTCTGTTTGTTCATGCTCCTATCGATTGAAGCCTCTTCTGATTGCTTTTATTTTTCTTCTTGATTGGAAATGGGATGGCTTCATGTGAGTATTATTATGGAATACTTTATCAAAAGAGATCCTTCTTCGTGACGCTTTTTCTGAGCTTCTCCATTTTATTTTTCACTGTTTGTGCAGAGTGGAATGTTTTAAAAAAACCAATGGAATTTTTTTGAGAAAAAAATATTATTTCAAAGTTGGAATAGAAATTTTTTTCTAGTTTTTGGTCAAGACTAAAAATATTCTAATACCATCTAAAAAGTTGTTTTTACTAATTTCCTCCTTCGAAAACTCGGGTTTCTTCGTGCCGCCTCGTTTTTTCGATCACTGTTAAAATTACATTTCTGTAGATTTTCTGAGATGCTAAACTCTTCGGTCAAATATTTCCTTTGCACAAGGCTACGTTAATCATGCGTTTTATTAAAAGTAGGCCGTCAATGGGATACAGTAATCTCAAAATGGTTTTTTCTTTGAAATTTTCTCATTTTCCTTTTTTGTTTCTCAACCTGTTCTTCAAAGCTCGAAAGCTTGAAAATTCGAAAAAAAGACCTCCTAATTTTGAAAACGGTGTTGTATTGTTAAGCAGCGCAGTTTACACAAAAAGAGCGCTCTCATTCAATCGACCGCGTGTACCCAATTTCATAATGGTGGTGCCTGGGATATATGGATGGCTGAAATCCCGAAGAATAAAACTAGCCGCGGCCGAGGAAAGGGGTGGCCGGACAAGAGAGGAGCCTCCGAAACCGCAGAATTGACGGTCAGGCACGCAGGGTGGGGTCAAGCGTGTGTCTCAACTCAAATGGCTATTCGTACCGTTTGTCCTCATCCTTTTCTATTCTCATCTTGCACATATTCTCAAAAAAAATTAAAGTCTTTGATGGTCTGTTTTTTTTTGACCAGACCATCAGAGAAAAAAAACGTGACAGATTTAAGCCAAAAATACGCTAAATTCAAATTCTTTTCAGTGGTCATTTTTGCTATCAATGACTCATAAAGTCTCGTTTTCTCTCTTAGATTGGGTAAGAATTCCTTCTTTTCAGTACGATTTTTTAATCTTTTTCGAGAATTCTAGCAATACTTAGCAGAATTATTGACTCATAAAAGCTATTTATTGCGTTTTGAGCTCCTAGAAGCTCAGTCCAGTTGTTCATCATTTTTTTTCGAAGTTCTAATATGTCTATATTTTTGAAGGTTTTTCAAATATTTACTTTTCAACAGCTTCAAAGTGTTGAGAACTTGAGACTCATGAAAATATCGACATCGAAACCACGCCCTTCTCTATTTTTTTTTCATCTATTCAATGGTCACTTTTTGCTAGGAATGTCTCATAAAGCCTTGAGTGACAAATATCGAAATTTAGGTTGTAGTCAAAGGATATTTTTTTCATGCAAATAAAATCTTTTGAAGCTTCACGAAGGGCTAGCAAAAATTAGCAAAATTATTTGTGCATAAAGTTTGCATGTGTTTTCAGTCTTGAAAAGCTGTCTGACAACTTTTTTTTCTGTTTTTGCTCTGTTTTTCTCTGTGGTTTAAAAATAATTCTCCGTCCATTTCACACTTCTAACTGAAAAAAATAATTCTGAAAATTTTTCAGAAAAGTTTCCGCTCCAGATTATTTTTGTGATGAAAAACTGCTTTACATCTGCTTGAAAGGGAAAAAAATAGAAAAAAAGCTTTGAAGCCCGGCAGGAAATAAAATTTTTCAACACAGAGAGTAGCAATTGTGTTCGTTCGAGTGGTGACCATTGAAAAAAACGCTTCGGAACGCGAATTGAGACTTAAATTTTTTTGTTTCCATAACAAGTTGAATTTTTTTCTTTTCTAAGTTTTAAAATTAATTTATGAGTACGGTGAGCGCGCAGTTTTGACATTGTCTAGCTATAAATGCCATCTTTCCCAATTTGTATTGACATTTGTTCGCCTTCTTTTCTTTCAAAATTTAAAATTCTCACGATAACCCAGTTTTTAAACTTCCGTTGTATGGTTAAATGTCCGTTAGGCGTAGTGAGCATCCTTATCAATACAATTCACGACATTTTCACCTCCCTGAATGTTGATTCAGGCGAACAGCCCGATAAGCATTTTTCTATCCCAATCGAAATCATTCAACTGCACTTAACGAAGCGAAACTTTACACCATTTGCTCATTTACCTTAGCCAGCCAACGAAAGGCCGCCCTATGAAGTTTGAAATTTGAGAAGCCCCATTGCTTTTTTGAAACTACCCTTTGTTTGAATATTCCATGATTCTAATTTTTTTGTAGCTTTCCAAGCATTACTGAAATATTTGTAGTTGTACTTGCTCAAAAATACTTGAAATCGTTTAGACCGAATTCTGGCAAAAATCTTTGAAATGAGAAAAACTCAGAAATTGTTTTTGTAAATGTCAAGTACTACAATTTAGTGAAAAATTGATGTTTTCTCCGTTTCTATCACGTTTTTTGAAAACACGCTTTCGGAAATCATCAAGACGGTGGTTTTCTCTTCAATCTTTCGAAACACCACTATTTTCTACTCATCTTCTCGCTCCATCGATTTTTTTTCCTTAGCGGAGCCTACGATGAAGCTGAAAATGAGTCACGCTCCTAGCTTTGAATTAACGAGCGAAACGGCGACGGCGGACCCCACGCTGGGAGATGACGGCCGCCTGGTAATTACAAGAGCCCTCGGGGTGGTTCAGAAAAGTCCGACAAAAATGACGGAAAATTACGATTCCAACCAGATTTCTGAGTCTACATAATGAATGTTTTCAATCTTTTCCTGTCAAAAATTTCGCGCTTTGCTGTTTATAAACCCAAGAAATAATTTTTTGTTCGAGAGTTTGAACATTCTTCTCAGCTTCTCGTATTTAGTTGGAAAAGACCCCCACCAATTAAATTTGTCCGAAAAGCTCTTCAATTTATTTAGCAAAAAAATGTTCAACAAGAAAAAAATCAATTGTGAAAAAAAGTTCAAAACTGAATGAAAAAAACAATCGTGAATGAGATGCAGCCAAAAATAATTAAATTTTTTTTTGACTTTTTTTTACTTTTCGATTATATGTCTTAATCTGAAAGAATTTCTGGGTTTGTGAAAGGTTTACAAAAAACTTTTTATGCTTCTGTAATATCTCCTTTCGATCAATTTCTTATCAAATTTCTTTTTCGGACCATTCTTATTTTCATTCTACCATTTTTTGATTGTACGCAAATGACGCGACAAAATATCGAAAAGAAAATATTTCAAAGCACATCGTAGGCCAAAGATGCTTGATTTGTACAATTATGCATCACAAAATTGATAAACGGTGTATGATTCTTAGTGTTCTTTGTAAAATTGTTCTTGCTCTCGAATCTGCGACCTCGAAAACCGGTACTGATGGAAAAGCGCGGGTCGTGCTAATATTAGAGTTGCGTGTTTTAAAACTTGGTTATCGGTGCCACGGTTGGGCGTTGAGGACACCTCAGCTCGAGTGCTAGCGTAACTTACTGTTTCTGTCGGGCTTTTTCTGTTTTCCCCCGACCTCTCAACAGCGTCAGACGAGCGCGGAGACAACATTCCCGCTACTTATTTCCTCAAATTCTCATTTTTTTTGCTTTTTTAAATGATTGAACCTTCTTTTCCATCCTTCATTTTATTGTTCAATTGAGGAAAACCTAATTTTTTTAAAGACTTACTATAGAAATGCAAACGTTCTCCTTTTTCAGTCTTTTCAAACAATAGAATTTCACCGCGACTCGGGATCGTGAAATAGCCTCGGGACAACTTTTTTGTTTTCTCTTTCATCCCATGCACAAAACCAGCTTCTCCTTGTCGTTCACACTTTGCGCAAAACGTTGCCAATTGTTCCTGACTGACATGGATTCAAGTCCAAGAAAATCTAATAATACATGAAGTTTAGTGGAAAAAATGAATTTTAATTGACCCCTTAACAAAAACTCGCATGAAATTTGCAACTGTAGCAGAAAAGTTTTTGCGACCTTAAATGGTTTGGTGATCTTTACCATAATCAAACAGCATAAAACATAAAACTATAAAACTTCGAATTGTCTTCAGATGAAGCAAATTTTTGCCTTCTTCGTTGAGTAAAAGGGAAACTGAAAATTTTTCTTCTCCTATATTTTTTCTGAGTCGCCACCTAACAACTCTAAAATAGCTTTTTAACTTTTCTAACCCAAAAATCACTTCGAACAGCTTTTACAGAACAATTTTTTTCGAATCTTCGATGAATTTTACAAGTATTTGTTTAACTTTACTTGGAAGATTTAAAATTTGCAGACACCAGCGGCGACAAGTGGTCTGACACGACCGAATGGGCCGTCACCGGAATTGCTCTACCGACTAAAAACGACACCGAGGTAACATTCATCTACCGCACTTGAGATTTTATTGGCTTCTCATGGATATTATCATGAATAGAGAAAGAAGAAGAGAAAAAAGCCATTGACGTTTAGATGACGCGGCGGCCCTCTTCGGTAGACACGTTTCGGGTATACCAGCCAGAATCCACTTTCTTCCGCCACAGCCGGTGAGGAGTTGTTTTACTTTCATTTTTTTTTCGAGAGTTCGTTTTTTTTTCCAATTTTTACCCTAAAAGATATTCATCTTCGGAGTTTCATCATCTTATATTTTGCTCCAAAAACTTCATCTTCGAGCAAATTATTTTTTGATCCATTCATCACAGGCTGGAAATGAAGGTCAATGAAAGCCTTCAAATACTCATAAAAATGTTAAAAAGGAGGTTATTCCTCCGTATATTTTTTTACGTTCTGAGCCACAGAGGAAAATTTAACTTTATTGGTTTTTTTTTTATACAATTAGTTCTTTTACTGCTTTTAAGAGACTTCTGTCCTTGTATATTTCAACTTGAGTTTACTGAACTACTATTTTTGAACTACAACAAAATTCTGTGAATGATTTTTATTCGTATTCGACCCACAGTAGGACTTCTCTGTTTTTCAACTTTTAAGAGAAGAAATTTATGTCACAATTTTTAAGTAAGTAAGTTTCAAAGTTCTGCAATTGAGCTGTAGAACGATCCTCCGTATCGAAAGACAGCAACTCGACAAACAATAGAAGTCCGCAAAACAGAGAAAGATGGATGGAAAAGAGAGGAACAGGCTAGCCTCACACATACACACACATACACACACTCACACACAGAAACAAAAAGAGGGGTTGATCCGCGACCTCCGCATATGGACGACAAATAGGCCAAGCCTCGTCAATCAATCTTCTTTCAACTGTTTGGGCGACAGAAGCAATCAATAAAAAGACGGAAAACATTGGAACAGTTTTAATAATAATAGTTTATTTAGTTTTTCAGAATTTCTTGGGTAAAGTTCCTATCCGTCTAGGGCATTTTATCTTTTTTTAATCAGATACTCCTGTCTTATACTATGATGAATCTACCTTTCTCTTGCTTCAATAACAGCTTCTGAAGATTTTTATTTTTTTATCAAAATTACCCAAAGATTTTTCTCTTTTTTTAGAGACACAATTTTACTATTACTTTTTAATACGGTTCATTTGGAGTGAGATGCTTTGAAGCTGACCAACAAAAAAAATAAATTTTTCAGAGAGCACAAAATAAGTGCTCAATAAAGAGCAGACATTTTTTTTTAGATTCTCGGAATTATTTTTGCCAGTCAGCTGTTGGTAATATTTTTTATTACACATGAAAAATGCTCTATGTTTTAAGGAGCGAAAAAAATACCGAAAGTTTTTTTAGTGAAAAAAAAAAAAAGAAGCTCAGAATCTTCTATTAAGTCGTTCAATTGTACGAACATCGATCTGTGAAATCAAATTTCAGTCTCCAATTTATTTGAAGATAAAAAGAAGAAGCCAGATTTAGGTTTTCAGATGCAGCCTTGAGACGCAATATCAATGAAGGTCTTCACACAAGTAACAGAAAAAGAGATTCGCAAATTTTCGTCTTAACTAGCCAAGTTTCCAATAGTCTTTTTTTGAACGAGACATTTTCTAAGATCCTTCTTGAAAAATCAAGACGAGATCGAGCGAGAAATTTTTCAGAAGTTTTCCGACTAAAACAGTGAAAAACGATGACCCATTGTTTCTGAGCGCTCACGGAATACCATTTTTGCCTATTTCCTAGCTCCATTTTGAACAAAAAACGACTCAATTTTGAATTTGCCAAAAAAAAACTCAGGCACCGACAGCGCGTGTTTATGTTGCCAAAAGTGGGCACGCGAGGGGTGTCCCTTCTATCTTTAACCTTTTTTTAACTAATTAAAAATTTATAAATCCAATATTTTTTTCTGTCTGTTTCCCTTTTTTTCTTTCCACTGCCTCATGTTATAACAGTTCGAACGCATTAAAATTCCTATTACCAAATTTTTTTACTTGGAAATTTTTTTAAAAAAATTATTATTTTTCAAAAAGTTCTCGAAACAGTTTTTAGAAAGTGAGCAGGAGAGCTAGAAAGTATTATAAAATGTAGAAAATTTATTTCAGTGCTGTATATCCAATGAAAAGACAAAAAATAACAAAGAGTTTTTTTCACACCTATTCATTCTTCAAACTACTGCTGCTTATATCTCAAAATATCTCGTTCAATAAGTCTCGATTTTTTGTGACGAGACAGTTTCAAAATCTGTCTCGGTAATTTGAGACGAGTGAATTTCTCATCGAGCACGAGACGAGAAATCTCGAAAAATTTTGAGAAGAGATCTCGCACAACCCTGGTTATAAGTAAGTTCATAAACCCCTCACATGTCTCATTTTTTTTAATGGTAAGAGGTCCGCACGGTGAAATGAACGCAGACCGCTGGACTTGCGCGTCAAAATATTAGGAATGAAAGGGGCGATTTGACGCCGATATCTGTCGGAGGGAAGTCGGCGGTCATCCAAACAGGAGCGCCGCTGTTTTTGCACCAAATCGTTCCTCGCTCTAATCGATTTAATCGGCTTTTGCGCTTTCGATTTTCGGCTTCGTTCTCAGCAAACGGTCTCAAGTTATTTTTCGATATTGCAAGAAAGGGTTTTCCCTACAAAAAAAAAGTTTTAGCTCCGCATTCATTTTCACTTGAATTCGGATTTATTTTCATGGAAAATGAATAAAAATAGTATACTTTTGCAACTGTTCTCTGAAATTTCTCATAAAAGAAAAATTCACGTCATCGTTGTTTTTAAATTGATGATTAGAAACAAATCTTTGATTTTTTATCTTTGAAATGTCATAACAGCATTCAAGGACTTAAGGCTTGAAAATTTTTCTTTTTTTATAAATCAGTGTGCTGTAGAATTTTAAGAGATTCTGAAAATTTTTCTCGTCGAATTCATTGTTGGCTAGTTCTTCCAATACTCCACAAATCATCATTTTATCCGTTTGATTCTTCCGGTGCTCCGATCAAGATGCATATAGCCATCACTCATTCTCACACTGGCAGCCGCACGGCGTTAAAACTCTTCCACCACGAAAGTGGTGTTTGAAAACGCCCCAGCGAGCAGAAAGGCGGATAGCTGTTTGAGCATTTGCAGCTGTCACCGCTAATCATCTACCTATTAATATTTTGTTTACTTTTGTCACCAAAAGAGAATGGTTCGACCTGTTGGCGATTATTGTCAGCAAGTTCTGCAAAAAAAGTCAAAAAAATCGGCAACGCAATCATTTCTGAGCATCGCTGAATTGTGTTCCGCGCCGCCGATTCACAGCGCCCGAAGCCTACCTTCGGTCGTTTGGCCCATGCATTTTCTACAGCAGAAGCTCGCCGAAAGCATTTCTCTGCTCAATTCTACGCTGGATTCAGTGTGGGTTGTATGACTCCTTATTGTTAAGGATATATAACTTGTAAGACCTTGCGGAGTTCGGAGAGAAGTCTTGCAGTAACTTTTTTTTGTCATCCTCTCGATGATAGACGAGGTCATCTAAATGAATATTTTCGAGATATTTATTCCATCTTTCTAGTTCAATACACAATTGATCAACTTTTGAATGTGGTTTGTATTTTAGAGGGAGTCCATTTCAAATATCAATATATGAAATTTCTGAAGCTTTGAGTAAAATCTTTTGGCCTTTTAATCTTGGAATTGTATTCGTTTCGTTTCGTCTTGATCCTTTTCTCAAATGATTAATAAGAAATTTAAAAAACAAAAGTTTTGTAATTGATAACTTATTTTATAACTCTTAATGTGAATCAAGGGCTCTTTTGACTTTCCTTCCGAATTCAGAGAGGATCTGGTGGGATGCAGCTCGACGTCGTCGGTCATGCTGGCCGATGAGATGCATCCATTGACGTCATCTACTTCTGCGACGCCCATTTTCATCTGCCTCTACGATTTCCACGGCGTCGGCGATGAGCAGCTGTCACTTCGCAAAGGCGACCATGTTTGTCCATTTCTTTTTGCGGCTTTTTGAACAGAAAGCTTTCATCAAATTCATCAGAACAGTTTTGAGACTGGATCCAAACTTTATCGTAAAGTCTGTTAAGTATTTGTTCCTGATCTCACTGAGCTTTGTGATAGTTGAAGTGTAGGATTTTCTTTTAAAAAAAAGTTTGCTAAGCTATTTTCCTGCGGCTAACTACTGAACATGTCATAAACAAACGTTCATTCGGCAATAATTCACCGCTGCTTGGGAGATTGATGAGAAATGGTCATTTCAGCACGTCCAGTGTTACAACAAACTTTTTCTGGTAGTTTACTCCTAGTTCTCAGAGATACGCCTGAGTTTTGCACATAGTTTATTCACAACTAGCTTGAGGATCTGCTAACAAAGGTCTTCAAACTATTGTCAAAATAATTTAAGAAAATAAAAGGTGTAGGAGTATTTGTAGTTATATTAACACCCAGTTGCAAATGGAGGATTAGGTCTCAATTTTGTCATTTACGTATCTCAATTATTTTCTTGTTCGAAACAGTAAGCTGTTTTTCACGATTGTAATATGTGGAAAAAATATTCAAAGGCTCGAAACTCTTGGAACAAACCTTAAAATGATTGCTCACCGCTTTCAGAGCAATAATATAACTTTTGGCAAACAGGCAGAAAAATTAAGCGAAAAATGTGTTTTTCAATTTTTTTTCATTATTCCAATACCAGAAGATGCCACTAGAATGAGGATCCAAATGAGCAACTTTCTGAAAAAAGTTCAATAAACATTTCTGTGACTTTTTCCGATAGCGAAGATTTCCACAGTCTGTAAGGAGAAAAGCATCTGCTTTTTCGGATTTGTATGACTTTTTTTTTAGGTGAAAGTGCTCGGGTACAACAAGACGCGCGAATGGTGCGAGGCGCGGCTGCAAGCGACACGGCGCGTCGACGCCAGCAGTCAAAAACGAGTCGGCCAGATCGGATGGGTTCCCAGCAGCTACGTTGCTCCGCTCAACTCGATGGACAAGTATCAATGGTTAGTTGCAGGAGTTCGAGTTGGAAATTCGAGAAACGGTATTAGAAAGGCGGGCTTGAAATAACTATAAATCCTACTCATTTTCTTTAATCAGAAATATTTTTTCGAGAAAAAAAGCTGTTTTTATAGCATTTTTCCTTCAAATTAGGACTGAAAAAAATCTTGACAGGCATTAAAATTTTCAGGTATCACGGTAAAGTGTCACGAAGCGAGTCTGAGTACATTCTCGGCTCCGGAATCAACGGGTCATTCCTGGTGCGCGAGAGCGAAACGAGTATTGGACAGTTTTCAATTTCTGTACGACACGATGGACGGGTTTACCACTACCGTATAAATTTCGACGCCAATGAGCGGGTTTGAAAATAAATGTTTTCTCTTCTTTTGATATAAACTTTGCTCTTTCAGTTTTTCATAACGCAGGAAGCCAAGTTCAAAAACTTGGCAGAACTAATTCATCATCACAGCTTACACGCAGATGGTCTGATTTGTGAGTTACGGCGTTTTTATTTTTTTCACTAAATTCCTTCAAAAAAATTATTTGTTTTTTTGTTCTGAAACTGTCTTCATTTATTTTTTTCTGGAAAGTGAGGTTAAGCTTGAACAATAGGAGATTTAAAAAAAATGACAATCCGATAAAAAATGAGACTGCGGTTTCAAAAATAATCTTACTAGTGAGAAACGCGACATCATTTCCAGTCAATCATTTCAATTCTAGAAAATCTTCTTTCTCATTCATCATCATAAAAATGTTAAAGGCAAGAACTCTTCAAAAGAAACACAACTTTCAAGTGAAAAGGGAGGAATAAATGATTTACCAGGCTCTTTGATGTACCCGGCGTCCAAGAAAGAGCGTACTCGAGGCGTGTTTTCGCTTTCGCCCACGCAGCCTGATGAATGGGAGATCGACCGCAACGAAATCGTTATGCATAACAAATTAGGTAATTAAATCTCGTTTGAATTGTCAGGGAACGGATGCACCCATCTGCTTGGTTTTTCAGGCGGCGGTCAATACGGCGACGTTTATGAGGGATTTTGGCGACGCCATGATCGAACTATTGCCGTCAAAGCTCTTAAAGTGAGGGAAAAACCGATTTCGAAGCAAATCAGACTAGTCGAGCAATTGTTAATATTCTAAATGAATTTCGGCTTTTTTTTTATCATTTTTAATGTTTTCGTGATGGAATTTCTCAATGAAAACAAGTTCAAAAAACATTTTTTAGGAGGATTCAATGCCCTTGCACGATTTTTTTCTTGCAGAAGCATCCATCATGAAAGACTTGAGCCACATGTGAGTTGATCTTACGTTTCTTTATTATATATTTTTTTCTAGGAACCTTGTCCAATTATTGGGAGTATGTACTCGTGAAGCGCCTTTTTTTCATAATCACGGAGTTTATGTGCAAAGGGAATTTGTTGGAATACTTGAGGTTGAGAGATAATCCGAAATAAAACAAAAAAATATTTTTTTAGAAGAACTGATAAAAGTTTGCTGCCGCCAGTTGTTCTAATGAACATGGCAACGCAAATCGCTTCCGCAATGGCTTATTTGGAATCGCGACACTTTATTCATCGGTTTTCATTTTTTTTTTCTAAAATTTTCTAATTGATATAATAGGGACCTTGCTGCGAGAAACTGTCTAGTCGGGACAGACAACATCGTGAAGGTAGCTGATTTTGGTCTGGCTAGGTGAGCTCAAATCCAGTTTGAAAAAAAAAAACAAAATCAGGTTCATGCGGGAAGATACCTATACAGCTCACGCCGGGGCAAAATTCCCAATCAAATGGACAGCTCCCGAAGGATTAGCTTTCAACACGTTCAGCTCGAAAAGCGATGTTTGCATAGGCTCCATTGATCACTTTTCATTGATTTTTTCAGGTATGGGCGTTCGGTGTACTACTTTGGGAAATAGCCACTTACGGTATGGCTCCTTATCCTGGGGTTGAGCTCTCAAACGTCTATGCACTTCTGGAAAAGGGATTCCGGATGGATGCTCCTCCCGGCTGTCCTTCCTCTGTTTATCGGCTCATGTTGCAATGGTGAGTTCTCATGAATAAGATGAAAACTTGACATAATCGAACACAGTTCCTATTTTTTCTCTCGAATCAAAAAGTTTTAGTTGGAATTGGTCGCCATCGGATCGACCTCGCTTCCGAGACATCCATGCGAGTTTAGAGTCTTTATTCCCCAACACTTCTGTCGATGAAGAGGTGTGTTTTTCTGATCATTTCCGGGTTAACTCCCAAATATTTAGGTCAGTCGACAGCTCCAAAAAACTCGATCTCATCGCCGATCTATCGGTAAAGATACATTTGAACCAACGTCAGCGGGTCTTCGTAACATCAGTAATGATAGAGAGAAAAGGTATTTTTAAGAACAAAAGCTTTTAATTTTGCTCATTTTATCGTTCAGATCATTTGGACTAACGTCAGATTCTTTATCTAGTGCGCTTTTGAGGTCCACAACAGAATCAATGTCTTCCAATTGCGAAATTACAGTAGGTTCCTGTTTATTTTCTTGATTCAGATTAGAGCCATTTAGATGTCGTCATTTCGAGATTCTGGAACACTTTCTCCTCGGCAACATCAACGAAACCTTCCTCTACCAACTCCTCCTCAGGTTTTCTTTTTCCATTTTCACCCCATTTTTTCTTTCTTAGAGTGCCAAGCCTAAACTGCTCAAGACATTACTCCACTCAAATGTTCAACAAGCCACACTGGAGAGGCCTGAAAAAAATGAAACAATGGAAAAAAGTCAAGGTCGTGAGAAAGTTGAAGACAAAGTTGAAAGCAACGGCTCAGGTTTTTTAGAAGAAAAAAGTTAGAAAACATATTTTTTTTTCAGAAGAAGTCAATATCACGCCGCTTGCCGAGAAAAATGTTCGTAAAGCTGTGAGCCGATTTGGTGGTACCATGCCAAAAGGGGCAAGGATTGACGCGTATTTGGATTCGATCCGAAAAGTTCAGGCGAGCGGCTGGAGAGGTTACCACAGTTTAATTTTTACTGGTCTCAAAAATCGAATGTAGTTGTTGTTTTAATTGCAATCTCGAATTCAGAAAGTACAGACGCCGACACTGAAGGCGCAGGAAGTTCTTCTATGAGTCGAACAGTCTCTGATGACTCTCTTGACGCGATTCCTCTTCCCGAACCTCTGCAAGGCCAAAGATCTAGCGGAAACGCGTTTTTGCAGGTTTTCCTCTCCATTTGACCTATATGTATTAAAATTTTCCAGCAAATTCGATCGAAACTGAAGAAACAAAACGACTTGAACGAACATGAGTCGGTAGACTCTGACACTGCTGACGGTATGACTATCGAAAATTTTTAAGACTTCAAAAAGTTTGCAGATTCTACGAGCAAGACAGAGCCACAATCCGCGGTTATCAGTGCTGGGAAACGTCTTTTCAACCAGAAAATGATGTCTGCCAGTACCACAGATTTAGCAAATAATCAGTTGGTCGAAAGGTCGAATACTTCAGCGTCTGTCAGGTATTTGTCAAAATTCGGAAAGCGGGTGTTTTGGACTCTCGAATTTTCAGCCGAAAGTTTTTCAAGCATTTCGTTCTTTCATCCAACCGAGAGATGGGAGTAAAAATCAGAAATATGATTCCATTTGAAAATAAAGAAAATCTCATTCCCTTTTGATTTTTTTTTCAGTCCATCGCCCGCGCCAGTTCCGCCAGTCCGATTTTTCTCAAGTGCTTCTCGAAAACAAAATCTCCAAGCTTCAGAATCGCAGCAATCCATTAGCTCTCAGAACGAGAAGGTTTCGCAGACCTTTCTAACTTTTTTCTTACCCTATACTTCCAGGTCGATGGAGGTTGTCAGACTGAGTCGGCCGAAACGGGCTGGAAAACAAAACGCGCTGTTACACGGAAAATCGAAGTTGCCAAAGTGAACAAATCTCCTCCTCAGCGCTATCAAATCTCGAGTTTTAGAATGAACCTATCACTAGTGTGGAAGGGGAGTTGAAAGCACGAATTCGAAGCCTTCGTCACGTGGAGAAAGATTTTGAGCAGAAGTGAATTTAAAGTTGGCATGCCATCAATTTTTCGGATTCTTCAGAGAAGAACCAGATCGATTGTCAGACAGTGCCTCGCCGCCGTTCGCAACCACTCCCACGTCGCCAAACGTTTCACCAAGAGATCCACCAGAAAAAGCGAGAGTCCGACAGCTGGTTACTCAAAAGGTTTAATTTTTATTTTTTTAAAATTAAATTTTTTTGGAAAATTTTTAACGGAACTTGTAAAAAATTGCAGTAAATCTTGACTTTTTTAATTCTACGAAAGAGTTCGAGAAAACTTTTTATTCGCAAAGAAAATGGAACTTTCATTTGAAAAATTAAACTTATTCGATGAATCAAGATTTTACCTCAATCTTTTTTCCAATTTGATTGCTTTTCAGGTGTTTCCCCTTCAACACCATCGTCCTTTCTCTCTACAGTGCCAAAATTCGAGCTCCACAATTGGTGAAAATGTTGACGCTTCCATCAGTCCTCCCCCACCGTCGTTAAACTCATCCAATCACAATTCTCAAGACGAGTCCAAACTGGACCCAAAAATTGTCGAATTCCGTGAACAGCCGGCAAGACATTTCAGCACACTTCAAAGATTCAAGGCAAGTTGAGAAAATGATTATCCTAGGTATTCGCGGACTTTTCAGGCCAAGGAAACCGTCGCGGCACATGGTAAGGAGCTCAGATTAGAGGATTCGACAGGAATGAGCAGAACTCAATCTCTGCGCGATATAACCAGCAAGTTTGAGCATATGGGATCTCCCGCCGCGAAAATTCCGGAAGGTAATTGAAATCAAGTCCCACGCATTTTTTTGTTAGACTTATATCCCACATTCGGAGATTCACGGAATGATTTATTCTCTGCAAGTAGGGGCAATGTGGTGGAAACTCCTAATGAGCTGAGGTTATTTGATATAACCGATACTTTGTCGGAAATCTGAGAACTGATACGCTCAGTGCTTTTTTTTTTGAATAAAGGAACACATTCGTTTGAGATTCAAGCTGTAATGTAACGGGATAAGAAAGGCAAAAAGAATTCTTAAATTTCCATATGACGTATAAATTAGGCAGACAAATTATCGTTAAACCAAAAATTTTTTTCTTGATATTGGCGGGAATTTTTAGAATAAACATATTGAGATTCTAAAAAGTTTCAAAGTGCATAATTATTTCGTTTCCAATGAGAGATATTATTAAATTAAGAACATGTTTTTCCAGTGCTTCTGTCTTATTTTTTTTTTCAAAGCCTTTTTCCAAAAACTTGAAAAATGTGAAAACTGGAGCTTTCGTTCAATTTACCAAAATATTTATGCGTTACAATTTTGGATTAATTCATGAGCCGCAAAACTAAAACCCACCTTTTGGCTGAACTCAAAATACAGTTTTCTTCCAGGTCGACATGGAGGAGTTCTGGAAGGCCGATCCATCAAGAGACTGTCCCTCCTGGAGTCGAATACTCGGACAGAAAGCGCCAAGCCTTGTCCAACTCGTCCAGCCCGGGTTAATGAAATCTCAGAAGATGCGGCAGGAAACGGCGATCAGCAATTAGTGAGCAAGGTGAAAAAAATCAGAATACTGGTTATAAACAGTCCAATTTTAGAGCTCAATCATTTCTCTCTCGCAGCTGGTTGAAGCCAGTTTGAAGACCAACAAAAGCGGAATAGCTCAACAAAAAACTATTGAAAACCGTCTTTCCAACTTAATCAAGTATAACTTCATTTTGATAATTCGAAAGCAAGCGGTCATTTTTCAGGCTTTCGGACACGATCCAACAGTTTCATTCAACTTGTGGCGTTTACGCTGAGCAAATATCCCCTCATAGTAAATTCCGATTCAAGTGAGTTTTTAAGAAAAAAAACTTTCTTTGGTTTTTAGCTAGTCGAAAAAAAATATTTTTATCATAATTTCAGTTAAAAAAAGAAAAAAATGAGACTTGAATGAAACTAACTTCATTTTAAAACTACTCCTTGAGTTAGCAGTAGAGCATATCGATCATGAAGAAATCCATCGATTACCGGAAAAATTATTACGACTTATAATTAACTTTGATGGATTGAATTCCAGAGAGCTTCTAAATCGAGTGGAAACGTTCATCCGTCAAATGCGTAGCGCAGCGTCTCCAAGTTCTTCTCCGACCTTTGCTGAACAGCAAGTCATCCCTCTCTTTGAAGAAACTTTCTCCCAAATTATGCAACTGGTCAACCGTTGAGGCTTATCTCAAAAAAATTGTCATGATCTTTTCCCTGTTTCATTGGTATTAGTTAATGTCAAATTAACGAAATATTTTTTTCCACGATTCTGTGATCACACATTTTAACATCACACAGTCATTCGATTTTTGCAATAGCTCTTTTTTTAATTTTTAACATTGTTACGGATACTTCTTTTTCTCATGATGATTTTCTTCAAAAACTCCCAAAGGCTATTAATTACATAATTCGATGTTTCTAGTCCTTTCATTGTTTGTATTATAGTCATGAACGAACGTTACGCATAAGGACGCTTCAATCTTGTATTTGTCTTGAGATTATCCTAATTATTGAGGCGTTCAAATCAACCCGTTATCAAACATTTTTCACTTGATTCATTGTCACTTTGTCGCCCGTTTTACCAATGTCATTCAAGAGTCTTTTTTTCTTTCCATAAATTTCATGTGAGTCAAATATTGAGGCAAAATATAAGCAATCCATCGGATTTTCAGAAAAAAATTGAGCCACGAGCGCTTCCCCTTTGAAGAGTTTTTTCCTTTTTGTGAAGTTAATTTTGGAATTAATGCAACAAATAAGTGACTTTATTTCTAAGCAGAAGCAGAATAGTTGAAAAAAGGTGGTCCCAAGGTGTCTGATTTATTGTGATGGCTCTCGTCTGTGCAAGTTTTTTTCTGTGAGTTTGGCGATGTTGGCGATGTTTTTGATGGGGCTGTGGGTGTAGTGGATTGCAACAAGAAGGTTGCCTCATTTGGAGATTATCCAAAACGTACGGAAGACGCCCACGAGGCGCGTTTGCCGAAGCGTACCTTGTTGGCCCAACGTTTTTCCATGTTCATCAGCATGTCCGACTGCAATTCGAAGTTTGACTCTTCCTAGTAGGGAAAACGTTGCTCGGTCCTCTAGTCAATAATAATTTTGCAATATCTCCAAAAATACTAGTAAATGTGACAAGCGAAATGCGTAAACTTGTACGGCGCGCTTTTTCACATTTCCGCATTTGTAAAGTCTCATTTCCGGCTGTGCCATACCCTTCAAAGCTGTTTAGCCACTTTTTTGTTTGTTATCGTCAAAATATATTCCGGTGGGGCACCAAGTGCCGCCCAATCTTTTTCCCATGAAATGAGTTCGAGTACCAGCTTTTCTCTCTCCGAATTAATCTGCGAAGCATTATCATGAATTTTTCACACTTTCGGAAGAGAAAGTCTTAAGGTGGAGGTCGAGAAATCAGTCAAATAATTCATGAGGAACTCAACTTTTCAGCTTAGATGACATCATTCCAAACTTTGGAGAATGGAAATTGGTTTTGGAAAAGTTTTTTTGGTGTTTGATCCGAAAAACTATATTTTCCCTCGTGAGCAGTCTTCATCAATTAGTGAGTGCAAAAATTGAGCGCTAAAAGAGAAAAAGCTGAAGAAAAAAAATGCATCGCAACATTACTAATATCCACACGAACTCGCACACATTTTGAACATTTTTGGGACACTTACTTCTTGTGGATAATCAACGATGACTGGATCCTCGTTCAGGTAAGAAGTCATAGGAACCCCAGGACCGCCATCATGCAAAGTGTTGTCGGGTTTGCCTAAAAGTCAAAACATGAGACTATGCGAGTAATCCCGATTAATTAAGTGCTAAGCAATCTTCTCCTAATTGAAATTTCCTCTAGGTAACAATACCTGAAGCGCCGGGAAACACGACTTTTTTCCCACCACTACATTTTTCCAGACAAACACGAGACTTTGTAGATACTAACATGCGAATTGAAAAAGTACAAGTTCGGCTACTTAGAAGGATCTTTTGCGGTTAAGGTTGCTCGCTCGAACCTTTTTTTTCAAATTTCTGTTGAATGCTAGCTCAGTCAACCGTATAAAAATCTTATCGAATGGTAGTGCAATAAAAAGAAATTCTTACTTTTTGAATCGAAATCCACTGGAAACCTTCATGTATTTGAAGGGGAAATATTTGAGCGAAAATTAAAACCCTAAAAGGCAGAATGATTTCTGCATCATCATGATAATCATTGTTTTTGAAAAAAACTCTTGTTTACTAAAGAACTTCTCTCATTTATGAAAGAACTTTGAATCATTCCTCTCATCAAATTCAAATGTATAGATTTGTATGATTCATGAGTTTCCGGTTGAAGCAAAAAAAAAAGAGATGTCATATGTCGAAGAAAACGATGCGGTGGGTGTCAGAATTCCTAGGCTTCCGCGAGGCTAATTGGCCAAGGAAACAGTAGCAAGACGAAGGAGTCGAATTCGAGCTCCACATTCACAATTATGTATATCTATTAGCTTCTTGTTCCGGATCAATTTTCGGATTTTTTTCCTCGATCTCAAACACTGAAAGGAATCTTTGAATAACTTTTTAGGATTTTTCATCAAGAAAACCGAGACGTATGAGAAAAATTCAATTCATCGATAAGGGAGAATTTTTCACAGTTAATAATTGGGAAATCCCGGTCATCAAAACAAATTTTCTGTTTTATTTTCTCTTTCTAAGCTTTGACAAAAGTTGGAAGTAGAAGTTATGCTTTTGAACCTAAAGAGCTTGAGAAGACCTTAATAACGAGTACAAATGATCCTCCACATAGAAAAGGCTGAAAATTTTGTTAATTCCAGTTTGGTGTTCATATCTCAATCAAAAATCAATGTTTTACTTTTCTCATTTAACGACATGGCGCCTGAATTACGTCACAACGCCTCTTCACCTGATAACGTGCAATTTGAAAAAAATATCGACTTGACTGAGAGCTAAAAAGGGTTTTTACTAATCGAAATTATGCATGAACAGGAGTCAAATTTGAATTAAAATTGAAATTTGCGTCTTTTGGATTTTCTCTAGTCAAGAGCGAAAGTCCGGAAAAATATTAAATTGAGGCCCGGCCTACTTTGATTTTTTTCCTTCTGGGAAGGGTAGCCGGTTGTAATTGAGGTCCTGTGAAGTTTGCCAGGTTTTTTTTCTCGGTATTTATGTTCATCTAATTCGTTGTATTTAAACTCAGAAGTCGGGTTGAAATTAGATTTCTGAAAGGATCTGGCTCTAGTAGCTTCTTCCGTCGCTGCAGTCGCTTTCAAAAAGCTATTAGAAAGCCGTAAAAAGCAAATAAGATTGATGAGCTTTCTGGAATTCGTCTTAAAGGAAGGGACTTACCGTACACGACTGCAAAGACGAGAAGAACGACGGAGAGAAGCGTGAGCTGGGCTGGCATGCCGGCACAAAGAATGAAGACCTGGAGGGGCGGGCTCGGCAAAGCCAATCCGAGGAGCTCCAGAGGCGGTCCTCCCTTCGGCTAATTGCTTCGTCACCGAAATACTTCTAGAGTGTCTAGATTGATGAAATGCTGATTATATTAATTGTCCTGGTCTGGTGTCTCTCAAAACTCAAAGATCCTAATTGGAATTGAAACCATGCGTAAACACCAAAATATTGACGTTTTTCAAATGAATGCCTTGGCTCGTGGAAAGTTTTGGAAAAATAAGTTTTTTTTTTGTTTTTTTCTAAGGATCTTGAAAAAGTAGGAAAAGTCTCACAAGCAACGTTGCTTTCGCTGCATCTCATAAAATATAAACTTACAGTTTTATAAAAGTTCAATTATTATTAGATTCGTCTTACTTGTCTATTTAGAACCCAAACAAAATGGTGAGCTATGCAATTCGTAATGGAAATCGTTCTTTTTTTCCTTTCTCGTTATTTTACAAACGAAAAAAAGTTGATGAGAAAGAAGGAAAAGAAGAACAAAATTGTAAAAAGTTCTATAAGGGTAAAAAAATCTACCGCAGAACAAAAAAATTTTTTTGGGTTTTTGAAAGAAATCCGCTCTGATCTATGTCGCCAAGGTAAAAAAAAATATGCAGGAAGCTTATTAAAGTTGAAGAGCCCCTTCCGTTTCACAAAGCGTCATGGCTCATTTCTATGAGATTTTCTTATAAAAATAATCGGCACAAGCCAACTTTTAGAAAGAATAAATCAATCAAATGATGTGATGTGAAAAAAAGCTGAAACCTTTCCCGTCTTTGAGAACGTCAATCCAAACACCGTAAAGTACTACAATTTAGGAGGTCGTGGGCAGAAATTATGTCAATTTGTATCCTTTTGCGTGAATAATTTGGTCATTGTTCTTTACAGACTTTTTAGAAGGATGAAAACTGAAATTTTTGCCTCGAGAAAAAAAGATTTCTTTTTCGTAGGCAGTTTCTATTCATTTTCAAGACGATACATTTTTGATGAGATAATCAAAAATGTCCAACCGACCACTAAGTAAATTAACCTCTCAAAACAATTCAACTCTTCATTCATCAGTATAAATAATTGAACAACAAAAAATAAGTTTTCAGTTATCTGTTTTTTCTTCCTATGTCCTTGTTTTTTTTTTTGATGGAACCGAACAAAGCTTCAGTAATTGAGACTCTGATCTTTTAGAATGTTCTGCAAACTTCGCCAGCAAAAAAACTCACTCAAAAACAAGCCGTGGCATCGCCATTTTTCTCAAGCTTTTAGGGAAAAGCTGAAAAAAACAATTCATGGGCAAAATGTTGAAAAGCTCCAAGACAGTTTATAATTTCTAGAGTATAGGAATCTACCGTGTCAGATTATTTTTATTTTTCTTTTTACGAGAAATGAATCTTAAGAATATTTTTTTAGTTCTGCAAAGTACGGTTGGAATTAATTTGCGAAGGCTCAGATACATGTTTGAAAATCTGCGTTAAAAAAAGCTTTCGGTGAAGAATCGCGATTTTCATCGCCTGAATCAAAACTGGGTGTGTCCAAAAACTTTTTTTCTCGAGATTAGCAAAGTCTTATTGGAAAAAAAGTTAATCATAATTATTCAGAACGTTCAAAAAGTGATTTACAAAATTTACAAAAAAATTTCCAAGGAAGTTTAGAAAAAAATTGCAAACTGTAAAACTATTGTCATTTTTTTGGTGAAAAATTTTTTTGTGTTACCTTTAATATTGGAACCCTGAAATCTCAGACCGTGAATCGTAGATTATTACTGTGAACTTTTTATTCATGCTATAATAACTGAACGAATCGTCCTGAAATAATCGTAAAATAGAACAAGTGAAAAAGTTTGTTATCCCAATGAAAATGCATGCAATGATTGAAAATTTTCATTCAAAACTTCAAAACCTTTTGCCCAAAACATTCTTTTCTCTAATAATGAATGCAATCTGTCTTGGTCTTTTTTTGAAAGTTCGTTCAAAAAGAGCAAAGGCTTATTGATTAATATATGTGATTCTACGATAATTTTCAAAGAAAAAAAGTTTAAAAATTTTTTTATCTTTGAGATAAACTTTCAATCTTTTCCAGATTTTTTTGACCTCAAGGATCATCTTCAGACTGAGGATTATATATTTCGAAAATTATTTTTTTATTCTATTGAATCGGAAATCCTAGGTTTCAAAGTTAAATTATAACCCTTGCGGGTCATCGGAAAATATCAAGTTTTTAAACAGGAATCACAGAATCCCATTTAATAGGAGACTTCCGTGCCCAACTGCTTCATTCACAGGGAAAGTTTAAATGTCAACTTTTTGCGGCAGTTAGAACATTGTCAGACCACAAGCTACAAAACGGGCTTTTTTGCTAGTATATGGAACTCGAACAATTTAAATATAATCATTTCTTGGCAGAAATTAAGATTTCTGTTTATGAAACAGCGATTAAAAGAAATAAAGACACCAATTGAAAGCCTATAAAAATTTTTTTGAATCTTTATTGTATGTCGTGCGGTTGTTTTGGGTCTTGTGAATGGACGGCATAGAAAGGGACCAATCGTCAGCTTTTTTACCCACTCGCTTTGAAACCAAAAAAAGATTTTTAACATGGAATTTCGTTTTTCAAACTTAGGCGCGATCAGCGTAATAATATGTAAAAATAAATAAATTGAAGCAACGAAATAAATTTTTTGAGTAGAAATTTGTAAATACGCCTAATGAAGTCTTATTCGTATCTAAAAATTTGCAGCTCAGCAGACCAGATCAAGTTCTAAAAGGTTTTTTCATTGATTTTTTATGGAACTGTTTGAAGAAAGTATTATTTTATTTTATAAAGAGGCAGAATGAAATCGGGCAAACGGAAATGTTGATTGGTACCTAGATCAATATAAACGATATTTTTGAAAGAAATTTTGATTTCCGCATTTACAAAGAAAATGTGTGAGGTGAACATTGCAGATCTGGTTCAAACTTTTTTGTTAGGTAGTCCTAGGTATCGAAAATGTACGGAAAAGGTCAAAAACGGATTTTTAACGGTTTTCCGATTTCTAAAACGTCCACTGTTATTTACTATATCATAAAAAAACACGAGAAAGAAACTTTCTTCAAAAAAAAACCCGATGAGTATTTTTTTTAGCTTTTTCTGTCCAGTTTTGACAGGCTGCTCTATGGCGCTTATCGGATAATACTTTTATTTCCAAATACTCATACCTGAGATTACCTACCACATGAGTTTGAGCCATATTTGCAATACCCACCTCACACATTTACCTCGTTAGGTGTTTTTTTATGCTTTCAATTCGAGCATAAAAGGGGAAGCTGTAGCGGTATTCTAGTATTTATATTGACACCAGTTTCCCGACGACCAAACATGAAACACTGTGTTTTTCAGAAGATGACGAACTTATTGAATTATTCAGACCATCACCGCTTGGATCGAACAACTTGACTTCGGTCTCTGCTGCTGCATACGACAATTTATCAAATTGGTCATCAACGGCTTTACAGCCGGCTGCCGAGTGCGACAACATATGCAATAAGCGCTTTTTGTGTTAATTCGTGGCTGTTCCATCGAAATGATCATCAATCTTGGTATCGGTTGACTGTCCCAAAAAGCGGAGGTCTTTGCTTCTTTTTCTTCAAATATATTATTTGATTCGTCTCTCATATTCTCATAAGGAGGAATGAAACTGATCATAAAGAATAGAAAAGGATCATGAAGAACGATAGAAAATGATCATGAAGACTCTCTGAAATCTCGAGAAATCGGTCGTTCCCCCTGATGTCGTGAATGAAGATCTTAAAAGTCCCAACCTTCTGAACACACGATATTATAGTGCCTGAAGAAAGAACCCCCAAAGTTATCAAAAAAAAAACGGTAAACGCTATTTCTTCCTTTTCGAACCAGAAAATTGTATTTTTGAAATGTTTAGGACCTTTATTTAACGAGTTTATTGACAAGTTAGGGAAATTTTCAGCACGCAAAGTGAAAATATCCTCCTCCTGAACTTTTTTTCGGTTTCAAGCTGCTAGCTCCATTCTCTGACCTGAATTTGATTTTTAATACAGGGGTGGGCCTTATTATTGCACGGACTTTAAGCTCTTATATTACATTCAAAAGAATCTCAGATAAAGTTTATAGCATATATTTTTCAATAATGTATCAAAGATAACGCATGCAAAAGTTTTTTTTTATCTCGGCCTCCTCTGGCTTCAGTTACGGCTGAAAGACTCTCGTTGATCGTGTTGGCCTCTGGACGCAGGTGTCTGTCGTATAACTAGTCTTCGATATTGAGAAAGGAAGCTTTCGTAGTTCCCAGATTTGAGAGAGGTCTCAAGCAGGCCACTGCGTTCCAGAATCACCAGAAAGAATAGTCGAGGATTTTTTCTCCGGTGAGTAGGAATCTTTTTTTTTTTGAGCTCGTTGAAGCCAGGATTTTAAAAGATACATCGGCCAAAATCACGGTTGCTTCTGGATGAGAAGCCTTGTGAAACGGCCCGGCTTATTTTTGGCTACTTGGTGATCTTGGGCAAGTACACAAAAATTCCTTAGACTAGATACCTCTCAGACGTTGAAGCGCTACTCCCGAAGAGCTTCCGAAGTTGCGCGTCTGAGCGAATACGATTTTGCTCTGGATTGTTCATTGTTACTTGCTAGAGCAAATGAGAAACACCGTATCTCTGGTACGAAACCTTCTATGCCCCACCTTGTCTTCAAATATTGTTTTCACAGTTTTCCTCAAGGCTCCAAGCTGGAAAGCCGTGAAATAGATGCTTTACCTCGAAAATTGACTGTTTCTCTTCCAGACTCTCTCCAAAAAGTTAGAGTCAGCAAAAGACCCAGATGACAGTCAGACACTAGATGACAGTTAGAGGTTCTAGGAAGTTTATTAAAAAGTTATCGGTCAGTTGCTCAATTCTAAGACATATGAAAAGGATTAGCGCATGGCTGTAACGCTTTTTCAGCAGCAATTAACTGCGAAAAAACAAAGTACGGTATGATTTGGTGGTCACCATCTCGCAGGAACTAAAGATTCCATAGTCATTCTCAGAAAATTATCAGTAGGCAACTTAATTTTCAAAAAATGTACATGTGAAACATCATTTGATTTAAGAACAAATAAATTACAGCGCTCGGAAAGTCCGTGCAATAGTTATTCCCACCCCTTAATTTTGATATTTCTGAAGAATCACCTTGGATTATCTGGAGTAATCCTTAAAAAAAGCGGTTGCCTGGAAACTCTTCTAGAAATGTGAACGCTTTGCGAATCATCTCAACTATGCAAGTCTAATTAGGCTCGCCTTCGGAACTATCCCTTGCTGGCGGCGTGTTTAGTGAGTTGCCACTTGAGGGATCCGAGTGAGAGAGAAGAGGGAGAGACTCACAACGAGGCGAAACCAATCGATAGCAGCCCAAACGGCCCGTATTGCTCATAAAACAGATGGACTATTTGTGCGCGGCCAATGCTTCGACCAATGGTCACTTCAGATATTTTTTCTCCGCTCCCACTTTTTTTCGTTCTTCTCATTTTTTTTATTTGGCCAAACTTTCGAAACAGAGACTCTCAAAAACTTGACGAAATGTTGCAGTTCCCGTTACCGCCTTCATGTAGTCCTTACAGAAAGTTCATTCATCGTTTATATGCAAATATTCTGTTTCTCTCCGCGACTACTTTTCATATTTTCAATAATTCTGGGAAACTGTTTGGAATGTACCATGAGGAACAATTGTGTCGGTTCGCGCGTAAAAAAAATTTTCGCAATTTATTCCTCTATTAAATCGTTCAGAAAATTGCGTTCTCGCTTAAACTCTATGATAACCACTATTTGCTCACAAATAAACTTCTGCGCTGGGAGTTCATGAAAATAATTTGAAAAAAACTTCAGTGAATTTTTTTGTACTTGAAGAAAAAAATCAGAAAAAAAATCTTCTATTTGAATGTTCATAAACAGAGAACCTTTGTTCGTTTTTGAGATTTCGGTGATTTTAAAAAGCCCCAACAAAGATTTGAAAAACAGCTCCCATTTTTTCGCGATAATTTAGGATTAACTTGACCTCATGCGCTCTCAAAATTTCCTATCGAATTTCATGCTTGAGAAAGCTGTGAACTGTCTTTACAAGTCAAAAAAATCGACCTATTTCATTCATATTCATTTCTTCAGTTTCAAAAAGAAATTTTTTTGCTAATTGCGGTTTCATGCGGAAATTTTTGGGGAAACATGTAATCAGAAGCTAATTGGCGATTTGCCAACCTCCGGCTGTATTTTTGTCCGAACAGAAAACGCCGCCGTCGCTTTTTCATCGCTCACCCGGCGACGTTTTATTGCGTTTTACACTGCGCAAAAGAAGTGGAGGGCCACTCGCGTCGGTCAGTCAGTGCATAAAAATCGCATCCTGCCGCCCTCGGACTCTTCTTTCATCTCGTTTCTTTTCTTCTCCGCTAGTATCTGTTTTTTTCTTTTTTTGCTGTCGCCTAAATTTATTGCCTTCCACCGCCTCAAAACTATGAATTTTCGGAAAATTTGTGCGTTGGGAAAAATGTAGCACCTGCTTCTGGTTTTCTTTTCGTTTTTATGAGCATTGTTGGTTGCGAGAAATGGCGATCCTGACGTTTAAAATTTTCAAGGCTCGCAGTTCCATCCAAATGCAGAGAAAACTTGGAAGCCCAAAGGAACTTACCTTTAGGTAAAAAAAAAGTTTTCATGTAAATTTGAACCTGCTTGGCTACTTTTGAATAGAGAGGATATTTTCAAATTTTTTTTAAGGAAGGTTTTTCTCGGATTTTTTTTACTACTGATTATTTTGGGTCCTTCATTTCATTCAAGAAATGCACTTTGAACAAGTTATGACAAATTATATTTTTTTACGGATTCTTTGATAAAAAAATTGATTTTATATCATTCAGGTACTATTATATCGAAATAGTAGGATAAGGTTGAAGCACTAGGAAACCACTTTTAGAAATTTTTGCTATTTCTAAAGTTTCTCCTGTCAAACATGGAGATGACGCGAATTCTCCAAAATAAACAGTACCAAATTTGAACCAGTTTTCGAATGGAAAGTTATTGCTGCGCCCAAACTTTTTTTTCGGTTTTCCCTGCCGCGTTCGGTCGGAAGTGCCACAAATTGGTTTTTGTGACGGCTGACGGAGAATAAATCAAATCGGGTGCCGAAACATTTGGATCCCAAACACGTTGGCAGAAAAACTTCTTCTTCCTCCTCGTTCTATTCGTTTTTTGGCAAAACGACAGCTTCTGGCGCGGATTGCTATGCAGATTGCGTTGGGTCGACGCATCTACCGACCTTCCTTTTCCATATTTGACCTTTGTTATCGCGGCGCGCCAGGCTGGTCACATATCAAACATTTCCCGTCGTTAGGAATATATTTATTGCGGGACAAATAATGTTGTAAATAATGTAAGTGCTTCATGACTGGAGCGAAATCATCCGGAATACAAGTGAAAAAAAGTTAGGTGAACTGAAAATTTTTCAAACAAGTGTCTCTTGAAAATGAATCAAAATTAAAGTTTCTACTACGCACTTTCAAAATTCGCGGAATTCCTGTACTAAAGTATCTTTAAGGTCCCCTAAGGTTGCCTTTATAGGGATCACTTGGAGTTCCTAAGTTTTTCGCCCCTAACGAAAAAGAACTGCAGGAACTTTCCTCTTTGAGTAACACAACTTTCATACCATTTTATTTTTGATCGAATTCTGCTCGATTCCGCGAGCGGTTAAAGGAAGAATATTTGTTTATAAGAAGATAATTGAAGGATTACTCAGTGCTATGAAGATCAAAAAGTATACTAACGCTTGAACCAAAACATATTCTTTCAAAACTTTTTCTCACTTTTTATCATTCATTGAACAGTTTTCAGGAATTTCCTCAACTTGGAAGATTCAGCTGCTAAATCGACTAGGTTCCTCACTTTTTGGGTTACTTCCAAAAATGGAGTAATAAGGGAAGGCATGAGTGTTTTGCATGACCTTTGTTATCAGCGGATGCGTCAGACCGAAACCGCGGCCTCTTCCGCACATATATCACATTCGATATCGTTATCAATTTATCAGTAGACGACCTGAAAGTAAAAATTTTTTCTTTGGAAGAACCAAATTTTTTTATTTTTCATATAAGTTTTGAAGTTCTCAAATATTAAAAAAATAAAAAAATTTTTAAAGAGAACTGAAATGAGCTTTAAAAAAAAGCAGGTAGTTTGATGAATTCAAAGCATTTTTTTGAATAAGCAATAAATTTTTCGGGAACCAGAGGATCGTATGGTTTCCGAGGGCGGTCCCATATGGCAGCAGCCGGCAGACCGCCCTCAGGCTCTCAGATCAAATGCCAAGGCGTCTCCTTTGATGGTATTCCGCCACAAAGCGACGCCGTCTTGATACCTTGTAACCCAACCTGTTTTGTCTTCATCTTCTCCTTTCTCAATTGCTCGTTTCAGTACGGTTTATCGAGTTTGTCCAAGGACGAGCGGCTATTTTGGCGTTCACATACTAAAAATTTAATGCGGGAGATTCTTGAGTCTTTAAATAGTTCATTCAAATTGTCTTGTAATAATATTTAATAAAATTTCTTACTGAAATAGTCAGACAGTGCATGGTAAGAACTTTTTTTCACCAACCTTACAAAATTTCCCGAAAGATTTTTTTGTTCACTGAGCAAATTTTTACTTTATTTAGTATAAAACCGCTACAAAATTCCATACAAAGTCTTTTCTTGCTTTGAACATTTTTCAAACCTCTAGTCCATTTGATGAAAAATTTTAATAAACCCTCTGTTAAGTTATTGTTCTGTATAGCCAGTTCGCCATGAGTAAGGGGCGCAAAAAACTCTTGAGAAGCGAAGATTCTTGTTTTTGCATAGAATGTTACTTATCGTGCCAATTACTAAAAAATATGCCTTGTTTTCTTCAATGGCACAAATCGGCGGTCTTCTCCCACGGCTCTCCTATTTTTTAATGGATATTTGGATTGATTGAAATAGATGAAGATAGTTTTGACTCACTTTTAAAAAATCGTTTTTTTTTCTTATGTTTTCGAAACAGTTTTTTTGTACCCCATTCATCGCGAGCTTAAGAAAAGCATATCACAAAGAAACTTTCAGCTTTTTTTCTCAGCTGCAAATCTTCTCTTTGTTTTGATATTGATTACTCAGAGTAAAAAGACAAAAACATAGTCTCTTTTTTTTCGAGTTTTGAAACAGACACCGTGCACTTCTCATTTTTCCCACACACGGACGGAATCTCGCCAAATGATGCTCGGCTGGACGCCGGCCGAAGGATAACCTGCGGAGAGGCCGCTCCTCCCGCAGGCAGATCACGCTTTGATTGATAGCATAAACGGCGAACAGATCCACGCAGGTTACGGTATTCATTTTGCTGCGCTCTTTTTACCAGGCGGTGACCACAAAAAGAATATTTCGAGCCGTCGCGAGCGGCCAACCCTTTGCTGGCATCTTTTATGGCTTTCTCGCCGTTTTAAGCTTCTCGCATTTGATTTTTCTGTAAATTTATGTCTTTAAAAATCGCTCAGGCTTTCATGAAGCTTGTAAAAAGTAAAAAAAAAAGTCTGAAATTTGCTTCTAAGGAAAAAATAACCTAAAAAGTATTTGCGTAATATGATCTTTTCAAGAAGATGTTCTTGGAAACATCATTCAGAACGCTTTGTGGTTCATGAAATAGGCTTCCGGGAAAATAATTTGTCATCCTTTTTTTTAGACCAACATAAATAAAAATGATCGTCGAAACCATAAAATAATTTTTCTATCCAAAAATGATCAAAAAATGATGCTTTTTTGATTTTTCAAACTGTTCATGGGAACGAGGTTTGATTTCCCGAATCATAAACTAAGTTATAATGTTATTTTTATGAGCTCGTAAACAACGGAACAATGTTTGAAAATTTTTTTGATTCTCTAAACATAGTGTCCGCAAATCCCCGCCCCTTTTTTTGCGCAAGTAAAGGGCCGTTTTTTTCGTTCTTCTTTTTTTATGTTTTTTTGTTTGAACGAAACACTTTGGTGGAAATGTAGAGTAAAGCTTCCTCTTTTACCACTTTTTACTAAATTGATATTTGTTTCGGCAAAGCGTTGTCAGAAAAAGTAAAACCAATTTTTATTCGTTCGCATTTTAAAAGTTGTTCCGAATCGACCGCATTTGATTTTATTCTTGCAAAATATTCTAAATCAAAATTAGAATCTTTGAAAAAAATGTAAGAAATTTTTTTAGTGTGCCGAAACTTTTGAGAAAAAGCCTAAAAAGTCTAATTTTTCAAAAAAACAATTTTTTTCGAAAAATTGTGCATTTTATGTATATTTCTGGTGTGAATGGTGTACAGTAGGCAGCTCGGCCGCAAGCACTCCGGCGTCTGACAGCCAAATTTTTTTTTATCTTTGAAACAAATTCCCTTTAGTGCTAAGCAGTAGCCATGCGGCATTTGCCTGTCAAAAAGGCGCGCGCAATTTGCCTGACTTTGCGGGAAACCAAAAATTCAGCGCGAAATTTTGCATTTTTCCGTCACTCAAAATGATTTTTCCCCCCTTTATTTTTTATCTGTTCGGTTTTTTTTTTGCGTTCGTGTCCGAGATCTCATGAGCTAAATTTTTAACTCAAAGGCGATGGCTCATTATGATTTTGAGAATTCGCTCTGCGGTCTCAACCTAAACTGTTTGTGGCGCAGCCAGACTTTCTTCAGTTATTTGCTCAAGGCATGCATTCGAAGAACACTTATACTCGTGTAACGCCACGCACCTGCTTCTTGTTCTCGGGTTGCTCCATATTCAGAGTATTCTGATTGTGCGCGGCTATATGGTTTCAATGTCACAGTTGAAGTGAAAAACTAGAAAGACGCCAATTTCCAGCGATTTTAGTTTTTTTTTTTTCTTATCATACGGATCATACGGAGCATAAATTTTCGTTGTTTATCGACATTTTTTGACCAAAAAACTTTCCTTTTTTTTCTGCGAAATTTCATTTTCAACTGTCCGTTCAGGCTCATGAGCCCAGGAAGTTTGTTTTGAAGTTATCCTCAATCGACATTGATAGATTCTGGATCTTTCCAACACTTTCCGTGGTTCAATGCATTGTTCTTGAAGGGCTGTGAGCAATTTTAATACATCACTCAGTCTTTATATTCCGTCCCTCAACAAACATTTTCGATAACATTGGAACAAATATTTTTGTTTTGCGATTATTCCATGCTTTCAAAACTTGATTTGTAGAGGCTGGACTTTCAAACTTCATAATTTTTCCCACAGTTTTGACACTTGTTGCATCATTCAATAGCACGTTCAAATCACCAAAAATCGACAGTCGAATGTGTCGAATCAGTAAAGGCCGGCTGATGCGTACGTGAATGGATGATGCGTCCTAAATCTGCCTCCTCCCTCCTGACCACTCCTTCTCCTTTTTGGCGCACGGCGTCCTCTCTCTCGGGTCGCTCACCCACCCTCGATTCGCAATGTCATTAGGCGTCGAAATCAATTGCGCGTTACTCACTTTTCCACATTTTCGCTGTAGTCTCAGCTTAAGCTTCCCTATAGACGTTCGTATAGATGTTCCGAGTTTCGATTCGTTCTTGAATTTTTTTTTGGGTTTCTGCAACTTATTGTTTAATGCTCTTCTTGGAAATTAAACTTTTCAAAAACTCTCAGCTTATTTTTGCTATCATTAAGTATTTTCTGATAAACTTTGCAAAATATGAACAAATGCAATAACTCCAATTATACTTAAGACCGTATAATCCTTTCATGAAAAGAAAATCATCATAACCTCTCTCATTCTAGTTTATTTTTTCATCGAGAACTTCTTTGATTGTGTTCAAGACTTTTTTTTTCTTCTAACAAATTGTGACTTTCTCATCAATTTTTTTGTTTTTCGTTTCGTCCTCTTCACTTGACATGACTGTTGCCAATTTGCAAATTTATTGGCTTCATTTTCAGGGAATTTGCTCCAGGGACAGGTCGATGGGTTAAACAAGAACAAATCAAATAAGCGAAAAAGAAGATTTTTCGTCCTACCATGTCTCGCGGCAATTTCCGCGCGAAACTACTACAAGCAACTATATTATTACTAGCTATTTGCTCCGTAAGTATCCATTTTTTTTTAGTAACGCCGTTCATTTTTCAATTTTCAGTCATTCTCTGCACTGCAATCAGGCAAGGCTAAAAAAATATACGGAACGTTACCCAGGTTTGCTTTTTCAAATTAATTTATCCAACAAATGAAAAAAATGAAATAAAAAGCTTTTTTTGAACTTTTTTTGTTTCTCATTTGTGCATATTTTGTCTATTTTTTTCCTCTTTGCTCGTTTATTTATGCTTTTTAAAAAGCTTTTTTTCGTTGTTTTTTTCTGTTCCTTCAAGACAGAAAAAAATTTTTTTCAACAAAAAAATTTTTTTCTTATTAGAAAAATCAATCGCACTTCCGTTTCTAAACTCGAAACATTTTTATTTTTCAAACTTCGTGAATCCAACCTCAAGATGAGTTCCCGCTTCCGGAGCATCAGTAACCCGTTTCAACTTTGATTCTATACAACTCACACCAATTGCCCTCTGAAGCTCCGAAATTCAATAGCTCGAGTCTCGAGGGTACACTCTTTCGGCCTAGAGTTTGATATTACACTTCACGACTGAGAATGGGCAATAATGAATTCTAAATTTGAAGATCATTGAGAATAAATTGACGTGTTTGTCTTGAGAGAAAACAGCTGTCCTTCTATAATTGCACTCTTCGAAAGACGGGTCAGTTGAAAGGACGGCATGATTTGGAGAAAAAGTATATGTATGTGTACAAAAAGTACCAAGTAAATATATTAAAATAAAGAGATCTGAAAAAAACGGCATGTGTTTTTGCAGACGGTGGAAGGGAGCGGAAATCCGTCGCAAGGGGGCCTGGCAGATGTTGAAGTGAACGGCTCTGGCTATCCGACGGACGATGAAGACGGCGACGACGTCCACGGATCAGGTACCGTTCAATCATCTTCTTGAAGCTGGGGGTGATATCTTCAAAAAATTGAAAGAAAGTTTGCGTATCTTAAATTTCCCGTTAATAAACCAAATTTTGGTTGCTTGAAATGTATAATTTTTTTTTCGCTATTAATTGAAGCTTTCTTGTTCTCTCAACGCTTTTGATTTTTTATTGGTACAAAGTTCAATTTTTTCTTTTTGAGCTAGATAGAATTGTATTCTCTTTTTGAGAAGAATTTATTCACATTCAAGTATATTTGAATTATACTAAAATGTTGACTTCAAAAGTCAATTTTCTAATGAAAGCCATTATTCATCACTAATTTAATCGAATAAAAATGCTGCAAACTAGAACTGAAAACGCGTGGATTAGGTATCTAATTTCACTTCGCGGACCTCGAGCTCAGAGCCGAACCTCGCCCACCCAAATTGCATCGTGACCCTGTGCGAGGGGATTAATGTCTGCTGTCAACAAATGTCTTTTTCTCGGTGTCTTGAGCGTCTGGCAGCTTGGATGGATGATCCAAGGCGCTAGAGGTGCACCAACTGTCCTCGATTCTTTTGCCGCGGAACACTAAATATTGTCTTTTCAACACACAACTTTTTGGCCAAGATTGTCATAGATGCATTAAAATTTAGAAAAAAAATCTTCTAGACGAAATTTCAAAAAATGTTTTCAGGCTCTCCAGAATCGAATAAAAGTTCACCAGTTGATAAACAACCGTCCGCTTCAACAATTCGGCCGACAAAAACAACAACCGTCGTGAGAATTTTCGTCATATTTCTGAGAATAACGAATCTGAAATTCCTCCAACAAACAGTTTTTTAGGTCAGCTCCTTCCAACCTGTGCCGATCAAGCCGGTCGCTACAGTCGACAGCCGGAAAGAATTGTCTGTGGACAACGATGACGACGACGTTGACGATGACATTGATGACGAAGACGACGATGAGGATATTACCAACGAAAATGACGGCGACTCCCATCCAGCTCCAGTCACAAACTTGTTCGATTCCATCCAGCCAATAACTACGTCCACCACAAGAATTTTGTGAGTTACTCTTTTGTAAAAAAATTGTTGCAAAGAAAATAATGAAAATGGTGATTCCTAAACTATCTAAGAAGAGCTTTCCGAAGCTAGAAAATATTATGATCATCCTCATCTTAGTGGAACTCTTGAATATGATCTTAAAGCGTTTTCCAAAGACTGAAAATAATCGAATAGAGATCTAACTGAAATGGCGTTGTAATTCGATACTGTCAAAATACTCCAAGTGCGCCGAAAAAACCCACACTGTTTCGGAGCACCTCATCCAAAGAGAAATGCCAGTTTTTTAGTATTTTGAGCGGAATAAAAGTTATGAAGCGTTTGATGAGTTTCTTGAAATCTTCATTTGATTCTTCCTTCCTCAGTTTCTTGATTATGAGTAAGACCATACAAGTTTAAGGTTGTTTTGGATTTTTGATTGATTTTTTTTGATTAATGAAAAAGGATTATTTTCTGCGGTTTTAAGGAAAACTTCGCAAAATATTTTTTGGTCGTACAGTTAGGAAGCATTGCTGGTCAGAGATCTTTCTGAATCTTTCGTCTTCTTTGAATTTTTTCATTAAGCTTTTTAAGATCGACGACTGTTATCCCGGCGCCACCCCCCAAGCCAATTCCAACTTCATCGCCTCGTGACATCAACGGCAAAGCGACGACGACAGAGCGGACGGGACCTTTCTCGCCGTTCCACGAGACGATGACCAAGGGAATCTTCGCCGGTTCGTTTCATTCGCGCGGAAGCCTTAAAAACTTTTACGACGTCTTTTAAAGTTTTTTAATGACGCTCTCTCGTGGAAAGCGCTTTTTTATTTTTTTGCAATCGAAATGACTACAATTTGGTCTTCGAAAAATTGAAGGCTCTGGGAAACCCGCGAAGAAAACTTTTTATTTCCGTTTCAAATGATTAACAAAGCAGCAATGCTTGCGTAATTTTGCTGGCTCTGCATTCTGATCCAGCCAATTAAGAGAACCCGCCGTCGGATGCGTCAAATCATATTACCGTAATTGCGGCATGACTAGCGATTATTCGTACTCACAGCAGGCGCGAAAAATGTATTGATCATAGCAATTATCCAAATTATAATGTCTCTATGAAGCTAAAAGGAAAATTTGAAGTATTCCAAAATAAATTTGTATGAAGACAGAATCAATTTATCATAATATTATAACGCTGCTCCACGGAGAAATGTCAAGTTGACCGCGCGAACCCTCGCTACGACAGATGGCGAACGTACGCATAAGACAACAGTGCGTCATACTTTTGACCTGGAGACTCGCATATTTTTTTAGCTAAATGAAAAATTTTACCCCCAAAAACTCTTTCATTGAGATTGGTATATCTGAAATATATATACTTTAATTTTTTTCCTTTAAAGCTTTTTTTGAAGAATCATTTTTTTCTTATACTATTCATTAAGAAAAAAATTTCAGATGGTCGTGTCATACATTATTTTTGTGACACCTGATAAAAAATGAAGATTAGTTAAGCTGTTCAAAAAGAGTTTTTTTAGTAGATATGCGATCAATTTGAAATGTTTTTTTAAATAATAAAAAAAACTTCGGAAGCAAAAAAGCTCTTATGAAAATTTCAGTCACAAAATAAAAAGCGACTTGCAATTTTTCGTAGTCAATTTCAAATCTGTCAGAATTTCAAATTTCTCAGTTTTGCTCCCATTTTGAGCTAATGACGTGCTTAGTAGCTCTGGTGGCTCCTAATTATCCATGCTGCCGTCTTGTGCATTTGGAAAAGGAAGTGTGAAGTAAAAAGAGAAGTATCAAATATTCATTTGTGTACTCTTTCACTCACTTTTTGGCATGTCTGTCAGAAAAGCAAAAAAGAAGTTCGAAAGATTCATGTGAACATTTTTTTGGGAATGTCAATTGTTTTGTTTTCTGCGTTTAAAAACGCTACGACAAAAAGGAAAAACCAAGAATTAGCCTGTGTCCTTTACAGCTTATTTTTTAACTCATAAATAAGTTGACCCTTCTCCATTCTCCAAGAAGTAACGTAGATCGGAGGGCGAGATAGCATGCGTCGCGCAGCACATGATAAATAACTTCACTGGATTCTTCCGTCTTTGCTAAGAAGTGTTCTGAGAAACCAACAATATTACGAGAGAAAAGTAAAACTGACAACCGCTTGTTAACGAGCTTTCGATTAAATGAAATCCTAGGACAGATTTTTTGAAGCTTCAATGGGAGATACGCTTTGAAATATTTGCTCTGGTGTGAACAATTTTTCAATTGATTTATTTTTTTCTTTGATTTTTTTCCAAATAGATATAATTTTACAGCTGTTGCTGGAGGAATCATCGTCGCCGTCATCACCGCAATTTTACTGGTCCTGTTCGTCATATTCAGGATAAAGAAGAAAGATGAAGGCTCCTACGCCTTGGATGAGCCCAAGCCCCGACCTTATGTAGGCTATGCTTACACGAAGGCTTCGACCAAAGAATTTTACGCGTAGAACATTTCTTTCTCTGCTTTTGCAATTTTTATTTTTCCTTGTTGTTAGTTTAGTTCCCAACTGTCAGAATTTTTTTTTTTTTGGGTCCCCTCTTTTATATCGCTTCAAGTTCCCATGACTTACATCTCTACTACAAATGTTTTCGATTGGTTTGAAAAATCACGATTATGGTGCCGTTTCAGCAAAATTCACTTCGCTTATTCTTCACTGCTTAACAAGTTTCCCTAATTTTTTTTTAGTTTGCCTCAAGAAGTTTCTGCTTTTGATTATCCAAAAACTATCCCTGAATTAGAAAGATAAGTTCTTGAGGCAAGCATTTCGGGTGAGCTTAACTGCTGTAAAAACTTTTTCCTATCTATTTTCCCTTATCTAATGTTTCCAAAGTTGCTGAATCTCTTAATACTTGAAAAAAACCAGCCATTCATATGTGCCGACTTTGATACTTCATACATGCCTAATAATTTATAGTGTAATTTTTCTTATTGTAGATTAATAACATTAAAGATGACTCCAAAGTGTACATGAACTCATGAATAATCCTTGAACTGATGACTATCCTCCTTTCTCGAAAATGTGTTGCTTTTTGCCTACCTGATGAGATGTTTCCCAATTCGGCTTTGTGTCTTGATATCTCCCACAAAACAATGCGTGCGATCTTTCTTAATGTTTTCGAATAAATGTTTTCTTAATTATCGAAATGAACTAGCTAAAAGCAGAAACAATTTATATTAGGATCGGATATACAAAAAATGTTCCTCACTGATTTCTTTTAAAGGGATTACTCATTTGAAAAATTAATGAATTTACACGGTACCAAGAAAATATCCTTGCGTCGCTGCCACGTGAGGTTTCTAATTCCTGCGCTTGTTGTTTTTAATATTGAAAAACTAACGGCGCTGTTGTTGCCCCGGGCGACCTTCGAGCCATTTTCCATCCCTTTTTTGACTTCCAGACAACGAGAACTTTTCTAAATGATCTTTTTTTCAATCACAACTATCTCCTTAATTTATCTCCTTCTTGAAATTTCTTATTCGGAGCCTTCGGAGAAGAAATCGGACTTCTACTCAACTTGTTACGGAGCTGGAAATTTTTGCTTTCAACTCAAAAGAGGTATTTAACATGATTTTTTATAAAAATAAGATAAAAGCTGCAGGAAGCTTTGGTAAAAACGCTTATGAATCCTTTATGGAAAGTGATATACCGGTTCTTAAAAAGTCGAATTTGGAATCAACAGCCATCCGATTGAGCGACTTGCTTCAGAAACTCAATCCAGAAAACTGGGATCAATCCGCAGCATTGGTAAGACTTTTTTAAAGTATTCACGGCAGATTGATCTATGATACACCTCTTTTTCAGACGAAAATAGCTACTGAAAAGTTTGAAAATGCTGTGAGTTCTATATAGGGATACCCTTAACCATCAGTGAATGGACCATAACTGCTTGCATCTCTGTTAATGATCGATTAGGTCACAAGCTATATTCAAACGCTGAATGAAAAAAGAAACTTTATCAACTTCGAAAATAAAAATTACCGTTTCATATCAATCAATGATTCAGATACTTGAATCTGGAACAAATCCATCGATGAATTGGAAGCTTTCCTACAACAATGACTCCTCAAAGACAATCGATTTAAATTACTTGTCAAAAAAACCTCTTTCTGAAATCTCACTATCTTCAACTTACCCTATCTACAGTTTTCCTGACCAACTCTACAGAGGAAATCCGACCAAGGTTTGAAATTTTCGTTCAATAAAAAATAGTTCTTCTTAAATATGCAATAATCCTTTTTGATATGGTCTTCACACGATAAGCTGAAAAAGATTAAGCCTTGAACATAAAAGCGCGAAAAGCTGTGATCATTAGGTGAACGATATCTTTAATCCCTCTTTTGTGGCTGGTTTGTAGCTATTCCGAGAAAATCTTCTACTCGTGTACATATAAAGCTTGTCTTCTCGGATGAGAAAAAATTTAATGTTTTCGAGATGAGTTTCCACCTTTTGAGAGGAGGAACGTTTTTTCTAGCTTTCCATCTGTTATTTTGAAGTGAATTTGTTTTTGATAACTTCTCTCCGTTCAGTGTTCACGGATTGTTTGAATTAGAGTAGATGTAGATTTTCTCAATTCTGTCAAATTGAAAATTATTGCTTTTTGCTGACGATAATTGTTTTTTGACAGATTTTGATAGCCTCGTCAAGTAACTCTCTATTCTTCTCTGTTAATGACGCTACATCAAATTTCAATTGTCAATCTACATCTTTAATTTTTGTCCCGATACTATGGAAGGCACAGGGCATACCAAGCTCCGAAAAAACCACATTCTTCTCTGAGTTTAACTGCACTGAGGTGAGACTCTCAAGAAAACCGATTCATTCATTTCATTTTTTTTTTCAAATAAAATGAAATCGAGTAAAAAAATTGCCGAATTCTTCAGAGTTGTCAAACCGTGCTTGCTTCCAATCAATTTGTGCGGTTGTGTCCGTTTCTGCTCGACAGGTGATTTTCAAGAGCTTTCAATCCACAGAAACTCTTTTTTTTCAGAAATTTAGAGGTTGAAGAAACTACGAAGAAACCTGGTTCACCAAAAAGCGTCCCTCCTGAAGTTCGAATTCTCAATCTAACAACTCCTTTGTTATTAGATGCAGCTGGAAACAGTTCATTCACTGTATTTTTTTTTATAGATACTGCGAGAATAGAAAATTAAGGTCGAGGCAACAAAATTACAAGAAAACTGTACAAATTGCTGTCATGTAGAAGGGGCAGTAAACGTTACAATATTTTCGTCAATAGAAAATTCAGTTCTTTATGTTGAAATCGAAAATACGATAACTGAAGGTGATTTCAACATTTGGTGTCAGCTGGGACATTGTAAGTTTCAAAAAACTTCATAACAGAAAGTTTTTTTTAGTTAAAGCAGTCTTTGACACACCAGTCCATGTTCTCGAGCTCAGCCGTTATGTTTCCATAAAAATTCATTCACCTGCCGTTTTCAAAGCTCTAAACGCGCAGAGAACACTGATAGTGACATTCACTGAGCAACTTCCTGATTTTTTATCAGAGGAACCTTTTTGTTTGATAGACGGTGAGAAGTGTTGACACCATGGCAACCAATTTTGTTATAATCACTCCGAAGAGTGTTTTTTTGATCGGAAAACTCTAGGGAAGGAATATGTAGCTACGTCGCACCTGCAAACCCTCACTTGCCAACTCGACGCCCTGCGAGAGGTCGGAACTTCGAAGGTCTTTGCAGTACGGCAAAAAGCTCTTCTCGATGCGACTCTCCGGTGGCAGTAAGTTCAATGATGCTGCTCAAAATTTTTTTATAGACGATAAAATTCTAAGTGAAACATCTGAACGAAATTTGCAGAGATCCCATTCAAGTCGAGACGGAAAAAAGCGAAGAATTCCCCGCTATAGTGGCTACGCTTTCGAGTGATTTGCTTGGAATCAACATCATAAGCCATACTTCGACGGTTAAATTTCCAGTAGGATTACTAGACTGTGATTCAATTTTCCAAGATGTTTCCATATTAGGAGGTTGGATTTACAGCTCTTCTACTCTAGAAATTTGAAACATTTCAGCTAACTCGGTTTGTGTAGGCGATGGAGAAAATGTAGCTGTTCGATTCGGTCATAATTCAACGTTAATTCCTAATCGAGGCATTATACTCCGGTATTTGAAAATATCTTGAATTTTTGTACATGCTCTTTATTGCAGCAATCCAGCGCTAAATTTGTCTGTCGAATTTCTCAAGGACACTGTAAGTAACAATTTTTGTTAAACTTATGAATTGCAAAGGTTTATCCAAACTTCACCGTTATTTATCCGCCCGAAGTGATGCCATGCAAAGACATTGTGAGGTTCGAGGTGAAGCAAGTCACTGGAAACGGCATGATGCCTATGACTTTCAAATGGATTGTCATAAATGGTTGGTTTCAAGAATTAGAAGAAAACAACAAAACAACAACTGAGAAAAAGAATCATCGAAGTTAAGGTTCCACGGCCTTTTCAACTTTGGCAAGTTCCACAAACGAACGCGTTCTGCAAGTTCCAAGAGTGGAGGTAGGTTAATTATGAATGAAATGACAAATCGTTAGTCATTATTCATAATTACCTACAGTTGGCGAAGAACAACATCTTTGTTGTGGTCGGCTGCAACATTGCTGACAAATGCACGACAACTCAACCCCTTTTAGTGCAACTAGTGGACGAATCTACAATTTTTTCTGTTTCAATGGAAGGTTGGTCTCCTCTAAAAAACTTCCCAGAGAAAGTTTTTGTGAAGGTCTCGACGTAATCTATAAAAAGCTATGGACTTACAATACTCGTTTCACATTTGTCAGCAAAATATCGGAAGTTAGAGCCTTATTCTCGGAGAATTAACTATTTAAAAACACACATTTCATTTTTCCTAGTTTTCGATAAAAATTTTTTCGTAAATCTGATTTTGTGAATTCAATCTTCCGGCTGGTAACTTGCCCAGTTTGGATAGCCATTCAACGACTTCCAACCTGGGACTGCCAAAATCGGAGGCTGCCAATCAATAACTTCAAACCTGTAACTGCCAATCTCACCTCCATCTTGCGACCGCAAAAATCAAGGCTGCAAAAATCTGGAGCAGTCAATGACTTCCGACCTGGGATTTCCAATTTATGGCAGTTGCAACACACTGCCAAGAAAGTAACACAAAAAAAAAGAAAAGCAACGAGAATTTTAGGTGACTATTTGCGAAACTCATAAGAAAAAATGAAGCTTTGTCAGTAGCTCACAAGTTTAGGCTATGAGCCGTCAGCCCCAACTTCAATGGGACTCAAACTTCTCGCAATGCCATCTCTCCAGCAGTGCAATATTACTTTGACACCAAACGATGTTCAGGTAGTTTATTCACGTATAGACCTATAATTATAAGCTTTTTCAAGTACGAATGGCTTATAAATGACAAGTTCGTTACTTATGACGACACTATTCGCCTACCAGTGAACTTCCAAGTTTTTTCAGTAGTTGTAATTTTTGCTCTCAGGCATATTCTTACAATGCTAACCAAATAGTAAACGTCACACTCACGGCTAACTACAAAGACTCCAAACTTTTCCGAGTTATTGATGCAAAGATGATTCGGGTTAGTAAATAATTCGAAAAACTGATATTTGTCTTTTTTGTTTTCCAGTACACAGATTTACCTTTATCCGTCAGTGTTGATTGCTCTAAACGTCAAGTGGCAGCCGATCAAGACTTATCGATAGACGCGACAGCAACTGATCCAAACTCAAAAAAGTCAACGATCGAGTTCAATTGGCAATGCGAGGCGGTTAACGGTTTGATATGGACCATAGGAATTCAAAAGTCCAAAGTGAAACTGTTAAGGAACAGCGGAAGCAATGAGCCCAACATGTGGTATTATAGGAATCGACTGGAACGCCAAAACTTTAAAAATTTTCGCTGGTAGATTGAAAGAAAAACAAACGTGAGAAAATCAAATTACTCACTTTGCAAGAAAATGATTCAAGGCTCAACTTCTCTGTAACGGTCACGGCAAGTGAAAAACAGGCTGCTGCTTTTTGCATCGTTGTTGTTGCTGCGAAAAGGCTGCCGGACATTTCGTTTAGCATTTTGGCGGAGAAAAAAGAGAACATCAATGACTTTATCCGGTACTGTGGTCAACTCAGCTCTAAATCTCAATAAAAAATTTAAGAATCCAAGCACTTGTGACTTCAAGTGGGTCTCAGCTCAATGCAACATGGGAAGTGGTTCGCGATGGAAACAACGGTACTCTAACTTCTTCAATTTTTCGAGTAGAAAATAAATTTGCAGGATTTTTCAGCATTTCGACTTTCCTACACTCTCCTACTAACATTGTTCGACAGGTTCCACCTAACTCACGTATTGTGGTTTCTTTGACAATACCTCCGAGATCTGCCAAGTTCGAGATGAGTTCATTCTCTCAAGTAAACGGTTTTTAGTGTTGACGGTTGGACAGGGCTTCTTGCTGGAAAAAGATATACAATCAGACTGTGGGCCACAAACAGTGAAGGAACTTCATTTGCCGATCTAGCGATTACTACAAACTCTCCACCGCAGAAAGGCTCCATAGAGGTTAGCGTGAGCTTAAAGTTTTTCTTTCTTAAAATTCTATATTTAAGGTAACTTGCGCGAATCCGTGCGTCGCTTTGGTCAGTCCTGTAACTTTCACAGTCGGGGACGGTTGGATTGACGAAACGGAAGATCTGCCACTCTCGTACCGATTTGGAATAAAAACTTTCTTTGCAAATAACTCAACAGCTGAATACTGGTTCACACGAGGAACAGCAAAAATTCATCAGCTATATCTTCCTGCAGGTTGTTTTGAGAAAAATCAACAATCTTCATTTTTTCAGCCTTCAATGGAACAGAGATCCCTTGCAATGAACGCCTTGCATTTGCGGCTCTTCTGTCAGTTTGCGATCGTTTGGAGTCTTGCACGACGAGCGACTCAGAAAAATTCGAAGTGGTACACCCGGAAAATATTTCTATCGCTTTTTCTGACATGATCACTTCTTTCAACACTGATTTAGTAAACGGTGAGCTATAAAGTCTGCAGAGAAGATGTGAAATCAAAAAAAAAATCTGCAGTTTAAATAGTGCAAGGCTTAAGTCAATAATAAAATGAAGTAAATTGATCAAAATTTTTGCAGGGAATGTGTTCGCGGCTCTTGTAAAATTCTACGTTATGGACCTGGAAGTTTGTCGCAAAAGCATGGATGTTACGACGGCAGATCGTGTTACAATGCTTTTATTGCATTCAGTAACTGACACAAGGTTAAGTTCATTCACGTAATATATAAATATATAAAGATGGCGCGAAAATGATTCAATTTGCCGATAAACGTGACTACACAAATAACTCATACTGATAAAAAAGGAAAAACGATGAATGTTCAAAACAAGGGCCCAAAACGATTCGGCGGAAATGACGCAAAATGAATCGGCATCTGCATACACGTCGCTTACACACGACGGTGCATTGCGTTTTGGAGTCGATCTCGAATTTCCCTCTTGAAATCGACTGCCTTTGCCAGCCTCAAAAAGACAATTAAATCCGTTTTTGTTTGTCATTTTTTGATATTGCAGTGAAAATGGAGAATATCAAGAAGTTCTGGGTTCTGCATCCGCTCTTATCGACACGGTGTCAGAAGACGTTCTGGTCGAATTGATAGCTGTAAATTTGAAGGAAAATACAAAACCGAAGCTTTTTTTTAGGTCTTGTCAGAGTACAGAAGGAGAATGGGTCACACAATCCCAAACGTAAATGGAAGAACAAAAAGATCAACCGAAAACTTTGCGGCTGTTGCTACTATAAATGCGCCTCCTCCAACCGAAGAGCAAGTTTGTCGATTCAGCGATAATCATCACTTTATCTTTTCTTTAAGGGAAACGAAATGCTGAAAATGTATGATATTTTACTTGGAAAAGACCAACAAGTTGTTGATGTATGTATGCTCAACATTCAAGATTTTCTCTCCGGATTTTGTATACAATTGGATTCTGCAGCGACTCGAATTATGTCTTCAGCGGTTACGAAAAAACGTGATAATTTTTTTTTTGATCCAGCACATTTTTCAGGGTGGAGCCTACACCGCCATTCAAGCTCAGTCTGTCAATTGCAATATTCAAGGTTGGAACGCCACATATAAAATCAGCGGCACGAAGGATGAAAGTGTACTCACTTTTATCAGTAAAAAAGACAAAAATTGTTGCTTCAGATCACTTTCTCTTCATCGTTTCCATCATCATTCTCCTCTTGGAAGTGTGGAGAAAGTACATCTTATTGTCGGCACGTCTGTCTGGCCAGCGCTTCTTTTTCCCAATCCGTGTTCGCCGACAATCATTACGTATCTGATTATCTTTTCTCAAATTCTTTATCTTCAATAAGCAGTAATCGGTCCTCTTCCGATTTATATCAGGTAACTTAGCACCCGATCGTCACAAAAAAAAGAAATTATCAGATTTCCCTACTTGATCCGATATCAGGCTTAGCTTTACCGACTTCGAAGTCTCAGGTAGAGTACACGGCGAATATTCCAATTTTTGGGTACAAAACGGTGGATTATTACAATGTTTGAATCTATACTTTGATGAAAGGATAATCCTCAAACTTCAGTGCCTGTTATTCCATCCTCGTACCGGCTGGGATTCCACGAGCTGCACTTCGTCCAGTTTTGCTACCAAAAAAAACGACAAAGATTTCATCAGTTGTACTTGCAGCGCTTATGGAATATTAGGGTAACTCTGTAGACGAAAACTTGGAAATTTCATCAGAAAAATATTTCAGGGTTTTCACTGTCAGCCCACCGGCTCCCCTGCACCTTCCTGATCACAACGAAATTTCCCTAACTTTCACTGTTGTAAGAAAAAAAAACTCAGTAAGATTTTCAATGACGAATTGCAGACCACTACCAGAATGATGACACAAGCGCAAGCTCAGCTCGTTATTTTAAGTTTGGGCTCTATGGCAGAAATCGACACAAGGTAAAAATCTATTCAGAGCGTCAAAATTTGTGTATTTTTTTGCTGCGAAAATCTGATATTTTGACCTTGTAGCCTCCATTCACCACTAGCACAAAGAAAATTTAATAAAATTTTCAAACGAAAAACAGTTTTTTAGGCGGTTTGTGAATGTCGCAACCAGAGGTGACCCTTCTGGCATAAATAGTACTTTGAAGGCTACCTTGCGGCCGCCTTTCAAAACGGAACATCTCTCAAATAGCTATGTAAGTTCATATTTGAAAAATGAAAAAAAGGATATGTTTCAGACCATTCAAGCGCTTCAGAAAGTGATCGCAGCTCAGCAACCAGACAAATTTTTCAAGATCACCAATTTCACTTATTGGATTGTTACTCGGGGTAAGACAACATTCCTTTCGTACGCTTATATAAAATAAAACTTGATTCGAGGTGGAAAACCATATATGTTTGAACTTTTACAGAAATGAACGCCGACGGGAACGCTCGTAAAATCATCAGCAAAATTGATAGATCTTACCAGAATATCATCGGAAATAACTCGGACATTATTTCTAAGCGATGGTCTTCTAGTATTACAACTATGCTGCGTATTTCAGAATATCGGATCAAAAATGCCAATATTTTTATGGGTTAGATAACGAGAAGAAACTTTTTCGGAGCATCGAAAATTAAGGAATAATCTTCAACTTCACGATAACAGTTCCCTTCGAAAGTGAAAAAAGTCCGCTGAGCGCAGAGGAAATTTCCTTGATGATCCAGGTAAGAGTGATTTAAACCCAGGTGGAAGAATACGTACCCAGGAGTGCTCGAAGTACAATGAATTGAGTTTCCTGAGTGATCAGGGCGAATCTTTAGAACCAAATGTGATTCAAGACACCGACATCGTCCAGCTTGTCGTTATTCACGGTAAATTAGAAGTTCACTTTTTCTATTGTATTGATTTTATAGAAACGAACAAACTCGTTCTGGTAATCATCGTCGTTCTATGTGCGGTTTTGGGTCTTGGCAGTTTGTACATCGGTGGGGCTATCGTCGTCAAAATACGAACCGACCGACTGATAGAGGAGGTCATATATTTCTTTTTTGGTAGTTTTCTGAAGTTTGGCTCATTAATTTCTCGATTTTACAAAAATAAGCATGTTTGCTTGTTTTGTGGTTTCAAATGAAAGACACCACAAAGTCTTGAAAGGCCATAAAAAGACGTTTGAATGAATTTTGAACTTTTCTTTTGAAGATAGTTGGAATTTTCAGAAGCTTTATTACGCCAACATAAAATCACCACTGCTTTGAAGTTCCATGCTTGTTTTCTAAGTCAATTGAGTTTTTAAGGAGCGCAGAAGGGCTGTACTGGTAGATCCTTTCTTGGTTTCGCCTCCTCCTCCTCCTCCAGAATATGGAAACACGACAAGCTCTTTCGCTCCAACGACTGTGGGACAACAATATCGTAACTTCAAATTTGTATTCTTTTGAGTAGCTTTTTTTCAGCTCATCGTCGGAATCGCATCGAGGCCAGACACTATTGAGAATAACAGAGTTGAAATTTAATTTTAGTGAGTATACAGGTTGTGAATAAATTTTATCACTTGCTACTTTTGCAAACATGAAGTGCATACACCAATAAGCTAACGAAAACAGCAGAAGTCAGCAATCGGAATACCCATCATTACACTTCCCTTGAGGTGAATGAGAAAGGAATAAGTAAGCGCATGAAATCTTTTTGGTGAATCACAGGTATCAAAAGCGAATGAGACAAGTAGGAAACAGGGATAACAGAAACCGGTAGCAGAGAAAAAGTAGACAAGTTTTCAATTGACAAAATTTTCAGACATCCTCCCCTGTGCAGAAATTTTCATCAACAAGCGGATCTCTCAAAAAGTGACCTGAAATGTTCGGAGTGAATTTTTTTTTTGAATCGGGATAAATACTCACTAGTTTCAACTGGAGAACCCAAAGATACAGATGACCGGGACTGAAATTTTAAAATTAGCATTGTATAGAAGATGTTTAAAAAGCCTCAACGTTGAAGTTGAAAATAAGAAATTAGCGGAACATAATTGCCATAAAGCCATATTAAGAAAATTTCTTATTTGGTTTTGATATTATGCTTCTGGTTAGGAAAAAAAGCAGAATCACACTAAAACCTGTTTCACAGAACAACTATTGAGGCGCCTGCGGTCGTTGAGACGCTCCCTGAATTCTCGGCTTTTTTCTAACTTTGTGTTTATCGAATTCAAATTACGATTTATTCTCTGACAGTTAAAAAGAGCAAAATTCTGATTTTGAAAGTTTTCAGATTGAAGAATATAGAAATGAAACAAACCATTTTTTGCTTGGAAGACGTCAGTATAGAGGCGATGGGTAGGCAAAATGGGGGCAAAGTTTGTTCCAGAGAAGGAACTGCATGCGTCAGCAGCGGCTTCATGAAACTAAAAAAATTCTCAATTGAAAATGCTTCGATAGCAATTTAAATTAGCTATTAGTCAAAAAAATCTTTTAGATAAACTCTAAAAAAATTTCAATCTTGTTTTCGAAACTTTCTGAATATGATGAAAAAAATTTTTAAGAAAAAAATTTTTTTGAAGATCAGATGACACAAAAACAAGATATAATCAATAAATACAAACTACGCTTACTTGGCATCGAAATGGTACCACTTTCTCGGCAGAAACGCCTTGTCCCATGGATTCGATCCAGGTGGTGCAAAAACTACTTGTAATCAGTGTAACATCGTCAGTTTCCTGAAAGGAGGTATTTTTAAAAATAGTTTACAAGAAAACTTTTTTTACCCTTCGTTCGAAATTTTGATGAAACTTGGCTGAAATGCACTTGAGGACCTCTTAATTCTTGCAGTAGGTTTTTTGAACAATCAGCTTTTTGAAACTCTCGAATTTTTAATTAATAATAAAAAAATGCATTTATTGGAAGGTAGGACTAATCATAATTCGAAAGCAAGATCAAATGCGAGATATGTTTTCTCTGTAATCACGAGGACCTCACGCGCATTTCTTCCAAATTTCATCAAAAGTTTAACCGGGAGCCAAAAAATTTGTAAAATGTTAAAAAGTACCACGGCCAACTGATTATCCACACCGTCCCGGTTTTCGTCAACTGCATCTTTACCATGTCTGCAAAAAGTATCGTTTAAATTTTTATATTCGCTTTGAGAAAATCCATACTTGATCTTGAGGTAATCTATCATCCAGGATGTTAAGCCACCATTGAAGAACACCGTTATCATGACGATAGCAGCAGTTGTAGCGTAAATGACCTGTAATATGTTCATAACTTGTAGTTTTTGGAATTATTTATCACCACCGTGCTTGCGAACCAAGATTTTATCGCGATAAAAAAAACGACATGTGGTATTTAGTTTCTTTAACTACGATTTCTTTGCTTATGATGTTTGACGTAGAAATTTCGGCATTTACTAAAAGACCGATTATTTTTGCGAAGCCATGGAAAATTGATTAAATCTGGGCCAACTCTTTGCAAGATCATAAATGCTCTAAAGATTATCAATTTTTATTTTATCAAAGTTTCCAATGCTAAATTCATTTAAAAACGAGAAAAAAAACAAAGAAGAGACCTGTCTATTTTTTCTGTAGAAGTATTTCTCGCCGCAAGTGCAAAGGCCATGGCTCCACGAAGTCCCGAGAACATGATCATATGTTGGTACCTAAACAGCAATTTTTATCTCTTCAAAATTTTCCGTTTTTTTCCCATTTTTTCTACAAATTTCAATACGAAAGTCTTTTATTTGATGCGAAGCCGAAAGAAAAACCTCTTTGGAATGACAGGCCTCCTCTTCAAATTAAGCAGAAAGCATAATGGATAGACAAACAAGCCACGAGCAGCCACGATCGATATCTAGAATTACTCCAAGCCATTTGGAAATTCATTTGTAAAAGGCTCACCAGGGCAAAGAAGAGAAAACCGAAATTCCATTTTTGGTTGTCCGCAACAAAAACGCTCACACCAATGTAGCAGAAAATGAAGCTTTCCAAGATGAACGATATCATCTGAAAAGTCAAAAGTGCGAAAAAAGAATTTTTTTGGATATCATCCTAGAATTTCACCCGGAAGTTTACCCCTTTCAAGAAAAAAAAGCCAAAAATTAATGAGTTACATGGAAAAACGACTTCGTTCCGTCCTGCGACTCTTTCGAGAGATTATTGAACGTGTAGTGAGCTTGAGCAATACCGCAGAACAACACCGATACAATTCCTGAAAAATTCGAAAGCTCCAGTTCATATGAAATTGAAGTTACCTGTGAAACCGGCAACTTCTCCAAGTAAGAAAGAAATATAGGAGATCAAGACGAAAAGAGTGCTCTCCAACAAAGGATGATCGGAGATTTGAGTCATCTTTGTTAAAAATGCATTTAAGCATCCTATTGTGAAGCCGAGCGAAACAGAACCTGAACCATAGGTTGAAAAAAAAAGAAAAAAGTTCGGGTTAAAAACCAAAAAAGACGCTTCCAAACTGTGCGAAGGCCGAACCCAAGTCGCCAAGGGTCAAGGCTTTACTCGAAGCGGAAAAATCTTCGATGACACTGAAAAAATGGTTAAATTTGTGCAAAGTTTTTTAGAAACTCACTTTGAAAGTACAATGGCTACTGCATCGTTCATCGCACTTTCTCCGAAAACCAAAGCAAATAGATCTGATTCCACTTGTATTTCGTTGAAAACGGATATTATGGTGACTAAAACAATTTTTTTTATCAAAACAAACGAAATTCCAAGAAATCACCAGGATCGGTTGCCGAAATCATTGCGCCAAAAAGGAGCAGTTCTTGAAAACTGTAGGCCATACCAAAAACGCTCGTAAATATAAACATCAAAAATCTAAAATTCGCAATAAAATATGAACGAAAATATTTGCATAGTCTTGAGAAAACTTACCCAGTTGCTAGGCAGGATATGGTCGTTCCAAGAAAAACTATTGCTAAAATGCTCCCAATGTTCCGAAAAAAATGTCGTTTCTGAAGCAAAATCTTTGAGTTTCTTAACATTCAATTTAAAAAAACTTTCAAAGAATAACCGGCGTTAAAAAAATAATCGGAGGAAGAATCAGATTAAAAAAACACCTCTGGCGAGAAAAACCGTCTAAAATCTGTAGTTTGCAGTTTTCAAGAAATAAATTTACCTTCTGTTCGATTTGTTTCTCGGCTTTATTGTGTTTGTCGCCGAAAAAAACCTTCGATCAGCTCGTAGTGAAAAAGAGACGTGGTATTCTTTTGTCCGGCCATATTTCCAATCTGAAAAATCACAATGAAAAATGTTACAATTTTTTTGAATTTTTTTCTCGTTAGTAAAAAAATTTTTGAGGATATCTTTTTTTAGTTTGAAAAACTTTATCAGAAACGTCGAAACCTGAGATAATCCGGCGGTTCTTTCACGACGATGGTCTCATTTTTTTGACTATAACGTCAAAAAGTCGTTGCCGGTAGCAAACCCAAGCCGAAGTAGCGGATAACGAAGCCGATGAAAATCCCTGGTTAATTCAAAAAAATTAAAAAAATTTATTGGTGGAAATCTGTACCATAAATAAGAGTCAGGCCGCTTTCGTGCAAAAAAATCGCATACGATAATGCTTGAAAAGCCAAGCTGTGAGCACAATGAGAACCATCACGGACACATAGGTTAGCAGGATAATCGTGTCGAGTTCATGAATATTTGCAGCCCTCTGTAAATATTTCATCAGTTTTCAAAGAGTAAATATATTTTTTTGTGAAAAATTTGAGGCATCTTTTCATCGATTTTCTTGAATTATTTGAAAAAATAAGAGAAAAACTGGACTTTGCGCGTAAGTTATGCGCTTCTAGTTTTAAAGTCTATTCAACTGAATTAATTAATAGCCGCCATCTTTTTTTTCTCCTAGTTTTTGTCATCAAGTCGCTCTCACGCCTTTCAAATCTTTAAAATATCTAGATAGACTTTTTTTTCTTTTTTAATGATTTGAAAGAACACGGCTCAGCGTTTTGTTCTCAAGTTTTAATAACTAAAAAAATCGCTAATTGAGAAAAAACAACAAACCCTTTGGGCCGCCTGATCCAAGCCCGACATGTCGTGAATAGCGTCAACAGGGTGAAGTGAATAAAAGAAAAGTAAGAAAAGAAGGAAAACCATTGTCAATAAAATTTATTCAGTTCCGTCTGTCGAACGAAATACAGAACGGAGTTGGAATATTCATAACAAAATCTCGTGGAAAAAGGACGAAATATTGGGGCCGGTGTTTGTGTTTGGAACGAAATTTCGCAAGCAGCAGACGGGTAGAACACATTCGCCCTAGCAGAGACGCAGACAGCTATACAGATTCAGAAGAGAAATGCAAAACGGCTGCCCCAGTGGTACCTAATTATTTCGGCTACCAATATGAGGAAGGCTTTGACTCTTTGAGTGGAAAAACAATCGATGAACATTCAGAAAAAATTCTTAGCTTTTAAGTTCCAGCTGTAGACATTTGAGCTTTAGACAGTATTTTATTTGTTCGGTTAGTATTGAGAATTGCACATTTTTCAATAATCATATTCAGCGCAAATTTTGCACTGGAATTGAAAATACTTTTTTTTTGCAAATTGTTTCAAACTATCCGTGAAACATCCTTATCAAAGCCAAGATGAGAAACTTCAATATGTCTTACCCAATACATATACTTTTTCAAATGTTCTAGCAACCAAGAAGAAACGCGGCATAAGCTTTTTCTAAAGAAAATTTTCCCTTCTCAATGCAATCGTTTTTCAAAGTACCCAAAAAACATGTTTTGTTGATTATTATTCATTTATACAGACAGGAAGTATTAAAATTAGGCAAGTCTTCAGAGAATATATATTAGTAACTGTGGTTAAAACGTAGGATAAAACGAAGATTACTAAATGCAGGATAAAACGCACGACTTATTAAAAAACAAACTGTATATCAAAACGAATAGATACAATAATGAAACATATGCAAATTCAATCAAACTAATAGATAAAAGAATAAAGACGACTTAATACCTACTAGACGATTCAAAAGAAGATTTTAATTCAAAGATTACATAAAACGATAAAAAACAAAGTATATCAAATATTGTCCAAATGAGAGACATGCATGTATACACACGAATGACATGGTTCTCAAAGTGCAGCGAACAAAGAACATCAAATTTAATACGAACGAATTCAAACTGAATATATAAAAAAGACAATACTATTCATTCACAGCAATTGGTAATTGGGTAGTATTAAAAGAGAGCAATCGACAATAAACTGGTAATTTCATTTAGAAGTTGGCTTCAAAGTTGGCCATCAGTTCCATTTGGTTGGTCATGCCAACATTATCCTCGGCGTCACGCTTTCTGCGCTCCTGTAATTTTTTTTTATTACTAAATGAGAAATTGCGACATGTAGTACCTCTTCACGGAGGCGATTGATGCGCGCCTCCTCGTCAGGGTCCAAAGGAGGCATTTCGTAGTTATAAGGCCGATCCGACTTCTGTCGACGGCGAGCTTCTTCTTCCGCCTGCAGCTGGCGACGCTGAAAAAGAAATTCTCGTTTTCTTCATCACTTCCAAGCATCTATACTTTCTCTTCTTTCTGCTTATGCTTCATTTTGAAAGCATCAAAATCCTTGTTTGCAGAAGACTTGCTGACGACCGGCTGGCTCGAATCTTTTTTGTCGGTCGACGAGCTCGGAAGCAACTGGTCCAGGATAGAAACGCCTGTAGTCCAGTTTCAGAAAAATGCACTAAAGATCGAGACCAACCGACTCCTCCTGAAACCACTGGTTTGTCATTTTCCAGAAGCGGCTTGGCTCCAGCGTGAACATGCGACTTGGCGATGACTTCCGAATGGGTCGGCGAAGCTGAATGCAACAAGGTTAACTCATCACTATTTTTGAAACGCACAGAGAGTAGAATCAGCCGACAAATTCAGCTGAGCTGGTGGTGCCTTTGCGGCAGCTGGTTTCGCCGGAGCGAGGTTACTTTTGTAGGTTGGATGCGGGGCGCCCATACGGGGAGGTGGCACTCCGTTGCGGCCTTTAGCGGCAGCCTGAGCAATCGGACGGACCGGAGGACGGCCACGCGAAGTGAGCTCGTCAAGGCGAGGTCCTACGATTCGAATTTAGAGTATGTTAAAGTTCAGCTTGTTTACCTGCTTCACTGTCAGAAGAATCCGAAGAAGACGTGGTCGAATCTTCTCCATCAGAACTTTCCGACGAGGACTCCGAAGAAGAAGATTTGGTGTCCTTGGAAGGATCCGCAGGAATTGGCGAAGCCGCCTCAGGTTCAGCAGCAGGCTCTGGTGGCGGGAGAGCAGAAGTGCTGGGACCTGAAGTAAGGTCTAAATTTAGTACGATTTGGGGTTTCGTCTGTTACCGCTCTCAACGTAAGACGCCGCTTCAAGAACTGGCGCAGCTTTCTTCACGGGAGTCTTCACCTTCTCCTCTTCTTTATCATCAGCTGGACGAGCTGAAATTTTGGTTACATTTCGTGTTTTAGTCGTTTTCCCTCACGATTGTTCTTCCTAGGGCGGCGTGCAATCGACTGGTTGACGTATTGGCTCAGGTCGCGAAGTGTCGCTGGAAGCAAAGCTTCAAAATCAATCTCCACCTCTTCGCGACTAGCTTCGTTCTGGACAAATCACCATTATAAATCGTCGGAAAGGAAAAAACTAACGTTGAGACTTTGGTGAGATTCAATAATTTCGAGAACACTCTGCAGTTTATTAGGAGGCAGTAAATTGATCTTTGCGCTGAGTGCGCGCTTGTCTTCATAAGACATGGCAAGTTCATCATCGGAGTCCTCATGATTATGATCCGATTTTTTCTTGAGCACCATCTTCGGCTTGTTCTTGGATCCTGGTCGACGACCGCGACCTGAGTATGGACGGTCAGTTGTTGACTGGGCCGACGCAGGTGTATGCGCCGCCTGCGTTTTAACACTAAAATTTATCAATATGATTTTTTATTCACGTTTCGTATACCGTTTGGTTGGAGGTGGCGTGACAGACGGCTCCGGCTTGTATTCCTCGCGAATAGTGCTGCTGCGAATTGAAGATCGGTTTGATGGAGCCGGAGAAACGAGGTTATCGACGATCGAGTGCTAGAAAAGCGAAGATAATTTACTTGATAAAAAAATAACATTGACTCACAACATCCATGACTTTCTCAGCATTCGCAATAAGCGACTGTGGAATTTTTGGTTCTTCCATTCCAGCCTTCAGAGCTTCATGACGAGATGCGAGAAATTCTTTCAATTGCTCGCAAACGCTGTTCAGTTGGTCCAGTTTCTCCTGAGCAGCTCGTTTCTCGGCTATCGCCTGTAAAAAATATATTAATAACGACAAGTTCGAGTATCACTTCAACCTTTGTGAGAAGTTTCTCGATCCTCTGGTCCTCTGTTTCCGGCTTGATCATAAGAAGACTTCCCGAGTAAGATCCCACAGGAGACTCCGAAACAACCTCATCTTTTGGAAGGTGAAGCCACTGGAATTGTAACTTTGAAACTTCAAAGCTTGATCTAGAGGTCACCTTTTCATTGAACATCTTGAGCAGCTGCTCTCCGAACTGATGGATCTGATTGGTCTTAGGATTGTAGGTCATGCAGTTGGTGCAAATCTTAACAGTTGTTATTACAGCGTGAACAAAGTGATCGATATTCACCAATCGCACGTCGTCGGCAAACTCTTGGGCGTTTGCGTACTGCTTGTTGTCCAACTTCTTTTTGACTGTACCCAAATCCATGGGATGAGCAATGATTTCATAATAGTCCGATAGTCCGAGACCTTCCACGTCAACAGGATCGTAAAACGGCCAAGCGAAGCTCTGAAAATTTTTATTTATTATGAAACTACAGTAGTAGTCCCTCACTTTATATTTTTTTGACAAAAGCTCATTGATCATCTTCTGGCAGAACTTCATCGACTCAGTCAATTTTCCCTTAAATCGCGGCTGCAGGCTCGAGTAGTCGATGAACAGATTCGGCTTTTTGATGGGACGCGTAGACTCACGACGAGCGCTGACCTTAATAACTTCATTCATGGAGTCATAAGAGAGAACTGAATTTACTTTGCCCATATCCTCTTCTTCGCCTTTTCTTTTCAATGACTTTGGGGTACGTTGATCCTAAAATCAGGAATTGAGTGAAAATTTGATTTTCTGGGCGCTACCCCATTTGAGCTAGACGTCGACGCATCAAGGACCGGTGGAGCTGCTGCCGGTGTCACGCTCTCAGACACCTCCATGGGTGTTTCAGGATCGTTCACCGATGGCGCCCTTACCGACGACTCACGTGAGCCAGAAGCTAAAAAATAGGCTACATAACAAAAGGTCATCTTTTGAGACCCAAGTTCAAAAGGGGAAATTACCTTCTGCAGTCTGAAATTGGAAAATAACCATGCTTGAATCAAAGACCCGGGGACCAAGCCAACAACAGGTACAGACTACCAAATCATCTACTTTTTCAACTTCACAACAACTATCATGCCAGTCTATAATGACAAGAAGACGATGCAGTTGAAAACTTAAAATCACAAAATATCAATTTTCTATTTCTTTTCCTAACTATCCAAAAATCAAGAAAGAGGAGAGGGGTGAAGTAAGCAGACACACCTGCTTGCGAAGCGTAGTGGAAATGGTCTAATACACGTTGTTGTTCTTTTGAGACATGCGCTGGCAAATCGTTTAGGTCCGGGTCCCCACCTCGTCGATTTTTCGACGCCGTCAGCGACATTCGCACTCTCTCCTTCTGCTTAGACTTAGGTCCGCGGCGGTTCGAAGATGGCCGAGACATCTCCTCCTCCTTTAAAAAGAAAAGTAATGAGTGAAATTCGTCATTTTTTATCTGATTGAAAAAATAATTTGTGTCTTTGAAAAAGCTCAAAAAACAAATTTTGATCAATATCAAGATTTTGAAAATGTTCACTGAACATTCAAAGACAAATAGTTTATTTTTTTGTCATGAAGAAAAAAATAAAGGTTATCCCACAATAGTTTCTATAAATCTATTTTCACGTTCTAAAAGAGATTTTCGAAATAACTTTTCTTTTTCATTACGACAACTCATATTCGCTTCTTAAAAAACCTCATCCGGCATATTTTTTGCCAAGGTTTTGACAAGGTTTTCGACGTTCTGACACATAATCGAAACATCGTCATCCTTTTGGTTGAACATATAACAGTTGTTGAAGACATTGCTGAGATCCTGAAAAAATGGAAAAGCGTTAAACTCACATTTTCAGGCATGTGCGAGATTTTGTCGAGCATCACGTGCTCCAGCTCTTTCCCCATTACGTAAACGCCATAATGCGGCGGGTTGAACGTGTAGCAATTGTTGAACATGACCATTATGTCCTACAAAACTAATCGGTATTGTCACTTTTACGGCAGCGGCGAGCTCTTTTTTCTTTAAAAGTTTTCAAGCTCGAAAATAGGCGGCATGTTAAGAACTGCAAAAATAAATAAAACAAGCACAAGCGGACACCAAAAACTGTGAGAAGTTATTTCATCACGTGCATTCATTCATCTAACTTCTAGGTAATCAATCGAAAACGGTCATTAAAAACTGCGTTATGGAGAAGTAATTTTTATACCATCTAGAAATGGAAAAATTCAATTGAAAATTCGTTATCTTAATAATCCAGTTTCTTGATGCGTAATGAAATTAAAAATGTTCCATCTAAACAAATTATATTCAAACAACTGAAATTGTGCAGAAGAAAAGTGAAAGGGTCATGCATCGGATCCAGGGAATTTATTAGGAGTTTACTTTATTGAATACAAGTTATACGGTCGGTCTTTTCCGGAGGTAAGAAAACAAAAAAATAATTTAAACCTTATTTGTTGGGAAAAGTGATGTACGCATGCAAATTAATTGTACATAGTGAAGTTTCTAACTATCTGATTGAAAATATCATCTTGCGGTTCTTTAACAAAATCTCTTGTATTTCCCTTAATATATTTTTTGCAGGCTTCGATAATTCAAAAGCGAGCGAACCGCGGTAGAAGTGACAATACTGAAAGGTTTTGTAGCAAATCAATGGCGCCTCCAACATTTGCTCCACAGATCTTGCCGCTTTTATCCTAACTTTTTTTTCATCATGTTTTATTCGACAACTGATTTATGTTAAATTAATTGAAGACGAAAAAAAAATTTTCTAGGAACATCAAAACAAAAATTTCTTCATTGTGCGGGCGCCTGTCATGCAAAATGAATTTGCCGTCCTCAGAAAATCAACATGAGCCTTGCCACCACCTATCATTGATAGAAAGGATATCGGACTTTTAGGAACCTTGATCGCTCTAATAACATTTAAAAACGCAAGCTCTCAGTTATCCGATACCCGTTTGGGAAAGTCACACAATCACTGATAAACTCGCCTCGAGACAATCTTTCGCACTGTAATAGTAAACGTTCTTCAAACGTTTCTCAATGGTCTTCAAGTCCATCGGACGTTTGATGACCTTGTGGTATTCCTGAAAAGTTGGAAGGTAAAACAAGAAAAAATATTTATTCTCAATGTTCTCAACGTTAAAACAGTAAAGTGAGTTACTGACCGGTATACCAAGTTTGACAGCGTCCACAGGAGCATTGAAGGGCCAAGAATGTTTGTGTTTCATGGCTTCCTTCATGACGGTGTTCAAAATGTAGTCCAGTTGATTGGTGTGCCTAGTTGGCTTCCCAATCGGAGGAACAACACGCGGTTGCACAACGCCGTTGTTCGGCTCCTGGAAAAACACGACATGAAAACGTATAATAAATGTTTTCCATTAAGTAAAACTGAGTTAAGGTCTACCTGATGAGGCGAAGCCCAAGGAACACGTGGCTGATGAGGCGAAGCCCATGCATTGCGCGAACGGCGCTCTTCTCCGTCAGACCGCTTGGCCGAGCCGCCACCATCTTCAGCTGGAGCCACATCCGAAACTCTCCCCTCTTCTTCCATGTTTGAAAACGACAATCTGAAAAATTGGAATCCTTATTTTTGCACGTAGAAAAAGGACAACGAAACTGAAATTTACACGAGACTTCTAAAAAATAACTTCGACACAGTGAACGGAAAAGATTATAAAAACACAAAAACAAAAAAGCGGAAAAATAAGAAATCGAAAGAAGCCCTGACGTCAGACGCCTACCGCGCCGCGATCGAAATCCGCCGCGCGGCCTATCGATCACCTACTCTGGGGCTTGAAATGCTTTGTCTCCCAAAATACAAGCGATTGACAGTTAATTTTTCAATAAGGAAAAACATCGATAAGAAGTAACTGAAAATAGCAAAAAGTGGAGAGGGGAAAGGGTGGACACTGTGTATACAAGATGAGGAGGCGTTCGAGAACCCATGTAACAATCAATTGCACGCCGCAGAGGCGTCGAGAGACATGTAAGAGAGTGAGCGCGCGCAAGAGTGTGCAGAGAGTGCTGAAACTGCGTCTCTGACCGCTTCGCGTGCCAAACAGGCGTCGGCGGTGTGTGGCGTCGCCCCCTCCTTCTCCTTCTTTTTTTCTCGCCGCTTTCAGGCGTCGGCCCTTCGTCCCCAGAGTGCAGAGAGGCTTGGCCACGCGCCAGAGTACCGCCGCAGCCGACTATTTTTTTTCGTGGTCGCTCTGAAAGATTCTCCGAATGGGCGGAGTTCTTCCTGACTTTTGATGGTTACGAGTTGGGAAAGAGATAACAAAATGAGAGAAATAGTTGTGGACAAAAAGAAGGGAAATCTATTCCCATTTTAAAAACAAAAAAAGAAAACTCTGACAATTCCTGCCCAAAAAAAGAAAGCCTATTATTATTCTAATATTAAATTTGCATTGAATGGAGTATAGCATTTTTCGGTAGTCCTGAAATTGTAAATTTATTCGGCAGTCCCTAAATTGCCAGTTCTATATTTAGAGAAAAAAATTCTTGCCAGCGAATTTTTGGCTTACTCTTTTCAAAAAAACCAATGCTCGTTGACTTTTAAAAAAAGGAAATCTTAATTTCCTTAAACTTTGAGGAGATTGATGAGCAGAAAAAAAGATGAGTAAATCTGTTGCCAGATAATTAATAAACTGGAAATGTATATAACTGGCTGCCAGTCAGAGAGCAACTAAATGTTGATATGAGAACCGAATCAGGCGGTTGCCAAGGCGCTGCTCATTACGGAGCTCCTGAGAAAAAATGTGAGTATATTTTCTTGCTTAAAGCCAAGCATGTCACGCACCAAGTCTCGTTGCCTAGGATTCCTACTTAAGAATCCAAAAACCAAGAAATTTATTATTTATTGGGTTCAATTGATTGAGAAAACGATCAATTTTTTTACACAGAAACAAAATGAAAATCCGGAGAAACAAGGTTTAGTACAGCAAATGGAACAGAGAATCTTCATATTTGATAAATAATCGGCTTTTGGGAATACAAAGCAAAGTGAAAACTTTTTTCCTTGGAAAGCGCAGATGGATTTTCTGAAATGATTTGGAGAATGCGTTCAGCCTTGTTAATGAAGAGAAATAAAGGAACAGCCAACGTGACGGAGATCCTGTTTAAGAATTGTCCTTTCTAGAAGAAAATATGGGCGGAACCGAAAAACCTAGGCAACCGAATACTCACGCACTTTTGGCCGTTTCTTCCTAAGAAATTGATTAATTTTACTTACATAGCAATGGCTTTGTGAGTTTTATCGCGAAGCAAACTTTTCATGAAGAAAAACAAAGGAAAGAACAAGAACTAATTTGAGATTGATGAGATGATACCCAAACCTGAACTAACATACTTCTTATAAATGAAAAAAACCAATTGTCATGAATAAAGATTCATCTTTTTCCAACTTAAAAATAATACTTTTGAACGAAAAAAACTTGTTTTGATATAAAAAAATTTAGAAAAAGAAATTAAAAAAATACATTACTTGAACGAATCTTTTTCATACTTTAGAGCATAAACTGTTTTGAAATGGGAGAAGTTCATCAAGGGAAACAAAACTAACAAAAAAAGAATATTGTGAAAGCGCGAAAACATCTTGACAAAGAGGTCGCAATAACGTTTTGGCGTCCTTCGGTGCTTGCAGAAAAGGAATTATCGTAGACCGTCATGCGCGGAGAAAAATAAAATCGCTTCTACGACTACACTCTTTTCTGAAAAGTGTTAATAACATCCCGTATGGTCTTCTTTATTGATAAACATGTTCCAGCATAAGACAAAAACTTTTGGGTTTATTTATCGACAAATCGTGATCGTCCAGATAGAAATATTATCAAAAATTCCAGTATTATTTCTATGGCAAAAAAATGATGGGACGGAAGACTTTCGATTCAAGGACGATATCTACATGTTGGCGTCTGAAAAAAATTTCAAAATTAATTTGAAATTATTTTTTTGAATAACCGCAGTTGCCGATAAATCTGGAACCAGTTGCATATCATTGTACGGAAGATATATGTGAGAATAGGAAACCGTATTTGACATTGAAAAAACTGAAAAGTATAATTAATTGCCAGTAAAATAACTCGAAACTCACTTGAAAACCAGAATACGTCTTTCATGTCCATTTGCCCAGGTAACCGAAGAACCACATCTTCATTTTGGTAGTCTTTGAGGGATTCACAGTCAAAACGGCCAGTTTTTCTGGATTTTCATGAGTTGCAGAATTATTTTATTGATGTTCCACAAACTCATCATATAAAGGAACAATGTGTCCGTTCGCGTTCGGTAGAATGTCCTTGCCTACCATAAACCAAATAGAGGATCCTTCGGTTTTTAACGTGAGGCTTTTGATTTGGATCGTTTTTATATCACGGATCTCAACCAAGTATTTGATTATCAATTATTTTTAAGAGTTCAAACCAAAATGCTGCCAGAGCTGACGTTGAAGCCAGCATTTGGTGAGAGCGGTCTTAACTGAACAACAGCAGGAACTTGGAACGCTGGCCCATTGGGCAAAAGGATTGAAGCGACAGTTTCCTGAACGTGATTTGAAATTTATTTGTAATATCCTTGCAAACCTCTCTTTTGTGATCGCGCAAGGAGACCCAGTGAACTTGTTTGATTTTCTTATTGTGAGGAAGAGTTATGAGAAGAGGTTGGAAGCCGGCGTACCATTCTAACGGTTGAGGAATCTTTAAGATGAAAGCAGTCGAATTTTGGAAAAACATTGGCGTTATACTGATGAATCGATTGCGTCGAATTCAGGTTGTTGTAGTCGGAATCCAGATGGGACAAAAGTTTTATTGAAACTTAGTTTTGTATCTTCTTCGGGTGCTTCTTCAAGCTTTGGAATGATCTTTACTGGAAGATCCGTTTGAGAGGCTGATGTGGCTGATTTTTTTTCAGGCCCTGGTTTGAGAAGGACAACTCCTCCCTGAAAAATGATCTAAGTAAATTTACGATAAGTCCGTTCTGGAAGTTTGTCTTCGATTGAGTAAATCCTCACACTTTTTTTTTTGGACTTTTTGGTTACAGTTCAAGAACTATTCGATTTTATTTTTATGCAGTTTTTCTTCAATTAATTTTGATCAAAATGAATGAAACATACCTTTACAAGAAGTTCGATTGGTTTCTTTTGATCTATGGGAGGCTTCTCATCTGTAGTTACGTTGATAACAGCTGAACTATGTTTTTAAATGTTCAAATCCTTTTTTTATAAAGCACCATCTCGTCTTTTCCTGGCAGGAATCCCAATAATGGGAGACATACCGCCTAGAAGAGAAGTTGAAAGGATTTTCTTTCTGGAAACAGCATCGAGCGGCTGAAATTTCGATTAAAAAAAAACCACATGCAGTTCAGAACCGGTAACTCTTCGAGAGCAAAAATAGCGACGTCGATTGGTTTCGGTTGAACATAGAATCCATTCGTCGACGGCATTATATCTTGAAGACTGTCTCCACTTTCCTCGGATGGCCCCAGCCAGAATGTCACGTTTTCTAAAGTTTTTTGAAGGTGTATTTCCAATTTAATCCTTACCTGTAAGTAATGATCTTGGCTGAAATAAGAATTTCGAAACAATGAACCGTCTATCATCCACAGCCCACAAAGCTCCAGAAGGACGGAACCGTTTTTTCAAGTCTAGCTGGACCCTTCAATTTGAAATAAATGTAATACTTCACCTCTTACCTGCCCCACAAAGCTGCCGCAATATTTTCCATAATATGGTAGCTTATCTGACGTCACAATAACGTCATGCGTCTTGCTCGGACGATTGGACCGGATCCAATCCAGTAGACGGCTTTGTTTTTCTTTTTTCGAATCTTCTGTACGATCTTCTTTGACCAAACTTCTAAATAGAATCAAAGTTTATTTTTTGATTTTTGAAAAAAAAAAACTAACTGTAAGGCTGGAGTTTCCGGATCAATTTCTCCGGAAATGATAGCCGCTTCCAATATTTTCCGCTGTTCCTCCGGCATGCTTTCAAGCAACTTAATGTTTTCTGACGTTTTTTACAAATGTGATCAAAAAACCACCTTCAACGAATTTTCTCTATCCGGAGTCATTTTCAAAAGTTTCTCGACGTTGTTCTCAAGATTTGGAGGGTCTGCCACTTTTTTGGAAGCGATTACTTTTTCGGCGTTCTCTTGGAGTTGTTTTTGTTTTAAAGAATCATTGAGCGCCGAAGTTGCTGGGAAAAAAATTTATACAAGATAGAACTTTCTGAGTACCATGGCTCAGTAGTTTTTCAATTATGGAAGGTTGAGGTCTAGCTGCTGTGCTAACTTGAGAAAAATCGCCATCCGCTGCTGAGCTCGTTGGAGGAATCCTTGGAGCTCCACGTAAAACTGAAGTCATGGCTTCAAGAAGACTTCCCCCCTGCATTTAAAGTTATTATCAAATTTTTCTTGCTTGTTTTTACCCCTCCTGAGCCATTGTCTCCAACGCCTAGCAAATTTTTGGCGATTTTCGATATTTGGTCCAAGGAAGCTCCATCAGCCAAAAGCTTGTCTAGAAGCGGCTGCATTTGAGTAGCCTACAACAAATAAATATTATAAGTAGGCATTTTTACAGGAAAACCTGAATTTGCGGAACAGTGGGTATCAGTCCACTTTTGGCCTGGCTCTGTGAGAATATTGTATTGACAATGTTGGGGTCGACCGATTGATACAAAGGATCAACCAGTTTGTCGCTCTGAAATCATGGTTTCAAAAAGGGGGAAACCGCAAAAAACTGACATTCGCTATTAAACTTGTAGCCTCGGATTGTAGGAGAGTATTAGCAGCGAGTTGAGCGGGTTTCCGCTCGGGGATATAGTGAGGTTGACCGTTTTCCCAAGACGCAGCGTACATGGGAACTCCGCTTATAATTCCCAAGTTCTGTGACTGAAAATCCACTGTTGTTTTCCGAATAAACTACTACTATGATAACCGGAAATTCTCAGTTAATCTGAAGCATTCTGATCGCATTGAGAACGTTTGAAAACTTAGTGGTGCAGCCGACAATAATACAACTTGCGCAACTTGATATTTAGTTTTTAAATTTTGAATTGAGCCGTTTCGTGACCGCAACGCATCATCTTTTATAAACGCAATCGGAACTCGTGTCAATTTTAAGCTTACATTCAAAGTCTGTAGTGTTTTGGATTCCGTTTTGATAAGCGGTTGCCTAGGAAGAGGTTCTTTCAAACTCTTGTAGGGCTTGTATTTAACGTCTTCCCCTTCAAATAAATCATCTGGTTTAGTGACTCAAAATTGGAGTACCTGGTATTGCTTGTTCGCTTAGTTTTGTTTTAATGAAGTCGGATGGTTCGGCAGGTTTTCTTCCTTTTATTTGTGGTCGTATGACACTGTTATACTTCCCACGCAATTTGTTCAATCTAAAGACGAGCAGTTAATGAAATTATAGAGTTATATCACCTTTTTTCATTGTTAACAGAGGTTGATGTCTGATCAGGCGTTAGAGCAAAGTTGCGATCATAATTGCCGACGTAAGAATTTCCACTTGATGATAAAGACTGTTTTTCTTCTACAGTTGGGTCAAAGCCTTCGAAGTCGTTCAAAGACTGAATCTTCGGTGTAAGAAGTACTCATAGTCGTTTTTAGATGGATTCTTTCTATTTACAATGAAATAGTTACAGTACCTGAGTTTCTCGATATTTCATGGGCTCTTTGACCTTGTTCATGCGAGCTTGGTACTGAGACCAAGGAATGATGGCCGCCGGACGGAGTTGCTCATCTTGAGCCTTGCCGTTTGCCGTCGACCACACTGTAACAAAAAATCAACACACTTTTATCTTTTTCCCTCTCTAGGACTTTCTGGTTTTCTGACCGGGAGCAGAAATGGCGCGTGATTTTCACTCTAATTGCTAGTTGGTTGTGTCATAGATTGAAATGAGGTCAGTTACGGTTTACGCGACAGCTCTTTACGGGATGAAATCGTCAAAGTCTCGGAACACCAAAAAAGCAATTATATATCCTTCAAAAACAAAAATTTACAGGCTTCCGTTAGTTAATGCAATGAATTTTTCAAAACTTCAGGAGGATCTCACTAGAGGTAAAAAATTGAACTCAGAATGTTTTCTTAAGAAATAAATTGACTATTCATAGTGGTTGCAGTTTGTTACAATGTATCATTTTTTCAATCTTATTTTCACCATTCTTTTCGAGTTTGTATGAATTTTCGCAGCGATGTAAAATTTAGGCAAACATCTCAGAAAACTTGCAACGAATAAGGTTTAACAGAAAAAAAAAAAATGATTGGAGCGATCAATGAATGGAACTTACGTAACAGGAAAAATGTGACGCAGGAAGTGGTCATTGGGTTAAACATGGACGGTGTCAACAGTGAGGGAACACTGTGAGCGGCTCCTGGGAATATCGAGGTCAGCGGGCCGTCCGAGCTGCCTAGTAACCGGAAAGTAGCCATTCAGCGCGACCAGCACGCTTGGAATCACGCTAATCCTCGCGCCTCGCACGAAACCATCAGCGAAATCGGACTGCTTTCTGACGAGTCTGAAAAAACATTTACGAAAAGTAATATTAAAATCATCCCCAACAAAACAATCAACAAAAAGATTAGAAAAGTCTCAAAAAGTTTTTTTTTGCGGATAATGGTCGCTCGCTATTAACTTAGAGCTTCATATAATTTTTTTTCCTTCTCTTTTAAATTTTTTTCAACTTGATTAAAATGTTTTCGTAAAAAAATGAATTTCTTTGAAATTTTTTCGACAGAGTATTTACAACTTAGCTTTTCAATTCTGATGATTCGAGACTTTCACCATTTGTGTCCGTAAGTTCAACATTTGTGCCTGTAAGTTCACCATTTGAGTCTGTAAGTTTAACCGGGAACTTCGCGAATATTTTTGCTCACAAAAATTCGAGCCAGGTATGTGGATGAATCGAAAGAAAAATTGATTCTGGTCACTCTTTGAGCGCTTTGGTCAGTCGAATCAGTTTATGTGCTGTTATAAAAAGGAAATTTATTTACAAAATCACTATAAAAATATGCAAGACAGGAATATACACTAAAAATTAAGCCTGGAAGACCCGTTTTGCTGGAAATGATCGAAAAGCCTCCGAGCTATCACTACCCGTTGAATCTGCAATGATAATGATGAGAACTATCAAAAACTTTTATTTACCTGTGAAGTTCCACCGTACAATTGAGAGATCTTAGCATCTCGCATGAGTTTCTCCACAGGGAACTCAGCGCAAAACCCGTTGCCACCAAATATCTTCAATATATTGAGAATTTATTTTTTTAAATCGTAAAAAAAATCACTTGAACAGCGTTTGACGCAGCCTGGTTGGCCATATCCGCAGCGAAACATTTAGCAATTGAAGAGAGGTAAGAAGATCCGATCTGTCAGGTTGATTAAATGATATAAAATGATATAATTTTTATTTACGTTCTTGTCAACGTCGTTAGCTGCACGATACGTTGCAAGCCTTGCCAATTCAAGGTTAGTCGCCATTTCAGCAATGATTATTTGGACGGCTTGATGCTAAAAAAAAGATACTTCCACAAAATAATGAATAGTACATTGGCGATCTGGGTGCCGAAGGTCTTCCGTTCTAAAGCATATCGCGTTGATTCATCGAGAGACCTCCAAGCCATTCCCAGTGCCGCAGCAGCTATTGAAGGTCGAGTCATGTCAAAGGCCGCCATTGTGATCTAAAAAAAAAAACTAGGAACTTTGGTAAATGACAGAATTTCCAGAAAGTTTAAATTCATGAAGTTTCAGGGTAAACTATCTGAAGTTGTAGGATTAAAGTTTGACGAAAATCAAACCTTAAATCCGTCTCCAGGCGCACCAAGGACATTTTTCTCATTTACGCAAACGTCTTCAAAAGTTATGGTTCTGGTGTCAGAACAGCGTTGACCCATCATTTTTTCCTAAATTTTAACTTTATCGAAAACAAAGTTTATTTTTACAACCTTTTTCCCACGAATAATCCCAGGTGTATCTCCATCCACAATGAATGCTGTAAACGCTTTGCTCGCAGGCGTTTTGGGATCACTGTCTGTTCTTGCGAGTACAAAAAACCTGAAAAGAAGTTAACATTCTCCTTTCTTGAGAACAAACCATTGCGCATGTCCACCACCGGAAATCCAGGACTTGTTCCCGTTAATTATCCATTGGTCTCCTTTTTTCTCCGCCTGAAGTTTGAAAATAAATTTGAAAAGAAAAATGAAACCTTTGTTTTGACGCCGTTGACGTCAGATCCAGCGTTTGGCTCGGTAACACAAAATGATGCGATGACCGGCTCTGAGGCTAGTCTTCCTGGATAAAATAAAAAAGTTTGGTAATAAAGAAGTCTAAATTACCCAGAAACTCCTTTTTCTGGTCTTCATTTCCAGCGATTAGGACAGGCGCAATCGCCAACGAAGGACAAAAAATCGCAAACTGGATTCCAGCACAACCGTAGGCCAAAGCTTCAACGATCAGCGTTGTGTCGAGAGTGCTCAAGCCTGGTCCACCTTAATATTGCAATGAAAAGATAAAATGTTGAGTGTGTTGTGGTACCGTATTTTTCTGGAATCTGAGTGCTCATCAAGCCCAGAGCGTGTGCTTGCTTGATAATCTCCCATGGAAACTCGCTAGACTCGTCGAAACGAGAAGCATTGGGTATCAAAACCTAAATTTCCCTATACTGTTATTTTGAATCTTTTTTCGCCTGCCTCTTTTGAGAACTTCAGAGCTGCGGACTGAATCTCTTTGCTGGTCTCTGTTAAATCTGTTTGGAATAGTTTTTTTGTTTTTTTTAGAGAATTATCCAACCAAAACATAATTGTCGTTGAGCAGTGACACCGCTTGGAACTGCACACCTTAGAAGAGAAAATCTTGACGCGAAATTCGACAACATTTCCGGGAAGAACTTTTTGTCTGAATAATATATTGAAAAAAAGAGTTTCTGGATAAGAATTATTGTAAAATATATTCCGATCAAAAAAATTGTGAGATAGGAAGTGCGTTTCAAAGAGAAAACATGCAATTAAAAACCATTCTCTGAAAAAAATAAATGTAGATTACTGTAAAAAAATGAAAAAAATTTTTCATTCTAGAAAATTTATATTAAAAGCTTTTCAAAAATATACTCTTTTTTTAAGATACCTCTCACAACCTTGAACAAGTTTTACAGTAACATGGGGAGGTTTTGAAAGCGTATCTATCGAACAAAAACAATCTTGTTCTTAAATTTTCAAGGAGTTTTGAAGTTAAAAGACTATTGATACCGTAATCTGATAGACAGTTGAACGAAGCAGAAAGGAACGAAGCAGTGCTTAAAATGCGCTGTAAGAGAACTGATTGGTGGATCGCGCAGAGAATGAGCAGAGAACGACCAACGCAGAGAACGATCAACCTCACATCATGCCGTAGATCACTGAAAAAGACAATGACAGGAACACTTGGGTCACTCCCACCGGTTCAGGCACGATACATTAGCTTGCCGGTCTCAAAAGGCTAATCTGGGACTCATACAGTAACGCGCAAAAGAACTTGAAAAAAAAATCTATATCAAGGTAATTGAGACTAGTGTGAAAAGCATATTTCGCGTTTTTTGAGGAATTTCGTTTAATTCACAATCTGAATACTCAATAAAATACAGTTCCACGTGAAAGTTTTTTGTAATCCCCTAAAGTTCTGTCGTTATTATAATTTTCTCTAGTTACCTTTTCTATACTTTAAAAGTGCCTTCTTAAGTGAGTATTTCTGAATTTTTCCTCAAAATTCGAACGAGATTTTTTGGTGCTTTTCGAATGTCGTCTAACAGAAAAAAAATGTGGAGCAGATGGAACACTTTAACGAAAGGCTATATTTAGTTTTTTGGAAGTGCAACTTTTTTGTCTCCATGATGACTTTTTTCCCAAATTTTCGGAAAACAAGATTCGTCTGAAGAAACTTCACAGCTCGTTCTAGATTGCATAATTAATCTTCATCTTCTACGATTTGAATTACAGTGGAGCGGCAAGTTCAAAAACCAAAATTGCTGTTGCTCTCCGAAGACCTAAAGCATCTATCAAGCAACATGAAGCTGCCAAGGCTGGCAAAGCAGCGCGTCAATGACTGAGAGCCGCGTCTTCGAGACGTTTACCAAGGCGCGGCAATACCCCAAGGGTGATTATTGCCGTCAATCCGTGGGCCCTGCGAAAAATGCAACTTCTTCTCTGAGAATATGTCCGGACGACCCCCGGACGCGTTTCAAATTTTGGCACTTGCAACCACACGCTCTCACTCGAGCTAGTTAGTAAATTTGGTGCAATGTCGTCTCTCTCGACTTGACTTCAGCACGACACCTCCCTTTTTTGCTTGTTTCAGAGCTTTTAATTTCACTCAGTGCTTTTTTTATCGTTAATGAACTTTCCTTAAAAAAATCTGGTTCAAGCTATACCTTTATGAAAAAAATTTAAAAAAACTCGAACACAGACCCTAATCAAGTTTTTTCCTCAAAGTTTTTTTTGTCGGATATCGATGAATGAAATAGAGAGATGTGGAAGCTTCTAAAACCATTTTTTTGATCATTTTTAAAACTGAAAAAAAATTTACCGAGAGACACAGAAAGAATTTCATTTGGGTCTTTTGACCTTTCGTTTTTTAAAGCCGTTCTCTAGAGATTCATTTTTCAACGTGTGTACTTGTTCTTCAGCGAGAGTTAAACTCTTTAAGTTTTCCACTAACGGAAAAAGTACGACTTTAATATTTTCGATTCTCAGTCTGCTTTGTAATGTGTTTAGTGCAAAAAAGTTTCTGACAGTTTTTCCTTATAGAAAAACTGTCCTATTCCCTTATAGACAAACTACACTGCGTTCAATAAGGATAGGACCCCCCCCCTCGATTTCGGACCTTCTGGCAAAATACGGAAAGATATCAAAAATCTGTAAATGCCATTCGATTCAGAGTACAAAACAACCCCCAGAGCCAAACTTTCATTATCCTAGCCCTTTTCCTACGAAAATGCCATCGAAAAAACGGTTTTTCGACCGTTCAATAAGGATAGGACCACCTGGAAATTTTGACTTCCATTGGTGGTTTTTTTGGTCAATTTCTTTTTTTCGATGAGTGGTTTTTTTGTTCTCATATTATTTGTTTTTCAATTTTTTTCTACGGTTTTGTTTTCATATCTTCCAGGTTTAAAACATATTTTATATCGAAAATAGGGAAAAATGACGTTTTTTTAGGTTGCATCATAATAATCGAGCGAATGAATTTTTCCAGTACTTTGAATGAACTTACCTTATCAAAAGAGACATTTTAACATTTGGAAAAACAAAAAGAAGTTCGAAAAACATTTTTTTAAAAGTTAGAAAACCAGTTACAAGATGGTGTATCGTAACCAAATTTCAGGCTGTCGTCGTTTTCGACCGTTTCTCTTTCTGTATGTAGTCGGAATAGCGATGTACTTTTTTTAAAGGATTTGTGAAGGTACTATCAACATATTTCATCAACAAGATAATCTAAAAAAATTATATTTACCACGTACAATGCCGAGAAAATGTGGAGAGAAATTGGTACCCGCGCTTATCGAAGGTATTGTTTCAAATAGAGCGTTTGGCGGGTTTTTAGTTTGTCAACAAAATAAAGCATTACTGAAAACGTGCAATAAAACAATTTTGATTAGAAATAAAACTTTTTATATGATTTATTTATACAGTACCGCAAAAAGTTCGAGTAGCAGTCGGAAGGGTGTTTATTCTTTTGATTTCCGAGGATCGCCAATTTTTATCCAATCCAACTAAGTGTCTTTTTGTGATGGGAGCACCTTCACAAACCCTTTAAAAAAAGTACATCGCTAATCCGACTACATACGGAAAGAAAAACGGTCGAAAACGAGGACAGTCTGAAATTCGGTCACGTTACACCATCTTGTAACTGGTTTTCTAACTTTTAAACGAATGTTTTTTTCAAACTTCTTTTTTTGTTTTTTTCCAAATGTTAAAATGTCTCTTTTGATAAGGTAAGTTCATTCAAAGTACTGGAAAAATTCATTCGCTCGATTATTATGATGCAACCTAAAAAAACGTCATTTTTCCCTATTTTCGATATAAAATATGTTTTAAACCTGGAAGATATGAAAACAAAACCGTAGAAAAATTGAAAACAAATAATATGAGAACAAAAAAACCACTCATCGAAAAAAGAAATTGACCAAAAACCACCAATGAAAGTCAAAATTTCCAGGGGGTCCTATCCTTATTGAACGGTCGAAAAACCGTTTTTTCGATGGCATTTTCGTAGGAAAAGGGCTAGGATAATGAAAGTTTGGCTCTGGGGGTTGTTTTGTACTCTGAATCGAATGGCACTTACAGATTTTCGATATCTTACCGTATTTCGCCAGAAGGTCCGAAATCGAGGGGGGTCCTATCCTTATTGAACGCAGTGTATAAGGAGAAACTGACTACTTAAAAAAATAGCTAATTTTGAAATTTTATGAATATTCTTTGTAATTTTTTTGATTAATGATATTGAGATTAAAAGAAGTTTCTAAATCGTAGTCTCAAAGCTTGCTGAATAAACGCCAAAGTTTTGAAACCAGTGTCCATCAAAAAATGTTACTGGTGAGTTTTGATTTATCCGTGTCTTCCCCTATTTTTTCTGCTGTTTCCTTCTTCAACTTTCTTAGAACGTTCAAAAAATAAGCCATGCTATTTTAATTTTGGTTGATTTTTTTTTGAAATAAAATTGTGAAAATGTGTTTTGCTGCTTACGCTGCCAAATATAGGCATCCCAATATATCCATCAACCGTCAGGAAGTTACACAAAAAAATGCTAAATTATTTGCCGCTGCGGGACGTACGAAAGTACTCAGCCAAATTGGAAAATCTCCGGATGAGCCTAAAAAGTGACCAGTTGATGTGACTATCTTACGGCAGAAGCAAAGACGTGCAGCTGGAGCGTTTGTTGCTGTCTTCGCCAACTCCAATACCCGGCTCTTTTCCTGTCACTTCCGACCGCAGACCATTTTTTTGACGTTCATTTTTTCCGTTTGGAAATTCTTTCTATTGGCAATTTCTTCCAACATCCAATGACTCTCAAAGAATACGAAAATTTTTTGAGAGGTCTATGAAAAAGTTTAGGATGATTCATGATGAGTTTTGTTTAGTTTGTCCATTAAATTCGAAAAGTTGAATACTCCTTTTTTTCGCAACCCGTTTTCACAAAAAAAAAAAATCGAACAGCAAAACTTCTTCATGTATATCATTGAACGAATGTTTCAATTCTTCTGCATCAAGTGCAGTTTGCATTTATCTAAATAATAGCTTGTTTGAGGAGCTCCTGTCGAGGGAACTCTTAGACGCTGCAAGTTTCACATAGATTAAAATCCTTGCAAAAAAATTGGCTCGTTTGAACTCTTTTTTTTTTGGTAAATTTTGTGTGTATTTTTTTAGTGCATCTATTGAGAAGCTTCTCTGACCTCTTTATTGAACACTTAAAGAAATTTTTTTCAAAATTCAGAGCAATGGTGTTCCCCCAAGTTCCGAAAGATCCTCCCAAAGACCAACATGCTGCGTCTTCTCATCCACGTCCAGCTCGTTATGTTCAGCAGCCCCAACAACAGCAACAAGTACAGCCACAGGTTTCAAGCTTTTTTCACTTGAATAACTTATTATTTTTGAAGATAAAAAAATGAACTTTTGAAATTTGGAAAAATGTGCCGAAGTCTTGTCGTTTGATCTTTTTTTTCGGAATTTGAAATGAAGCTGTGTGTTGTTGTGTCGCTTTTGCATACTAGTGAACGAGCGCTTGCGCTTTCCCTAATCTCTTCTGTTGAGGGCAATGATTAAGCGTGTCGAAATGCTGATTTATTAGAATTTCAAAAATTTCTTCTGGCTGAACTTTTGTTATTTTATTTTTCTTTGCTACGTGCATCGATTGTCGTTCTTTTTCATTTCGGCGCTTTGCTTTTACATTAAAAACTATTGGATATTCCTCTTGCAAGACTATATTTTTTTCAAACGCAGCAAAGAAGATTTTGAACCAGAAAAATGCCTCAACTGTTTTTTCTAACTGTTATTTTGTAACTATAAAAAGTTTTTCTTCTTATTCTATCGGAATAGGGAAAAAAAAGAGAATTCTTATGACAGATATATCAAAAGGAATAATTCCTTTTTCAAATTTTTATTGCAAAAAAAATTACTTAAAAAAAATTTTTTTATATTAGGTCAATTGTCTAACGTTATTTTTTTATTATAAAAAAAGATTAATGCGAAAAAAATCGCGAATTTTTTTGTGAATCATCTGAAAAAAATTTTAACTCAGGTGATGATAGCGCCGCCACTCGTCGTGCAACATTATGCACAGAATCTACACACAGAAATGCAACTTGGAATCGCGCCTCCCGCCTCTGGGGGTGGCTTCTTCGCATCCGTAAGAAGTTTCACTTTTTTGAAGGCTCAAGTAGTTTTTAACATAGAAATTCTGAATTCTTTAATCCAAAATGTGCTTTTCACAGAACTCAAGGACTTTCGAATTTGCGTATCCATTACCCTTCACTTCCTTTCTCATTTCTCCCACCCTCAGAAATATTGTCTTATTGTGTTAGTTCAGACTCGTTGCGTCAATTACGGCAAATCTCATTACAATCTGTTCAATTCGCAGCCTCGGTCTTGAGAAAAGTGCTCTGTTATGTTTTTCAAGCTTTTATAGAAAACACTCATGAGTCCTTTAAAAAATATTTTTGGGTTTGAAGTTTTTGTGTGGTTATTCAACCTAGCGCCCCCAAATCATGATTCTTCAACTATTTGGAGGTAATTTCACCCATGAATAATTATGAAGGCTAAGCTGAAATTTGCCTCTTTTGCAAATGCGCCCATGATCTGGCTCAATAGCAAAGGAATTGAAGACCTAGGCTGAGATCTCAACCAAAGGGCGTCCTTGTGGAAGGAAATTTAATGCCACTATACCTACAAGGTTCTTTTACCTTCCTTCTTGCTCGTCCGTCTTCGAATTGCTTTTCTCACCTAACTCAAAAGCAAAAATTTTTTTATTTTTATTTTTGGCTGTTTCAGACAAATGTTTTTCTGACAAGGCAAGTTTTTCAAGTACAGTTTCTTCCTGTAAGAAAATATCCCAATTTGGATGTAATTTTTCATATATTTGAAGATACCCTAGGATCCGTTTTTTATAAAGGTAGACTTCCTGTTAAACCTCTGGCTGAGAGATAGTGACAAATTCTTGAAAGTTGCCAACAGGTGTTTGCCGATGGAAAGATTCGGTTGATGTATTAGGTGTCTCGGCAGAGCCCTAGTGCAAAAAGAAAAAAACACATGGCTGCTGATTCCCGTTCTATTTTCTTGATCTTTCCATACGCTTTCAAATTTTCTTATTTTCTGCGCAATCAATCCGTCATTATTGAGTTTTGAAGTTAACCTTAATGTCCACAGAAAAATTTGAGCAAAAAGGGAACCGAATGAAAAACAGATTTGAAAAAAAAGTTTTCGTACTCGAGAAGTCCTCGAAGAACTTAGAGAAGACCAAGAAAAAAAAAACCGAACGTTTATTACTTTTTTACGATTGTTTCACGCGCAGTGAATTTTCAGGGCTTATTTCGAACGCGTCAACCCGCTAGGCCTCGAGCCTTTTCCATGCTTCCGTTGACCACATCGGCCAGTCAGGAAGAAATCGGAAATCAAGAACGGGTCCGTTTTATGTGATTTAGTTTGCTTGTATGCTTATCAAGCTTACTAGAAAAAGCAAAAAGTTACCGCTCAACGTCTGTAGAAGTCATGCGGTTCTATTTTTTTCATAAACTAGGAATTAAATTCTTAATCTCATTTTTTTCTGTGATGTTATCTCAGTTTTTCACCCCAATAAATCTGAAATGTCTTTGTTTTGAGCTTCACACAGCTCAAAATAATGTTAGTGTTTGATAAAAACCAAACTTTTCAGGTTCCCCTTCTCAACACAAGAAGGAAATTGTCGTCTAACAGGGGATACCGGCAAAGATATTACCCTTTGTCACAAGAAGATACGATAGAACTTTTGCTGTTACTCAATCAAGGTAAACTAACAATTTTTCTCATTCCAATTTTTTTTTCATTTTTGTGTTCTTCTTAAATTTGAACTTTGTCACTTCGGCAGGACTGAAACTTTCTCTCTTTTAAGGGAAAAAAATTGAAAATTCGGTGAGCCTACTTAGACTTTTTTTTTAGTTAATTACAACTCCTCTTGCTTCTGTGTTGTATTTTCATGCATTCCGATCTATTTTTCTTTGGACATGTCAAACTCCTTTTTTTCCTCACCATATTCACTTACAAACGCTATGGGTTCCGCGTAAAAGCTGCAAAACAAAAAGGCAGGAAGTTGTTCTGAATGTTGTAGCCGACGGGTAGTTTATGCTAAACTTGCCGCTGCCTTATGTTTACGAGAGATTTCTGAAGCGGAACACAACACCATCATGGATCTAACTGATTCCAGTGAAAATAGAGTCTTCAATTTGACGCCTGAGACGAATTAAACCTTACAAGGACGTTTCATATGCAGACATTTTTGACTATATATCAATTATTCACTCGCCTCAGGTTACTGAATAGAAAAGAAGGTCTTGAAATAAAACGAGGCGAACTTTAATTTTTGAATCCCAAAAACAGGATTACTGAGTAAAAAAGCCCTTCCTTGAAAGGCTAGGAAAATGGGGACCGCGAAACGCAAAACAGCCCAATAATGCCTAATCGGCCAAGTGGGCCTTCAACAAAGGAGTGAAGATTCTCGAGCAGGACATCTTCAAACATGCTTCTGCTTTTTTTAAACCCTTTTGTTTTGTTCCCAAACCACCCTCCTGAAATTCTGTGAAGATTGATATACTTCGAAAAGCGTGCCTTTTTACGAAAAAATTTCTCATTCTTTCTTACAGGTGGAGTTTTTTTTTAACGTGATATTAAAAATTTTAAATTTCCATCTTTTTATTTGATTGTTTTTGAACTGTCAATATAGTATTGAAAAGCTCACGTTTTATCATCAAAAACAATGTAATCATTGAAAATTCACTTGCATCCTTTTTTCTTGTATCGACGTTTTTAATGTTGTTTTCTGCTTTTGAGCATAATACTATGTATCTAAATACATGATTCTCAGTGGCTTATTAATTGACGAGAGCAAAGGACAGAATCCCCCGACCGCAGGAACATGTCTGTGTTTATCGTCAATGACTCCAACATTGGGCGCAAAGCGACGCGCTGTAGCTGCTCAAAACGCTACTCGCGGATGTACCTCGACGGAATGCCCAAGCTACAAAATAACCGCCGCCGATACTCAACCCTTCTGACAGTCTCCGACCTTGTTCGCGCAGGTTACTAGTTTCAATATGAACTCGACTGACATTTTTTTTCACATTTACTTGAATCAAAGTAATATATTTTCTGTATGATGGAATGTGTCAAGGAGCTGCCAGGTTTTGTTTTTGAAGGTACTGTTAATTTGGAAGTAGAGAAGGCGCTGCTATTTTCAGTTTTTGTTTGGACTGCAAGTCTGAAAGCGGCGTAGGAGCTGCCAAACATGGCTCAGCCTATTCGAAAGCTATCTCAGGGCTGTCAGTTATTAATTTTTTCACTTTTTAGTTTTGAAACACTTTTGTTGGTGTTAAATTTCTCTGTTTAGTCTCTTAAAAACTAAGAAAAAGAACTGTTTTTTGGCATGTTTATTAAGGACCATATTTCCAATTCACAAAAAACTTGTTCTTCTCTACCCATTTTTTCTGCTTTTCAACTTTTTTTTCTGCATAACTCCGCTCTTTTTCACTAAGAGCTCCAAAAAACCGGTTCTAATCAACTACCATATAACCCGATTAGAAAAAATTTTACATAATTATTCAATTTTTACATATCTTTTTAATTGACCACCTTGTATGAGTTTTTTTATTTATTCCTTCATCGAGAATTTATTATATCTTTGAAAATAAGAATGTTCTTTTGAACTCGTGAACACATCAGAAATAACCGAAGCTGGGTGCAGATTGAAATGAATAGATACAATCAAGAGAGCCAATAGACTCGCCAAAATACTCAGCCGTTCTGCTTTCCTTCTCACAGCTGGAACTTTATCTAAATCTTCTACTCTCTGAAATTTTCTTTCAAAGTTTTCAAGTTCGGAAGGATTATATTCAACTAAAATGGAAAACCGCTTCCAGTTCTTGCACAAAATTATCGCCTGCTCGTTCTACTAGCGTAATATTCCGGCTTTTACTCCTTTGTAAACATCTGTGTCTGATTCGTTCTTTCTTATTCTGAATATCATCAATTATTCCTAACACCTTCTTTTTGCATCATTTGATTGCTATTGGATGTCGCTCAAAGGACCAGATTAGATCCAAGTGCGAATTCTTTGAATTGTTTTCAGTCAATGATTTTCACAGGTAAGCCTATTTTGGTTTTTTGTTGTTTGGAGCAGTGGGAAGAGGTGAATAAGAGTTTTGAAAATAGGGAATATGAAAATGTTCAGAAGCGTTATTTGAATTGCAAACTTTTTTTACCTTGTTGTTTCGAAACTATTTAAAATTTTACCGCTATCAGGCATTTAATAGCCCACTATGAGTTTTAACACAATCTCATTTATTTTTCTATCTAATTAAATCGAAGTGAACTTCTGAGAATTTTGAAAAACACTGATTGAATGAGCTCTTTTTGCACGTTGCCACCACTTCCAAATGAGGCCTGCCAGAAACGTTGAACTTTCTTTTAACGACCGAGTCGGGCAAGACACCTATATTCATAACAAATTGCGTTTTCGGACCCACCCGTGATGTGTCTCTTCATACGAAGGAGCAGTCACTAATCCTGACGGCCCGAAAGTTTTTAGTTCGGCAAGAAACCGCAACCGAATTCCCTCGGATAATGGAGCAATAGCTCTGTTTTTATTCATATCTTTCTTCTTAACTGAAGTCACAACTCTACTGCAAATTGGATTTCGGCGACTTTTTTTTGTGAAGCTTCCGTTCTTGTTGGAAGTAAATTGCTGTGCAACTATTCATTGTCCAGCGCTTTAACAAGCGAGAGGGCGATTGTCGGGTGAAAATCTCAGCGGGTAGCAACTTCTGAGAACTTTCAAGTCGATGCTCGCCTGAAAAAGCGGTTTTTATCTCCACTCTACTATGTGCTTTTTGTTCAAGGTAAGCCTTCATTTTTTGCAGTGAAAGTGAAATTTATTGCTGTCTTTGAAATACTTGTTTTAGCTCCAAAGAATTAGGGAGTTGAGTGCTGTAGTGCTAGAAATTCCGGTCACAGAAAATAATGAACAAAATTAGAAATTTATATGATTTACAAATGACAATAAAAAAACACGAAAATCTTTAGATGCTTTCTTTGTGATTCCAGTTTTTTTAGGGGAAAAAAAGGCGATGCATCGCTAGCAATGCGGCAACAATTTATGAAGGGCCAGGAACAAAGCACTTAGGTTAAGTCAAGCGTATTTGCGAGTCTTTTTCGTTGGATTCTCAAAAAATTTTCTATTCCATTCCGAGCTTCCACAATGGCCCCTTTGGCTATCAAAAATAATCAAGTCTCAAAAAATCGTGCCAAACAACCTGAAAATGTAAGTTATTTGAGAAGAAATTATGATATTGCAATCGAATAATGGTTTCTGATGAGCTCAATTTCGGTCACCGGTGTTTGTGTCATGGGCTCTACGGAACGTGCGCGAGTCGCTGATCCAAGTGGATCCAATGGCCGCCGCCTTGGCTCACCGAGCCAAAAAAGCTGGTCCAGCTCTTCCTACCATCTCTCGGACGCCACTTCTACTGCAGTTCACACCGTTTGGACCACCTCCAGGAGCTTGTTAGTCTGTTTCCTACTAAATACTGTTTATAAATGTGGACTTTTTTTTATATAACGTGAAGTTGAAAAATACCTGTTTTTATAATTTTACTTTCTTTTTCCGAGATTTTTTATTTAAAGTTGCTTAGTTTGAGATGAAGTCGGAGTTGAAACAGAAGTCGTTCTTTTACTTATGAGCGATCCAACATTTTGCTCCTAAAAAAAACAACTCACGAATAAGGTTTTTACTGCTAGCGCTCAAAAAAGAGCATCAGTTTGCTCATGCCCATAAAAATGCGAAGTCGTTCTTGTACTATAATGGGATTTCATCAAATATATGTTCCGAACGCCGCGAAAGAACAGAGGATTGTGACGTATTGAACTTCAAGTTTCTATGATCTCTCTATATGAGTCTTTACTGTTTTTGAAAAGTTTGGTCAGCTTTTTTCTTCTTTTTTTTTACAACTTACAATAATTGTCGAATTTTGTGATATTTCAAAAAATCTATTTCTGGTGGTTCCGATGAAGGTCTGTCCGAGTCACATTCTGCGCATATTTGTTTTTGGATCACAGAGTTTTTTTCCGACGAAAAAAACTGGACCGTAAATCACGGTTTCCTAGTTTTGAGAAGTCATGACCTTTTTCAACTCTTCAACTAGTGTTCAAAACTCATGAGAAAGCTTTTGCAAGTTTCGGCCATAAAATAGGCTGTAGTTCAAACTTTTAGAGCTGCTTCACAGTTTTCTGAAAGTTGCAGAAAAAAAACAACTACGTTTTTTTCAGAGTTTGAATAGAGGGGAAACAACACAAACATCCATATTTCTGAGTCGTTTTTAACAGTTCTGTAGATATAACAGCTCTGAACATTAGCTTTCCAAGTTTTGCTATTCTCAGATTCTGGACATTCTTTGACTTCACACTAAAAATTCCTACGCCAAAACCGGTGGTGTTAAAAACTCGCAGCTATGAGCTTCTAACATTTGCCAACGGTCGCCCTGGGAGTTGCGATGAGTGAGGAGACGAGTGCGGAAAATAAGGAAACGGCGTCAAGTATGAAATGTGGAACATTGCGGAGTCGCTTATAGCCCAGAAACCCAACAAAACTACGCACTTGCCGGACACACTCATCATATCTTGAAAAATCCAACTAGAAAAAAGGCCGACCGGCCGGCTCTTTTCTTCTTCAATTCGCCTGTTTAGACTTCATCTGTTGTAGCCGACCAGCAAGGTTTGTAGAAAATTCTCTTCTTTTTTTGAGCTCCAGTTATCAAGAATCAAAGTTCACTTTAATTTTTGATTCAAGTTTGATTTTGCTTGAGTATTTTTTTCTGCATTGTTCTTTCTAATAAAAAAAGGAAAAACAGATTTTTTTGGGAATTTTTTTGAATATTTTTAAGTTACTAAATTAATAAAAGCCTACGAGTAAAGACCTAAAATAACTGTTCGAGTTAAGTTCATAGTTTCACAAACTTTTCTTGTAAGATGTTGCAATCGGTGAGCGCCCACCTGATGGACGAGCGTCGCGGATCTCGGGACGATCGTCGCGCTTCCGCCCGTCATCGAAGGATGACTCAACCGCATACAGCTGAACCTGGAGCTTCACCTCCAACCGGCGGATATGACACCAGATTTCTGACTCCAGCCTTGTGGCACGGCACCCGATTCATCGAAGACTTCCAGCCGTCGATGGTCACTCCAACTGAAAATCCCATAGGCTGGGCAGTCTTCAATCCGCTTCCGATCCGGCCACCTGCCCCGCGGCCACGTATTCGCCAGTTTGTTCCACCTCCTGGTGCGCCAGGTACGTCGTTTCCTTCCGCATATGGTCATTCTCAACTCGATGCCAGTCAAAGTTCAATACGAACTGACGTGTGTTTGTCTTTTTTCCTAAATTGCTTGTGTAGACGCCAATTGTTTGAATGAACGTCCTTCATTCAAGCATTTGGATCCTCCCAGCAGTCGTGATTTTGATGAAGATGTCGAAAATCTGATGCGACCTGACATCCCAGTCTTGTTGTTGACTATCGAAGGTATTGTTCGAGTGAAGATCTCCATGTATGGGCTACTTATACTTTTTTCGTTTAGAAAAAAAGAAATATATCAAGTTCATTTCAAAGCTCACATATTTTTTGTCTTCTTCCTTTACTCAGTTGTCATTAGCGACCTTTTAAATTTTGCAGTTTAGGTTCTAAGAATTACGAAAGTTTTCCGAATATTTTTTAAGACATTACTTACTGGATTTTTTTGTTTGATTTCGAGGCTTTCAAAGAAAGATTCCCAAGTTTGGAGCGCCACGTGATGAAAAAGGACACTCAAGCTTCTGAGAAAAAAAATGGTTGTGTAAACATCTTGCAAAGCATAAACACTTAAGATTAGTTCTGCGGTTTGTCGACTCGAAAATTTGATAATTCTTAAATTTCTGCAAGTTGAAGGAGAACTCCAACTCGTATAAGTTAGAAAGAATTGTTTTCAAAATTACGGAGTTCGCTTGTGATAAGTTCCTTTTCGAACCTTCTGTTTCATTTCTTTATTTCGGAGCTTTCCTGGATACCTTTTTCATTTTTCAATATATTTTCTATTCTCAAAGATACGCTACTTTTCTTTGATCGAATTTTTTTTTTTAAGTTTTCATATTGCAGCTTTTCTTTGAACCAAACTATTTTCCAACTTTGTATTTAAAGTTTTTTTTTGCTTTAGATTCGCTCCAAAACATTCTTGGGGCATTTCATCATCTTCAAAAAAGGGTGACATGTTTTTTTCACTGACAACCAGAAAAGCAAAAATTATTCAAACACTGCACATATTCTATGAAGCTTAGAGAACAGCTATCTATTCTACAAAGGACGCCGACTTTTTCCCTTCTTTTTAATTTGATTCAGAGCTCATGATGATTTTTTCATAGGAACCTCAGAAAGCTTGGAAAAAACTCAAAAGAAACAATAAAGACGTAGCTAAGTAACGTGAGAACGATTTGTACCTCCTCTGAGACAAGAAATCTAAAACTATCAGCTTTCACGGACAGCGTCTCAAAACGCATCGTTTTACGTTTTCATTTGTTTTTGACTCATTTTGAAGCCGGTTCGAATTTTAACTAAAAAATTGAAGTTCTGAGACTCAAAAGATCTCTTTCACGAATTTTACTCTCTGAGTTCTGAAAATTTCTCAATTATTTTTTTGAAAATTTTTACACTTTTAGTTTCTCAGAAATACTTCTACTTTTTTTCTTTTTAGAATTAGGAATTCAAAAAAATTTTTTAATAACCAGTCTAACTTTCATTGTAGTTTTTTTATTAATGTTGTTCCTGCCATTTTATTTTTTTCCTGACGCCTGAAACAACTTAAACAACGCTGTCAAAACGGAAATTCAAAGTTTTGCTTAACTAAGAAAACCAAAAAGATTCATGTTGTTTCAGCAGCCAGCCAGTATCCATTTCGCTATTTTCTGTGACTGACACTTGGGGTCTTCGCTCTACAAACCCAAACGCTTTTGTTCAAAAACAATCCTTTTTCGAAATTTCTCTAGAAACTTTTTCATAGTTATCTTCTTGGAGACGCAATTTCACTGCTTATGATGAACTTGAATCAAAATTTATTATTCTTCTTCAGCAAAAAAATTTTGATAAAATGCAAAAAGAATATTGGTAACAAAAAGAAATGTCATCTCATTCAGTAAGTGATGTTACTAAAAAAATCTGCGAATAAATTATTCTTTTTCCCTTTTCAAATTTTTGCTAAAAAAATTAAGTAGTCAGCAAGTTTGGGTGAATAACTCAACACGTATCGTAATTTATCTTGAAGCCATAAAACTAAGAAGGCGGTCGGGTTATGTCCAGCGTTCTCACAAAAGATCTCCCATAAGGGAGAAACGAGCACGTTCACAGATCCGGCCAAAAGCATCAAGTTTTGCATTTCCACTGCGTTCCTACTTACTTATTGGAGACGATTTTTTTGTTTTAGTTTTTTCCCGCAGAAATCCGCAGTTAAAATATGAACAACTTGAATAAAAACGCCCCTTCGCAGATAGCAGTTTCTGAAACAAACAATTAATGGGGTTTCAAAATAGTAGCGAGACCAACTACTTATTTTAACTTTTTTTTCACAAAAGACTTTAACTTGAGTTTTTTTTATAAAGAAGGGGGATAAGCTTTAAGTTGGCGAACATTTAAAAAGTCAGTTTTTTGAAGAATGGGAAAGCCATGGTCGTTTGCCAGTCCATATTTGATTGTTTTGCTCATCTTGTTTTAGCGTATCATTAGCCATTTAGTATACTATGATGTCGGTTTTTCTGAGCCTTTTTTAAGCGTGCGTGCAAATGTTCAATTTATATTTAAACACATTTTTTTTCCTTTCTGATAATGAGTTTTATTTTTTTCTCGCCAGAAGACAGAGTTGAAAAACTTGCTGGACTCTTCAATTTGATTTTTCTTCTCTTTTTTTATGAAAAATTTTTGTAAAATCACAAAAATCCTCTCATTTCGCAAACTGATATGAGGAGTCCGAACCCGCTCAGAAGTTGTTGATTTTTATTAATCAGATCGAATTCCTTTACTTTTTCAGTGAATTCTATTTTTTCTTTCTAGTTTAAGTAAAAGTCAAGCTGGAAGATCTTTTTGAAACTTTTTTCAAACCCTATATATAGTTAAATGAATTAACGCTATTAAAATCAAATCAAATTATCGAAGATTTGATTTTTTGATGTTTGACTGAAGTCAGATAGTTGTTTTAGTTTTTCAAATTTACACATTAAACTGAGCTAGTTGTTAGGGCAAAATCCAAAGAGAAGCTTGATTAAAAAATTTCACAGTCATGAAGTTCACGATCACAAGCTTATCAAGCTAATCCAAAAAGTTTGGAAAGTATGAACTTGAAAAGCCTAGAGCCACATGGAAGAATGATTATTGATGACTAGGTGAGGATGAAAGTGGAAGGATGCGTCTTTTGGTTCCGCCTGGTTGCGTTGGGCCGCGGTCAGAGGCCGCCGAGCCGTCGGAGCCAAAGTTCCTGGGTTTTTGTTCTGCTTCACTAATCAGTGCAATGATATAAAGGGGTCGTCTTCTATTGTGTTCTTCTTCCCGACCAAAATTTGTCCCCCTTCCTTTCGTCTTCCCCTTTTCTCGGCAGCTCTTTTGAAGCTTTTGCTTACCAACTTTTTCGCCGCCTTATGCTGCTTTCAAATGCGACGAGCCGACGCTCGATTCTACGCATCTTTGTTGCATCTTTTTTGGTTTTTTCTTTCCAGCTTTACTATTCATTCAATTAACAAAAAAGCGTCTGTTAGAGCAGGTGCATAATTGAGGGAGATGATCCAGTTCTATGTGCAGATTAAATCGTGATTCCTCAAAATTTATTTTTTGACCATGTTTCACTTATTACGGCTGTTTTTTGATTAATTTTTTTTCTGCCGCTTAGGTTTTTGTGGAAGAATGTGAAGTTTATCTTATTGTTGAAATACGGCTCAAACCATGGTGCTTTATTACAAAATCGTCTTCACAACGGCTTTTAGGTTATTTGACCTTACTCTAAAGCTCAGTTCACACATGTCTCTTTTTTGTCAGCAAAATTATCTTCAACGTCTGTCGAATTCCGGGGATCTACAAGACAAAATGATTCAGAAAGCCGACGGTTTTTGCGTTGTATTGAAAGGGTTGACCACGAAGAGCCGCGTCCGGCGCACAATTGCCGACGGTCTGGCGGGCCATGTTCCTTCGAAAGTTCTGGAACCAATGGACACTCGAGGAAAATGCCCGCCGCATGACCATCACCGTGCTTCCAAGCGGCACCAAGAAAGTCCACCTCAAAGATCTCAACGAGCTTGCCGAACTTCATCCAGAGAAGGCCGACCAGAAGCGAGGTTTTTTGGAACGAATTTTGTAGCCTTTTTATTTTCTAACTAATTTTTATATAAACTACGCGAATTTTTCTTGACATTTGATGAACCTTCTCAGTTTTTTTGGAAAAAAAGCAAGACCAGAGTTAAAGAATCACATTTTGAATATTCAAAAAAATTGTGATTTATCATTTAAACATTTTTCTTTTTTGCATTGCAGTTTGCCATTTTTCCCAATAAGTAACCTCTCCGATTATCAAATCATTCACTTTTCTGAAGAACGGGTTGTTTTTTAATTTTCAAAAGTTTCTTTTGTTAAGCCAGTGAGAATGTTTCGAGAAAAAAATTGCGAAAAAAATTAAAAAAAGTGTTTTTTTGTATAGTAACAAAATTACGGAAAATGTCAATTCCATAGTTAAACGTCAGATGCAGTGTTTACGCAGCAAAAAATAAAAAATTGGAAAGAAGTTCTTTTTTTCTGGAATGATGTCACTTCTTGAATCAAATATTTTTGTGTTTTTGCTAACTGTTTTCTTTTTATTCTCTTTTCCTTCTCTGATAACTTCTTCTGCATCGATTCTGTACAGACTCTATTCTATTTATCACCTTAAAATCTATTTAGTGGTGGTTTTGACTTCAAAAAACAAGCGAGCTCCGTAGAAGGAAGCCGGCTAATGTTGGATGTTTTTTCGCAGCGGGCCATGCTCTGTTTAAAGTTCGTATCTATTTCCCAAAGCGTGGTTGGTGGTCCGGGTTTGAGACGAGAGCTTGAAGCGACGCCTCCGTCACGAAAAAAAACCGCACTTTTTCAAAAAAGATGTACAGAAGAACGTCAAAAAGCGAACACTTGCCGGGAAACACAACGATGACAATGACAAAGGATGAAGAGCACGATGATTCGGCGCACTCGGCGGCCCCCTGGCGGCAAACTATGTTCTTCGGCGTTGATAAATGACTTCTCCTGAAATCCTCAGATGTCAGCTTCCAAATTCTACGCGATTGCGCATCGTCAATTTTACATTGTCCTCACCGGGGATATGCCAAAGGAAACTTGCTTTTTTGAGAAATTACAAATAGAAATGAAAAAATAAAGTAAATTCGAAATGTTGACCATCTTGAAGATACATAATTTTGAAGAACGATCGGTGCATGAAATAAAAGAAATTAAAATCTGCTTTCGCTTTTCTTGAAACAAAAACTAATCAAGAAAATCCTAATGAACTTGTTTTTTAGAATTGTGCTCTCCAATAAATATTCTCTTACTCCTGGTCGTTTTTTTTCTTCTGAAATGAACGCACTTTGCTGATTCACCTGAGTTTTGGAGGTTATGAGTCAAGCATTGCTTTCAGACTATTCCTTCTTTCACAAATGATTGATAATCAAAAAATTCTAGGGTTTCCATCAATCATGCCTCTATGGCTTTTTTTTTACCTCGGCGACCCAATTTTCGAGCAAAAACAAGTTTTATGAGCAGTGATCATTCGAAAAAGCTTTCCCTTCAGTCCCTTTCATATTCTCGACATTTTGCTTTTCAATTGAAGATCAGTCTCAATAGAGCTGGTTAGAATTGACTGAAAACCACTGCATTTGGAGCAGCGGGTCTTTTTATAAATATTTCATAGCGGGTTTCAATTAGCCACAAATTCCGGTGCCAGATCCCAATGTCATGTCATTACTATGCAGCAGAGCCACCAGCGCCTCTCAAAAAGCATCCATCGCGTTATTTTCTATTTTTTTTTCTTCTCGGCTTGCCCTTTTCAATTGCCTTGACCATCTGAAACAAGATTTGTCTTTATTCAATTGCCGGTCCTAAAAACCGATGCTCTTGATCTTTCTCCTTTTTTTCCTCACAAAGCTTCATTTCGGGCCGCGTTTTTTCAGTCCTTAGTGTCATAAAATATCCATAAATGCGCTTCAAAGAAGTTTATAAAAAAAAACGCTCGTCTGAGAATTATCACGTTTCAATTCTTTTAGGTAGATCTTCGAGAATCTTTTTTTTTAAATTTTATCTATATTTTATAACTTTTTTCAAAAAAAAAATAGAGAGATTGTATTCCGATTGAGGGAAAATGTGGAGCAAGATGGAATGAGCCGTTCATTTTTTTTCCCCCAAAACTTGGGTGAAAAGGCCTCGTTTTTTCTCTTTGGGACACGGCGAGCCTGTTGAAAAATGGCTGGACTCATGTATTTTCCGGCTCCTGACATCGAGGAAGACAAAGCAACACGAATAAATAAAGCCGGAAAAAAAAGCAAGGTCTCGAAAATGGGCAACTTGGAGCGCTTTTTGATCCTTCACGTCTGCCTCAGGCAATTATTTGTCGCGAAATCTTTTAATTTACCTTTATTTGTTTCCACGTGCCTTTGTCATTCTAGGAAATTTAAGGAAATTTTTAATTAAGAGGTGTTTGAACATCTAATTTGCAGAAAAAAGTTTTGAGAGAGCTTACCAACAGGTCGTTTGTCACGCCCAAAGGCTCTTCTAATTGGACGCCAATTTTTTTTTCGTTCTCATTTTCCGAAAAAGTAACCGCCTCAGAGTGTTTTTTTAACTTTTTTTCAACTAACTGAGGTTTTTCAGAAAATTTTTCATTTTTCTTTAGTTTATCATAGAGCATAATAACGCTTTCAAAGAATGCTTTAATTGGATTGAAGTTACAAAGCTAATGACTTTTGCTTCAAATTTATGATATTTATTTGGTAACCGTTTTGCCTGAAAAGGTTCTCGTTTGACTTTGAAAAGCCTCTTTTTTTACTTTTTTTCATAAAAGAATCGTTTAAAGTGTGGAGACTAAGATTAAATTTCCAATTAGAGTAAACGAGCTGATGTCTATTGCTTTTTGAAATCTCACGAGATTCAAGATTCTAAAACTCTAAAACACTCCGCGAAGTAATTTTTATCTTGCTTTTTTTCAGCCCATACGAGTTAAAGAAAAGTTGAACTATGCGTTGCGAAATTGAGTTTTCGACATGAGAAACAAGGAAAAAGGCTGGGAAACGTAGATTTTTGTTTCCGACGAACGGCACAAACCAATCCGAAGCTAGGGCTCGGTAATTCAGTTTTCGACGCCTCGCTTTTGCAACGCGTCATGTTTTGCCGTCATTTTTATAACTCCATTTTATTCACAGCTCAATTTCTGGTAGATTCCATCAAAACGTATCGAAGAATCAAATTCATCCGAAAAAACCGTAGTTTTTCATGCCAAAAAAAACGATGATCAAATTCTTGTTCTCTATGAATTTCAGAGTAAGAGCTACTCGCTTTACATTCCTAGCATTTATAGGAAGTTTCTGAACTAGCTTCAGAATTTTGCTTTCAAAAGCTTTATAGTTCATCCAATTCTCGAAAAAAAAACCACTGAAAAAGCAAATTTTCGGGCAATATAATAATCTGATTAAGCTACAGATTTTCAGTCAAATGTAAAATCTGAAACCGAAAAGTAATGTTAAACTTGCTAATTTCTTACTTTGAAAATAAATTTGAAATTAATATTTATATATAGTCATTGGACGCTCACTCACCGGTTTGATACATTTTTAATGAATCTTCTACGCAACCGTTCCTTGTAATAATTTTTCCTCGTTTTTTTGGACTAACCAGGCCGTATGTGGCGGGCGCTGGATGATCTTTTCGCAAGCTTTTCGCGATGAGAAGTTCAGTCCTGCGGTGGCGTTGTTCAGTGCCGCTGGTCTGATCAAAACCACCGCGGGTATTAAAGATGAGGACGAGCGCAAGAAGGAGAAAGAGCAACGGCCTCAAAGTGAGTTTTTCTGAACAATTTATTTATTTTTTTTTTCAACTTTGGCAGGATTGTGTGCTATTCACAATCTTTTTGAGTAGTGGAATTGTAGGAAATTCAGAAGTAAGACATATTTTTTTCGGAAGACAAACATTTGTAAAAAAATAAATACTTGAGACAAATTTTTCAACTGCACGAGAAAAGAATTCTTTTTTTGGTTCAACAATTTTTTAAAAAAAGAGTTTGAATTTGCCTGAAAAAAATACTTTTTTTCAATTTATCAATTCATCAGTATCTAAAGATTTGTAGATTTTTTTCCACAATTTTTTTCTAGCGAGAAATAATTCAAAATAAAATAAGCTTGCCTCCCGTAACATTGTTTGTTTGGTTGCACCGGTAGATGGAAACGTATTAAAAATGTATATGCTTGACTCGTGTCAAGAAAGACGCTCATTTTTCCGCCTTTTTCTCACATCATTGTCTTTTTGTGTTTTCATGTTTTCTTCGTTTTTTTCTCGAAATTTTTGAACTCTTTTTTTGCTGCGTTTTGCTGTTGATCATATAATAAGTAATAAAAATTTATTAATCAGTTTACTTTGAGAAACTAATGAAGATGAGGAAAAATTTCCATATAGTTCATTCACAACACTTGGCCTCATGCTTATCTCTATTGGCTATATACTTTTTCCGAAGCGTTTTTGATGTATCGAAACGTGACTTCACGAAAAAATTTCAAAGTCACAGAAAATTATCAATTACCGTGGAAATGGGACATTTTCAAGCTCTGAACTCTTGTTAATAAGAAGCTAAGCAGCAAATTAAGAATTTTTCAATTTTGTTTTCATTCAGGAAGTTTTATGAGCGATTTCCAAAAAACGCTGAGCGACAAGTAAAATAGCTTTCCTTGTGAGATCTCTGCAGACGCAGGAACCTGAAAGATCTTCAAAAGAAACCGTTGGGCTCAAAACTTTTTGAATTTCCTTATGCCCCTTCGAGCACCCTAGCAACTGTTGTGGTTCATCGTCTGGAGTGAAAAAAAAATCTCTGAGAGTAGCTCAAGATTTTTCTTTGCATTTGTAAAGTTAGGACGGTAACTGGGAATTCATCAAGTCGACTAAAAGTTGATCCCAGCCTTTTGAGATGAATTAGCGTGGCTTAGGGATCCGGAATGCACAACCTTCCTGGGAACTCCAGAAAGCTCTCAAAAAACGCAGCTTTCTCTAGGCCTTTTTCAGCAAGAACAGCTCTTGCTCTCTGCAAACAACTTCTGATTTAATTTAATGTTGTTTAAGAATTCGATTTCTCACTAAAAAAAATCCGAGATCCTGTTTTATCTCCGTTATTTTTTTCCAGTTAATTCTTGAATTTCAAAAATTCTTGTTCAGAGTCTTGTCTATTGTAACCCAATCAAAATTTTCTAAAAACAAGAAAAATGTAAAATCTAAGAAAAAGTTCCTGATTGCCAGTTTTTTTACGTGTGTCGTGATTCTCATGTCAAAAAACTTCCGAGTTAAACGACACCCGATAGCCGCTCAGGTGATCCTAAACAGACCTATTTCTTACTAAATTCGCCTGGTCGACGTTTAGGATTTTTGTTGGTTTTTATTGCCGTTTTTGATTGCTGGCAACCTCTTGCCCAAATTGGCCAGTATTTTGGATTGCTTTTCAGGAAATGATTCAAGTCAAATAAAATTTTGCAAAAAACGCAGCAGCGGCCTTTCCCACCTCAGTCTCGAGCACTTTTCATTCTTTCTTGACTTTTCCTTAAGGTCTTTTTCTCTCCTTCTCTCTCTCTGATACTGTCTGGCAGTAAATGAGACTTCGGAATTTCGTCTGAACTCCTATGGTTTTAATTCCACCGCTGCCCCTCGACGTTGAACAGCTTCTCACTAAAATCGCAGGTTTGTTAGCAATTCATCTTTTTCTGAAAAAAGTTTCCTGAACGTTGTCGAACCTTACATCATCAATGCATCGAAAAAAAGACTCTAAAAAAGAGCTGAAAGTGCCCGGCAAGCATCGCTCTATCACACTTGACCCTAATAGTAGTGGATTGAGCTGAGGCTCGGTTTCTTCATATTTTCCTTCCATTCAGCCTTCCAACAAGCTTTGGCCCGGCAAACGCTTCGAAATTTGTCGGATTCCCTTGATTACGCATATACTCAGTTTGGCCTGCTGCCAGCCCCGCAGAGAGGTTGGCGCGGAGAAAAAGAAGCATCGCTTTTTAGATATTATTCCTCCGCCCTCTCTTCCGCGCACCACACTGATTTGAGTCGAGTCCTTGCCTTTCCCTTTCTACTTTTTTTTCGAAACTTTTGTCCTGAAATGTGACCTGAACGACAACTTAAATGTTTTTCTACTCGCCGAATCTACCGACGACAAGTCATCTGAGAAGAGGGACAATTAGTCAGCAACACCATCTGTCAGTGGGAAACCTCGACACTCGACTTTCGGTCCAGATCCCAGAAATCCTGTCAAGAGCTGCCGAAAGCGGATCAAGCATCAGATATGTGCCGGAAGAGCTGCGAATCGTCGACGAACTTCACCTGGACCGAGAAAACTTCAACAATCATAACATCCTCGAGCTTTGCGCCTCTCCGGTTTCTTCTGTCTTCTCCACAAGTGAAGCAAGGAAAGCCAGCCGACAGAAAATTGTGCTGAGAAGACCTACCATCTCCATTCAAGAGGACGGAAAGATAATTATTGGTCAGCTTGTTGAAAAAGCATTTTCGTGTTTCTTATATGAATTAAAGGTTCCCTCTAACCACGGCTCAAAACAAGCTAATTCATTGCTTGAATAGATTTTTCTAAGGTTATACGAACCCTGCAGGTGGACCGGAAAAAAAGCTCTCTTCAGCCGCCGACCAGCTTTCCTTGTTGACAGCTGGACACAAATTCAGTGCTGGACTTGATAGTTGTACTAATCTCCTATCTTAATTTTAAAAGGAAATGAAATAATGTATTTTAGATCATGTGACGGCACGATGGGAAGGAGCTCCGCTGAACTCGCAGTCGGCATTGCTGGATGCTGACGATGGGGCGACCGTCGTCACGGATACCATCAAGGAGGATCACGACGACAAGGAGCCCAAAAGTTGTCCACAACAGACGGTCAAGGTCAGGTTTCAAGATTTTTGGGAATTCCACGTGAACAAAATTTTTAAAATAGTTTAGATAAACACACTTTAAGTACTAGACCCAACTTCCCTAATCCGCACTTTGGTTTCCCAAATAAAAAAACTGTACTTATTTTCGTCATTTACGCAAATTATGGTGCTCGACAAATCGCATTTCCTGCGATGCATTGATAGCTTTGCGCTTCGGGGCTTCACAAGCCGGTTACCAGTCAAGAAGGGAGCAAAAGCTTAACTAATTCCTGAAATAGATTCTCTTCCTTTTCCTGCCACGAAAATCAATTTTACAGGTTATGGTTTTCTCAAAATCCACTTCCAAAAACTTGCACCAGGTTCTTTTTTTCCTCAAAATCAGTCCAAAAAATTTTGTTTGCCGCTGTTTTTCGCGTTCTGAACTATATCTCTATCCAATTGCTTCCAGCTCGGTTTGAAAACTCAGATTTTTTTTCCTAACTACGACGGAAAAACAAAAAATAATAAGAGTTTGTGCAAATTCACTTCTAATTGAACATCAATTACAAGAAACTGCAAGAATGGTTTTTTTCTCACATAAATTACGTTCAACGAGGAAGGACGAGTTCAATGTCTTTTTTTGGCGTCGGGCGGCTCGGGGGATATTTTTCGACGCCAGCCGCGTTCATGAGCTCTCCTGAGGGTGGCTCAAGCCGCCGTTTTTAAAAAAGCTGAAGATGACCTCGTTCCGAGAATTTTTGAGTCCCACCGGCTATCAATTCCGGACGGCCATGTGCAGAGTTCTTGCGCTCTTTTTTCGATTTTTTGGCGGCCTTGAATAAACTCATTGAAGTGAAGAAAAGTCTCAATTTCATGTCGTTCAAAGATGTTCACACAGTTTGCATTCAAAAATTTTCTCGAAATAAATATTAAAATCCAATTTTTAATATTGGGAAAAGAATCGAAATGTCTGAAAAAGAGTAATCATTTCAGAAATGGGGTTCAGAGCGCTCATTCTCATTTTTCCTTTTTAACCCGATTCACATATTGTCTGAACTTGAGGGTTTTTTTTTGTGGTTGTGCGTGTAAAAATGTACACACGCATGCACCAACGAGCCAAATCCACCAGAGAGTACAAATGGAATTGTTGATGAATGGCCTGGCTGCCCTTCGACACGTATCTTGCAACTTTTGGCTCTGCCTTACTCAGTTGAGACAATTCAAAAAGCGAAAATCGTAAAGATTCCTAGGCCGATTTTCAGATATTCAAGAAAAAAACGAAAATTTTTTTCAAAGTATTTTTTTCTATGACGTAAACAAAGATTTAAAAAAACGTGACAGGGAGATAAGATGATAATTTAAAGGATCTCAAACCATTAAAAATATAAGCTTTTCTACTTCATAAAAAAACCGTTTTCAGTACATCAAAATCCTCACACCGCATGTCATTCTCGTCTCCGTTCTGATAGGATATCTCTGCTTGGGTGCGTGGATTCTCATGTTGCTCGAAACAAGGACAGAACTTTTAGCACGCTCCAGGAAACTGGTTAGGTATGTAAAATGATTTTTCACAGTCGTATGAAATCAGTTAAATGATTCAAAATCAAAAAAAAAATACATAGCTGCAATGGAAAAATGCCTCAAATTTTCAAATGGGGCAAAAAAATGGTATACATTTCGATTCTCGTTTTCTTCAAAACTTCTGAAAGTTTAATCATAAGTTTAGGTTAACTAACTTGATGTCCAACTTTACGTCAGATAGCTGGAGAATGTTGAGCGATGCGCAACATGGAGCGAGTACAGTCACGGAACAGCAATGGGCCGCCACATTCAGGTTTTTTTATTAATATCCCGGTATGATAGAGTAAAAATTTGAAGGAGAGTTTGATTTGACAGCTTTTAGAGATAACAACATTTTTTTAAAGAAATTAACTAAATAAGATCAGTAGGTTCATTTGCAGTTGACTTGTATTTGAGGAAACGTAAGAAAAGCAGCAGTCTCTGTATTTTTTTTCCTGTTTTAAACAAGAGGGACGAAGAAAAGTTTCTCCAGAAAAAAAACCAACGAACTGAGCTCTGATTTATTAAGAATAAACATTTAAAGGCAGAAAAATCTAAAAATATTTGAGTCAGGAATATCTCATTGGCGATGAAATAAAAGCGGCTGCTCGCGCAGTCGCATTTCAAAGGGGCGACAAGATTAAACTGAACTTTTAGCAACGGTATGAAATGACGCTAGATTGGAATTTTTCGAATAAGTTTAAAAATCAACACAATTCAGCTTTAAAAGAAGAAAATTTACATCCAAAAGAGAGAAAGTTTTTTTTTTAGAGCTTTCCGCTATTTTTTCAATGGTAATTCAGGGAATGGATGGTGCGGGTCTCGGAAACAGTAGACGACAGAAGGCCTATCCGGAGGGAACTTAATCGACCGGATGACCTAGCCAATATGCACAACAAGTGGACTTTTCCCACTGCCTTGCTTTATGTTCTTACGGTGTTAACAACTTGCGGTTCGTTTGAAAATATTTGATTTTTTCTCTCAGTCAGAGATTTTCAGGGTATGGCGAAGTGTCAGTTGACACGGACGTCGGCAAAGTTTTCTCAGTTGCTTTCGCGCTCGTCGGCATTCCTCTGATGTTCATAACAGCGGCCGACATTGGAAAATTCCTTTCAGAGACTTTGCTCAAATTTGTCAGCTTCTGGAACAGAAGTGTCCGAAAAGTCAAGGTTCGCATGATTTTACACAACCTCCTGCTTATGCTGACGCCTTTGCTAAGCCCATTTTCAATATATTCTTTGGTAGCTCGAGAAAAAAAAGTCGAAAACTTCGGGGTCTTTGTGTGTATTGGAAAACGCCGTACAAGAATCATTTTTTCAGTGAATTCCTGATACCCAAGCAAAATAGTTTTTTGAAAATGTTTCAATAAAAAAAAACCCTTTGTCTCGAGCTAGCGAAAAATAAACTATAATCAATCTTTAAACAAAAGTTGAAGCATGCAACTTATGGAGAAGATCGACCGTCTTTCACAAGCTTTCAAAGCTGCATGATGCTGTCTTGGCTCATTTTAACACTTCCCAACTAAAATCATCCCAAATTAAGAGAACCTTCGCAAATCTTCAGCAATGGGTGTCGCGAAGTCGTCATGGAAGACGGAAATCACTGCAATCTACAGGAGGCAATACAGATACGCTTGATATCTTAGGAGTCGACGGAACTGAAGACAAACTTTGGTTCCCGATAGGTACTTTTTTCTCGCTGAATTCCGGAGAGAAGACAATTAGAGTATCAGAACTTACAATGAAATAAAATAAATGAATGATTACCAGTTCCAAACGGCGAGAACAACAAACTTTGGTTCCCGATCGGTAAGAAGAACATGGGTCTGCTTCCAATAAACCTTATATGTCCCTATCAGTCTATCGATTGCTAAGAAGTAGAAGAGCTTTTTGGATCCAATACTTGATTCGCGCTGATTTGAAGCGCCATGGTCGCACGTGGAATGACTTTGGCTAGCCGGACGCTTTTTGCATTTTTCTTACTTGGGAACTACGCGTACTCGTAATTGCGAATCGAGTTCAAGCTTAAGTGGTTTATAAACCTAAGTCAGAATAACTGAATAACTGAAAACAAGAGAGTATATCTGCTCAACCCAATAGAACTGAGAATAAACTTGTAGAAAATGTGCAGAATAGGCCTGAAATTTTCAGAATACTGCTTTTTACCATATTTTATATTATAATGCAATGCAATCGTCTTGAATGATTCGGCTAGGATAAACTCTAAAAAAAATTTATTTCCAGACAAAAAGAAGGAGGAAAGCAGAAACTTGATAATTCTCAAGCCTAAACTGTTCATTTTCGCAAAGCTTTTTCTCCGTACCTTATTGGGCTTAGCAGATAATATTGCCTGTGTCTTTTACCTAGATCTTTAAACCACCACGAGTTCGCGCAGTTCCCTAGTTAGACACAGTACCGTCAGAAAGATACGAAAAAACGCAACGTAAGGAATTCAATCTTTCTGAAAGTTTCTGGAGCTGCTTTTTCTGTGAACTAAAACATCATCAGAGTTATAAAAACAACAATTATCACAACCTTAGAAAGTTCCAGAAATATTGGGTTCATTCTCATTTTAGAGAACCACTGAAAACAACCAGCGTTTTTATCCATTTTGAATGCGACCAAGGGCTTTCAAGTTGAGCCGAATTCAGTATGAAGAGTGATATATTTTAACTTTCTTACCACAAACAGAACATATGTAGTGAAAACGTCTGACTTCTCAAGTCCGTCCATGTCGAAAAATGTTCCTTAACCCTCTCATGCATCGGAAAACCGTACTGTGCAACCAATCTTTCTGTCTTTTCCAAATTAGTGCGATGACTCTTCTAGAACTTGAATGGGAGAAAGTCATAAACTGATTGGAATGATTATTCAGGTGCCTACGTATCTTGTATTTGCTTGTACTGCTCAATGGGTTCAGCCATGTTCATCAACTGGGAAAGGTAAGGTTTTCATTTTTCTTTTTGTAAAATTTGTTCGGTTTCCAGGACGTGGTCGTTTATTCACGCCTTTCACTTCGGCTTCAACCTCATTGTTACAGTAGGATTGGGAGATATTGTTGTAACGGACTACATCTTCTTATCACTGATTGTGGCTTTCGTGATAGTTGGTACGTTCATTTTTTCTTTAGAGCCTTCTCATGAATATTCGCCAGGTCTATCAGTAGTCACGATGTGCGTTGATCTTGCGTCAACGCATTTGAAAGCTTATTTCACAAGAATTCACTATTTTGGAAGAGCCAAGAGGTATTTCCAACTTCCTATCAGGATTAATTTTTTGAATCAAGGTTCCTTGGTATGAGTGAAGAGCTAAAGGAAATTGTCGCTTTATTGGGCGCCATGCGAAGAAAAAAAGGCGGAAAGGTCAGAATGAACCAGAGTTTGATTGAAAAAAAAAACGTTTTTAAGGTCACTTGGAACGACGTCCGCGATTTCCTGGACAACGAGCTACGCGATAGACCTTTCGAGCCTCATGAGCTCTTGATGAAATTAAGATTTATCGACGAGACTTCTTCCGGTTTGTTTTTTCTTGAATTTGGAGCGAATCTTGAGTTTGTTCATTTTATGAAAACTTGAGTACAAGCGCAATTTAGAGCTTTAGGAGGAAAGTATCATCTCTTGATTTGTAAGTTGTCGGAACTTCAATGTTGTTGGTCCACATTTTTTCATTTTTTTTTCACTACTTATCAATAACTTTTTCCATTTTCAAGTTTAGAAGTGGCTCAAACTAGCACTTTTTTTCAGAAGGGGGGTTATTTCACTCGAAACGTCAGAATTTTTTTGAGAATTTGGTCAACACCACTTTTGGCTGATTGGAGGAAGATTGTGAGAGTTTTAGAGTCCAAAACTTTCTTTTCGATAACCGTCTTTTGAGTTTAGCTCAAAACTTTGTGAAAGTTCCTTCCTTTCATTAATAAAAAAAAATCTAATTCTCAAGAAAACTTGGAGTGCCGTATCTAATAACCTCCCTAGTAAGAAAAAATATCACACAATGTAATAGTGGGTTTGCAGGAATGTCGACAATTCGACACAATTCCTTCCAGTCAGACTTTTTCCGGGAGTCCGAGTACATTCGACGGGTTCAAGCTTTGCGGCCGGAGCAGCCGGCGTACCTGTGACGTCGCTTCCGGTCTACTTTTTTTAGACCTCAATAGGAATATCACTTTTTTCAATTTAACCCTCGAGACCACAATTAATGTATAAAAAGGGGATTTTTCATCTGTCCACATTTTCTTGTCTGGTAAAAATTTTTTTCATTATCTTGCAAGCCGTGTGCAAGAAGAGAAGTCTGAATTTTTTTTTCTGGTGTTTTTGAAGCGATCATTTTTAAGACTTTCAGTTTCAAGCATGCGGTCTGAATTATCCTAATTTTATTGAGCTCAGACGTGAGTTCATAGGAGTTTTTCGAAGATGTTTACAGCAACTATTGCTCACGAAGTGCTCTAATGATGTATGGCCTCTTCTCCTTTTTTGATTAATTTCAACTGCCGACTGTTTTATTTGGTGCGAGTTACTATTGTCTAATGCACAATGAAACCAAAAATCATGGTCGCACTTTCATCGTCCCAGTTTTTTAGAACCCACGGTGTCATACATATGTTTTCTTATCTCTTACTTTTTGCGCTTCAATTCACGTTTCCTAAGATCTTTCATTATTCTTTTTCTAGTCCTATTTATTGTGAAGTAAATTTTTGGCGACTTGTGATAGACAACAATATAAAACAAAAACTGTAGAATTTTCATTTCCAATATGATCAGAGGATCAAAAAAACTCGAGACACACGCCGTATTCCTCGACTTCGGTGCGATGGGAGGGGTTCTCGTTGGCTTCCGTCAGAGTTTCATTCTTGAATAAAAAAATGTCTTCCCGTTCCTGGAGGTTGAAATTAAAGATTCGAAGTAGTTTTTCTGCTTACTCAAATAAGAAAATTCTGTAGAGTACATCAACTTATCTTTCGTAAAATCTTGAGGTTTCAACTACCTATTTAAACTTTTCAATCCGATTCAACTGTTTGATGCATTTCGAAGAGTTGAAAAAAGATCTGTTCATAAGATTTGTTGAACCTTTTCCGTGGAGTTGGTCTTTGCAGCTGGTGTGGAGCTTCCTTTGCGTTCCACCAGAATGGAGCAGATGGAAAATGAACGGCTGGACTTTGAATACAGTGGAGCGTAGGCCAAGCAGTCTTTGTCAGAAGTACAATGAACTGGATGGGCTGAAGGATCAGAATGACTTTTGATAATTCGAACTTTTCCAAAAAAAAAAAGCGCAAATTTTTTTTCCTAAAGCTTTGTTTTATGGTGAATAAATTTTCTCCGCAAGTCGCATTTGGTCAGATGCTTTTTAAAATGACCGCTGCAAGGTCGTGGATATTCAGGCCTTCTTACGTGCGGTTCATATTGTGATACACAGAAAAAGACTATTGATTCATTGTTGGTTCACTCACGTTTTGGGGCGACAACGGCAATCATCGCCGTGAAAAGCTGAAAATTTCCTTCTAAAATAATTTCATGAAATGGAAAGTTACCACGGCGATGTAGACGGATGAAATCATCGACTTATTGTCCTGATATTCGTTTCTATAACATGATATGCAGTGTTAAACTTCAACAGAGGAAAACTTTTAGGATTTAAGAAAAAATTATTAACAAAACTTTGATTTTACTGCGTTTGTGAAAAGTTATTTAAAAGCGTCCGAAAACTTTTTCTAATTGCTAAAGCTAAGCTTGGTTAACGATTTTTTTTGAAAAAAAGAGAAACTGCTTCGATAAAAGTTTTTAGCCACAGCCTCAAGATTTCATTTTTGATTCCGTGTACTATTACCTAGATCTACCCACTCACAAAGTTTCAAATCTCAAATCGTTGTCGAGCAAAGATCATTCCCTAGCTAGTAAGATTTTTATCTCAATCATGAAATAAATAAATTAAAAAAACCCATGTGTGCTGTGCCAATGAAACTCCTCATTACACAAAATTTTTTATTTGATATGGATAATAGAGAAGAGGACCAGTAAGGGAGCAAAAGAGAATGGTGAAGCCGGGTGAGATAAACTCTTTGCTTGTGCGTTTGACACGTAGAGAAAGATAATGGATAAAAAACACCGCACACGACGACAAACGAGACACCAGCAATGTAGTTTTTTTCTTGTTTGTCTCATATTCCTAATGAGAAAACGGCTCTCCTCGTAACTTCAACTTCTTCTCAGCAACCATTTGAAAATCCAGAGGGATTTTGAACTAACAAGAAACGGCATCTGCTACTTTAAAGTTGGAAAATTCCTAGAAATAGGTCATAGGATTCATTGATGTACCACAAGAAAGATCCAAACTGCATTGTTTTTCTTAAAGTCGAAGAAACCCATTTAAATCTGTGGACATATACCACTTTGAGCTGGTTTTTTGAGAAGCTAAAAATCGTAGAAGCGGAAGCTTCTAGAAATAGTAATTCGTTCATCAAAAAAATTTCTGACCAAATTTCAATTTTCAGGGTTCTCAACTTCAAAAAATTAAATTTTTTGTTTTTGGTGTTTTTAGAGTTACCCTCGACCTTGTGTCCTTATAACTTTCATCTTCATGAAAACTTTGCAAATCTACATAAAATAAGTTCCAATAAACGGAAATTAATGTCCTGGATCCTACTGTAACATCCATCCATCTCGCCAGCCAGGAAATAAGCTTCCTATCCGTGCAAACAAAAAAGTGATAACATTTTCATTGCCTCGATAATTCGATTTTTTTTTGGCAGCCTCTAGCGTGGGCAGACATCTTACGAATGACATTCATATTTTCTGATTCCGATATGGGATTAACACGGCGCAAAAAATAGACGATGTTTGTTTCGTATCTGCTATTTTTTCAATTAACACGTGTTTGAAGCCAGTCATAGGAAAACACTTTTTCTCCTTTTTTTGAACGAACTTTGAAGTCAATTTTTAGTTTGCTCTATTTTGATGTTATTCATGCAACTTTGTTTTTTTAAAAAATAAAAAAAAACTATTCGAAGGATGGCAAAGCTGCTTTGAAACGAAGCAAAACTTTGAATGGAAAAGTTTTAATGAAAAATGATTTTACAGTCAGAAGATGGAGGTTATTGTTCTTTAAAAACTTTTTCATCGGGGTCAATTTCTGTTTCATCTTCACTTCTCTCTGAGAATGAATCCTATACTTTTCAGTAACGATTCGTTACTTCCTCGATTGGGACACGTTACAGTGGCCAGTTTCCCTTTGAGATAGGCCGCAAAGGCGTGAGACGTCTAGGATCCAAAAACGGGACAAGTTTTCCAATCGTCCCAATTATCGATTTGTTGCTTTACTGCCGAGTGGGTGGTGTAAAGGACCGCTGCCGTGCACGCACAAAACGGCTTGTCGGCAGCCTCATTTTCCGCTTTTTCACTGCTTCTTGGCTTCTATCCTCATTCTTCTTGCTTTTGTTGAGTTTTTGATTCAGGATAAAATACCTTCACTGTTTATCCTGTTTTTTGCTTCTTCGCTCGATATATTTTGAAACTGAATTCTTATTTTTTATTAATTTAATAAATTACAGAAATTTTTAATTTGCGAAATATGATGTTCTGAGCACATCGAAATCATTTTCATTATGTTTCAAAGTATTTTTACTTACGGGCTCTTAGTTATTGCGACGGTTTTTTTGGGTCATTGCGATGCGCTCGACAAAAAAAGCTTTAAAGTAAGTTTCTATATGATTATCCGAAATTGAAAATTTTTATTTAGGCAACAAGCGTATGAAATGTTTATGCACGGGTATCGGTCATACATGGACTATGCGTATCCAGCAGACGAGTTAATGCCTTTGTCTTGTAAAGGACGGGTTCGAGGAGTTACTCCAAGCAGAGGCGACGTCGATGACAGCCTTGGAAAGTTCGTATTTTTCGATTCAAAAAACTAAGTGAATGCGACTTTCAGCTTCTCCCTCACTTTAATCGATGCTCTCGACACACTGGTTGTTTTAAGCGAATTTGACGAGTTTGAGAAAGCTGTAGATTTGATAATAAATAATGTTCGATTCGATTCTGATCACGTTGTCAGTGTCTTTGAGACGAATATCCGAGTTTTAGGAGGACTTGTTTCAGGTTTGAAAAAATAGTTGTCAACTGAAAATAAATAATTTAAGGTCATTTAATGAGTGAACTCGTGAAAGGAAAATTCCCCGATAGGATGAAAAACTACAATGGGCAATTGCTAAAAATGGCCGTTGATGTCGGGGATCGTCTCCTGCCGGCTTTTAACACTTCCTCCGGATTGCCCTTTAGTAGAGTGAGCTTCTATTTTTTCGCCATAAATTCTACTTCGTACTTTAAGATTAATCTTCGATATGGAATGCTAGAACACTTGAAGAGGCAAAGAGACACTTGTACTGCCTGTGGCGGGACCATGTTACTTGAAATGGCTGCGCTTTCTCGTCTGACAGGCAATCCAGTCTACGAACTGAAAGCTCGGAAAGCCATGGATTTTCTCTGGGCGCAGAGACATAGGTCCTCCGACCTCATGGGAACCGTCCTGAATGTACACTCTGGCGACTGGGTTAGGAGAGGTGGGATACGTTATTTATTTTTTTTTCTTGCAGTCTCATTTGATTAAATTACATTGAAAGTTGAAAAGTTTTGTGTGTTTTCTAGAACTTCATAAACCTTTTCTTTCAAATTCAAACAACTATTTTCAGAAAGCGGAATCGGGGCTGGAATCGATTCGTATTACGAGTATTGCCTCAAAGCCTACATTCTTCTTGGCGACCGAAACTACCTGGAGAGATTCAATAGAGTGAAACTCTCTTCCTGGTTACTTGAAACTTAAAAATTATCATTTGCAGCATTATGACGCTATAATGCGTTATGTGAACAAAGGACCTCTTTTTGTCGATGTTCATATGCATCGTCCAACGGTAGCCACTAGAGGGTTCATGGATTCTTTGCTTGCTTTTTGGCCAGGGCTCCAGGTCATTATCATTTCCAAAGTTGAATTCAAACAATTTTTTAAGGTTTTGAAAGGCGACGTTCCGCAAGCTATCGAGATGCACGAAATGCTCTTCCAAGTCATACAAGTGAGCTAAATGGCCCGTTCATTTTTCAAACGTTTTCTTATAGAAGCACAAATTCTTGCCCGAAGCCTTCACCCATGATTTTCAAGTTCATTGGGGAGAACACCCGCTTAGGCCAGAATTTGTTGAAAGCACATATTTTTTGTATCGAGCTACGAGAGATCCGCATTATTTGGAGGTGGCCAAGCAGGTGATTGGAGTAATTACAACTTGAAAGTACAAGTTTTGGTTTCAAGGTCATGGACAGTATAAATGAGTACGTACGCGTCCCTTGTGGCTTTGCGTCGATCAAAGACGTGCGAACAATGAGTAAAGAGGATCAGTCAGTCATTTCACATCTTCATGTTGCTCTAACTTTAAAAAGTGTTTGAAAGCTCCTTCCTTCAACCTTTGCAGTGAAGACTTAAAAAATATTAAATTTAACGATTAATTTACAAAAATTTGAATTTTTTCTAGAACCACGTATTTCAAGTTTTTTTTAGCTTGTACTTCATCTTTTTTAAATTTCACTGAAGTTATATTGCCTAATATTTGAAACTCGAATTTTTAAGACAAAATCAAAACTCTGAAACAAATTATATTCAGAATGGAGTCGTTTGTGTTATCGGAGACCTTCAAGTACCTCTATATGATTTTTCGCCGAGCCATCTGACATTATTTTTGACCCGGATAACTACGTTTTGACGACGGAGGCTCACTTTTTGCCGCTTAGCATGGGTCAGGAGCAAAATGATGACCAGTTTTCGGTATTCAAGAAAAAGTATTCTGAAATAGAAGTTATAATTTTCACTATAGGCGCCAAGAAAAATGTTTCTGAGACCTGACGAAACTACCAACAAAAACTACGTCTGTGCTAATCCAATGGACTTTGGTCGAATGCCAACAGAACGAGAAGAAGCTTTGCTCATCCGCCAGAGAACACAGATCATTTTGAACGAGCTGAAAGCTTTGCAAGCCGCCAGAGATGGGGCCAGTGACAAGAGACAATGCGAAACTCAGTGAGTTTTGAGTAGACTGTATTTGTTTTATGAATCTGATCCATCCTTGATTTTCAACAAAAGGCTATCAAACAAATTATTCACTTGATAACTTCTTGAATATTCCAGACAAGAACGCCTACGAGCTTGGGCGTTTTCAGTGAATAACCAAGAGCATGTGAAACAGCTCAACTCTATGGGAATCGAAATAATTCATCAAGAAGACGGGCGCTTCTACCTCAGTCATCAAGTTGCCAATGTAAGTCCTCATTTTTTCTATGCGACACTTCCAGTCTTTTGTGAAGTTTTTGTGACGTACCCCTTTGTCGGTGCATTGAACTTGGGTTTTTCTTGCTTTTTCGAAAGCTCTATGCATGTTAAAGTGTAAGGCTCTGCATTTCAATCATTTCAGAAAAAAAGAGTCAAGCTGTTGTTTTCTTGTTCCAGTAGTCGTGTGAGATGATTGATTCAAGAAATTATTTTTTTTTCTGAGAGAGTTTCTACTTAAAATAAACTCACAACTGTGTGTAACAGTATTTAAGTCGTTGAAAATGATCAAACTGAAATGTTTGAACTGTGAATCTCCCCTTCTCACTGCAAACTGTCTCAATGGCTCTCCTTGCAACACGCACAGATTTGAGTGGTTATCAATTCAAAAAAATCACATTAAGATCAGGCGGCAGAAATCAGATCTCATGGATCCTCTTTAAGGATTTAAGTTCAAGGCTTTATAACACAAGTCAATCAAAGTTCTAATTTGTTGATTGGCTTTTTTCTGAGCTTTATAATTGATTTATGGAAATTTAGCCAAATTTTCAATTTAAAAGTTTATCGCAGGTTATACCTTGAAGCAAAAGTAAAGTTTTCATATCAAATTTGTAACCAGCTTTTTAGAAGTACACATTTCCTTTTTAGCTATTGCCGAGAAAAGCAAATTAGGAGCACTAATCTTCTACTCACTCAAAAACTGAGGATCAAGGTGCGTGTTGCAGGGAGAACGGCTGACCTGCGAGGTGGAAGACAACGGGGAGAACTGTGCGGACGATGCGCGACCGCCACGCGCTCGCGCCTGCGTCACACGACGGCATGCTCTCGGCCAGATTTATTTCCTCGTCGACTGTCTCATTTGTTCCCTTTGGGGCATTTTTGTTGTCGTGATGCTTCTCGTTGTCTATCTCAAGTTTTGCAATTTATATCGAAGAATCGAGCCAGTCGCCGAAGTGATTGAAAGGCCTGAGGAGGATACCAAAGACGAATAAAGGCGCCAATGTAAATATGAGGAATGCATGACATTTGGCATGATTTTCTTGCAAACAGCCAAGTAGTCAAACTTTTAAAGTTTGTAACCTACCCATATAAACGCTTTTTCTATCAGCAAAATTTAAAAATTCAAACTCTTAAGAGCGCACTGGACTTTTTAATTGTCCTTTACCTTCAGCTAGACCTTCAGCTGTAGAGTTGCGATTTATTTTACTCAGTAGAATATTTTCATTGGAAAACAACAACGTCAATTGTTCTTCTTATTTCTGAAAAAAAGATTTTATCGACATAAGTTAGGAAGTGATTTTTTCCCTTAAGTGTTCTTTTTATAGAGATGCTTCTCATTCCACTAAAAAAATCTCTATCATTTCACACGGGTTGTATATCAACTGGCGATGTTTTTACTTTTGCCGTATCTTTCTTGTCATTTTCTGTTGATATTGATTTTAGTGTACTTTGTTCTCTGTTGATATAAGATTTTACCGGTTTAATGTGATACGTACTATTGGGAATTTGTGTTTTTTTGTGATATTTTTTTGTATAAACCTTATTGCATAGATAAAAGTTTTAGATAACTGATTTGAGACAAGGAAAAAATTGTTATAAATTCAGGCCAAAAGTCCAAAGTTCGGTCTTTGGGGCGGCGAGTTCATGCAGGAAATGATGCAGCTCATACAAAAAATGGAGAAACAAGGAAGTGAGTTTGACAGTTTTTCGATTACCTTGAAAGCAATTGAAAAATTTTCAGAGACATCTAATGAGAATGCTGAGCGGTACCTTCAAATTACTTCTAGTCCTTACTTTGGAAAACCGTTTATAATGGCTTCGCCTGCCCAATTCGGAACCGACCTGACTGGTTGGCCGGTTTGTTAGGAGCTTCGTGTCAGTAAAAATGTGTTTTTTTTTTTAAATATAGGTTGAATCGGGAGTTGCTGTCGCAAGTCCCTTCAAAGCTTGCACCGAAATAACGAACGATAAAGAAGTTAGAGGACGCATCGCAATTGTCGAACGGTCCGAGTGTATGTTCCAAGAGAAAGCCAGACACGTTCAGAAAGCTGGCGCAATCGGTCTCATTGTCATTGGTGAATTCACAACGAACTCATCTTTCTGATCGAATGATTTTTAGATCACGAGAAAGGAACGCAAAGTGAAGGACAACTGTCCTTTGCGATGGCTGGAGACAAAGATTCTCAAGACGATATTGCCATTCCGGCCGTCTTTCTGTACAGAAAGGAAGGAGAAATGCTACTCAGAGCGCTGGAAAAAAACAAAAAAGTGGTAGTTCGTATGGCTGCCGATGTTGTTCTGACAGGTGATTTATATTCCATTTATGACTGCAAAACAAAAAAACCGTGAAAAAATTTATTGTGCGCGAACTTCATTTGCCACTAGCGTGGGACAAAAGTATTTTACAGATATTTGAAAATCTTTTCTCTGATTTTTGTTTTCTAGATCTCTACGTTGAAGAAATGTTGAAAATAGGAGTATCGCGACTGGCGCCACCAATGCCGGTTTGTTTTTTGCGATTTCTATTCCGAGCTATTCATATATTTGAGAAATGTCCACCAGAAGACGGAGACTTCATTTTTGTTGATCACGAAATACCAGCCGTTACATTCAACGTCAGATTGGGGAGTGTCAAACAGGATAGCGATCCAACTATGCATCAAGACGTGAGATACAAGATTAATTTTTTTAATATTCTTCCGTTTGAGATTGTCGAGAGACACGTAACTCATTTGCAAGAAGCCGTTGAGTTTGATCTGGACTCTTATCGCAACGCCTTTTTTGCTCTGTTCCGAACGGCTGCTTATGGAGCCCTAGGGCTAAACGTCGAGAATGAAAAGCTGACTGCCGTGGAAGCCGCTTTGAGAAACGTTCGACTTCTTCCGACTCCCAGAGAAGCCGAGTTGTTCTTAAAAGGAGACATCACACAGGTAATTCTGTGAAAATCTTTATGGAATTTGAGTAGATCCAAGTTGTGAAAAAGAAAAAACGTTTATTCTTGCGACAAGCTTTTTTGGACAATGAGAAATAAAAGGAGAAGCTGATTCCGCATCAGTGCGGAAGAATCGCCGCTGAAAAATGCCCACAAACTTGAAGTTAAAATAATCATTCCTTCTTTTTGAGTTCTATCGAGAAGAAGCCAGGAGAAAGTGGAAAATTTCGTATATTAAAAGATGATTCTTTCAAATTCTTTGTTTTTCCAGATTCGTTGCGTGCCTCGCGAGACAAATATGGAATGCACAGCGATGTGGCGATAATTCAATTATTTTTCTTCCGTACGTGTAGACAGACACCTTTCCTCCCTCCGATTCGCTTTTTTTTCCCAAGAAGTTTCATTATCTTCTTGACGGGTGGTGTCCTTATTTGCTGTTTCTTGTTACATTCCTATGTTCTTTCAGCAATTTGTCAGGTTTTCAAAAAATTGTGAAGCAACTAAAGTTTCCGAAAATTTCCCTCTTCTAGTCATTTTCCGTGCAATTTCAATCGTATATATCGATGTGCGTGTAAAAACAGTCCTTATATCATTGGTTCGTGTCAAAATTTCCTTATTGATAAGACCAAAAAAAATTGTCTGTTGTCTATAAATTCAGCCCCAAGTGTACCTTACTCATTCGGCGTTTGTTTCTTTGATTTGATCAGCGGTTTGCTCCTATTTTTTTTGTTGGTTTATGCTGATAAACTGCAAGTTAAATGGTTATTAAAGTAAAAAACTTCTATGAATAAATTGTGAAAATTCATTTTAATTTGACGTTCATAATTCACCCATACTCTGCTTTTTAGGGTCTTTTTATAATGCATTTTTTTAAAAATGCTTGAACTTGATTGAGAATATTTGTACATTATCTCCGAGTTGAGCAAAAACAGAAAAAGCATATTGTTTTTAGAATAATTGAATAAAAAAATGTTGAAAAAAATAATATCAATAAAAGAAAAAAATAATTTTCGGATCCCACTATTGGATCGAGACAATTTTAACTCCTTAACAAGTGTTTGGTAGAGAAACAGTAGCTTTTGAAAACATAGTTTCTTTACGGTTAAATTAAAGGTTTAGTTTGCGTCCTCCTAAAAAATATGTGAAAAATAGTTTACAGTCGTTTTTGCAGAAAAATCTCAAAACCAAATTTTCTAGCTTTTTATCAAAAACCGAAAAGTTTGTCGAAGAGTTTCTAGCGGCCGTGTCAACTTGAAAAAAGGGTTTTCTTCTGTTTACTCTACAGCCAGCCGACAAGACGAGTGTTTTCTTCATTTTTTTTTTTCTCTCAACAAACAATCTCGCTAGTGGTTTTTGTTTTTATGGATAGCCACGTGGGGTCGGAAACTTTTTTCACTTTTTGATTTCATTATTACGAAAGCGGCGTTTCACCTGTCTGACAAAGATGTTCTAGCAAGTTTTCTTACTGTTGGATTGACTTTCATTTTTTTCCTCCTCCAGTTTTTTTTGATTGCATTTCTTTTCTGCACTTTTTCTTTTTGCGGTTCCTCACAATTTCCATTTTTTGTACATTAGAGGTGTGTGTTAAGATTTTCAGGAAAAAAGTCTCAGGCCAGAAGAAAAAAAAGATTGTTTTCTTAAAACGATAAATTTCACCATTTATCAATAAATTGGAAAAAGAATAAAAGTATTTTTATCGAAAATTTCCCTTGCGCCCAATTGAAACATACGCGCTCGGCTGAGAAAGGGCTGTCAAAACAAGTTGACGTCATTCCTCGAAACAAAAAAAAAACATGGTGTTGTGAAAATTTCTATTGCAGCCAATTTCCTTTCTTAAGGAGGAGGGAAACAAATTTCGTTTCACTTTCAATCTTCTGGTTTGATAAAAAATTTTCTGTGTTTTTTTCTTTGTGTAATGAAGGTTTTTGTTTGAACTTTTACAGAATAAGAAATCGCTCCGCATAGGACTTTGTTCAAAGTGTCATCAATCGAGTGGATGGGGGTCAAGTTCAAAAACAAAAGTGGTGCATACACGCTTGCTGCTTTTTGCAGAGGGCACACTTTTTTGTCCATTTGAACAGCCTGATTCTCACTTTTCTTTTACGTTTTATCCCTTTGGCTAGTTCATACTTGCTTATCATTAGTATTTCATGTCTTCTTTCTTCTTAGCAAAAATACGTCAAGATTTTTCATGAGAATTTTGTTTTTGGTTTGAAGATGAACATCAATAATTTATGAATATCAGGATTTGATGAAAAATTAGCAACCATTTCACTCAGAAGTTATCATTTTTCAAGTTTCTAAATTTTTTTTTATTTTTACAATATTTTTTTCGTCATATCTCCGTCATGTAGTCTCTTGTGCACGGAAGGTAGTTTTTTTTTCAAGATGACCGACGAAGGAGTGAGCGGTATACGCGAGAGAAAGCGAAAAGTTAACATGTCAGTGGGGAGCGACGATGACGAAGATGGAGCTAATTACCCGGGCGTTGAGCGTACTGCCGACGCTGCTTGTACCACGGAAGGAGAAGAAGCCGAAGATACAGAGTTAGTTTTTGATTGGTTTTTTTTTTAAGTATCTTGCTTTTTTCACAAAGTTTTGCAAGATTCAAAGGATTATGAATGCATTAAAATCTTCAAATTGCGCTTACAAAAATGTTCCTTTTACACATTGGTTGGGATTTCTTTCAATTGTCCCAAAAAATTTTTTGATGTACCAGAAAAAAGTCCTGAAAGTTTTAACCCGCACAGCTTCCTAATTCTCGAGAAAGGAGGCCTCGAAGTCAAAAAATTTCCGATCGCAAAATGAAATTATCTTCCTTGGTAAAGTGCTTCAATAAATGGCAAAATATTGTTATGGATCACAAAAACTTCTGAAGAATTATACGGATTCTTTTTTTTTAAACATTTCATCAAAATATTCCAGAGAGAAGAAATATAAAAAACGTCGCGTCCGGGTGGAAATGGAGCGTAAGCACTTCCAAATGGTCAACGACCGCGTGGTCGAAGATGTAACCCTCGAATTTCTTTACAAACCTCATACGCTTACTGTTTTGGCCGCTTTGACCACTTTTATCTCTTATAAGGCGTTCACTGGGTAATTTTTATTAAAAAAATTTCAGCTAAATTTTGAATTTCAGCAGTACGGAGCATACCGAGCAAAATGTTTACGACGGACTGATGGGAACTCTCGCCCTTTTCATGGTTATCAGTGCCCTCGCTTTTCCGAACGGTGAATTTGATTCATGAGCTTTTAATAGCCGCTTCTAGATGTTCCAAAAGCGGGGAATTTTGTTCTTTGTGGTTTTCGTCATTATTATGAATTTTAGGCCCTTTCATACGACCTCATCCTGTTTTTTGGCGCGTTGTGTTCGGTCTTTCTGTAGTTTACATGCTCATCCTTCAATTTACACTGTTTCAAACGTACGCCGACATCAAAAGTGCTCTCAGTTGGCTTGATCCAACAGGTCTCAGCCAGGAAAAACTGGTGGAAAAGGTATTTTCTTTTATCTGGATTTAGTTCTTAATTTTTATTTTTTTTTTTTAGGACTACGCTATCAACTGTTCTGACGTCTCTTTGGAGAGAATCTGGAGTCATATGGACATTTTTGCTGTTGGACATTTCCTTGGGTGGGCAATGAAGGCCCTTCTTATACGTCATGGTGTTCTCTGCTGGTATATCAGCATTTCCTGGGAGCTCACTGAGGTTGCTTTTTTTTTCTCGTTCTGAGAATGGTCATTTTTTGAAGATTGTTTTCACCCAATTGCTCCCGAACTTTGCCGAGTGTTGGTGGGATGCCCTTATTTTGGATGTCCTGGTTTGCAATGGTCTCGGAATTTGGTTTGGTCTCGAAGTGTGCAAGTTTTTCGAAATGAGACAATATCATTGGGAGAGCATCAGGTTTGTCACCATATTTTTGGTGCATAGTTTAATCAACTTTGCGATAAAAGGACGAATTCAGAAACATCCACACGAACCGCGGGCGTTTCAAACGCTTTGTCATGCAGTTCACGCCTGAGAGCTGGACCAAACTCGAATGGAAAACTATGACAAACGCCGTCCGCCGAACAATGGCTTTGTATTTGTTCGTTCTGATTTGGCTGGTGAATTGCATCTTCATCGATATTTTTTGATTATTTGATCGATTTCAGTTGACCGAGTTGAATACTTTCCTGATGAAGCACGTGTTCGCCGTAGACACAAAACATCCCGTTGTTTTTTGGAGAATCATTTTGATTGCGCTCATTTCCGCGCCGTCTATCAGGTTTGCAGTTCATGGTTAATATTCACGATTTTTTTATTTTCTAGACAGTTTTATCTTTACGCAACTGATCCTATGGTCAAACGTCTGGGAATGCAGTGCTGGGTTTATTGCGCCGTCTGCGCTTTGGAAGCGGCTATCGGCATCAAGTTTGGGATGTCGATGTTCCCTCGTGTCGCCATTCTTCCTATCCTCCTTTGGATATTCTTTTTGGTAAGTCATACAAATTTTCAAACTTTTTTCAAAATCTCTTTTCAGATAGTTGGAACGTTCTTCAGCGTGTGGCTGTCGGTTTGGTGGGCCCAGAGTTCTTCGGTAATTTTCATTATTTCGATAAGTTCATGAGAAAAGTTTCTTTGATCTTTAAAAATTTCATAATATACCTATTTTAATTGAGAAACTATCTAGGAAAAATTAGATACTTGCTGAAAAAAAAATTTATGTAGATTCTTCATTGAAAAATTATATCGCCGCACTCAAAAAAAATTTTTTTGGGTGTTTTTCATTCAGTTTCAAAAAAAAATTACATTGATCGATAAATCAGAAAATTCACTCAAATTTTTTAGACAACGAAAGAAGTAGTTGTGAACGGTGAAAACCGAACGCTCTATTTGGATTCCTCGCACGAGAATCTCGGATCCATCCACGATGACGTCAGGAAGAGACGTCGTGACCTCGGTTTTTCAGAGTCTGATCTCAATTGAATTCTGCTCCCTCTTTGTGTACTTTTTTCCGAAGACTTTTTTGCTGGTATTTTTGCTACAAATGTGCTAGATGTTATTCATCGATTCTCGGCTTGATGTCGAATCCAATTTATTTTTTTCTGAGATTTTTTGTCCCTTTACTTGTATGCATTTTGGTTCTTCGCCTGCACTTATCGCTATTGTCTGCCTTTTTGTCGCTGTGCTGCTGTTAGTGCCGTTTTCATCAGCCAGAAATTATCGAATAAAGTTTTATCCAACTTTTTTTTTTAAATTGAACAGAAAGATAATATTCACAAAATGTTTCAAAAGATTATTTACCGCTAGCTGTGGGCCGTTTTCAAGTAAACTCATCCGTTTTTTGAGTTAGTTTCCATTAAACAGATATTTCCGGATTCTGTAGCATTCATTGTTTAAGTTCTAATCTTAGAATAATGGCTTCATGATATAATTCTGAAGCAATCGGTTCAGGAAGTTTGTTCCCTCCTAACCAGAGACAGTATTATTCAAGAAACATCAAAGTCTGCATGCAACATTTCCAAAACCAGATTTGTAAAAACTTCTTTACTAAATACTGCTCAAAACGAACACGCATTTTTCTCAAAGACCGACAAATTGATCACCCTTTTTGCAGCCTTTTTGTTCTTCGAAAAAAAATTGAGCCGACTAGATTCTCAATGTTTCCTATGAAACTGATTATGCAGAGCCTAATGAGAATTAATTACTATTTTTAAGATCAACGATAACCTTATAACAATCAAAAGAAAAAAACCTAAAAAAATTTTTTTCTAAGCAAAGTACGCTATTCTGCACTACGATGCTCCAAATTACACTTTTCCGCCTTTCCGTTTGCTCGGTTTTTATACAAAATTTTTTTTCGCTGATTTTTATATGAAACTATTTGTTTTGAGTACTTCAAAATTAATTTTTTGATTGAAGGCGAACATGATGCTCAGAAAAGCTCTTTCTAGCAATTTTCCCAAAGTTTATACGCTGCAGAAATCGAGTTCACCGTTCTGGTTAGGTTTTTTAAAAGTTTTTTTCAAAACTTTGAACCTTCAGTCACACCGCTGTTCGCTCAATCAATGTGGATTACTCTGAAGAAAAGCCGGGAGCGCCTCAACTAGAACATGTTCAGAAGCGTCTGTTGGAAACGGTTTTTTTTTTGGTTTATTCTCAAGAAACAATTTCAGATATTTCAGCTTGAAATGGACTTGAACTGAATTTCTAAATTTGTTCATACAATGTGAACTGTTGGCAGTGAAAATAGATTTTTAAGATTTCAACAAAATAATCCGATTTTTTGAGGTTCCACTGATGTTCCGGCAGCGGCTCGACTACACATTCTACCGCAAGGACGTTTTTTGTGACGACCAAATTTTAAATACTCAGAAGCAGTTTGTTCCTTCATCAAATAATCAATTTCAATTTGCGTTTTTAGAGGTCTTGACCAGCTCATGAGCCATTTCGGAAGTATCGGAACGTTTGGACAAATTTCTTTTCCGCACATCCAAATGGAGGTATGCTCAGTCAAAAAGTTAGAATCGTCTTTGCACTTTTTCTGGCGGAATTTTTTCAGACAGTTTCCGTTGTTCCTATTATTGAAGACGGTACGGTCCGGTGTCGTTGGCGGGTTAAATATGTATCTTTTTGGCGCCTCGCCACAAATCCTCGCCTTTTTCAATTTGATTATCGCATGCAGAACGTGAGATATTATTTTCGTTCAAAATTTTGTTTTTTTTTCAGCTATCTTGGTTTGATGGCTACTCTGTACTGACTGTTGATGGAAACGGCGAAGTCTACAAGATTACCATTCAAAAGGTCGGGACTCAAACTCCAGAATATTTATTCACTTTTTTTGACCTGATTCTTTTTCTAATGGTTTTTATCTTCAATATTTTCTGAAAAAATTAAACTTCGTCTCGATTTGGTTTCCAACAACGGGAGAAAACTTGCTTTTTCTTCAAAATTTAAGCTTTGGGAAAATGAATAAGCGCAGAAAAAGTTGATTTCGAATAATTTCAGACAATGAGAGATGAAGGAAATCGCCAAAAATCGCTTCTTGGAAACTCGGCAGAGCAAATTAAACGAAAACTTGCAGAGCTACAACCTCAGCCAAATGTCAACGCTTCCAAGCAATAATTTTTATCGTATCGTGTATTTTGTCTCATTTTTCTTCTTAGATTAGTTCTAGAGTTCTTTTTGTTATTTATTTATACTTTTGAAAATCTCATGCGGAGTTCTGAAAACTGCTGTTTTTCGTCATAATTACGAGTGCTTCGGGCTTGCTCATACATGATGCCGGTAGATTTTTTCCCAGTCTTTTTTACTCAGTTTTAGTCGTTTGTTGACTGCAATACGTCTTAATAAATTCATATTTCTTCGGTTTTTTGCTCTCAGTTTTTTCTGTACGTTTTTTGCGTCTTATGATATTTTAAAGAAACCGGAGTGTTGTTTAACATTTATATTTTGTTCAACTTTTCAGAATGCTCTCCCGCCAAGCTGTCCGCGGCGCTCACCACGCCGCCACAGCCAAGCAGCTGCCTGCTCCGGTTTGAACTGGTTGATCCTCAAAAAGCAAAAAATTTTTTTTTCAGGTTGAGAGAGTCACGAAACTGGGCTCGGGGTTGACTGTTGCTTCCTTCGAAATGCATGGACCACTTTCCCAGCTGGTTTGCATTTTTTATTTTTTCCGACAAATAATCGAAAAAGGTTACATTTGGAAATTCCTTTCTATTGTAGTTATGTTTCCAATTTCAGAGTTTTCGGCGCGATAAGTAGAGTATAAGCCAACATTTTTCTTATTTCTTCTTGAGTCAGTCCCCATTGGCGTTTCATAAAAAGTCAAAAATATAATTTAATTGTAAGAATGTTCATAGTTCTGCAGGTTCTCGCGTTCCGAGCTGGAACTCGATATGAACAATCCCATCAAAATGGTCTGGTTCATGCGATCAGATGCTTTGCCGGCCGCGACACCAACTCTTACCCCGGATCGTCTGTAGTTTGGTCGGCTGCTGACTCTGGTGCTAACATTGTGAGCGCTTTCTCGTCAGTCAAAATATATAAAGTTGTCAGCGTTCTTTTGCGACGCGTGACGTCTTCGGTGTTGCTTTCACAGTGACTCGTGACCAGACGGCTCGAGCTCTTTCCATTTTGGGCCATGCTGGTGCTCAACCAGCTTTCAAACCTTGGGAGCTGGAGGACGTTCGTTTTGAATAAATTTGAAGATCTCAAAAAAAAAATTCAAGGTCTTGCCGCTCGTTCGCAGCGATATCGCCCATAGAACTTCTTACGACATCGTATTCGATGATATTCACAGGGCTGCATTCAGGTAAGGTTTTAATTCTTCTTTTGAGGTTCTCATTTTTGTTCAGAAATTCCGCTTTGGCCAATCCGCTGTATGCGCCTACTGAACGAGTTGGCAAAGTTTCTACTAATGATCTTGCAGCTTTCGCTGTGAGTTTTTGATTCATTTCACCAAAAATTGAAGTTTTTGAATTCAGAAGAAACATTTGGTGACGGGTTCGGCGATCCTTTATGGAACTAACATTGATCACGACACTTTGATTGCTTATGGAGAGAACCATTCTCCCATTGCGCACGGAGCTGGAGGATCTTCTTCGACTTCCGATTACAAAGTTGGTATTTTTGAAGCTGCAAGATTTAGATGAGATGTAAGAAGAAACTCTCGAAAGCTCTTTAGGCTCTATATACGAGAAGTAGGAGAAACAAAGACGTTTTTTTGGTAAACCATTTTCTTGTCACTTTGTGATATTGAATTTGTAAATAACTCGGCAGTTGCGATACAATAGTTTATTGAATATTGAGAATTTTCTGGCTGAACTGCCCGCTTAAACGCGTCTATTTCTGTAGCCGCCGTTGTTGTTGTTGGAGCCATAGCTGGACTGTGCGCCGTAGTTGTCGGATGGTGGTGGAGATGGGCTTGGATAGCCGGCGTTGCCTCCAGAAGGCTCGCTGCGTCCGCCGGACGGTGGTGGAGCTCCACGACCGCCATCTGGTTGAGGACCATTATGGTCTCCGCCTCGTGGTCGGTTTCCGCCGTTGTTTCCTCCGGAAGGAACAGATGGAGTGCGGTCATCCGACTTTTCTTGACGTTGTGGGCATGGGCAGTAGTTGGCGTCCTTGCCTGAAAAAAAAAAATTAGAAGAATTCTTGTGGATATTTCGGAAAGATTCAAAGAATTGAGCGCTTACCGACTGCTCCTGGAGCTCCTGGCTGTCCAGCTGGTCCTGGGAAGGCGTCGTGTCCTGGAGTTCCGGCCTTTCCTGGCTCTCCTTGTGGTCCTTCTTCTCCGTCAGCTCCTGGCTCTCCGTGCTTTCCTGGAAGACCAGCCTCTCCGAGCCATCCTGGCTCTCCTGGCTGTCCTGGGGCTCCTGGGAAGTAGGCCGTTCCTGGCTGTCCGTCAGGTCCGTTGGAGCCGTCGAAGCCTCGTGGTCCTTCTGGTCCCTTGTCTCCCTGAGGTCCTTGTGGTCCAGTAGCGCCATCGTCACCAGATGGTCCAGCCTTTCCGCTGTTTCCGACGAATCCTGGAGTTCCGACAGGTCCAGTTGGTCCTGGTGGTCCAGGTGGTCCGGCTGGGCACTTGATGCATCCGCCAGGAATGTCGTGAGTCACAGCGAGCGAGATGCCGCTAGCGCCTGGAAGGCCGTTGTCTCCGTTGTGTCCTTCGTCTCCTCGGTTTCCTGGTGGTCCTGGAAGTCCTGGAGGTCCAGCTGGGCAACCGCGAGAGTTGGCGCCGCAATTGCACATGCCCGGGTAGACGTAGCGTTTGTTACGGAAGATGGAAGGCATAGGGTTGGCGGATTCTCCAGTGGGAGATTGGAGAACAAGAAGACGATCCCAGGTGTCGTCAAACAGAACCTTGAACTCGTCGACGCGGCCTTCGACCTCATTGCGCAGAGAGTTGATGTCGCTGACAATGTGGCCGATTGAGAAGACGGCGGATAGGACGCCAAGAAGGCAAGCGCCTGCTCCGATGTAGCCGACGGTTGACATGCTAGCAGATGCTGGCTGTTGTCTCTCTCATCTCCGAAATCGCTTTTATAGCACCTGGGGGAGAGAAAACTCGCAAAAACGAGGCGCCGAAAAAACTTTTTCTCGCGCTGGCGCCGGCCGGTTTTTTTCAGTTCATACGTTCCTGGGTGGGCACACCTAAGTTCTTTTGGCTATCTTCACCGTGGACTTGAGATATGCTTTTTCGATTAGAAGCGACACAACTTTTGGTTATTTTGTCTTTTTTCAGATGAAAACTGCCTTTTCTTAACAAAAACGTCATCAGAACACTAAAAAACGTTTTTTTTTATTGGAACTGTCACAAAATCTAAAGAAGAAATCGCTCTCAACTTTTTTTTGAACTGTTTTCATATTGTTCTCGAAAATATCCAGTATTTCTTAGGGAGGCGAAGTGCGTCGAGATGGCAAAAGCTCACTCGCTCATGTTATTTTGGCTGGTCAAGGAGCTGAAGGCGCAAATCCAAAAGGAGTTGCAGCTCAAACTGTGCTCCTAACGCAACTTGGTCAATCTGCTTCAGTAAAGTAAGTGATTCAAAATATGTAGCAAAGGGAAGTATCGAACTCGATCATTTTTCGATCAGCGGAAGAATTCTTAAAGAGAAAGTTGTTCTTCTCCTCCGCAACAGTAGGATTTATTTCGATTAAAAAGGGATAAAAAAAACTTTTTGCAGATTTCACGGGTAATTCAAATTAAATTTCGAAAAATACTCTAGAAGTTTTAAATTTGCCTCTTTTCCCCCTAAGATTTCTCAAAGGAATATCATGCATGATCGTTTTCAAGGTTTCAAACGACGGCTGGTGGAGACTTGGGCCGTACCGTTTCCAACAAGGCTTCAGCCAGCGGATTCCAAACGGTTTACGCCGATGCCGGTCTTGCTGGCGTCTATGTCGTCGGCGAGAGCAACAACATCCGGGAAGCTGTCAAGAGCGCCGCTCAGGCTCTCAAAACGTTCAAAGTTGGCGACATTGAAGGTATGTTCACACATGAATTAATCGCTCATTCATATTACTGTTTCAAGTTGCCAAGAAGAAAGCGTTGAACAACGCTCTCCGAGCCAAAGCTCATACCGATAGCCGCTCGATTGAGAGAGCCACTCAAGTGCTAACTGCCGGTGAAGGATGCTATATCAAAGCTATTTCTGAGGTGATTTTTCTCGAACGTTCGGAAACCTTTGATAATTCAGTTGACGAACTATTTTTTGAAATAGGCTGTTTTTTTTTGAACATCTCAACAAAATCTGACCGGTAATAATTTGACTTCCAATTGCAGGTTAAAACAAGCGATGTTGAAGCGGCAGCCAAAAAAATCGTGTCGAAGCTTTCGATCGCCTCCTACGGCAATGTTGATAACGTTCCTTACCTTGACGAATTGTAGAAAATCTTTATGCAAGAAATTTATTCATATATTTTTAGGTTTTCTGTCATAAAAATAGAACATTTTTGTTTTTCTGTTGGTACTCGAATAAATTTTTTTATCCTTTTCTTTCTTTGAAGTAATACTTAAAACACACATTTATGAATGAGAAAATCTAGTTGGAACTTTTTCGAATTACGCTGAATCGGAACTTTTACTGGGCGACGAGGCGAGTTTGTCGATCTGCTCCTCCGTCATTCGAAAAAGTGAGCCACCCTTCGGATTTTTGTCAGATTTACATAGTCTGCCTGAAGATTTTTTTATAGATATTTTTTTGAGATAATTTACCGTGTCATAGAAACTGATGGCCGTTTTGTTCCAACCTAGAACATTCCACTGTAACCTCGAAATTTTTTTCTCTCGCGTTCTGTAAAAAAAGTTTATGATTATAATAATTGTGTATAAAGAGGGAAATTTTTCATTTTTTAAATTCCAAATTGGAATATTTTTAGCAGCCTAACCAACATCTTTCTCATTCAAAACACTACCTGAGCTAATTTTCTCCAAAGAAGCCTTCCCAGTCCAGATCGTCGGAAACTCTCACGAATGTACAAATCTTCCATGTGAATGTACTGTAAAAAAGTTAAAGTTCCATCGTAAAATTCCCTCTACCTGTCCTTGCCAGGTTGAATAAGCATAATAAAACAGGAGCATTCCCACTAAGTTCCCGTTTTTTTCAGCGACATAACCTGCAAATTCGAACTATTTTTTTCAGAAAAGTAATTGGTAGAAACCTAAAACAGCCTTATTCTCCAAGTCATTTGCCAGCTGCTCTTCAGTGACTTTTACTTGATCGGCCATTTTTTCATACTCTGCCAGCTCCTTAAACTCGGCGTTTTCAACAGTTGATTTTAACAAGTATATAAACCTTTATGAGACCCAAAATTCCCGTAGCATGGTCTTTTGTTGCTTCGATTATATTGAAAGACATCCAGATATTTTTAGAGGCTCGTTTCTGTGAAAAATAAATTTCATTTTTTTTTAAGAACGTGGTTCTTTTAAGGATAACACGCGTTTGCCATGATTTTTTTAAGAGATCGAGGTGTTACAAACACGTTGTATACAAATGCGAAAAGTCACCTGTTTGCTGTTTTCAAAAAAAAAAAAACAACAAAACTGTGAGAACAAGGAAGCAAAACAATTTTTCAAAACATTTTTGTAGTAATTCACCAATTTCCATCACTTCGTATTCAGAAAAGCTGTTGCGCTATTTAAAATGTATAAATTTTCTCTCTTTCGACGCCATCCCAAGTTCTTACCTAAAAACAATTCGATGACCTTTCAAAAATTGGCCAGTTTTTGAAAATAAGCGCCGTTCCGCAGCCGTCAGATGGCAGGGAAAGACCAAAGACAGTTTTTCAAAAAGAAAATTCTCATTGCAGAGAATTGGAAAAAAAAATTTCAAAATTTTCAAAGTATTTACAAAAAGTCGATTTACTTTTTCACATCAACAAGAAATTCTTGCTGTAAACGACTTTTTTTGACCTTTTGATTGAATTTTTTTCGCAGCAACTTGCATTGAAAAAAATAGTTTTTTTGCAGGAACTAGTTCACGACGTGTGCAGTTTTTTTCACAAAGACAGTCTTCACAGTAAACTTGAGTTTCTGTGTGGAAAAAAACATCCAACAAAGATAAGACGTTCGTTTGCAAGTTTTTGTTGGAAACTTACTCTTTATGAACTTTTTTTCATTAATTTACTTTTTGGAGAATCAATTTGAATAAAGACGTTATTAAACTTTAAGCTTCTGAATCAGGGAAATTAATAAAAAGTTTTTTTCTGACGCGCTAAACAAACTTCCTGGAATTTTTCAGCTTGAATGATTGAAAACTTATTCGGTGGAAAAAAACCATCAAAAACGAGGGTTCTTGAAAAAACAAGTCATGGATTCCATATGTTCTTCAACCATCCAAAAATCCTTCGGATGGTCTCATTGAATTATGAAGTTTTGAATAGATCAACTCCTAACTGAAGGATTTGTTCGGTTTTGTGAGTTTTATCTTTTTTTCATAGTCCTTAAATCACATTTTTGAAAATTTTCACGAAGCCGAAAATTCAGTTCTGCTTCAATCCGAATGGAGAAAAGCTTTTGCGCGATCTGGGCAACTTAGTTTCAAAACTTATAAAATCTTTTTTGTGAACCAACTATCCTCTTATAGAGCAACATCAAAAAACACAGAAAAGTGGTTTTTTGGTGGGAACAGAGTATGATCATCCATCTCGGAAGCCGGCGACCATCAATCAAAGTGGCCAGCGAACGGTACGAAAAACAGCAGAATACGTGTGAATCAGAATTCTAAGAGGTTTCTAGGGTCGCGCGTCCTCGAGAAACTGTACGAGGCCGAGAATCGCTTCTCTCAAGCATGTGATCGCACAAAGAACGCAACCAACTTGCCGTATCAACAGTCAGGGTTGCGTTAAAAGAAGTTCCAATCTACATGATTCAAGGATTCAATTTCTTGAATACGTTAATTGCGAAAAAAATACAGCATGAAAACTTAAAGAAAAAGAAAAAAATAGATTTTTTCAAAGCTAAATTGATAAAAAAACCAATCCAAAAAAACGATTCTGAACACAAGAAAAAAATCAGAAATAAAAACAAAGGAAGCTGAAAAGAAGAGAAATTTTTTTATCGTCCGATTATGGCGCCAATCAAAGTTTTTTTGGAAAGTTTGTGCAATGGAGCGCATTCGTGCTCTAAGAACTTCAATGAGTCATTATGTGCATCTCGAATTTTTTTGTAGATTTTTTTAAAGTCTTGGATTTATTTTAATGTCCATTTTCAACATTTTCTTTTATGTCGCTTTGTGAGAAAAAATGCACTTTAAACTAGGCAAGGTTTGAACTTTTGTATCTCTGCTCATCATAAAAAGAAGTTTTTTTATGAAGAATAGTTGAAAAAGCATTTAAGTGTTGCAATTCAAGATTCTGAAATATGAGATGATTTATAGGTCTTTTCTTCATTAAAACTGGCATGTCCACTGGCCTTTTTTCGTAATCTCCATGACGCAACAGGCGTTCCATTTTCAACACGAAATTCGGCCTGAAACCAATATCTGGTCGCATAGGTAAATCAAATTGTGAAATCGTCTTTGAGGCAATTTCAATTAACTTCCGTCTCTTTTTTTTTACCATGCTGATTTCTACATCTCGAAAACCAGTTGACAATTTTCCACTTCAGGCCGAGAAAAAAAGAGACGTTCATGTTTCCTAGACATGAGAGAAACATCACACCATAGTTGATAAGAGTGATTGATGGCTCTTTTTTAGGATAGGCAAAAAATGTTGCGAATTTCTTGGACCTATCGCAGTGGACTGCAACTTTTTGAGACAACTTGATCTATTGAACCGCCGTTCTTTTCTTTTTTGGATGAAAGCGGCCAGGCAATAAATTCTTCAAGCCTTTCTCGTCTTGAAGATCGTCTTTGAGGCAATTTCAATTGCGAAATGAAAAGAAAATCGGAGATAAAGAAGTTTCTTCATCATTCGAAAATAACTTTGAAATGGTTTTTTCTAGTAAACTTCAATTTTTTTTTGCCTTGCAACGTTGACGAAGAAAAACAAATTATTTCTTAAGATCAAATCGTTTTCAACACGAAATTCGGCCTGAAACCAATATCTGGTCGCATAGGTAAATCAAATTGTGAAAACCTCTGTTGATACAAGAAACGGCCATTAGGGATCTCCATCAAGATTTTCAGATATTTTTCGGCTCTTTTATAGCTTTTATGGGGATCATTTTTGAAGTCTTCCAACTGCAAAAATGAAAAATCCCATAAGAGTTCATGAAGTATTATTACGTTTTTTCAACTTCACTAGACACGAGACGCCTTTTGCACATGTGAAAACAAAGATTTATGAACTTTTTCTGTTGAAAAATCATGTGTGCTTCACATTTTCTTCAATTTAGGTTTGAAATGACCTTGAAAAACGTCACCAACTGTTTTTGAATAAAAATGGCAACGGTAATGTTTTCAACGAATCGTTCGAGGAAAACCCAATCGGAAAACATTCCCACGCTTGATCATTGTTAAAAGGCGTCTTGTGGACAGTGAGTGCAATGGGGAAACCCCCGTACCTTTCATCTCGGTATGGTCTTCTCTGTCTCCGCCCACTTCGTCGGCTGTTACCGTGCCTATTTAAGGCAACCCGTTTCTCTTACGCATCTTAACAACCACAGTTTTTGGCTGCTATTCTGCGCCACTCCTGCATGGAAACAATCTATTCCCGCGTACTATGCTGATTCGCCCCGACCGCAAAGTGTCCAAGATATCCAAACAAAAGAAACTGCCTTTCGGTAAGAGAAACTCTGTGAAACTTCGAAATATATCCTCTATTCAGCACCTTCAAACGCTCAACTCTTCTCTGCTGACTGGATCTCAACCTCTGTCATCTGCTTCGGACTCTGTGAACTGTCGATTCGCGTCGCTACTGCATCTTCGAGTCTCTAAAAGTCAGATTTTTAAGATTCAAAACTCGTGGCAACTCCTTTCTGCCCATCTTTTTTCATTCCACACTTCCAACGTTATCAAAAGATCACGTGAAACTAGTAACTTTAACGCGTGGGAGAATCAAAATCGCAACATTTTCAATCGATAAATGTTTCTTTTGTCTCGAGAACGAATCTTGAGTCTCCGACGGGCCGTTTACGAAGTCATCCATCACATTTCTTCACGGCGCACACTTGATGTGCCAAATTAAGGTCGACATTATTTGGAGGACAAATGAGAAGAAAAAAAAAGACAAAAAGCTAAAAAAAAAATTGAAAGAGGGAGAACGGAACATTTATTTCTAAACGAGAAACGTTTTCAAGAATGCATGGTTTCAGAATGTCATCGTTCCCTATGATGAGCAACGCAATGCACTGCAAAACGCATCGTCTCTCATTAGAAACAGCCAAAGTGAGAATTTCTTCTTCGACTTGGGATAGCGGTTCAGGAAATTCAAGAAAATGCTCGAGAAGGCTCAAAATAGCTGAAATATTCGAAATTATCCTTTTCTGCACAGATTATTGTGAAATTTCAGTTGTGGGAAATCCCGCGACAATCTTATACTTTTAAAATACCTTTTAAGCTTGAACTTTTGGAGCTTTTTTTGAAATTTTTCTAAAACACTTTTTTTGAGAAAAAAACAGAAGAGTGAGAAAAAAATAGGAATTCTCCAAGTTAGAACTTTCAGAATCTGTTTCTTTTTTGTATATAAAATATTCATCTGATTGATTTACGAAAATTTTTGTATAAAATGATATTATCTTCCTTATAAGCTTTTATGTACCAAAAAAAAGAAAGTTAAACTGTTAAAACAGAAAAAAATGGTAACACATTAAATTTTTTTCAGATCGAAGCTCTCGAAGCTGAGAAACAATTAGTCAGCCGCACAATGGCCGTCAGTCCGAACGTCATGCCGTCAGAACAGTCGCTTGGAAAACCCAATGGTATTACTGGAAAATCTTTCGTTTTCTCACTCACTACTATTTCCAGACTCTCCTCGAGTCTTCAATTGGCCATCCGTTTTCCTATTCAGCCGCTGAGGATGCGTCGAAAGAGAAGAAAAAACCGTAGAGCCTCTGAGAAAAATTATTCTCTTTTGTTGTACGATTTCGGTGTTCAAAATAAAGTTTTTACCATTTTGCTTGTGATCAAGAAAAAAATAGATAGTTTTCATTACAAGAGTCCGTGTTTTTCAAAATTGATTAAAAAAAATAAGAGGACTTCCTTTTTTTAAAAATTTTTTTCATTATTTTTTTCTAGATTTATAGACAAGTTTTTACTATTTTTTTGTGTCAAGCACAATCAGTTTTAGAAGAAAAAAGTGCCGAAATTGTTGTCAATCAACGGGGAAGCCCACTGAATGTGTAGAAACATTGGAACCGGACTTTTCACGTGATATTAGGCATGCCTGATTTAGGCCATGGATCAAATTTTATCATTTACCCACGGCCTGAAAATTTTCCTTCGGTAAAAAAAAATTTCTGCAAAGCATTGAACAGCTGATAACCTTGATATTTCAGCTTGTTTTGATGAATGCATGAATTTTTCATTCAAAACTGACAAATTCTGTTCTTGGCATTTCACCTGACTTCCTTTCTAGCGCTCGGAATTTACCTGTTTTTATTTGCGAAAATCTAATGAGTGAAAAAAAATTCCTGAAAAACAAAGATTCAGATTTTTTGCAAGTTTTTCTGAAAACTGCAAGCACCCGGAATAATAGAAATTTCACAGCGTGGTCGTATATTAAAAACTGAAACCTCAAAGTTTTACGACACTGTTTTCTGAGAAAAAGTTTTTTCTTGTTGGAAAACAAAGATCATTCACATTCTGGAATTTGCTCGAAATTGGCCGGTAAAGTCATTGGAATAGAAAAAGGATTCTGGAAGTTTAAAATTGAACAACATTTTAGTTTTCAAAGACAAAATCTCCAAGCTTTGAAAAGACTGATTTATTGGTATACAACTCCCTTCATTTGGTTAGTTGATTTCTGATTTTCAAATTATCAAATTTGATAAGGAACAACTGTTCTTAGAAAGTTTTCAAGTGCAAAGGGAAACTACCGTTTCTGTTTCAAAACCTACACTACAGAGTTCACGAAAAATCGAAATGCAACATTTTCCAATTTATTTTTTAACAAGCATAATTGTTTCATTCCGTTAAAAGTGAGTATTACTACAAATTGGGCAAGCGAGGGGTTGGACGGCGCTAAAAGTGTTTCACTGGCTTGGGTAGAGGAGGCGACGGAGATGGACGACATCCGTATTGGCTGGACTCCGCTGACCACGGCTCAGCTGTGGATTGACCGATTGAACTGGCAGGTTACATTGGATAGGCGAGAGGAAGCAGTTCCGATAAGCTGGACCTTCTCTACTCAGGACCGAGAGCCGTGCTGGCAGCTGCTGCGACCAATACCTCAAAATATCCATTTCTTCTTCGAGTCCTCACCACAAAGAAAAATCTCTTTTCCAAAGATCTCTTCTGCAAAAACACGTAGTGTCGGGACAGACCTCATTATGGGGTTGATTCGCGCTTCGGCAAAATCCGGTGACTGTGTCGTAAGCACCACGATAGCCAGAAGAATTAGTGAATGTAACGTCTTGCGCATGTCCCTGAATGTCATTATAAGACAAAAGATTGGCCAAGGACACTCGGAACGACTTATCGAAGAAAAAAGGGCTGAAGCGCAGGAGCTCAGCATAGAAAATCTCATTTTTAATATGAATTTGGCAAGAAATGCAGCATGTTTTGCTGTCGGCATATTGAAAAGAGAATATGATGGAAAACACAGATGATGTCGGTTTTTCTTTCACCAGATTCTGACTTTCCGATTGATGAGTTGGTTGGCTTGGCAGGGCCACTGACGTTAATTAATTGCTCGAAAAAGGACAAAAGAGGCTCGGAAAGAAAAATTTGAGCATCCGCTCGAAGTTTTCAATCCAAACTGAGAGCTTTTGCTAAGTTCTTTGCCCTTTCAAGGAGATAAAAATAAAATTTTGTGAAGCTCTGAAAGTTTCGCTGAAAAATTTTGATGTACTGGGTGAATATCAAAAAACTTTCACTATTTCAAAACTCTAAGTTTAAAAAAAAAACAACTGCGCGTCTATGAGAACGACGAAATTTTTTTTTTGTAGTAGGGAAATAGAAGTCTCCCTCCGTAAAAGCTTCAAAAAGAACTACTTTTTTGAACAAACAAAGAAATACCATAAACGTGGCAGATTAATTTAAACAGTATCAGTGGGTTTCAAAAAATTTAAACTCAGCTATCGGGCAACACCAAAGAAGACATAAGCTCAGTGAGATAGCAGGAAAAGCAAAGCTCTCAGGCTTCAAAGTGCAGATTCCCATCGTTATCTTGGCAAAAATAAAAAAGATTCAAATTCAAAACAACGAGAAGGAATTGTTTTGAAGTCGAAAGTAATCTGCCCCGTCGCCACGGCGAATGAATGGGCGGAACATCTGCGGGGCTTAAGAAAGTTGGATGACCGAGGACATGACTTCCGTTTTATAGCTCTCGGAGTAGTTTCTGGTATTCGGATGATTTGTCCTGCTGAGTCAAACAGAAAGTCCAAACGAAGAACATTTTGAAGTTGTTCGATCACCAAAATTTTTCTTTTTTTTAACTTTTTCTCATTCAAACAGTACTGGAACAAAGTTTGAGAAATACGGAAACAAGGAGGTTCATTTGACTTTTATATTGAAAGTTCAAAAAAAAGTTAGAGATCACGCGTCTACTTATACCAACTAAAAATTTTGAGAACCTCAATCTACACAGTAACTCAATTTTCAAGAAAAGAAATCCGAATGCCAAAAAACACGTTCAAATCTGTTTTTAAAAAAACAGTCTCGCGCGAAGTTTTAAGCTTTCACTTTCGATTAACTTGAAAACAGTGTGGGTTAAGTTTTGCTTGGTTCATCAACGACTGTGCTGACCAGTTTTCAGAGAATTACCAACCGAAAAGTGCAGGGAGCTTTCTTTGAAAAGTTTCATGAAAAAATCATTCGGTAATCTTTTCTCTAACAGAAAATCTTCGAGAGAGTTTAGAATGAGAATAGTTTTTAACTTTTTTGAAAGATCAAAGGAATTGCGGCTTAAACATTAGTCAAAGCAGACATCTGACGTCGCCGAGTTTGAAAACGCCAGCTTTTGAGTGCTGGCACACGCGTTTGTCGTCACAAATTGACGGACAACTCCCATCAAAGACTAATTGGCAATTCGCTGTTCAAATAAGGGAGCCGTAAGACCATGCCTCCATACGACGTAGACACCTATGTTAATTGAACGGCTCAGCAGTAATCTCAAAGATTCATTTTCACAGTACATCAAAGTAGGCGTGAAAGTTTTTCTAGACTGACTCATTGTCCTCAAACGTGTTAATTTAACAAGGATAAAGTCGTCACGCATTTTCTGAGTGTCAGTTTGGTGATTAGAACATTATCCGAAAGTGGGCGTTTAAAAAAAAAGTTTGAAGGCTTCTACTTTGAAAAAAAAAGTTTCTTTGACTCATCACATCCTCAACTGAAACATGGAGGAAATATCATGAATATGCAATATATCTCGGACCTCCCACAACTCAAAATGAAGCTTTTTCTTGTCACGTCACTTCCGAAATCATTTTTCGAAGAACTACTCACCGACAGATGTTTCTTGACCTCACAAACAAGATTTTTCGAATTGCTTCCTGTTGTAAAAATCATAAACGGATTACTTCATTTTTTCATCAAGCCCGAAATAGAAAGGAAGGCAACGAAAAGCTACACAAAAATAGCTGATAAAATTTTTCTGATGCCTTAAAAGGGGACAAAACAAAAAAATAAATTAATTGAAGGTATTGTGTCAAGATTACATGTTTAATGAGCGTTTGGAAAAAAACAATCAACCGTTTGGCACCTCGAAAACAAATTTTTTTATTGTTTTTCCGTTAAAAATTTATGAATGAAAGGTCTGCATCTCTTTTTTTATATGAATAATAACAGTTCAATCGAGCTTTTTGGAGCGTCCTTGAAAATTCTTGAAACTTGTCTGTTTGGGTGGGCAGTGGTCTGAGCAAACAAAAAACTTGCGAGCTAAGGCTAGTAAACGAAGTTTTCGCTTCCTTATGCGTCTTATTTTTTCATTAGTCCCATTTCTGAATTTTTTTGAAAGGTTGGTTTTTTTTTAGTTTGTACTGACAAATTGAATCTAGAATCAGGATCAGCTATATTTGAAATGTTTCGAGAGTTTTTTTTTCCGAAACAGACATCTCAAATGCAAGTAAAAACCATTCCTCATGGATGGAAGTACCATTCTGTCTCAGCATGTCACTATTGAACAGGTTCAATGGTTTCATTTTGATTTTGAAAAGACTGCTTTCAGAAACTCGAAAAATGTTTTTACATCACGATTCTCAGAAGTTTTCTCTAGTACGCCAACAAATACTTGAGCAAATTTTGGAAATTTCCAGCGTGGAAAGTGGAAAGTCTCTCCTTGTTAGTCGAAAATCAGAAGAAACTAAATTTGAAGAAGAGAGAGGGCTGTACTCCCGCGAGCGCCTATGACACACAGATTATCAGAAAAAAGCTGTGACAATTACTGAGAAAGCGGCTTACGAACATAGGGAAACTTTGTTAGCAGTTAATGTGATTTACAGCAGCGCCGTGCCCAACAAGCCAAATCATCGACGCCGCTTACTTCAGTAGCGAAATTAATAATCTAAGAAGTTGGAAGTCCAGAAAGTCGGCTTGAAAATTTGTTTTTTTTTTTCAGAAAGGCTTGGAGGTCACACAGATGTTGATATCATCTTTCCATTCTTCAAGCAAGGTTTATCAAAAATCTTGTGAAAAGCTTCATAAGAAAAACAAAGTTTTCAGCTTCCCCTTTCGGACAGTTCAAAATATCCTGCGTTTGCGATTTGGAATGTCATGATTTTGACTCGTTTTTTACGAGATCATGCAGGTTGAACTTTAAATCAATAAAAAAATGATCTCACACCGTTTCAGGTGGCACAACGAACAAAATACCTGCAACGGAGTGGGAGATGAGTTAGACTTCACTCGGATGCGCGGAGCCTGGGGCCAGGGAGGAGAAGAAGCTTTCGGAAGCAAGGATAAGCCAGGCAAATAAGTTCATTCCTAATTCTTTGCATTAATAAGTTCAGCCCGTCTTAAGTTTCTGGGTCGAAAAAAATCTGAGGTTGATGGACATTTGAGAGAAAGCAGCCAAGAAGAATCTTGAGGTCTAAAAAAGTTATTGTCTCCGTAGTTATTAGTCTGTATAAAAAGCATTCTTATATTTTTATCAGCTATACAGGAAACTCGAAGAAAAAAGGATAAAAAACTGGCTTGATCCCCCTTGATGCACTAGATAAGACAAAGAATGTCTGAACCTTCAAAAGTCTTCGTTTTCCAAGAATTTATCTCAGAACTCGGAGAAAGTCATCGTAACCGCCTTATTGGGACATTTGCAGGCTTTTTTCAAAATTGGAAAGCAAAGATGCATCTCCTTCATACTAAATAAAAAACGGAGCACTTAAGCAAATTTCCAGAAAATTAGTGAGTTGAAGATAGAACTAATTTTCTTTTGAGGAACAATTCTGATCATGTCGAACATCAATCAATTTTCAATAATGAAAAAGTGTTTTCTTGGACTTCCTTTTGAAACAAGCTTTTTTACTTCTCTCGATTGCTATAACTAAAAATCGCAGCTTTGAAGAAAAAAAAATGGAAAGGTATTACTTCCAGACGGATTTTTCTTATTTGTCGGAAGTGAGCAAAAGCTGCCAAAAACCTATTCCGCCTTGCTGGTCAGCGACCCGATTCAATGTCAGGAAGGTGACGGCATCGTTTCTTTCCGTCACTGGACGACGCCTGGCGTCCATGTTCGCGTCTGCATTCGGTTGGTTCTTTGATTTACTGCCTTTTCTTCCCCATATGTGATCGATATATGACGGCTGTAAAGTTACAACTTCATCTAGGCCTCCTTCCATGGGCAAGAGGTTCGATTGGTGTAGCGATGTCGTGAGAAGAAACGGTACAAAACCGGCAAAAGTCATCATTCCAGGCAGCATACTGTACACGTTCGAGGTTGCCTTTGCAGGAAAAAGACAAAAATTTTGCTTATCAGTAATAATCAAAAAAAACTGTTTTTGATGATATTCGAAAACCGTAGCTTTAGAGAAAAAGCATTCAAAATATGATTAACGGATAATTATTTTGAATTTCGAACATTCTTAGGTATTCCTCGAGTTCGATAGGGTTGGCACAAATGATCAAATTTTTGAGGGAAACTTTTTCCTTTTGAGAAAAATTTCTAGATGTTTTTTGTTCCGTTCATAATGATACCACAGACATAGGTAGTCAGATGGCTCAGAAAATTCAAACCAATTCGAATTTGATTTGGATTTTGAAAAGTTTCGTCTCAATCTCGTGAACTGAACAGAAGTTTTCCCACTTCTGACATCCTTGTTTATTGGGTTTTTTTTTTCATCTTTTTTCTTTGAAGATTGTGATAGAAGCGTACGACTTCACTTTCGATGCTTTCGGGATCCAGGGAGGCGCTGCCGCCCTTGATGATGTTTCTTACAACGCTTCTGCTATTTACAACTGTCAAATGGGTGAGTGATTTTAATAGGATTTCTTCCAACTCATCATTTCAGTTCCACACCTCCGAAAACTTTTAAGGATTTCTGAGCAAACTTGCAAAAATATTGAATGTGATTTCGAATCTGGTTCTTGCATGAAAAAGTTGAAAAAAGTTTGGAAAGTTGATGATTCTGCCGTTGGATCGTCTGTCACTGGTATCAGGAAAGCTCTTGGTGAGAGAGTGATTGCGTCTCCATCAAAAAAATTTCGGTTCAGAAGGAAGTTTTGGTTATATCAAAGGAGCTGGAGGATCGTCTTTATCTCTGGGACCCTTGCTACTTCCACGTACCTTTGGCCTTCAGTTTTGTTATTATTCCGCAAGCTTCGGAACCGAGTTTGCTGTCAAGCTTCACGTCAAAGATGGAGAAGGCGTTCAGTATGTAGTGACTTTTTATTTTTATAAAAAAATTTTTTTGATTTAGACTTTTTCGCTTCCCATCCCCTTAACCGATTCTCTCACGAATGGATTTGCCGGAGAGTTTTTCTTGAAGTTAATGGAACTGTGAGTGTAATTCGATTATGTAAATTAATTCGAAAACTTTTTTAGTTGGAGTTCAAAGTTTCGAATATGAGGAACAAACATTCGTACTTTGGTCTCGACCAAATTGCGCTGATCGACCCGACGACCGGCACTGGCGCCTGCGTCAATTAATTTCTCACTTTTCTCACCTAATAGGCGGAGCAAACCCATGTTATTTTCTTGGTGGTGGTGTTTCTTCATTCCTGTACGGGTACAGCTACACTTGGCCCTCCAATTGGATGTTTATGATAAATCTTTTTTCTCAATACTCCAATTGTTTGTAGCGAGAGCAAGCGCCACCTCTATCCTTTGTGAATTCAAACGTTTCTAGAAAAAAAGAACAATGCGTTGCCGTTTCATTTCTCATTTCCTGTTTTAAACCCTTATTCAATTGAAATTAATCCGGCCGTCTTCATGTCATCCCATCGTGCCATGTACTCACGCATGAATCACGGCTTCAGTTTTTGTTTTAATCATCTTTTCGTACTATCATTTTCGAATAAAAACCTTCATTTCTTTGAATATCAAAATATTTTTAATTTCAGGGTTCAAATTCGATCATTGAAAATGGCAGTATTAATTACGAAACTGCTTTTAAAAACTCAGAACTAGCTTAAAATTTTTAACTTTTCCCAGTGGTAAATGAAACTACTAACTTTTTTTCATCGCGTAGTTAGAAAGTTTTTGCTGAAAAATCCTAAGTGAGCCGTCACTACTATGTTGCAGTAGAAAGTAGACGACTGTGAACTTTTTTCCGCCTAAGGACGTAGAAGATTATCAGTTAAAAGGGGAAACCCCAGACAGGTTTTAAAGTATTATCTTCTTCACGAAACTTCCTTTTTTGTGCCAGTGTGTTGTATTACGGTGGAAGACTTTTTAATTTTGGCCTTCTGGACTCTGGCATTGCCTTCCGGTCTACTGTACCGTCTTCGTATTGATAAGAAATAAATTCGGTGGCATTAGTTCAGATTAATACAGGATTCATACAGTGTTATGTTCTTTGTAATAGAAACGGTACAGAAAAAGAATAAAATTTGAGAACAGTGGAAAAAAATATATACCCAAAGGTATGTATTTTTATATATATATATATATTTATTGTCTTTCACTTAGAATTCTTTTTTTCGAAAGTCGTGGTTTCTTAGGGTTGGATGGTTTTCACTTAGAATTTTTTTATTTTCAAAACGCGTGGTTTATGGAATCATACTTTTAATAAAATATTTCTTCTGAAGACTTCGGTTAGCCGCCACTCTACAAAAACGTCAAAAAAAGAGAAACCTACCAAGTTGCTTTATTTAATAGCCAATCCTCTTCTCATCCTTGCCTTTGCGTCTTCAGACTATAAATGAACGATATAAACACACTCCAAGCTTGCCTTTGAATCAAACCAGTACGCCGCTTTAGTATAAACCGAAAAAAGCTTTGCTCACACATGTGGAATTTTTAGAGAGTGTGTTAAACATCTGGAGAGGAAGAGCAGCCGCAAAGATGAATACAATGCATCTCTCCTGGCCCCTTTTTTGTACCGCAGCCGATCTCGGCATGTATGCATCGTTTACTCACATACCATTGGATAGCAGAGTTCCAATCGACTCGCATCAAAGGAGCTCTTCGACATAACCAGACTTCCGGATCAAAGCTTTTGAAACCCTTGGACAGCGAGTTCTCGGTAAGTTCTTCCTTCTCACTTTTAAAGTTAAATCAAAACCACATAACGGACCCGAAGTTTGCTAAAAATTTCTTGCTCTATGGCTCAAAAGCGCAGGTATCAGCTTTTTTTTTTTGCAAAAAGCTACTTTTGGAAATAAATCAAGTTTCCCATAATGGATTGAAATATTTCATTTTTTTAAATATTAAAGTTTATATTAAACATGCATCTTGAGTATTATTTCAGAAGGGCCTATACATTTGTCTTGATCCTTTTTTTGAACTTTTACGGCTTTAATTTTGGAGCTGTCAAGATAGAATCTTAAGGCTGCCAAACGAACAACTTGGGAGATTTCGATAAAATGTACTGTAGAGTCGTCTAAAACCTCAACTTCTGCCGTTTATTCATTTAATTGTGGCGAGCTCTTTATTAAATATATTCTCAAGTCAGCGGTGAATGAACTATAACGCCTTAGACTTCCAAAAATATATGTGAATACTTTGTGTTCTGTACCGTGTTTCTCACAAAAGAATACAACGTGATCAAAAAATTTTATTACGGTATTTCAGATAAGGTCCGAGGAATGAAACTGTACAACGCCCATTTCTTTTTTTGTTGTCCATGGAAAGTTTATCAACGCACCAAGAAATGGGTCCTGTAATAAATCGGTCTTTTCACCTCGTGTCTGCGGGAAAAAAAAAACCAATTTCATCAGGTTCCGTGATTAGTTGCCCAATTTCGCGACGATTATTTTTCAGTCTCTTGCCTGCTTTTCTGCGAAGGACGGTTTTTAGAAATGAGAAAAAAAATTCATATCTTCTGAATGCTTTTTTTTCGGCTCAGCAACTCTACCTAAGCTGTCTTGAAAATCTGGTTAACTTTTTTATTAATCACGAATTCTCATCTGCAGATAATTTTCTTCTTTTTTAGTCTTTTCAGAATTCAGCAGTTCAGAGCAAAATAGTAGCAATGACGCGCCCTTTTATCATCAACGTTATTGGCTCGAGCTCTGCCGCGTCGAATATTTGCCCGCGTCCAATCAAAAAGATAACTTTGTTTACTCCAACACTTTGTTTTGACCTGAGATACGTTCTATATTTTAGCACCTACAGTGTTGTGTTGTTCTAATGCATGTGCTTGGCAAACTGCTATTCGTAAAATTTAGTCCGAATTCATTTTTATGATCAAGTCTTAGAAGGCATCACGATGCTTTGTTCCGGCTTCTTTTGCGCTTGATATAGATCGAAAACTTTGGTTTCTTTGTTTTCCCTCTTTCTCAAAACATCAACCAACTATTTTTAATGAACTCGACTTATTTTTTTGAATTGAATAGCTGATCTCCGATGTGTTAGCTTTAAAGTAGTTAATTGAGTTGACATGAGTTTTTTTCCATTTCTCAGAGTATTAATAAAGGAAATTGAACTAATACTGAGAAGAGGCATCAGTTTGTATTTCTATTTGAAATTCCAGAAATACAACCTCGGGTTATTTATTTTAGCTGTAACAACATAGCTTTCCACGGGCAGAATATTATCTGCGTTTTAAGAATTAGTTAAAAAGAGTTCTTCCATAAACCTTCTATAGACGCGTAAATAACTTCAGTGTTCTGGTATTGGAGAACCAACCCTGAGGGCTTAAATCAAGTAAATCTGGTTTTACTCTTTCGCATAATTATTCTAATGTCCGTCTCATCATTTTCTTTCAGGTTTCCTTTTTTGAAAAAAAGGTTTGGCAGATTTTAGATTGCAGACCTGGTTTTAACCGTCGTAATAGGTGAAAATAAAAAAAATTGTTCTGAAATGAACCGAAAAAAATTAATTTTAATTCACCTCAGTGTAAATGTGAATTCCTTTTTAATTTATTTGTTGATTTTTTTCTTTATTTTTCAGCGCTAAAAAAAACGAATCCTAATGGTGGGCAGAATTTTTTTGTTAATTGAATTAGAATTTGAAGAAAAAAACTACAGCTCACCGATATTTCATTGGTTTCCATGACAATCAATCCCACCACTTTTGTGTTCTTCAAATATCCAAAATTTTAAAAGAAAAAGTTGTTCATAATCAAAATAAAAATCACCATAATCCTTCAATTTATAAAATTTCTTTTAACAAGGACTCAAAGTTTTCAACAGCATTGTGAGAGCGCATCATCACAAAGTTAAATTACTACGAGTTGATTTTCTTCTTTTTTTGATAAGTAGTAAAAATAAAACAAGAAAAACAATTTAAAAAAATACAAAAAGCAAAATAAGAAGTAGAGCAAAAGAAGGCGCGAAGGCTGTGCGCCGGGGCGCGATTGCAACATCAGCTGACCGATGCTCCGTTAGTTCGGTGTGTGTACTCGACCTTCGCCCCAGTCGATATCGCTCTCCCAAAACGTGTTTTCCTTGCTTCTTCCGCTTGGTTCACAACGTTTGTTGTGTGTTCCAAGTGCTTCTTCATAAGCTTTCACCAAAGTTCTTCGTTTCAATCCATCCTCACCGTTCCAAGAAAGTTCTAAATCGGAGAATCTCGTGAGTTTCTTTTTTTTGTTGTTCTTTTTTTGCCTTTTGTGTAAACTAAGTAGTTTCCCGACGTCGTCTCCTCACGATATGCCGTCTTGATTTCAGTTTTCGACTTCGAGCGGTTTCTCTCCCGTTGTTGGTTTTAGTTCAAATTTTTTAAAGAAAATACACTCAAATGCTTTACAATTTTTCGAACGATTCTTATAAATGTTCACACCTTAGAGAAAAAAATGTCTGAGCTTTGACAGAACTTGACCTTATGTTTTCTAAATTTGTCCAAGGCAGGGATTATTTGAATATAAATGTCACACGTAGACTCAATGTTTATTTTTCAATTTAATATTTTCTAAATAAAAAAAGGAGATCAAACCAGAGGAGTACTTGAAAAACATTTGTTTTATCTGTAACAGTTTCGAAATTTTTACGAAATTATTAACATGATAAAAAAAGGTTTTCATAGCCTCGTAGTCGCTTAAAAAAAACAATTGCTTCATTTAATATTTTTTTAAATAGCTTTTTTTGCTATGTTGAAGAACACTTTCCACTGATTCTACACACTTAAGCATGCGGCATTGGTATCTTGTTTGCTGTTCCAAGGAACCGATCGATTTTCTCCAGAAAAATCGCGTTGCATATTAGTTTTTGTCTCTTACCCTTATTTGATGGTTTCTTCACGTGTTCCACGTCTCTCTCCAAGAACTGATTGTTTCTGATTCTTTTCCTATGTTTCCCGAAAGAACAATTTCTCCCCGTTCAATTCTCGATTTCGCTCATTCGGTCGCCATTATCCCAGTTTGCGTCAATATTGGTTTTGCAGGAGGTCCTTCTGGAGTTTATGTTTTCATAGCCCGGCCAAAAATGTCTGCGGTTGCTTCATTTTCGATACGGGTCTTTTCACTCGTTTTCCTAGTACAAATGACCGCTGCGCAGTATATGATCGAATTGGTAAAAATTTCGAATTATAAATTGACAAAAATCATTCAAGATGAGAACTCACGGAGTGGAAGAGCTGATACAACGTTGCGAAGCGGCTGGAGCCAACTTTGGTGGAAATATTTTCAGTTTCTCGCTGAGCGAGTTGGCCGTTGGCTGTCCAGTACTCGTGGATCCAATTGACGCTTGTGGTCCTGTCAGAGTTCGTTTTTTTTTCAATTTTTTTCAAAGTGTTCCTTCATTGATACAAATTTTTAGGGAGGCCGGAACCAAACGTTATGTGAACATCCATATGCCTTGGTTTCTCGCAGCCCCAGAGAACACAAATGTGCTTTCTCACAACAGGTGAAAAATCATTTCACAATTAAAACCTTTTGAAGAAATGAAACTTCCCTGTGGGACACGTGGAAAACCTGAAACTTTTTTTAAATTGCTAGAGAGAATTCTCATTTCACATTTTTTTATGAAACGTGTTTTTACTTTAATGAAAATAAATTTTCAGGCTATTCACGTGCAAGAGTCTGACGAGCCGATCTTCAAAATGGCGATCATATACAATTTTCCCGGAGAGGAGCCTGTTGAAATGAGCGGCGAAGAGCATGCCGACAGCGTCAAAATTCCTTTGCTCATGGTTTCCTATGACTGCATGACCGAGTTCACCAAACATTCCTACTCCGATGGGTTTTTTTTCCGAGAGAAGAGCAATTTTATATTAATGCTTCTTAGGTATTACATTCGAATTAGAATCACGCCGACTTACTACGAGCTGTTCCGATATTTGATCCCATTCGTGATTGTTCTCGGCTTCTGTGTCATGTTATTTGGCATCACTTTGGTGAGAAAAATGCGTTTTTTAAAAACAACCCCGTGGTAATTGAAGTGCATCCGCTTCTTCCGCGAACGCCGACGCAATGCTCGCAAGCGTCTTTCAAAGCGCAACCTGCGCAAAATTCCCGTGCGAAAGTACAAAGCTGGTGAGCATGGCAGATACAACAGATTTAATTCTGAGTTTGCAGGTGATCACCCAGACACTTGCGCCATTTGTCTTGAAGATTTTGTCAGCGGCGAGAAACTGCGACATTTGCCTTGCCGTCATGGTTTTTTGTGAAATTTTAAAGCTGATTGATGTCGTTAATAATTGCAGTTTATCATTGCAAATGTATCGATCCGTGGCTGACGGAAAACCGGAAAGTTTGCCCCATGTGCAAACGACGTGTTGGCGACGATTCGGATAGTGATTCTGGCGATGATAGCCGCAGACAAAACGTGGTAGGACTGTTTATTAGATCAGAAAACTAGAAAAACTCAAAAAATAAGTATTATTCCATAGAAAAAAAAAGTTTATTGAAGTTGAGAAAAAACGAGAAAAGTCAAATTTTTATTGGTCAGAAGTGTGATTTCAGCCGAATCTTTTCGCTGCGATGCTTCCTCCGTCATCTCAACAATCTTGTGAGTTTTTCTTCTTTCTAACTTTTCAAAACGTTATATTCAGCTTCGACTCTAGATGTGGAAGCCGACGTCCATGAAGAAGGCCTGAGCAATCCTCCCGATTTTCATGCTGCACGACAACAGCTGAATGAGGTTTCAAATTGGCTTTTTCTGGTTTTTTTATATCCTATTCAGCCGCCGGAATTCGAGCCTGGCTGCAGCAACATCGCTACGCAAATTCGCCGCATGATCCGTCGCCGTTCCGACCGCAACCGCCAGGTTGACCTTTGAGTTACTTAATGCATTCTTTCATAAAAAAAATTTGCAGGAAGATGACGATAACTTGGAGAATGCTACTAACAACCGAGACTCCGAGAGCGATCTCAGTGATACGAGCTCTGAACGCCGTCTTCTTCAAAAGTGAGTGAGAAAAAGTTCAAAGAGGGTTTTGCTCTCTGAAAAGGGATACAATTAAAAACTTTTTTTAATCTACTAAAACATTGTAAAAAAAATAATTTTGTTAGTGCGTTTGAGTTATTTCCTGGATTGCATTTCAGCATCGTCGTGGAGAACGAAGAGACTACCAATGCCACGCAAGAAGCTCCAGAAGTGTCAGAGGTCGAAGTGAAGCAGCCAACCAAAGAAAGTCCTTCGACTTCTCAATAAACAACTGCCTCGAACATAATCCACTATTTTTCACAACTCGCAGATTTTTCTTCAAACCACTTTTTTCTATCCTATTCATACATGTACGCTAGATCCCATTTGACGTTTCGGCGCACGGGTGACTTAGCTCATGTCCTTTCGCGCACTTTCCACAAAAATCACATTTTTCTCATCGCACTGCGGCCTTACTTCTTCGTGATTTGCTTCAACTTTGATTGATTTCCACCTTTCTCACTGGGCATAATTCACTGATTCTGGCTTTTCCACCATCCTCTCACCTTACATCAATACAAAAAAAGTATTGTGGAATTCACAACCCCGTAGCCTTCACCTGAACGGGTCGAGAAGTTACTAATTCCAAGAATAAAGCCAATATTTTTTCTTTCGGTTGGTGTCTTTGTAATTTTTCGAATTTTTAAAAGTCGGGTATCCATAGCTCATCACCAAATGACCCTAAGAAACGCAAATTTTTAACATGTAACTGAACAAGTCAGCCAAATTTGCAACTTGTTTAGGTATTATGTGAATACTTGTACATTAACGGCCTTTTATGTCATTCATAACCCTGTCAAGCAAATGTCGATCGACCGCCTGTCGCTGGTTTCTGGTCAACCTCTTCTGTATGTTTTTTGTTGACTGTCGTTGTTCCACTTAATTTGCGGTGCTCCTTGGTTATCTTTGTAAAAAATTGATTTCACAGAAGCAGAATCTTTTTCTCGGGGCTTTTCTACTTGTCTCTGTCTTTTTTGTTTCTGTATTGGATAAAATTGTATTCATTGAATCAAAGCTTTTACTAATAACCTGCAACGTAACTTATGTACAAAAAGCGGGATTTGCAACAAAATATTTACATAGCAAATGTACAAAATCAAGAGGACACGTATTGTTATGAGAAAAGAAAGACGGAGGTAATCGAGAAAAAAAAAGATTCAAGCTTTGGTTTTCAAAGCGTTTGAGGCTATGTTGAAACAGCAAACAGGACTAGCAGAGTTTTGAGGTGAGAGATCGGAAACCACCACGAAGGCGGCTATTACAGCAAAGTGGTCTGAAAAATCGTATCGGTCAAAAGGGACTCTGTGGCGACTTCTGCTTATCAATTCTGTGAACTAACCGGTTTGATACGGTTTTGGCGGCATTGGATATTTTTATATTTTCGTTTTATGATTGATTAAGCTGAGATGGGAAGGAAAAGTGTGAACTTTTTTTGGAGATAGCCTGCCGAAAATCTAATGGCAGATATCGTAAAGATCGCCGAAAAATTTTGGCATGTTTTTTGATTAAATTTTCCACATGAAACATGACTTTTGCAAGCACACTTGCCTAAAGCAATGGTTTTTCGAGGATGTAAGCTGGAGTTCCGGAACAGAAATCCACGCCGTCATCTCCAGCTATTTCTTGAAGAAATTCGGGATTCAGCGGTTCGTCCACTATCGTGAATTTCGCGCTGGTCATTTTCTGAAAATTCATAACCTTCTTTCAAGATTTCTAAGTTTCACAAAATACAAAAGAACTTGAAAATGAACTAACTCTTGCTAGGTAAGCTGGCATAATGTAACATCGGTTTTGCAGATCGAGTTTCACGATGATAACTTTCTGGAATAAGTTATTAAACTAATTTTTATTCTGAGCATAATAAATACCTTATGTGGAACGACCAATCGATTCGAGCCAAACGATTTGAGCTGAAAAAAATTGAAATTTATAATCAGATTTTTTTCGATTTATAATAAATAAGTTTGAGCTGATTTTCTTTTCATCCCTGACTTGCTGATCAAAGAACTGAGAGCGCTGGAACGATCAGTCGCCTTTTTAAATCACCAGCAATACAGCCATCATAAATTTTACGCACGGCTACTTTACGCGCCGTCTTTGCGCCTCTGCTTCGCTCTCGAAACATCAGAGACTACCGAGAATGCCAGCCGAGATATCCCATCAACAAGGTTTTTGTTTCTCGGTATTTTCGGTATGGCGAATTTGGACAAAGAACTGGTTTTCAAAAATATCAACAAAATGTTGTTTGAGGCGGAATGTACTCAGAAATGACTATCACATGATATAAATGCACCTAAAAACACCGGAAAATGTGGATTTTGTACTCGGCAAAAAAAAAAAACAACGCGTTTTTTGTTGTGTTCATATTCTATTTGCCGCTAGTCCAGGAAAAAAGTAGTGTATAGTTCTTTGAGGCTCTTTTTTGCAGGTAAAAGAAAATTTGAATGAGCGAACTACCAGAGAATCCTATAGTCCAAAGGGATATGACTTTGCAACTGAATCTTATCAGATTGAGGCCATAGAATCTTGAAAAAAGTAATTGAGCTCTCAATGTGAGCCGATCTCATTACAACCAAAGGGGACAAGGTTCAGTGATGACCGAAAGTCAGCCAAAATGACACCTAAATATAGACGACGCAGCGGCGTGAGGAATGTATTGCATATCGATTGCTAGAAGACGTCGTCTCCGTTTTCAAATGATGGATGGATCGACTCCGCTTGAGGCAGTGACGATGGCCTGCACCGTCCACACAAACGTTTTGCGGCCACCGAGACAGATCAGCTGACAATCAGCACAATTTTCCGATCAATGTACTCGAAAACCGGGATCAAATGAGGTATTTCAGTCGAAGCAAACGGAAGAAGTTCATAGTTGATTCAAGGCTGATTTTAGCGGGTAACTCATGAAGGTTTTCATGAAGAACGTCAGACAATAGATGTGAATAATCATTTGTCTTTGAATTAAAATTATTTATTTTGACGATGCACTATATTCATGTATTCATTTTAGAGCAAAAACTGATAGGCATCTTTTGCGGCAATGTCGATTATAAGTCAAATAATTTTTTTTGCTCACTCGAGCAGATAAATATTTTTCCATTATCTTGTTCGACTTCGAAGGTCCGCACTCTTGTTCTCAGAAAACCTAGGTTTACAACAAAAATATTTCCAACCGTAAAAGTTCCGATTTTTTTGAAAGAGGTTCAAAGTTTTCAATTGAATGAATTGACCAGAAAAAAGGCCGTTTCAAGTTTTCTACAGTATTATACATTTATTTTTCCACTCACCGCTGATGGGATTTCAATCTTCTCGTTGACTCCCGTGTACATGTAGCTTGCAACGAAAAAGGTTAAAATAGCTGAGCTGAAGGCAATACACAGAGCTATGATGGTCAGGCTGCAGTAACTGCATTCTTCATCCTGAAGAAAAAAATCGATTTTCAAAGGTTTTCTTATTAGTACATATTTTAAAATATTTCGAGTACTTACCGGTTTGTGCATTGTTGAAGGCAGGAACGACAAGTGAAGCCAAGGGCCCCTTCTGTGGAATCTTCGTTTGGCGATCAACAACGCTCCGCCCACAATTATCGCGCCCGACCGACCGTCCACCTCTTCTGGCGATGAAGACGTGGAGAGTGAAACAAATTCAAATGTGTAACCTTTTTGTCTACTACATTGTCCTTTTGTTGTTGTGGCATAGTTCGATTCTATACATTATTCAAGGTCAGCCAAACAATGGGCTTTTTTATCAACTCGGTTGACCAGGCAGTTACGAAAAAGGCCGTTTGATTTGCTCTAAAAATGGTTCGATTGATTGATTTTTTTTTCATAGCTTCATTGCTCCACTTTTTTTTTAGAAAAGAGAAATCGGAAAAATGAGGCTTCTTTTTTCATTTAGTAAAGTGTATTTCCTTAGGCAGATAGAACTACAGACTTCCATTTTTCAAAAAAAAAATAAAAATATGAGTCACTGTTGTTTGAAGCGCTCTTTAAAAAAAAAATCAGTTTTGCTTGTTCAAACATCTTCAGAGTTATGGTAAGAAAAGTTGAGTAGACCACAAACTCCAATTTTTCTTCCACTTTTTCAAAGACTAATTTGTGATCGAGATCCTAAAACTCGTGGCTGATACTTTTTATGCAATTCAAACCATTCAAACCAAAAAAGTTCCATTTGTGACGGCAAACCGTTTTCTTTGCAAGTTTTGTTAAAAAGATTTTGGCGCCAGTTAATTGAATTATCGGCCTACCGTGCGCTTTTTTCAAGGTTTTCGTACTGTTTAAATATTTTCCACAGAAGGCAAGTCAAGAAAGTTCTGATTCGTTTTGTCCACAGCAATGAGGATTCATGAAAAATTTTCTATTCTTTGAAATGAAAAGTTCTTGAGTACGAGAACCATAGCAAAAAAAGGTTTTCGTTTTGTGTCGTGTAAATTTAGAACACTCCCAACTCGTTTCTCTATAACTCTAGAATGTTTTACGTCAAAAGTTGAGTCACTCTTTGAAATAATCTGAAAAACCGACTCCTGGACAAACTGCCAATCTTTGATCAAATTGATTGACCCTTTGGCCAACACGAGACAAGGGTCCAGTTGTCTTTTTTTGCGGTGACGAGAAGGAACTGTTTGTTGAACGAGAATCGGCGGACAAGCGTTTGTCGCTTTCTCGCCCTGAATCATGAAGTAAATGCGAGGTGTGACCGATTCTTTTGATTATAACTTTCTTCTTTTTTTGTCCTGACTGATCAGTTATTTATGAGAGATCAGATAATAATACAAAGTTATGAACGGTTTTTTTGTTGCACAAAAAAACTTGAAATAGACTGTAGTATGAAAGTTCAAAAAAATGATCCTCAGAGACATTTCATATTCCTTTTTCTAAAATAAAGAAGCAGACACTAACAAAGTTTGCTGTTAATAATCATTTCATATTTGTGAAAACATTTTTCCAACAAGATGACTATTCGAGAGACTTCTACCGTAGAATTTTAATGGAAAATTAAAAAGTATGTGTATTCAACATGTTTTGATCAGCCGTTTTTTTTCTTAGAGTATAGTAGGAATAAAATAGTCAGTTAGAGGGGTCATTGTCACAATAGGACAAAGAAGTTGGTACAGGCCGAATTTACGGACAAAGGCGCATAGTTCTAACAAAAAAGTCTTTCGAAAAAACAGGTTTGCTGTTTTGACCATTTGGTACCGTCACAACACGTATTCTGACTATATTCGGCGCAATTTCCACCCTTCTTCAGAAGTTCAAAGTTCTCACAGTTATTTATCGGAGAGCGGGATGGCTTTGATTTATTTCATCCTCGTTTATTTTTATTGCAATCGAAGGATACTTTTTCCAAGGCTGTTGATGATAAAAAAAAAGTTTTATTTTCATGACATTTGCAGTAATCATCTGAAGAGATCGAAAAACAAAATGAATTTTTTTTTCGCCGAAAGAAATCACTCCATTTATTTACAAAAACAGTTTGGCAAAAAACATGTTTTTTTTCATGGCTCCGCATTTTTTGAACTAGTCGAGAGAAGTTCGTATCGGGCACAAGTTGTCGTTGGCATCAAAATGAAGCGATTGACCGACAGTGAGAACAACATTTCGTTATAAATGATAACGAGGATGGCGGCTATCGATCGATTTCCAAAAGAACTGACGTTTGCCACCAAAAGCCAGGAGCAAACGGCCGACGACGTCAGCACGGTGATGACGACCAGATGACGTTTTAAAGTGGTTCTGACTCCCAAACGAAGCCAGCTGTACATTGATGCGAGGAGAAGTGACATGAGAATCTGAAATGATTCAATCAAAAACCTCTCAAAAAGGGGATATCCATGAACTTTGTTTCTCATCTTAAGATCTCTTACGCTGTAGCAAAAAGTATTCTAGTTCGCTTCCATTTGTACCTCAAAGGTGCAAAAAATTCCCCATTTTTTCACAAAAAAGTGTTATGACTCGAAATGTAAAAAAAAATCAATGAATACCGTATTTGAGCCAAAGAAGATCCAGCAAGGAACGGGATGTGGGGCTGTTGGGACGAGTTTCCAGGAAACAAACAGAGAAAACAAAACAATGAAATGAGAAACTTTTGTTTTCTCGTTCCGATTTGCATTTTCATTGCGAAGTCGCTCTCTAAGCACCAGTTCAACGAGCTAAACTTTTAATATCCCTTTCAAAAAAAATTTAGAATTTATCTTACTTGTTTGGCAAAAATTGTGATTGTCAGAGTTACCAACTCTAAAAGTATTAATTCCATGTTTTGACTGGGAAGGTTGAGAGCCTCTTCCATTTCGAACCTGGAATTTAATAAACTTGAGCGGAATATCCATGATTTTACCTTGTTTCTAGCCAGAGATAATTTATATCGAAAAGTGGATAAGTCCACCAAAGCCAGGGTTTCACAGGTCCCATCGTATAATGTACGATTTTTGGAGAAACAGGTAGTTTTCCTCCGTTGAGGTAGTACATTCCGATGTCAAAGTTATATCCCGCCGCCAGCCTTCAAAAATTTCATAAGAAGTGATAAAAGGAGAAAGAAACCTCATGAATGAGGAAGAATATCTTTGATGCGTGATATTTGTTTCATCAAACATTGGCGCGTATTTCAGATCAGGAAAGTAGGAGTTCAAATATCCTTGATCTCCGCCATCGTAGGAGACAAGAGTATGAATTTTGCTCTTCATATCTTCAAATACCTGCAACAAAAATGAGCTAAGTAGGCTTGTTTTAAAATTGCAGGCAGAAAAGTAGTTTCCTTGTTGTCGGATGGGATTCTAATGGGCTCTGTAGGACCGTTTAAATATTTTCCCTGTAGCTTGAACTCGGCCTTCTTTTTCGCAAAACCACAGAAAGACCAAATAATAGACAAACATTGCTCACTATGTGCGGCTTTTTTTTCCGAGATGAAGACTTACAGAGTTATTTGGCTTTAGGACATAAACGCCAGAGTTGAACATATCGGAATGTCGGAAAACGGCGCAAAACGTTCCACAATAAAATAATGGAGTGATATCTTCGACGGGCAGCAAATCGAGATCCAGATGAACTATAACGTCGTATTCAGTCATTGACCAGGGCCGAATTTTGGTGTACTACAATTCAAGCCGATTTTGAAACGTTTGGATCGATAAAAAAAAAAACCTGGAATTTCCTCGCCTTGTGAGTGGACAAGTATGGAGTGTCGATTTTTGGAAACTCGCGTAGTTTGATTCCCTGAGATTGCAAAGAGCTCCTGGTTTTCGTCGTTATATCTTCTGTCACAATTATGACATAAGGCACTGAGTCGTTCAGAAGTTTCAATTTGTGACCTGAAAAGTCGTCAAATAGGCGAAGAGTACCTCGATCTACTCACCTAAAACTTTAGCAGTGGTGAGATACTCGTTTGAGGATAACAGTGACACAAATGCGAATTTCTGGGCATTTGCCAAAGCTACAATAATTGCCAAGCCAATCAAGAAACCATTGTTCATCTGTAAATTTTTCTTCTGGGAAAAAAAAAGTTTAAATTCGATAGGTTAAGTGGTCACAGAGGGAGAAAGAGGAAAAAGAAAAGAAAGAAGCCGCTCAAGGACCAGCCAGAGAGCAGTTTGTTGAATCACTGTTTGAAATAGTATAAACCGACTTATCCTTAGTATTCTCGGACAAATTTATACATCGCTGTTGTAAGTTCTTGTTCAAAGTTTTCGAGCCCGAAAATATTGGTTGATATTTTTCTTTAGGCCGATTTCAGCACCACTTATAGCGTCATGAAGTTCCGAGTTTCAAACCTTTTTTCGAGCTCCAAAAGGCTGAAAAGCTGTTAAAAACTCGCTAAAAGCTTTTTTTGAAAAATATAATGATAAAAAAACTTTTCGGGCTTCAAAAGTGCTTATTTTATGGAAAATTTTCCAGTCAGGAAACAACATGAATTCAAAATTGCGCTTCCGAGCAAATTTTAAAAATAATAAGCTTGTAATCGGAACTATGCTTCACTATAACTTCGAAAATTTGTTCGATATGAATTTTCTGCAACAATCGTTGAAAGAAAAATAAAATGAAAGGAAACGGCCCAAGTGATCGACGCGTTTTTATTTGACTTTGATATCAGATTCTTTGGCGAACGAGCAATAGTGTCATGCCGTTTGGGTTAGGTTGAATAATCTAAGCTCACCTACAAATAAAAAAACTGGTGTTGGGACTTGAAATAACTTTCGAAAATGAAAACAGACGTGGAAATTCTGATGAGTTAGAGCTGATGGAGTATAATTTTAGAGTTTATGAATACTTCAGAAAGGTTTTTTGAATAACTGATTTGAGCTCACGTTTAAAAGGAAGGAAGATCAAAACAAAAATAAGCAGCTAGATAATAGAAGAACTGAAGGAATCGAGAAAAAGAGCTTTAGGAATCCGGTTGGCGGTGTTTTTCGTTGAACACTGTGTGCATGATTTTTTGTTCTTTTGCTTGTGTCCCTTGCCAGATTTGTCACTGGAATTGAAAGTTTTGACCGTTCGAGTTCGAGCTTCGAAGTTAGGAGAAAAAAAAATGTATGAAATCTTCCGTTTTAAATGAATTTTTCTAGATACCTTTTTCTTTTCTAATTTTAAAAATATTAAAAAAAAACATCCCTTGCGGAGCTTCGAAGATAGAAACATCTTTTTTTAAGCAATCGGGAAAAAAAACGTAATATTTCGTCGGTTTGAAGAGCTTTTTGTTGTCGTAGCAATAGTACATTCAGCCGTTGCTAAAAGCAACAGTCTTAAAAGCTTGTGTCCTTAGTGAGCACTCAGCTTTTTTGGTTGAGTCATCTCAAAAAAAACCCCCTTCAAAAAGAAATGCTTTTAAAATCGACCTACGATGGAAAAAAAAAATAAACAAACTTTTATTCTTCTTCTTCTTCCTACGCCTTTGTACCGATTGAACGAAGTCGGCGCCCCAAGTCGATTAGCCGAGGTCCTATTCTGATAATCAGTAAACTGGCTGGAGTAACATATCCGTCCTTGTGTGTGACGGCTGGGGATTTTTGAAGTCGTTGTTTCCCACTACCAACATTGGTTGGGCCGAGGCGGGGGTCGAACTTGTGACCCTGTGGACCGTAGACATGCACACAACCTGTTACGCCACTGCGCGCCACTGATGAAAAACTTTTGTGAGGTGAAAAGAATAGAAATACATTTGTCCATTTTTTTCGAAGTTAATTTTTTTCTTTTGAGTTTTTTTAACTAAAAAAATGTTTCAAGCTAAAGCACATTTGACCTTCTATTGAAAAAAGGTCTCAATAGTTTTTTCAAGCTGCCCAAGCTCCAGGGTTTATTATTTTTAAAGTAATCAATTAATTAACTGAGGGTAGTCCAAAAAAATAACTTGTTTCATCTGTTATAAATACTATTCTGCTTTTTTTTTTTTCATAGTTTTGCTTTTTAAGTAACAATATGAACATTGATTGAATTCAACCAGAATAAATATAAATCTCTCCGAGCCCGATTCATCTTTTTGATGCACACGGAAACTCCAAATTTTTTGGAAATTTTTAAAAATTGGCACTCTGAAACCCTCAATTTTTCATGTGGGGAGCCCAAGATATTGCTGACAATTTTTCTCATAAATACGGAACTACAATTATTTTTTCAGCCAATTTCATCTCTAAGCTATAATTTTGAAAAAGAGAGAAAGCTTGTGAGACTTCTCATCAGGCCACACACGCAGAAAACGGGATTTTCATTTGAAGGCGTGCGTTTATTCCTTCTTGAGACTTCTCTTCCGAGTTATGTCTTCCCATTATCTTGGCTAAACCTTTTAAAATAGACATAAGTTGATCTAATCAATTCAGTTTTCGATGGAAATATATGGCAAGTACAGATCATACTTTTTTGTCACCATCCAGAAAAAAAACTTTGTAACATGTTCTCACTGACCGAAACAGACCATAAGTGATATCAGATATTACGCACGTCCTTGTCTTCTATCACCTCACTGGCGGGTCAATGTGTACTTTTCCTGCTGACTAGGCTATTCCTACGTAGTCAGAAAAGATCATTCGATTCCGTTTTTTGTCATTGCTTTAAGTGAACTTTGAAAGCCGGAGTCTTCTTATTTACACGTCAAAAGTCAGTTTTTTGTGAATAGTTTTTAATGAACGCAGAGTGGAGTGAATAAAAAGTTTCGAGCCGAGTCACATTTTTTTCAAAAATTTATCACCTATTTTCGCCTTCATATGTTTAGGAAAATGTTCAATTTTTACGAAACACAATTTCCTTGTTTGAAAACTCATTTCAGAATTTTTGATGTTATAAGCAGTGAATCAAATACACGGCGTAAAATTTTAAGTCTCATTTTTGATTCACGAAAATAATTGTTCATGTACTTTCGAACACGGGAAATGAAACTGTATATGTTTCATCAATATCGACTAAGTTGCTCGATTCCCTCCAATTTATGCAAATTCCTGTCGTCAAACAATTTTTCAGTTTTATGTGGAAGAGGACACTAGACGCATCGAATTCAAATGTTATCTGCAGTCGGAAGGTCGTTTGGGGAATCGTCTCGCCACGTCGTATCTTTGGTCACTCGGCGTGGCGGCGACAGCCAAACTTGGTTTCGTTTCTCAAGGCGTGTGCTTCTATCTCTCTCGTGGGGCTGTGTGTTCACGAGGAAGGCGCCGTTTGGCATTCACCGATCACCGCCTGCGACGGACTTAGGTACAGCGGCCAGGCTGGAGGGTGGCCCGACGGCGCGAGAAAGATTGCTTGAGTGGGCGGAGCCTCCGGCCGCTCGGCGTATAGCCACTGGACACTGGTCATTTTCGAAAGTGTTCACCCACCGCGAGGGCAGCGCTTTCCATTCTCTTCTACTACTTCGGCTGCACTACTGCCTTCGCCTTTATTTCTGAACTGGGAGCGATCTGGACTATGTCTTACGTGTCTACATGACTTTGATCTTGTACCCGTAATGTACATAGTCTGGATCGCACATCGGTTTTTTAATCCCTACTGAATTCCCCTAACTAAATTTTTCCCTAGGATGATGAAAATCTAAGAAGTTTTGATTAAAATGGAAAAAGTAATAGAAAATCTGTGTTTTTTCTCCAAAAAAACCACGGCCTGTCTTCCAGTCAATTCTCACAAGGCAAAGGCGTCTGGGAGGAAGGAGAATGGGAAAGAGACCAGACGCCCAGGGCCGCCGCAGCCGCCGTCGCTGCAGCTGTCTCGTGTTTTTGCCGTGTGACCACCCTTCGTGGTGTTTACGACGCCACTCGCACCCTCACTAACTGAACCCACTACTCACTATTTTTTTTTTGTTTCTGTTCCGAACAGCCAACTTGTAAGTTTTTTTTTTGAATAATTACTCCCATCCTCAATGCGATTTTAGACTCTGGGCCATTCCGTTCGGGTACATTGCTCTAAGACGCTGTACCCGTAATGAAAATGGTTCAGAGACTGGAACTCCACTTTTCTCCTCTTCAACAACAAACATTTCTTCATAACTTGGAAATGACAATTTTAATTTCAGGACTTCGACGCGGTTGCCATATTCTCTGCTGCAAAAGTTCCACATTCCCCAACATCTGGAAAAACGTTCCGAACATGTGCGTTCGTGTGTATACAGCTTTACGCTATACCCGTAGCCACATTGTTCGGAAATAAACTCCAGTCTTTGTCCCTCTTTGTGCACCTTTTTCTGAAATAAATATTTTATCGAAAATGTTCTGTTGGAGATAAAAAAAGAAGAATAAAAAAATGCTGGACAATTTGAATAGTTGTTTTCAAAAGAAATTGGATTGCATTATATTGGATTCTATTGACAATGAGAGCACATTTTTTATTCGAACAAACTGGAAATTGTATCTGGTGGAAGAGCTGCTGTAATTGTATAAAATTCTGAAATGGTTGTACTGTGGCGATTCGAAGATCCGCCGGCGATAGTAACTTCATTCATAACAACGGTAACTTTTTTTCTGTGATTTCCAGGATGCGAAAGATCGTAGCTTTTTGTATATTCTTATTGAAAAGGCAAGATTTTTTTGTTGGATAAAAATTGTTTTAGAAAAGAATCTACCGTCCCTAGGAAGTAATTTAACTCCTTCATGACGAGTTAATTATTTACAAAGTCGTTTTTTGTTCAGAGTGGCTGAAAAAAATGCTAAAAAAATAATTAAAAAGTTCAGATAATTTATGCAAGCTACTTGGCCTTACTTGGTCAATTTGCGATTGTCGGTCCGCCAGACCTGAGCCCATATTCGCCGGAAGCCCAAGCCTACCTGGACACGTTGCATGGAGACCAGCCTCTTGACGAATACACATTCATGCATCTATTGTTCCGTCGTCAGGGGCAACAAACTATACGGTAAACGTGAATTGTGAGGATTTGCGACAGGATTAAGACGTCCGGAACCGTTAATGCTCGTAAAGCCGCTTTTGGCTTTGTCCGCGCCCTGGATGTTTTACTAAATAGAGTTCAGTCATACGCATTTCCGCTTCTCACAAAAAAGCAAAATTAAATGAGCAGTTAGCTAAAATCTTCGAAGGCTTGAGAATAGCCTTGTTCCATTTTGTACGAAAAACGAAAAAAGCAAAAAGTGGAATCAAACTAGAAATCAAAATAAATGCCAATTTTTTTATTTCACGTCATTTCACACGAATTTTGAAATGTCAATCTGAAAGCCCGACGAGCAAACTACCAGTTTTCAGAAGAACAAGAGCTAAACTCTGCAATTAGTCTATCTTACCGGACTTTGATTTTTTTTTTCTTCGACTTTGAGAGGTCCTTATTTGGAAGTTTTGAAATTCTACGGATTGAGTTTGTATTTTTTTACATTGAGAATTTTTTAAGCTAATTTGATAGATTGCAACTATGAATTACTACTTTTGGGGAAGCTGTAACTTCTGTAATTTTTATATTCACAAGACCTCTGAAAAATTCCAGTGTCTCTCTTTCACGTCAAAATTATCAGCACAATGGCTATAGTTCGAGTCAACTTCTTCTGTAATCTTTCTGCTCAAAACGTCACAAATTTGATTAGAAAGCGCTGATGTGCAATCAAAGGGCATTCGACCGAGTAGTGTGATCATTCGCTGTAGTGGCCGCGGAACGAAGAGCGCAAGAGATAATTTCTGGTCACTAAACTGACAAAAGTTTGCGCGGCAAACATGACCAAACGATGTTGCAGACAAACGTTGTGCGACAAAGACGGCAACTGTTATGAAGTCGCCGACACGGTTCGTCGCGACGGGAACAAGTTGAACATTTCCCCTTCTATGGACGCGTGGCGTGCGCGTTCGCGGTTTAGGACACGAGTTCAATTCAACCACCAGAAACTTATTGGAAAGCTCGTTTTTCGATATTTGCAATCCTTTTCGAAATCATTTTTGTTTTTTTCCCCATTCTGCATTCAAAAATAGTGGGAAAGATACCAAAATACCGGTGACCGGGCTTTTCAAATGTGGACGTTTGAATTGAAGTCGTGCCAAGAACCGCGTACGCGCACGCTGTCTTTCAAGTCGGGAAGAATTGACCTTAAAAAAAGCGGGAAAGAAAATTTACAAGTTTGAACAAAAAAATGAAGATATCTTGGAATTACTCTCACACAAAAGAGAAGGCGTTTCCGGCCAATATCAAAGGGTTTGGAAGGTTTCAGTGCTATAAATTTCCCAGATTTATATTTCATTCGGGTCGCTCCAAGGCCTGTATTAAGTTTGCCTGAAGGCCGTTTCAAGACATTTTTGAGCTTCAGTGAAAGACTCGCTTTCCCCGTGGCCGTTTTTTTTCCTACTAAGTTGATCATTTCATCTTCAGAAATAGATTTAGAATTGAAAGCGCAAAAATCGAGGTTGACATCATTCTACACTAGAAAAAAAAACCTTTTTATTGAGTTTGTTTTTTCTTTTTTTCCTCATCTTTGTTTATTTGTTTTTTTTAACTATTTTCCTTTCATAGTATTGTTCCTGAGCGACGGATCCAGAAAAAAGAACCTGCCAATGATACAAGAATTTCCGACCACGTGCTTCTAAAAATACCATTAGGTTAGATAATTTTTGAACAGTTTTTGGTCATTTTTCATCGCCGTTCCTATCTTATGTGATCAGAAAACTGATTTGGATAAGTTGTTTTCAGCCATGTCCCCATCCAAAGCCAGAACCGACGATTGGATAGCGGAACCAGAAATCTTGCCAGACGAGAGTTTTGCGTTAGATGCATTATGTGAGATTTCACTCCCATTTTTCGATCCAGAAAATGAACTTTTTGCAGCTGAACTTTTTGCGTCAGGAGCCGTGTCTTTAAGCAAATTCTCCAAGTTGCGAATTCTGGTTATTGGTGGGATAAGTCTGCTTGAGAGATTTCTCGGCGTTTATTTTCCAAACGTATGTTGATTTCCTGAATTAAATGAGGTGGCTAAGCATTTAGGTGATAGTGACGAAAGTTATCGCTGCTGAAGCTGTTGAAAAGCTATCTGCAAAATGGATTTGGAAAGATTTCAAAAAGAATGGTTCCGAAATAATAGATTCTTTGGACAAATGCGGTCAGTGAACTTGAATTTTTACTTGACCAGGATGAAAATATTGTAAAGTTCTTTCAATGAACTATGTACTTTTTCAGGCACAAAATACGAGCTCATTGTAGTGGACAGTTTTACAAACTATGAAAAAGTAGAAACCCTCCACAAATTGCGCGACTCTTTGAAACAGGAAGGTTGACTATTCATTCCTTTTTTCCAGAATATTTTTTTGTAGGCACCTTTGTGGTGAACTTTTACGCTTCGAAAGAACAACAGTTTTTCGAGGTGATTCTGTCCAAACTTTGTGAAAAGCTATAAAAATAAATTCAAGAAGCTTTACGTTCTACAAGGAGTTTTCGAGCATTGTTTTTTATATGACGTGAGAGGAAGAAATAATAAAGTGAGTCACTCTGATTGAATTGTTTGAATAAACTGGAACATACTTTTCCAAATAAACTTCACTATTTTTCAGATGGTCGTCTGTCGAAACGAACCTTTTCCAGAAAACTACGCAAACTCTCATCTCAAGGCACGAAACTATCTTTTGGCGCTTTCCCAAACGAAAAGAGTCCCAAAATTCAATTTTCAAATGATTCACGGCTGATTTATATTATCCTTTCATAAAGCTGCTGCATCGAACTTTTTCCTGGATTTTTTTATGAACAATTGAGAAGAACAAATTCATATTGAAAACAAGACGTTTGCTTTCATCTAGGGTTTGATAATAAAAATGTACTCAATCAATTTTCGAAATACGTCAGAGCCCAGCCTCGTAGAGATTACATTCTTGATTATTTGGCGTAAGCTTTCGGGAGTTAACTACAATTGTTTTCTGTTGGGTTGTACTACAAGATATTTGCTGATTGATGACGAAAGAAAAACTCGATCAAAACAGCGCCACTTTGCCCGAAGAGAAATATTTAATACAGTTTTGAACGATGGGGGAAAAACCCTTGAAAGAAGGGTAGTTATACTTTGCGGTTGCATATTTTCCTCAGATAGACAAAAGGTAGTGATAATTAAAAGCTGCGAAACTTTGATTCATTTTTGAATGACATTTTGAATTTCAATAAAACTAATGAAAATCTTCGAAATAGTATGTTTGAACTTTTTGAGCTAATTCTTGAAATTTGAAATTTTTTTCGAGCTTGGATGCTTCAGGATCTACACATGGCTCAGCAAACAAGATGATTCAGACTAGCTTTTAAGAAAATCATTTGCTTACTCTTAGAACTGAATCAAGGTGAAACAATACTTCATTCTGACGCTAGCAATTAAAGTTTGAAAGCAATGGAACATTTACAGGATACGGTGAATTCTGATTTTTCACAGCTTCTTGTTAGAACTGAACCTAAGTGACTAGGAAGTTCACTCTGAAATAACCACTTGAAATGCGGAAAGAGTAAAAAAAAATTCAAAAAACATGAACAACGACATTCGGCACTAGAGAGATAGTATGTGTTTCAATAAAGCCGTCGGCTCAAACAGACAGTTAAAGAGGGTCGCCTTGCGCACGGTCTTCATGCAAACACTGGAGTTTTTCCCGCCACTTCCTTCCGCTGGATCAACTCCAACTTGCGCCGCGCCGTTATTTTTTGAGGAAAAAAATCGATTGTCCTGTAATGACTGTTTCGCGCAGCTATTCTCCTAATGGTATTATTCGGCCTAATCCAGACTATGACCTCTGTTGCGGATTGTTTCATTCTACGGTTGGTAATAATATTTGTCGTTGTTTCCTTTTTATCTCATTCGTGGAAAAAAAGTTTTTAAAAAAATGTGGTAAAAACTTTTAAAAAAACTATAAATAAATTGATTTTTAGCACGATCCGATTTTTTTTGTATTTTTAAACGAACTTCATTTTTTTAAGCTTCTCGAAGTAGTTAGAAAATAAACAGGACCCTTTGATGAGTCATTTTTTTAATGGTTACGAAATTTTTAACCAATAATTTCTTCGAACTTGTTATATGTATGGAAAGTGAACCCTGAAATATTTCCAAATGAGTATGAACAAGTTAACAATATATTTTCGAAAATAGTTAAACTGACAGAAAAAAATTGGAAGGCTTCAAAATTGCAAAAAAATTGAAAAAAATTTTTGAGAAAAAAACGTATTTCTAACTCAGTTCTAAATTTACTCATTTTAGTCGGCCGCAAAGTTTTTCTCGATAGCCTTTTTTGCGTCTTGTCTCTTGATCTCAGGTGTCAACTTCATGTGGTTTGGAGCCGACAAAGGATGGTGAGACACTGCTTGAAAACCCATTTCCAATGGGTTTTCACTATTATTTCAGGATATCCCTCTTCTGCCTTTTCTTCACAATTTACAGCAGTATTCTGGTATACGGCGTATTTCTAGAGAAGCCATTATGTCTCCTTCCTTGTTTGGTTATTCAGGTACTCAAAAATGACATGAGAATTTCCCTCTATTTCTATTTCAGGGCATTTTCACTGTTTTCAACTTCCTTTTCATCATTTTTCTTTCTTTGTACGGAGCATTTTCTGACGTCATCAAAGAGCACCATGCAGCCAATGAACCATTGAGGGACCTGTACAAAATGCACTCTTTGGATCCGGATAATGACAAAAGTAGGTGACTTCTCGAACTGATGATGGAAATAGCGCTTTTATTGAAAATGATACTGATGTACTACCGGCTAGGATGGAAAGAAAAGCTATAGAGACATTTGAATTTTCGTTTTTCGATTTAGTTTGTGTCTTGTGAAAGATGACTCTCATATTGTCCCAAGCTTTAAGTGAATGAACTAACGAATTTTTTTTTAATAGATTGTTATTACTTCAAATGGAGAAGTTTCAGCTCAAACAATCGTCTCGAGCGCATTCCTTTTCTCCTTAATAGCTATTTTTTTCATCTCTACTTTTTCTTGGTACGCCATCTTCAGAGCAATGCAATGCTACAAGGTTTAAAAAATACTTTCTCAACCGTTATTTGGAAATTATTCAGGAAAATCAACGAACCTACTTGCCTGGATACCAACCTGACATTGTGGCTACCAATAACAGCGACTACGATATTTGATTCCCACGTGCTGTCTTTTTTTCTATTAATTTTCAAGATCCAACTAAATTTTTAAATTTTTGAAATTGCAGTTCGAATTTTTTTCTTTTTGTTCGATAAATTCTTGAGAAAGTGAATTTTTCCCAACATTTTATCCCTTTTTGGAAGAATTTTTTTCGAGACTTGATTTTTTTCTGCCATAATGGTTGCCAAGTTATCCTTTTAGATTGCTTAGAAACGGAAAAATATGAAGAATTTCTGAATTTCTTTGATTCATTGAAGCGCCATGGGTAGCCAATATTTGCCTACTCAGAAAGAACTTGCTGCTAAAGAACGTCGAACAAAAATACTGATAAAGTTATCTAACTTCCAATTTCTTTTTGTGAGTTCTTTTTATAAATTCTCGTGTTTCGTATTTTTTTTTAGTTAGTGATATTACTCGTCTCGGCTTGCGTTTTTGATTCGAAGGTACAAAATCGAGACGCCAACAGTGCGAGAATCAGCGTTGAAACTTGCGAACGAAACTGTCACAAAATGTTCAACTTTTCCGGTTGTTAAAATGTTTTTCAAATAGTTAAACTGGATATATTTTTAGCGTGTTTATGCTCAAGATCTTGCCGGACCTCTAATGTCCTACAGGCAGAAAATACTCGACCAGAAAATAATCATCAATGGAAAATGCTTTGACCCCATTCACAAAATTCATTTGATGTTTGGCATATGTAAGTTTGATCTTTTTTAAAATTGACAAAACTTTTTTTCAAACGAATTTAATTTAGCTCAAGAAAGTTGAATGCATTCTCGGAGGTTTTTTTTCAGCTGACAATCGTACCATCTTCGAAGACTTTCTACGAGTTATTTACCTTTTTTTCTTCTACACGGCATTTTCCGTTTTTCTGGCTTATCATTTCATAGACTGGGATAAACAAATGACCAATGCGTTCTCAGGAAATGGTGAGATGATTTTCAGCCCCAATATATAGAGAAAATCTCCGTTTTTAATTGCGGTCCTCACTTGATTCACGATTTCGCAAAAGCTGGCAAGAGCAGGTGCTGAGCGCGGATTAGGCAGGCAGAAGGATAGCACGTCCGACAATATATGCAATTAAGCGTAGCCTACAGTGAACAAATAGACATCTGGTAACTTAATACCAAGTAAATTACTGGTTTCCTTCAATCGAAACCCTAGATGTTGCTGGGACAAACAGGAAATTTGCCGAGAGACTTTTGTTTGGGGAGCTTTGATAATTATTTGAAAAGTTAATGGATAATACATATAGTGTATGAGTACAACTGTCAAAGTAAATCTTATCCATTTATTCTTAAATATATAAATTGCTTCTTATTTCAGTACTCGCCGTCGTTCCTTCCGAAAAACAAGGCCCAACTCCCTGGCACATGTTAAAAAGAGACGATACAAAAGTTGACGTGGACCAAGAAAAAATTTACTACGAAAAACTGCAAAACTTGGTTTGTCAATTTTTTTTTGTTCCAACCAATATTTCTCCCAAAAGTCATAGAGCAAAGGATAAACAGCGGATTTCAGAGGCCTCGAAACTTTTTTCAAAACAAGTTGAAGTCATTACACTGCGAAGTGCACAATACAAAAAGTCGGAGACAAAAGCTTTCAGAACAGTTGCCCGGCCGGAGGATCATCCATTTCATTCGATACCAAGAGAGTCGCCCCACCGATCGCACTTGGCGGTTTACTTTTTTCGCATAAAAAGTGGGCACTTTAAACTTTGAAAATACTTCAGTTTACTGCGCCTCGGTCGTTGTCTATACACTCCTCGTAATAATGATGAGAGGATCTGAAGAAGTTGAAAAAACCTACACTGCGTACCAGGCGTTCCACTACACTATGGGAGTTGGTGAGGGAACGGATATTTTGAATTATAACATCACGCTTTTCAATTTCGAAAATTTCCTATCAGAACAAATTTTTTTCGAAAAAAAAACGCTTATAGCTTCTAGAAATATATGCCCAATGAGTAAAGCTTGTATATTTGGCTCGAAAAATCTGAAAAACTAGAAAAAAAACTTAAAAAAAAGTTCTTATGAAACAGGAACCATGGATAATTCCAGCAAAAAGCATTTCATTGTTTCATCGATATTTCCTGAATTTTTTTCATTTTAAACGTTCTACAAAAGCTTTTTTTCAAAGCTATTTTTTTGAGTGATCAGATTCTGTTAGTTAAAACTTTAATGCTATTTTTTTATTTAGTAAACCTCATAAAAAGGAAAAAAATAATCTACGCTTTTTTGTAGCGTAAGTGATCGAGGTCTGCAGATATTCTCGCTTTATTTTAATTTTAACGACAAGAAAATCTGAGCCAATACCCGCGTGTCCTTTGTACTAGATTTGATCTAAAAGTTAATAAATATTTGAAATTCAGAAACCAAAGACGTGATAACTGGAAACTTCGGAGATTACGTCCTCGCTGTTGCGAATATCATCACTATGGTGAATGGAGCGCACTTTAGATCTAGCCGCTTTGCAAACCTCACCCGGCGGCTTTTCACACCACCGATTAACTCGAATTTCAATCAATTATTTTAGTGTTCTCTGACTATGACGGTGCCGAATTTGTTGCTCATCTTGTTGGAGGAACCTTCGAGAAGAAGAATCATTGGAGAACCAAACGGATACGATCTTTATTTGGTGGAACGGAAAGAAATCCAAAAGCGGCTTGATCTCGAGAGCAAAATATTTTTCCGGCAGAACAATGGCGAGCTATTGAAATCGTAGGACGGACATCTGTTCGAAATAAACTTTTGTTACCTTTTTTTTTACAAACGACGGGGAAAAGAGGTGCTAGAAGGCGGGGCGTACCGGCCAGCTGCAAGTCATCGCCCAGGGCTTCATTCTTACTAGTTTTCTCGCGATATGCGGTCGGCAATTTTCCTACTTTTTGTTTTCCTGTTCTTCGCGGGAATTCGAACAGCTCCGACTAAAACTGCCAACGTGAGTTTCCAAAAACTGAAGAACTGAAAGCTTTTCCGAAAACCGTGAAAGTTCATCTCTGAGTACCCCGCAAAAAATCGCGAAAATTCTCAACACTCTGAAAAAACAGTAACCTTTGTTAGGAGCGTAGAAGGAGCTGACCCTTTGATTTCAGCTTCGAAGGCTGAGATAGTTTGCGCTTTTGGAGTAGCAGGGCAAAAGGAAGTATGTTATTAATAGCCAATGCGTAGAAAAATGCATAGAAATCAAACATTAGAAAACTTTCGTTGGAACTCCATCTGAATTTTTTTTGAGCAACCTTTTCTGTTTTATAACCGAAAACTCAATGTACTCCTTTACTTTGTAATATTGTTATGAGCTCAGTGGGAATAGTTAGCATAGAAAAAAGAAAATTTTCAGAGACCGCTTTAGCCTAACATCCTTGGTTTGATATTCTTAAATTTTTTTTCAGAAACACCATCACGGGGCGATCGCCACTAACGTCACCGGCGTTTATATTTTAGCGTGAGTCGAAACGGAAAACTTTCTTGAGAATTAAAGAGGGGGGTTCATTTCAGGGACGACCTCACTCCCGAAGAAAGACAGAAGCTAAATTTGGCGGCTCAAAAAGAGTATCTTGAGGACATCGAGTTCGAAAAAAAAGCAATGGCTTTGGGAGTGAAAAGAAGTCGGCAGATGTAAGCTCCGGAATGAACCAATTAGTTATCACTGTAGTGATGAACGAGGAATTTTTTTTTATGTGCGTGTTCATAAAGGTTTTCAATGAATGAAGCTTATTTATTTTCATTTTTTTAATATTTCGCAATGAAATGAATAGAAATTTATTTCGAATGTCTCCAAAAGGATCTTTATGAAAAAATTTTATCATGAAAGCGCAAGCATACAAGTTTAAGTGGCTTGTTTAAACTCAGACTCAACAAGTTTAAGAAAGTGCTGATCCCACAAACTTCAAACTTCTTGGACTTCAATTTCTAGATGAAAATTGACGGTTTCGGTGTCTTCGAGGAAAAATGACTAAAAACGAAAAGCGTACAAAAATTATTTTGATTTAAAACGAGGGTGCTTCAAGGTGCGTCTCAAAAGTTTTATCAAATTTCTCAGAACTCGTGTCTCTTCAGTGTGTGAAAATAATTATTTTTTCTATTCTTACTTCTTGAAAAAACTAGGTTTTTTATTGATAACTACTGAATGATGGGAGAAAATAAATCTCAAAAGATGCTACGATCGCGTTTTCCAATTAGAAATGACAAAGTGCCGAAGCATCCAATTTGAAAGCCTACTTAAGCCGCACGGAAAAACCTCACATTAATCGAAACCGTGAAGAGCAATAAGAAACAACCGACAATACTAGCCTGAGATGTCTTTCAACTCGCACGATGGCCTTTCCTCGCTCTACACGTTGGTTGATGAACAGGGCGGCGGGATCCTGGCGCCATGGATCAAGTACGCCAGAGCCTCCGGCGACTACAGCATCCTCGAAGAATATCTTGACACCGCTGTATCTTTTATTTTCATTTTTTCAACGGACGAGATCGCAAAATATCTCAGAGCTGTCACCTTAGAAAATATGGTTTTTGTAGTTTTTTGTAAATACTGGCAAAAAAATTAATTTTTATTTTCGAATTTTAGAATCTATATTTTTTTCAATTTTTGAATCTGCAAAAACTCTTTAGGGATCAAGATGTTTTCACAAAAAAAGTTAGGCAAACATTTTCTTAATCATTGTTTACGGATATTTCTCCTCAAATTTCCAGTTCACTTCTATAAAGTTCAATATTAAAGAAAAAGAAAATCTTTTTTTACCGCCTTATTTCAGCTCGTTCATAAAATTTTTAAATTTTTGCCAGGTTAAATCTTTCCTCTACAATGGTGGCAAAGGAAAACTCGTGCCGGTGTCTGAGCTCATCACCATTCGAAACAAACAAGTTTTGTGCGAAAAAATGTTCGAAAAAACCTGAAAGTTAAGAGGAACGCAATGCTGTCAGCTCTCCGGAGAAAGAAAGGTCGGGGAAAGAGTGGTCCGAATATTTTGGAGCACATTGATCAGGACGCTCTTTCTTCTGGTGACTTCTTGAAAGGTAAAAGTTTCGTACTTCAAATTTTTGATCGAGAAAAATTAAGCCTTGAAAGTATTGGACGGCGGGATGATCAGAGGAATACGAAGTTTTAAGTACAGAGAACTTGTCTGGGACCTGGCTCACAGAGGTAAGAACTCAATGCTAGGGAAAAACCCCAAGATATTGAGGGAGAATGGGTGAAACTCTGCTCCACGTCTGCTTGCTGAACAATACGGCAGATATGAACGAACTGGCCAAGCAAATAGTTCTGCGATATCCTAAAATAGTTAATGATATTTTCATATCTGAAGATTACTACGGTCCGTTTGGAAAAACAAACAAGCTTATTTTTCCGACCTTCAGGACTTTCTCCTCTTCACCAAGCGATAGTCAACGAAGATCTCGAAATGGTCTATTTCCTTTGTAAAAAAGGAGCCGACGTTCATCAAAGATGCTATGGATCATTTTTCTGTGCAAATGACCAAAAAGCCTCGCGGAGCGACTCCTTGGAACACGAATGGGTGGATCTTATGCAGAACACAAAATACAATGGGTGAGTTTTGAAGCTATTGTCAAAATTTCTGAAATTTAGTCAGATGTATTGGGGAGAATATCCACTGTCGTTTGCCGCCTGTACCAAGCAATTGGACTGTTTTCGACTTCTTCGAGCAATGAAGGCAGATCCTAACATGCCCGATACGAACGGAAACACAGTACTTCATCTTACAGTAATCCACGATCTACCTGTGAGATTTTCATTATGAAAAAACAAAAAAAATTTCATTTTCAGGAAATGTTCCAGTTGGCCCTAGAATTAGGAGCGAATCTTCACTTCAAAAACAACCTCAAAATAACTCCGTTGGCTTTGGCTGCGCGAATGGCTAATAAAAGAGTTTTTCATCATCAACCACTTTCAAAAGCGTTGAATTTCAGATGTTTGATCTTATTCTGGAATGCGACGTGGACTTGGTCTGGAGGTATGGGAAAGTCGTATGTAAGGCCTATCCGATGGCAGAAGTTGACACGATTCGGGAAAGAGACGGATCTCTCAACACGAATTCCGTCTTAGCCAATGTCGTTTATGGAGTTGGACGAAAAGACAGATTTTTAACAAAGAAATTGTTAAGGACAACCCAGACCACCTTGAGTTTTTTGATGGTTTGATTGAGCAAGTATTAGAAAGCAAATGGGAAGCTTTCGGTCGAAAACGGTGCTATTTCCAATTTGTATCAATATATTCAGAAGTTCAGGCTGTTCATTTCTTTATTTGGATATGTCTACTTTATGGCTGTATTTTACATGGCTTTTATGACAAGAGATATTCAATTACTGGTAACTTCTTTTCTGAGTATAGACTTTAAAATGATTTTTAATTTCGAACTGAGCCGTTTTTGTCGCGTTTTGGTGTGATATCAAAATGTGACGGCCAAAAAACCCAAATTTTCAGCATCACGACGACAAAATCCCAAGCGATAGTGATGACGACAACATTGTATCGGATTTTGTCAACGACTCTGAAATCCTCAGCACCGGCTTATCGTTACGCGAGCAGATTGCCATATCTAAACACGTTTTCTATCGAGAGCCGCTTCCCGCCCACTGCCATTTGCTTGATTATTCTTCGAAAAAACAGCAGGAAAACGATTTGATCACAAAATAAAAACCAAGAAAATTTTTTATAGATTCGGCTAGTGAGCGAAGTTCTTTGTCTTTTAGCCGTCTTTGTCAGAACCTACAAAGATCTTATTGACGCTAATCAGGCGGGATTCAAAAGATGGTGGAACACAACGGTCGTTATAAAATTATAGAAATCAGTTCATCAACTTTTTCAGAGAGCTTTTCCTGAAAAGTTGCTCCACAAATTCAGCCAAGTTCTCGTCCTTTGCACAGTTCCATTACGCTTAGGCTGCTATCTCAATGAAAATATGCTCGTTCTCGAAAATTTCCTAGTTCTTGCGATCGTTTTCATGAGCTCTTTGCATTTCCTCTTTTATTGCCGGTAAGAAAAACATGATTTTTGAAATCCAAATAAAATCATTCAGGAGTCTCAAATTCGTCGGTCCATTCGTTTTGATGGTGTACAAAATTATAGCGGGCGATATGATCCTCTTCCTAATGATTTACTCGGTTTTTATCCTGGGATTCTCACAAAGTAAATTTGCATGCTGGAAAATATTTATTCAAACATTTGCAGCCTTTTTTGTCATTTTCACATCATGTGAAGGGGCGGAAAATGATTTCAGAAGACTGCATAATCTCACAGTGGATGAAGATTATGATGAGAAGTTTCTTAAATTTTTTATCTCTTGTAAAAAATATTTTTGGGTTTGTGAATATTCTATCTTCTGGGTGGGAAGCCATTATGAGGATGTTCATCATGAGCGTTGGAGAGTTTGGAGCTTTTTACAAAGAACTAAACGCCTGCAAGAGCGGAATAGCCACACAAGCAAAAGTATGTGTTCACTGAGAACATCCTACTCTAATTTTAAACTTACAGCTTCTTTTTGTCGTGTTTGAGCTTTTGGTGACTGTCATGTTGCTGAACCTTCTGATCGCGATGATGACACGAACTTATGAGAAAATTGCGGAAACTGAGAAGGAATGGAAGCGACAGGTTTGTAGACAGCATGAACAATGTTCTAGTAGTTGATAAGTCTTTGTTTAGGTTTTGGGAGAAAACTTTATAAGATGCAAAAAATCATAGCGGCAAAAGCCGCTCGAAAAATTTTCGAGATATTTAAAAAAAAATCTTCGTCATATATAAGCCCTTAAAAAAATAATATGTTCGCTTTATTTTTGTCAGTGGGCACAAGTGATTCTGATGTTGGAACAGTCTTTGTCGGCTTCTGAACGTCTCCTCGCCCTGTATCGTTACACCCGACCCGTTGGTTCTGACAAGAGAATCAGGGCTTTCGTGGTGAGATCCAAGACACTCGTAAGTTCTTTATATCATCTTCGAAAAATTTTTCGATTTTTGAAGATCGACGAGTCCTCCACCGTTACCAGCGTCTCCCATCGCAAGAAAAAAGTATCCGTCCGTGTCTCGGACAACAATTTGAATCTTTTGAATGTGCCACAAACTTGAAAATTTTCAAAAAAAAAACACCATTTTGTTGGTATATTTCATTATTGGAGACATGAATTATATTTTAATAAACAGTCCCGTAAATCTGACGTGACATCTCAGGACATAAAATAACACAGACATTCGAAAGAAAGTTAACGTGATGAGGTCGAAAACCCAGTAACTAAAAGCTTGAAGTTTTCTATAAACTTGATAAATTGCTAAGATATTTTTGCATGGAAGGAAGAGTGGCTCTTTGAAAGAGTTAAAGATGGTTTCTGGTGGTTTTTACAATGATCGACGGCAAGAAATGGTTTAGAAGGTGGATTTGACCTAAACGAGGTTGCTCACGAAGATGATGGAGTTGGATTCGAGCTTGAACGACTGGAATGTCTCGTTTCTGACCGACGTATTGCTCTCAGTTTCCACTTCTTCTTCCTCCAGAATCTTGTTGTACCTAAAAACGGAATGTTTATCTTCATCATGAATTTTAGAAAGCTCACCAATCGGGAGAGCAAAAGATGGTCCTTGCAGGGAAGGTACTCTTCAGAGCGAAAAACTCAGGACATGCGTCGTTGGAAATTGCGGCATCAAAGAGATGCTGATGAAAAATGTGAAAAAAAGTCGTTTTGATACTTTATATACCGAGAGGTCGTCAGTGGCCGAGAATCGCACTTCTTGACGACTTCCGTTCGGAAACTTCAAAAGTAGACGAACATCTCCCGTCGACGCGTTTGTCTTTGCCTTCGCTTCTTGGCGATAGTTTGCAATCAACTGTAAAAATCTCTATGAGTGAGAAAAATAAAAAGAGAAAACCTCGCGTCGTTTAGCAGCAGCCGAAAGTTTCTCTTCCTTCATTTTGGCTTCCAATTCTTCAGCCTCTTTTTTCTTTCGCTCCTCTGCGATTCTTCTGAGATCTCGTTGAAGACTTTCCTGGTATTCCCGGTTCTGCATTTGAACAAGGTTCCTGTCGGCCTCGATAGCCTCTCTGCGAAGTTTTTATGGTTTATCAATATTTGAGGGGAATTGAAACCTTTCAGCAGCCCGACGAGCCAGGAAAACATTGAAATCCTCGAATTCAAGGCCCATGTTGTCAACGTAGTAATCGATGTTGGTGGGGCTCTCAGCGTATGCCATCTGCGATAAATGAACAATTTATTAGTGAAATGCGAAAAAAATACATAAAGAAGCAGGAAAAAAAATTATTCTAGTACTAGAGAAAAATGAGATAACTTTATGGAAAAGATTTTTTTCAATCCCAGAAAATTTTTCTCCTACGGCCTTGTGAATCCAGAAGGAATTTTTCAATTAATAAATCAAAAAAAATGTTATAAGGAGATTGCGAACAAAAACAACAAACAGGTAAATAAAACAAGTGACGCTAGCAAGGGGAGGAGCACAGTGCCTGAGATGTGCTAAAAACGCTTGCTTGAGGGTTCCAAGGCGCAGGTGTTACTGTGCTCGCAGCGGAGCCCATTTATTCATGTCAAAAAGTAGGTCTCTCTTGCGCCTTGCACTTCCCAGCGTCTCAGAGAGCACTATCGAACAATCTATGCTGTGAGGATCACGCGGCGTTGTGGAGCGAGCAGTGGAGATATCAATGAGGCGTGTCCTCATCTTTTGGCGGGAGGATCGATCTCATTTGAAAAACTTGATCAGCTCATATACTTTTGCTCCAAACGAAGGATTTTTTCTCATTGGGAAGGTCGTTTTATTATGCCGAAAATTGGCCACAATGTTTTTTTAGTATTCACATCAAATTCGCAAAACCTTGTGAATATTTTCAAAAGTGCGACCAAAAATCAATAATATAGTGAAAAGCAAAAAAAGACCGGTTTGATCTTGTCTGCTACATGAAAGATGAGTTTGACAACTGTAAAAGATAATTGGCCATCTTATCAGAGTTTTGGCCACCTTATCAGAATTATTTTTAAATTCATTTTTCAGCAACCATAACACCTCAAGAAATCTCCAAATAAAAAAATGAACTAATTTTTAAAATTGGCTAGAACCACTATGTTTGAAAAATAATGAGGAACAAGAATCAGAATGAATTTATAAAAACCAAAAACCAAGCATTTTTCGAAAATTTTGCGGCTTTTTGCGGAAACTTTGAGGAAAGCGTCGGTGGGACGGTTTAAAGTGCGGAGGAACGGTTTCCCAAAACATACGATGTAAACATTGTTTTCTTGAATCGCTCAATCCAACGCCTCTGTGGTTTTTGAAAGACTCGACCGGCAATATAGAATTTTATATTTAACGAGATTGTATGAAGATAGGATTTTTCATCCATTTTTAATTTTCAGGTGGCTCTTTGGTTAAACTCAATTTTCTGTCAAACATTGCTTCTGGGTTTTGTGGATGTACCAAAATGCCTTACAAAAGTTTTGATTGCAATTTTCCCAAACTTCTGAAACATATATGCCAATCGCTCGATATCTTTTTTTTTTCAACTGAACTTTTATTTCATGAGCGATATTTTTGCAAAGCAACCGAAAATCAAATTTCATGGCTTTTTCAGGAGCGCTTCAAAATACTCCTCCTAGCAGGCTAACAAAAAATCTCTTCTTGCTCTTTCATTTTTTAACCTTTCATTTAATTTTATCCTCACGATTCAAGTTTCATAAAAGTGTATCTCACCTCTTTTATGTCGGCGCTTTGGAAGCAAAGCACCACAAGGCACTCCACCGGTTTTTTCTTTTTAAGAATCTTTCGGACTGAAAGTAAACCAATCAACTTTTTTATTCTTGAAAGTTTGCCTACTTTTGTTGGCTTCATTAGAGTTGATCAAAGTTGCGTACAGAACGCAGTTGTTTTCCCTGACTGCATCGTAGAACTTCCTACTCGTCATGATTCCATCTAATATTTTCGAGTTCTGCATTTCAGAATTTTTTCAGGTGCCAACTTGATAAAAACTAACTTCAGGGTCATGCAAATACACGAGTAACCGTTTGTCCGGCTCGTTTCGAGACAAGTTTCGAGCATTCTGAAATTTTCATTTGCGTAAAGTTGAATCAGTAAAGTTATTTATTCAAACTTAGCAAAAAAAATGAAAAAAATACCTCGGTAAAAGTGCCCCGAACCCATTGTGATTTGTTCGGCGACTGTGAATATTGTGGATGTTTGTCGTCAAGATATTCAATGAAGCTTTTGTATTTGTTATGATCTAAATGAGTGGCGGCTTCTGAAAAATAATTAGCCTGAAAAATCAATTTGAAAAGAAGTCTCACGTCCTAAACTCCTCCAAAGTAACCGAATAATAACAGAAATAAGGAAAAATGGCATGCGAATAATTGTGCCAAACCAATCATCCCAACTTTGGTACCTGAAATGATAACTTCATTCAAGATATGAAAGCTGCAATTATTTTTTGTAATTAAAAAAACTAGCCTAACTACTTGAGGCTGCCGGTTATTTTGACCACTTAGTCGGAGAATACCACGGATGGGAGTTGCCGGAGGGTCCCCAAAAGGCGGAACTGGTTGTGGAGGTCTCCGGTGACGGATGGAATCTTCAGGAACAATTTCAGCATCTCTTTCCGGTGTCTGAGAGGTTAGTTTTTCAATTATTTGTTGGGTAAATGCTTCACAAACGTCATAAAAGTATTGAATAGCCAATTCGACGTCAAAATCAGCCAGCTCAAGAAAATGCATAGCTTCATCTTGACTGCAGTCAGTAATGCTCTGAAATGTTTAGATAAAAATTTTTTTCAAAGCATAAAATAGTAAAAAGCAAAATCACAAAGACAAGGTAAACGTCTCTAGCCTTGAAAAAGGGAAATCACCCAGTTGATTATTTACCACTTGAGCAATTCCCCAGATGATTCGAAAACTAATTAAATTCTCGAGTTGAAAAAAATTTTTTTGTTCGTTATAAGACAAAAAAACTTATCCATTTACGAATCAAGATTTATAATTTGATTTCTTTTTAAAGTTTATTAAGTAAAAAAACCAACCATGATTTCGGAAATCGACGCATCATTGTCCATATCCATTTTTACCTGGAAAAAAAACATAATTCTCATTCGCATAAAAAAACAAAACAAAAAAACGCGTATAAAAAGAGAATCCATTTGTTGAAAAAAAATACTTCTTCTATCTTGAGTGAACAGAATAGTGAGTTTGAACTCCAGTTGCATTAATTTAATGATGCAAATTGTATTATTTCGTGTCCAGAAACATAAAAAGATGAGAGGGCGCAGAGAAGTCGTAAGGTGGAACGTTGTCAGAAAAATCGATGGGTCGGCATATGGACTGCGGCCGCGAAATGTTTTTTATTCCCACGTCTGCCTTGAGATAATTATAATAATGAGCACAATGATTTTTCAAAAATTTTTTTATTTCAAAATTCCTTCTTCACTGATATCGTGGGAAAGGATTCTTTGGTAATTTAAAGCCGGAACGCTTTCTTTTTGAAAAAGTTGAAACACAGGTTTTGCAGGAGGAGAAAAAGAAATTAAAAAAAAGGTGTCTTGCAACCTAGAAAAAATTTCAAGTATTGAACTTATAAGATTCCGAGTACGCGACGGGGCTTTATATCAAGAACAAGAAAAATATTTTGAAAAAATTAACGAGAGAAATGACTGCAGTATGTTCAAAAATTTTTTTCTCGCCGAACTAACGAGAATAATGACGTTGAAACGCTTATTAATTCCGGAAAATATGACAAAAAGAATGATATATTGGAAGCGAAGTTCAAAAAATTTTTTATAAGGAAGAAAATTCGGAAAAAAAACTCTGGTGAAAAAACTTCTTTGCAGAATAAATTGGTCCCTGAAAAGTACAAATTTCGAAAGGCCATTTTGAAACGTTGTTTTGGAACGACGGCATCCTGGCAACGGCAACTCCTGAGGCATTCGAGCTTCCAGCCACTTCTGAGAAATGACCAACGTACTAAAAGCGTCGTCCTTCCTATTTTTCCTAACTTCATCTCATTTTAGTTTCGCTGAGGTCTTGACAGGTGAGAATTGATTTGAAAAACACATGACTTGAAAAACGCATTTTGAGAGATAGCGACTTCGAAGAGCTTATTTTAAAGTCCTTCAAATAAGGTTTCTCAACTTTTGTCATGCCTTTTGAGGGACACCCTGATTTTGAGATACCAAATGGAAGTCATCAGAGTTGCAAATTGCAGCTACCATTTGTTTTTGAGAACGTATACCGCCAATTCAAGAGAAAAATCAATTAAAGCATGGTAAAATTGACTTTTTCAAGATGTTGCGTTCAAGTCAAATCTTTGGCGTACTGGGAAATTTTTCTTGCCAAAATCTAATAAAATGAAAGCTACGAAAATTCGACTATTTCGAGGCTCCAAAGTTCATAAATTTGGGAAAAAGGCTTTTTGAGGCTTCAGAGCTCCGAAATCCTGGTTTTATAGGGGAAAAACCATGATTTGCCTACCTTTAAGGTTATCAAATATACCCATTATTCCAATGTTTATTTTCTCAGTTACAAAAAGTACTGTCCCATCCTTTTTCATCTCTTAAAACGTTTCCAGTTTCTCCAGAACATCTAGTCGGAGTCAACTGCTCCGAAGATCAATTTCAATGCAAAGATGGGAAAGTCGGTTTTCTGAAACTTCAAAATGAAACAGAGATTTTTTGAAGTGTATCATGAAACTTTGGCTTTGCGATGGCGCGCGGGACTGTCCAGACGGTAGTGATGAAGTTCATGAGACGTGCGATCGGCATAAAATAGGTGAGAGGAACAAAAGACATATCACATATATTGAAGAAGACCTTCATAATGCTGCCAAATTTGAAAAAAAAAACAATTTTTAGAAAACTCGCCGTGCTTCGGAAACCAGCCAGAGTGTGAAAAAGGTGGATCCATGCGATGTATAATGCACGAATGGCTTTGCGATGGACATCCGGTAAAAAAATCATACCAGTTCAATAATTGTGGAATTTTTGATTTTAGGATTGTGATCATGGAGAAGACGAATCCGACTGCGATTCCGACTCTACAGACAGCTTTTCCAAGATGATCGACTTATCAAAAATCGTTGAAAACACGAAAGAATCAACTCAAGTGGTACCGCTTGAAATTGTTGAAGCAAAATGTCTCTATGGCGAGTTTAGGTATATTTATTCAAAATTTATGAAAATAATGACTTTCTCAAAGATGTCCGGAAGGGAACTGCATAAAAAAAGATGAGGTCTGCAATGGGGTCAGAAATTGCCGTGGCGGATCTGACGAAGAGCTCTGTGGAGAAATGTTTACTTCTAGTAGAACTCAGGAACGGGTTCAAACCACAAATTCCTCAAAAATCCGACCAGGTAGAGAATGAAGTAAGATCATATACAAACTTCTTGCTTCACAGATGATTTCAAAGCGGAAACAACAACGAGAGACATTTTGAGTTCGGGCATGACTTCAACGACAACTACGAGAGCGACAACGACAACGACATTCGCAACCACCGGAAAACCAGAATCTTCAAAAACAATTACCTCTACAAGCTCTTCGACTTCTCTGAAGACTGAGATTTCCAGTACAATACCGTCAACTACTACAAAAACTTCTATCACCTCTACTACTGAGAAGAAGCCGCTGACAGCAGAAAACTCTATCAAACCAGAAGTTACATTCACTTCTAACCTTTTGAATGCGCTCAAAAGTCAAGAAGATTCGGAGCGTCAAATAGTGCCAGTCGTTGCCATAGACGACAGCAAATCACTGAAACTCGCACAAGTTTCAAGGTTCGAGGAGAAAGAAACCAAGACCACGATGGAACCGGTGATGGCGATTCTGTTTGTGACTCCAGTAACTCTTCCCAACCTCGTTATGTCTCAAAAAGAAGAGCCCTCCGAAGCGATAGCGGCTCACGTGATCGTTTTGAACAACAACCAGACCGGGCCGGAAAACGGCAGGAATTTGACCAAGAGAATGAATGAGAGCGCCGAGGACCGGCAGAACGGGAAGTTGAAGCCGGTCGTTTTCTTCAAAGGTGTTCCAATCGAACCGGTCAATAGGAATGAGACGGAACGAGAGGAATGATCTTGTTATCTTTATTTCTTTCCCGCTATTCTTCGTTTTATTATTTATTGTCGCGATTTTGCCCTTTTTGCATCACTTGAGCACATAATCTATTCTGCTTTTCAAGTATTCACTTTTTTTTTCTTTGAGCTCCGATTCGGGCCAGAATTGAAGAATAAATTTCCCTTTGATGTGCTTTCCACTATGAATTTCGTTAATTATTTTATTCTCACTGTTTTATTATTTTCCAATGTTTTCGCTTCATTTTTTCATAAAAATTGAAATTCCAAGCTTCAGAGAGGCTCCAACAAATGAATGGAATGGGATTGACACAATAATTGAATTGTTGTCTGTTAATTTGAACAGAAAAAAATTTCATCAAGAGCTTCGTGCGCCGCAGTATATGACACCCTTTCAGATTTGTTCTCGAATGAGTTTTTGAAGTTTTTCTCCTTTTTTTTTTCATAAAATGAAAAAAAATTGTTTTCATGCAACAACGTCTTAACTTTGTGAGTGAAAAGAATTTGATCGAAAAGAAAAAGTTAAAAGTCACCTGCGTGAATACTACTTGCGGAAAAAGACATCTAGTTTATTTGACTAGAATTTTGCGGTAGGCAACTTTTTCATTTATCAACCTACTATTCGACTTACCTATGCTGTTAAGCGCCAGTAGTTTTGGGTCGGACGAGCTAGAAAAATAATTGTTTCAAAGGAGGTGATGTTTTTTTGTGTTTCAAAACTAAGGAAGAAAGATTACCTTTTCTGCCTTTTAGAAAAGGAAATTCTGATCTTTTTAGGGCTTTTTCTTTTGAAAGACAGCTTTTGATAGCCTTTATTCGGTCGCTGACTTTTTTTCAGAAAAACTTCAAAAATACTATTGAGACGTGAGAAAATCCTTTTTTTCGCAAATCTTCGGAATGAGATGCAGATTGTGATCAGTCTGATACGGCTGCCCTGCGGTACGCTTGCCAGCTGACGTCACGCTGCTAAGGCAAAACCAATCAGATAAGCAATCAACGCTCCCTTAAAGTTGCCAATCGACCGCCACCGTCGCTCGACTCTGGCTTGAACTCTCAGCTTTTTATCAAATCACTGTAAATCATTGAAGCTCAATCATCTTCCCCTATTGCTTTTTTTTCATTTTTTCAAAGCGTCTTTGTTTGAAAATTGTACGTGCAGAAGTTGAGACGCAGTTTGCAGGTTTCAGCGTCTCACGCAATTCAAGTACTATCAGAAAATAAAATTACGGGAATGCCCATGCGATATGGCCGCACTACGCATGAGGTCTGTGAAACAACGAGAAAAGTTCGAAGCTATCTTTCTTTTTGCACAATCTTTATTAGAAAAAAAGAGAAGTTTGAAATTTCGAAGGACCATCATCCGCTGATGTTGAAAATTTTCAAAAGTCATCTCTTTCAGAGGTCAAAATAGAATTTTTTTATTTCCTAGAACTCTGACATAAAAATTTTTTTATTTCCTAGAACCCAGACAGTTGCATAACAAATTTAAAAATCAGTGCAGGAAAAGTTGAGTTCATATGGTATATTTTATCACTATAATCTAGTTCTGCGGATTATGGGCAAGAAGTTGATAATGACATTCCTTGTTCTTCAAACTTACCGATTTCCTGATTTTTGAAAGTGAGCATAATGGAGGGATAGAAGTTTCTTTTTAACAGAATTAAAAAAATTTTTTTGATAGAAAAGTATCCTTTCGTAGGCTTCGCATCAATTTTTTTGTTTTTAAATTTTTCTTTTTCATTCAAATGTTATTGAAAAATCTTCATTTTTCTTCCAGTTTTTTTCCATCCTGCACTTTTGTTTTAGGATAAGTTGAGCGTGCAACTACTACGATGGCTCAAAGAGAGAGTGCCGGAAAATGATCCGATCAGGATTTCTGACCTGGAACGGTTTAAACCAATCCAAGAACTGGGAAATGGCCGTTTTGGAGCGGTAATTTACTTATTTTCGAAGCTTCGTACAATTTTTTCAGGTTTCCAAGTACTTGAACGTAGTTTCAATGGTTCATGAAACTGTCAAAAAGGTGAAAATGGAAATGTTCGATCACTGGAGCCAAGATTCTACCAAACTTTCTGCAGTATGACTTTGAAATAGGATAGTCCCAATCAAAATAAACTTTTCTTAAGAGATTAGACGTTTTCATCGAGGAGTTCCGTCACTTACACAAAATCAGCCTGGCAAACGACCGAATAGTCAATTTCCTGGGTCTTTACTCCGATGTGTAAGTGGTGAAACCAAATTTACAAGTTGCTCACAGCGGCAAATGGGGAAATTGGACAATAATGGGTTTAGGGAGCGGTTTTATGTGTTCACAGAATATCTGCCACGCGGGTCGGTGAAAGAGCGAATCATGCGGGACAATTTGACTGAGGAAGTTGCAATCAAATATTTTTGTGAAGTTTTTCAAAAATTAAAACGAATTATACATATCATCATTTAGGCTCTAGAAGCTTTGCACTATCTTCACACTCTGGATCCCGTCGTGGTTCATAGAGATATCAAAGGTTCAAAAAATAAAGCTCACTGAAAACATGTAATTCCAGCCGCGAATTTGTTGATTACAATCAGTGACAGTATCAAGTTGGCCAATTTCGGTCTTGTGAGAGATTTGGCTGTAGACGGGTTCGGAATGGCCGTACAATCCGAAATAACTCTTGACTTTCGCGGTTAATCTTTGTTTTCTGGAAAAAAAATATTTTAAAAACTCAGGAACTCTACTTTATGTTGCTCCAGAAGTGTTGAATAGCGATTTGGGCCCAGGAAATCGAAATGCCTATGGAACTCCCGCCGATGTTTGGTTAAAAAGAGCTTGTCGCACTGTATTTCTATTATCGTTTCGATTTTCAGGGCCCTTGGATGTACGTTCATTGAGATTCTATTGAAGTATCCGCCGCATTTCGAATATTTTGGACATGTTGATGAGATTCAGAAAGAATTATTGGGGTACGCCAAAGAAGAAAATGGAAAGGTTTGTTCGTGATACTGAAACTCAAAAAAAGGTTCAGTTTTCAGTGCTTGCCTTACACGGCCGAGGTCCTTGTCCCGTCATCATCAAAAACAGTACAACATATTGTTGACAGTATTTTCGAGAGGAATCCTAAGAAACGCCCGAATACGGCGAAGTTGAAACAAATAGTGAGTGAATTAAAGTTTCGATCAGTTTCAAATCTTTCCCATTGAGGTCACGAATCTGTTGGAGAAAAAAGACACCGAGGATTTTGAATTTCCTTCTGCAAGCGTTCGTTCGTTTGTTTCTTTTTTTAGTACAAAATTTTCATTTTTTTATTGTTTTTGAGAAATATATGCGGCGTTTCCTTTAAAAAAAGCTGAGGTTTCAAATAATTTGAACATAAAAAAACAATCAAATGTTTTTCAATTACCGACTCATCCTTCACAAAAAGTAGAAAATTCCTTTCCAGACAAGTAGCAACGACGAAGAAGACCCGGAGGCATTCGGAAACGAAAGCGGTAGAAAAGTTGGTGTGATTGGAAACGCTTACACTTTCGAGACCATTGAAAATGGTGTAAGTTTGTTTTTAATTAAAAAAATGTAATTGTGAAAAAGTATTTTTCAGGCAGTCAGAACGGTTTCCGGTGTATCTTCGAATGAACCGACGGCGTTCCGCCGATTTATTATATTCCTCTGCTACTACCTTTCGCGCATATTGTATTTTGGAGGTTTGTCTGTTTTTCGAAAAAATGAACTTTTCATTATGATATAATTAACTTTTTGATATAAAAAAATTGGTTATTTCTGAGTATATTTTTTTGAAGAGGAATATTTTATAAATGATAGGATCGAATTCGGAAAAAAACTTTTTTTGATGGTTTATAGGACGCTTTTAAAACGCATCAGGAATGGCAAAAACATGAAAAGCTTCAATATTTAGACTTATGAGATAGTCGGAACACATTTTTTCATATTAACCTCTTGGAGTATGAAGAGCCAATGTTTACGCTGATAACTCGGGGTCAACTTTCTTATCAATATAGCATAAATTCCTAGCTCAGAGTTGATTATTTGCTTAGATCGACAAAACATTAATCGGAAATTTTTCTGCCTAAGTCCTCAACTATTTCGCAAAAAAAAACGTTTCCGTGATTGAATTTGAACTCAAGTAGATCCAACCCTAAACTATTTGTTCAACGTGATCGCACATGTTTTTTTGGCCATTTTTTCTAACGAACATCATCAATGAGAACGCTGATATTGCAGGGATTTTGAGTCGGTCCGTTTGTTACCTTCTCTCGTTTCTGACTCTTGGTTTGGGAGCTCTTTGTGCGTTTCTACTGCTCTCTTTCTTTATCGTCCGCTTCTTCCGCTACCTCATTGGCGTCTACTGTGATTGCGACCTCATGGAGCCGCAGTACCTTATCATTTCTGGAATTTTGATCATTCTGCTTTTTGCCCTTTTGTTCAGGTTTGTTTGTAGAAATAGACCTCAATCATACAAATAAAAAGTTATCTAGAAAAAGCCAAAAAAACTTGTGAATTGTTTAATAATCATATTTCTCTATAGTTTTAGCTGAGAAATTTGATTGACCCAAATCGACTGAAAAAAATCTTCAAAGTTTCCAATCACTGGTAAAAATGTAGTAGAGAATCTTAAAATGTTTATAGGTGGTAAAAGTGAATGTATATTCTGAAATTCCTGGATTTGTAATGACTGATGAAATTCTAGTTGACAGAAAAAAACGTAGCTTCAGAAAGTTTCATGTAGATACAAGAAAATTGACTAAAACCCGTTTTCGTATATTTTCTGACGGTACTGTATTTGAAAAATATATTTTTTTTATCAACCTAATACAGTTTTCTTCTTTTTGCACAACACAGTGCAGCTTACGTAAATAAAGACAAAAAAATAAACATGACATTGTTTATCAATCACAAAATGTCATGAGCCAAAATATTACAAGAATGAGTTAACTGAGAGAAAATAAACGTAGTGGTATTTTTCAGCAATTCAAGTTCATTGTGAAATGTGAAACGTCATGTTGACATTCATAAAAATTAGGAAAAAGGCGGTTTTTTGGGAAGAAAGGAATATTTTTTTGATAATTCTAAAAAAAATTTCATCTGCTGTTAGTGAAATATAGATCTTAATGACCATGATAGAAATAATGAAGAATTTTCAATCAATGAAATTCTCTGTTCAGTTGCTGTATGGTAGCTTTGGGCGAGTACAAGTTTCGTATGGCTAATCATACGTTGCGGGAGTCGCGATTCTTCGTTTCAAGACCTGCTCAGTCAGCTAGACTTTGCGGGGTTAAAGTCCTTCCCGGCAAAGACCGAAAACTCAGTGTCATCCTTGAAGAGGTTCTCGTTTCCTTGTTTCAATCTCAATTCTGGCTCTTGTGTTATAGGAAGTTCCCGTTACCGAGCGAAGAAACATCAATCATGACGATTATTACTACGACGCTCCGTGACCTCTTTTCAATTTTTCATGTTTCTTGTTTTTTCACGTACAAATGAACAAAAAATAAATAAGTAATTGATTTATGAACCCGCATGAATGCATCGACATTGTTGGGACATTAGGAGAGTTTGAACTTTATTATCGTTTGACGAGGTTAACGTTCGCTGATGACGACGCTACTGTAGGCAAGGTAGATGATCACTCCGCTGAAGGCCAAGGCTGCTGCCTGAAAAAAAATCGATAGAAAAAAACAAGAAGAAAAAAGTTCACCACGACGGCAAGGATGAAAATCCGGGTTTGCCATTTCTGCTTGTTGAACTTCTCCTGAGCCATTTCAACGTCGTATCCCAAGGCTGAAATACAAAAATACACGTGATCTAGAAAAAAAACTCAGGAAAGATTTATTGAAGCATTTTGTTCTAGACACAGCTTGAAATTTTTGCCAAAAAAACATGAAAAAAAGAAAAATTTTTCCATCTTTTTAAAAAAATTGATTTTTTTGAGCTAGTTTCTTTCTCTTAAAAAGAAATATAGCTTCCGCATCGTGAACTTTTTAATGAGAGTTTAACTTTTTGAGTTCAGTGGCAAATTCTAAATCAGAAATGACCTTTTCAGACCAGGCCAACCAGTGGCCTAAAAAAATCTAACTGTTGGTTTTTTGGATTCCTGATTTAAGAAAAATGAAAATAAGGTTTTTGGTTTTTTTTTCAAGAAGGAAGGAAACCATTTCAATTACACAAAAAGAGTATTATGATGGTTCGATCTGTAAGAGAGTTTTTTTGTGATTAAAACGATTTGCAAGTAAGAAAAACCTCCCTCAGAGTAAATTTAGATTCATTAGAATACAAAATCAGTCTAATGATCTCTGCTTGACTTCTTAACGAGAATAGGCTCGACGCTAATTTCAAGTCTGTCTCATAAACTGTCACAAAAAGTCGTTGAAAAAAATTTAGAGGCATTCAAAAGTCGTGAAATTACTCAATTATGAAAGATATTTACAGTAGCTTAAAAAAATACAAAAAAAGCAACTTTTTGTCAACTTTCTTGTAAGAATCATAAAACTAAGCTTTCAGGAAAACGAAGCCTGGAGAATTTTATTTTCAATAGAACTCAAATTACCTTTTCCGTTCATTACTGAGCAAAGAGTCAGTTTTTCGAAAAATAAAAACAGCAAAAGACGGTTTGGACGAAAGGCTTCAGGTCAGCTAAAAGTGAAGTTGTAGCGACGGTCTCCCGGTGGGCGGGGCTGAACTCAATTGCAAAAATGTGCTCAGGCTTCGAACTTATTTATATTACCATCACGGCTGGCCGCGTGGGAGAACAAACACATCTCAAATTGTGTTATGCGCAGTTTTTCTTTTCTCTCCTTTCTTCACTTGTTCTGACTTTTATTGCTCGGACGTTTCATTGTGGTGCCCACCGGTCTGAACCACTCTTTCTCGCTGATTTGAATCCAAGCTTTTGTTGTATTTGTTTGAAAAGAAGGGTGTCATAAAATTCTTTGAGAATAGTCAATCAAAAATGTGGAAGACTGAGAGAGAAAGCTGAAAATCAAAAAAAAAATGCAGTACAAAGGTCATTTTAGTCTTTAACGAGCTGATAGAATGACAAAAAGAAGAACTACCAGAAAATTTGAAAAACTCGATATTCACGGCTTCTTAACTTTGTAGAGGTTCAAAATTTCAAGGAAGCTTTTGTCCTCGCCAGTCATTTTTTCTGTTGAAAATAAACAAACTGAAGTGAATTTGCTCTGGATTTTCATTCAGTTATAATAATAGGTTTTTTTGCACTGCATACTGTTAGAAAATAATAATTAAAATAGTTCAGAATAAGAATTCATTATATAAAATTCGTCTCAAACACCAAAAGCTCTTGAACCTCTACGAAAGTTTATATTTTTTGAGCTCTATCTAAAAGAAAGGTACACAAGGCGTTGCAAAATCCATTCTCCTACAGCAGAAAAACTGCGGTTTAAGACAAAGAAAAATCGTGTGATCCCTACAGCTTGCTCCTTTGGTGTCGCTCAAGAACAACTCAAACAATGTTACCACTTTAACTGCGCCTGCCGAAGCATGTAGAAAAAGTGATTTGTGGAGTTGATTACTAGAGAGTTCTTCGAAGAATGTTTCGAGAAATCATTTTTTGAGATACCCTAACTATCAAAAAGAAAATAAGAACAATGCTTTTTTTTGGAGACATTTAATAAGCTTTCAAAGTTGTCCAGCTCAAAGAAGCAACGAAAGTAACCAAATCAAGAGTGCCGACTTTGAAGTCCATGGTAACGTTGAAGGCACGCAAAAATTCATAGTTTGATGATTTATTGGACATCGTATGGAATCTGGATGGAAAAACAACATTTAACATGAAGCTCACAAAGAATAGTTCATTCTAAATCTTAAGAATCTAGAAAAACCTAGGGAAACGAGAGAAACAAACATAAACCAGTTTGAGAAGAAAGATTTAGGCATGAATGTCAGTTTCCCAGGTGTTCTCAATCCAGTTGAACTTCCACTCGTCAGGATGGCCGACGTGCTTGACTCGGTCCTTCTAAAAGTTCGAACTAAAAACTGTTCGTTGTCCTTTTTAGAAAAAAAAGTTACTCAACAGAAATAAGCATCTGGCAGAACTAAAAGTTATTTTGTGTTATGAATCCTCAAGAGTCAAAGGAAAGCTTTAAACCCGAAAAGCTGCAGTTTAAAATGTTTGAGATCTTTATCTGATAACCATAGAGTTCTCTGACCAATTTCTCAAGAATTCTAATAAAAAAATGAAAATAACAGAATTACAGCAACTCCCAGTTTTTTTGGGAATAAAACTTACGAAGTCAAATTGACTCCACTTGAAAGAAGGAACCTTGCCCCAGGTCGGACCTCCTTGAGCGCGGAATCGCAAACTCTTCATCAAAGCGACGTTGGTTCCCTGAATAAATCCAGAACTGAATGCTGATATCTCATTTTGAGAACCTTGTAGTCAAGAGCTCCATGATTGACGTGGCCTTGTCCGGGGAACTCATAAGTTCCGTTAGCTGGGTTGAGATCTCCTCTGGCGGAAATTCCAGCCTCGGCCGAGTACGGCGGGTTGCATTTGCACTTGGAGAACTCGTCGTGCGTGTAGTCGTTGTATCTGGAAAGACGTTTCTTTTTTTCTTTTTTTGATTGATTGTATAAATTAAAAACACTGAATTCACTGAATTATAAGAAAAGCAAAAGTATTTTAATTGATGCTAGTTTAAAATTACGACGCCAACTTCATCGAGATTCTTTCAGAAACTCCTTAATGTAATGGATGAAGGCTTCCTCATAGTGAAGAAACATTGGAATTCAAAACTCAAACTAATCCAATATAACTTCTGAACCTCATCAAAGCCGTGAGGGTGTCAAGATCTTTGACGTTACTGTGATCGCGAGCGAAAATTTTGGCACGCGGCGAAGCTCCCCAACGGAACCAGTCTCCCAATTTATCAGCCTAAATTCGCTTTTTTCGAGTTTTTACTCTACAAGCGAGCTACCTGCTGGATGAAACCGCTAACTTCAGTGATTTCCTTGAAGAAAGGAATGTTGTAGGATGGGAAGTAGCTGTACTTTTCGAGGAACCAGGTCAAATCACCGTAGACAATGTTGCCACTGAAAAATGATGTATAAGTTGTTTTACAATTCAAAGAAACTCACGGCATTTGCTCGAGGACGTAGAGGAGACCATTTCTGGCAAGAGGCTTGTTTGGCGTGAATTTTTTGTAGTTAAGAACGATCCTAAAACACTTTATGAAGATTAATTTCTATTATATTGTAACTTACCACTGGTTGTTGTATGTTCCAGAGTTGTAGCGCGAATAGATCTTACACCATTCCAGACCGTCACGAGCAAGTTGGTTCGAAATGATTGCACGAACCCAGGTTGGAAGCTGAAAGTATTCATCTTTTTGGAATCTTTTCAAAATTCCATACTATTTTTGTTCAAACTTCAAATATTGAATCATTTTTCATACCTGTCCGGTAGGCTTGGTGTTTATGAAAAGAGAAACGTTGAACACGCTGATAGTGGTTTCGATGACAGCCTGGATTGATCCGAATTGAACTTTATGGAAAAAAAAAGCCTTACAAGGCCAGAAGACTGAAGAGCGAAATCATCTGAAGAGTAAAGAACTCCAGGGTAAGACGAAAACGAGGTAGCATATCCAGGATAAAATTCGCGGTCTACAAAGACTCATATATTTTCTGAAATGAAGTAATATCTACCGTAGGCAAACTTGTAGAGCTTCAGAACGCGAAGCATGTTTTGGAAACCACTCATCGTGACTTGCGAGATGAAAAGATCGGCGAAGCCTGGTGCCACCTTCAACTTGAATGTTTCTCAAATGAAATGAAGAAAAATTTACCTTTATGAGTCCTGAGCACTTTCCACCGGTTTGATCCATAACTGGGTCCCGAGTTTTGTTCAGCTTCTTCTCCAAGTCATAAAAATCACCGTTCAAGTTGAGATACCTGCATTTCAAATCAAAATACTTTTTCTCAACGTTCATACTAACAAGATAGGGTGAAGCTCGTAGGTAATTCTGGGGTTGAAGTCTCGCTTCTCGTAAGCATCGATCAATCCGGAAAGTTGGTAGTAGGTGCGGTTCACCTGAATTTCTTATCAAGGAAGCATAAATTGTTCAGAACATACAGCTCCCCAGTAAATGTCATCGGATGGATGTTTTTCCAACTCAGACTTAATCCAGTTCTGGTTTTCTGTCAGAAAACCTTCAAGCCGCGAGCAATACTGGGTGAAGTTCTTGCAGTAATCGTTCATGGCATTTTCCAGATGGTATCCGAGAACAGTGTGTGAGAGAACTCCTGAAAACTTGATAATTTCATTTTTGTGAATATTTTAGCAACCTTCAAGATAGCCGGCAGCATAGGCCTGGAGCTCTGGCTCATATCCACCTCGGGTTTCCACCTCGAGAAAGGTCCATCTACAAATATTTGCGTCATCTTATTTCATAAATCATTTCCCGATTGGCAAACTTGATCACTGGAGTTTCCACAGATAGGGTTAAACTGGCTTATCACTGAGAAGATTAATTTGGTTGTCCTTATTATCTACGATTAAAAAGCGGCTGAAAGGTATTTTTATCTGGTTTTTTTCTCAGTTGATTACAACGATATCAAGGAAAAGACAGGAGTCATATAAAAATGTTTAAAAAAAAATTTCTTGCATTTCAAACTCCTCTTAAAAATAAGGTTTTTTTGAATCGAAAAGATTTACCCAGTTGTATTAACTGCGTTCTTCCAACGAGCAACAGCAACTTGGTAACGGCAATCAAATCCTGAGATGATTCTGTACTTTCTTTGATAAGAACTCCAGGAAAACCGTCTTGAATTGAAGGCTTGTTGTCAACGATGCACAGTTGCTTGTAGGTGTACTTCTCGTCTCTGCCTTCCTAAACTTTTATAACTTGTAAAATTTAGTTTCTGAAGTCCTAGCTCACCTGGCTGTCTTCAGCAAAAACGGATGCAGCGACAAAAACTGCTGAAAAAGATTAAGTAAAAAAAATTCTTCTTTTTCAGTCAGTTAAAATGTATGTAAAATAACTAACCTAACAATAAGTACTTGAGCATCTTGCGACGACGGCTGCGTAAACCAGGGCCGCACCAAATGCTTATCAAGGCTTTTTCCTTGTCGGACCATTTTATCTGGCTCTTATCATTAAAATACTGCCGAAATCATCTTTTTTCTCTACAGCTACCAACAGACTTTGCTTTTGAAATTTGCGATCATTGGGTTCTAACGAAATAATTGAAAAATCGCATTGAGAATAATAAGTTTCAAATAAATTTCTAGAATGCTTCGCTTCTTTGAAAACTCGGAAAATTGTCGCTTTTTTTTAAATGTCTGTTTCTACTTTGTCTTTGTTTATGGCGTGAAGTTTAAAAAAACTTTGAATTCCATTTTTATTATAAAAAAACGGCATAGTGACGAAATAACAACAAAAAAAGGTTGAGCAGAGGAGATCAGAAATATTTACATTTAACATCGAATTTGTTTCTCTTGGTAAAATTTCTTTACAAAAAAATTCAAAAAAATCTGCGACAAATGAGAAAAACCAACGGGAAATGTACACAGAGTAATAGATTGCCGGTAATTAATTCATGACAAAATAATGATTAAACAATTGCAATGGATTGAAAGAAGCTCAAGGAAATGCAAATAATCTTGGAAAAAACTCACGAGGAAAGTTTAAAAGTTCAGAGGCTTTTGGTATTCAATCTCAAGACTTTTGAGATTTTTTGAAAATTTTACAAGTTTTTTTCGAAATTCTTCAAAGGTCTTTGGAATTGAAGGATTCCAGTTCGCGTGTGGCAAAACTCATTCCGTTGGAAGGGAGCGGGCTAGGAATAAAGCAGGACAGCGCGATAAACGGCCAACGGGCTCCCAACGACTGTCGGAGGTTTTCAAGAAATCCAAGCTGGTAGGCGTGGATATCCTGAAATTACTTATGCTCCCAATTCTGATAAACAATTTTAAAAGCTCCAGTTCCCATTATAGATACAAAAAAAACCAACCATGAGATATTCCACGCGAGTTTGACCTTTGACGAGGCAGAAGATCTGCGCAGCCAGTAAGTACGTGGCAAACATCAGCACGGTGAAGGTGAACACGAAAAGAACCACGTGGATGAATTGGCTCCAGGTGAGAAATCTATAAATAAACGTTCTCCAAAAGAATATCTTAATGAAACTGAGCTACTTTAATTAAAAGAGATTGTCATTAAAGAAAATTCTCTTATTGAAATTTATACAGACTTTCTCAATCTTTTTTTTTTGGTTGCAAATTTGTGATCGTACAAAAACTGTTATTCAATATCCTCTGAAAAAAACTTAGACCAAATTAACTTTATTGGGATATTTGAAGTTCCGTTTATTCGAGCCAACCTTGTGATGAATGCAACATGTGGAAGCATTATTTGCCAGAAGCGACCAGCAGTGATCCCACCATCCAACTTTGAGGACATCAGGCTCCAGTCATAGCTAAAACCCTAATTTATTTTTGAAAATGCCATTTTTCCATACCTGACTAATGGGGCAACCAATAGCCATAGGTTGATAGCAGCCGCTACAAAATATCTGGAAAATCAAGTTTTGAATAAGGAGAATAGCTAAACCGTAAATCTCAGTATTTTATTCAGTATTTGTCAAAAAAGTTAATGTGCGCGTAAGCAAAAACCTTCAGAAGAAAAAATTTCCCTGAGATAAAAAAGACTCAGTTGATTAAATACATCAAATCATGTTGGTAAATTCTGGAAAAATGTTGTGAATCTCTGAAAATTTAATATTCTCTGTAAATTTTGAATTTAAACGCTTTATCAATAAATCGAAAAAAAATGTTACAACAAAAATATTTAAACCTTTGGTTGAAATGTCCTACACAGACAGCTCCAAATGAGCAATGGTGATCACGGCGAAGAACACAAACATCGCAAACTGCAAAATGAATACTAGTTATGTATTTAAAACTTGTGTAACATTTTCTCCAGTTCATAAATAAACTAATAATACAAACCTGGACAATGATGAGCTCTAGGAGGGGCGTTTGTGTGGCAGGCATGACAGTATCTTAAATTTCAGAGTGTCCGGCGAAAAAATAATTGAAAATAACCTAAATCCTGCTTTTACAACGTTCGGAAGGATGGTATTCCTTCCACTGGGTCCCACACGGACCATGAAGAACCAGTTGGAGTACAAATTAAAGGCGAAAAACAACAGGATTGATGTTCGAATGACCCACGCTGAAGCTGAACACTAATGACCGAACAATAATTGGCACCAAACCTTCTCCGAAAGCAGGAAACCAGGTTGAAAGTACATAGAAGAGATGCAAAAGCACACCCAAAGGCAAAACAACCAGCAAAAGAGCCGTAGCAATCTGAAATCAAACATTTGAAAAAAGGAATGATTTTGAAGAAAACTTACAATGTCTTGGGTTTGACTCGGGATCAACCGGTAGAGCTTCTTATTCAAGTCGTTGTCTTCATATTCATCGCCGAAGCTCCCGTGCAACTTCATTCTGGAAAAAAAAGAAGAATATTATTCCTACATTTTAAAAGTTCGAAATGAAATAACACGAGTCAGTTCGAAACGTAATTTGATCGAAAATTTCAAAGAAGGTTTCCAGGCGCTTGAGTTTCTTTTATGAATAATGATAGAAGGGACGCAGCACCTTAAGCTATTTTTGAGAATTTTACAAGCAAAGAAATTTCAGGACCAAAAATTATTCGATACTACATTAAGTTTTTGACAATTCGATTTTTATGAGGTTATAACACGACACGATGAATCATGATATTCAAATTTCGAAATGGTAAAACTGCTATCACGAGTCATTGCTGGATTTTCCAATAGTTTGACTAAAACAAAATAGCAGAATCTTGAAGTTGTTTTTTTTAAAATAAACAATATAGAAAAGTAGAAATGAAAGAAAAATTAGCGAAACAAAAAATTCCAACTCAAAAGATCGCGATCAAAAATTTCCCTTCATGGTTTTCAATAATGCTGTTGATTTTTTAAAAGTTTCAACGACAGAGAATTTGAGAACAACAAACAAACATATATTTAACACTATAAATATGCTTTTTGTGAGTGAACTTATGAAATTTAATAGAAAAATCGGAAGACAGAAATTGGAAAAAGTTTAAATGTCTTCCTTCATTTTTAGAAAAAGCGAGAGCTAGTAGTAAAGTTGGGAAAGCCAGAAAGCAGCAGGGTGGAGCCGCTTGCCAATGAATGAATATACACGCTGCGTCTCTGGCTAGGTCCCTTGACTCTGCCAAACAACCAACCTTGCGCCGTTGTTTACCACTGATCGGTAAGAGTTGAATAAACCACCAAACGGACGGCACGTTCGAAGTAACTACGCAACATGTTTTGCGAAGAAAAAAAAATTGATAGAAGCTATGCGAGACATTTTTAGTGAAGAGACCTCTTCTTAAAAATCTTCCGAAAAAAAATTCTGAATTCTTTTTTCACACCCATTCTTAACTAAAATGAAACGATTTTTTTCTTTTTTTCGACTTTATGAATGTTTTTTTAAAAGTTTTTCATAGGTTTAATTATAAAAAAAGGCATAGCCACGAAATAATTTTAAAAATCCTTTTTGTTTACAACCGAAGACAAAGATGAACCACTTTTTCTGTCAATAAAAAAACGGGTTCTGTTTTTTAAAAAAATAAGACGTAGACGTTTGATACTACACACTAAGAGAAAACGTAATCTATTTTATTGTGATTTTTCTGAACTTCAACAAAACTTCATTTCTGTCACTAATTTTGAAAGACATGATATTATTACCAACAATGAGCAAATTGAGAAAAATTCACAAAAAAGAGCTAATAAGCCTGAGCAGCAGACAAAATCGTAAAAGAAAGCAACTATTGGAGTGAGACGGGCAAAAAAGTTTGAGAGCATAAAATGGGGTATTGCACGGGGAATTAATGCACACAGGGAACTTGAAAAAAAAAAAAATAAAATGATATAATTATTCAATATGGCGAATTTGAGCGAATGATAAAAATTGTGAAGGAAACTGTATTGGTGTTATGGGTTGATGAGAAGAAAAAAAATCATATTTTTTGTGGTACTAGCACATTGGCTTAGCTTCTTTCAATGATCCATCGGCTTCAAAAAGACCCAAATCATCAACAGCACAAGCTCCCTGGTTGGTTCTCGTGTTTTCGCAAAGGAAGATAACCTGAAACTACGACGTTGAATGTATCTTAATCTTTCAAATCACCTTGTCAGTTCCTTTCGGACATTTGAATGAAGCCGTTTTCCAAACACGGTCTGATACTGTCACGAAACGATCAGAACTAAAAGGACAGTTTTCGATTGTAGAGCAGCATCCTGGAAACAGCTCCACGTTGACCCGATCATTTGACAAATTTAAAATTGTCGCAGACGATTTTTCTATCTGTCTACCCGCTGTCTAGAGAAAATCTTTGAACACAGCCTCAACATGATCCGCGAGACAGTGTGAAACTTTTTTTTTTTTGAGAAGTTTATGTATTAGTTTATATGATTACAGTTACAGGTAAATGACAATTTTTTTGGCAGTTCCATGATAGCAGCTCTCATTTTGCAGTCACATGATAGTAGCTTTTATTTGGCAGTCCCAAAATTACTCGAAAAAGGCCCTTCTTGGCAGTCCTAGAGTTCTGGCAGCTCTCATATGGAAAGAAGTAAAATTCGAGTAATCACTCGCCGCACATTTCGAGTTTCCTACCTTTAAGTTGAACTCCATGAGTTCCTTCGTAGTATTGGAATCGCAGACGAGACACTTCCGTGAAAGGTTCAGTTGTAGCTTCAAGTCCGGCCATTTCTCGTGGGAACAAGAAAGTGGCAGCATAATAATCTCCTTCTGAAAATTTTCCGCATCAAAATAGAATAGAAAGTTTTATTAACCAATGCTTTCTTTGACTCCAGTAACTCTGTTCATGAACTGGCCGCTGACTACTCGGAACTTAGTAGTGAGGCCTCGGATTGACTGTTTTTGGTGAGCATCGACGTAGTTGCAAGTGTTTCCTCAAATATACTTGTTTATCAAGTTCGAATGTTCAAAAACAAAAAGAATTGAATTTTTTTCAAAAAAATTTCTCAAAAAAATGGTAATTCTCACCGTTTTTCAAAGTCACATTTTGTCGCGTTGCAAATCGATTCGCTAAAATCAGCAGTCTTCGCGCCCTTGGCAACAATTTTCCCATCAGGAAGTTTTGCTCTGAGTTGTATAACTTTTGATAAACTTGGAACGTTTTAAAATACGTTTTAACACTGGTGAAGACAGTTTCCTCAGCATGATCGGTACCAACTGCAGCGTTTCCTGGCCAAACTTGAACAGATTCTTTGGCTCCAGCGGCTCCCCAAGATCCTCCTGAGGCTGATCCTATAATTTTTGTGTCTCTCTTTTTTTTTGTTGATAACTGAGAGATGTGCGATTGATCTAGTTATCTCTCAAAGTCTAGTCACACAATAATATTCTCCTACCGTCAGATGAACCGCCAAACGCCTTTTCGCCGCCGCGGAAGCCTTGGGAACCGAAGCGCTCGCTAGCTGGTACCAAATGACCCTCACCACCTTGAATTCTTTCAAGCTTTTCGCGTTTTTTCGCTGATTCTTGCTCAGTCGCTCCTTCCTCAAAAAAAAGAAATTTTAAAAAAACAAAGAAGGAGAAAACAAGAAAATAGCATAGCATAAGAAAATAGTGAGCGTTTTCGCCTAAACTTTGATGTATAGCCCTTTTTGGGCCCTAAACGTCACAATGGAGGTTTTCTTTTACAAAAGTGATGAACATCAACAAATAAAATACCCAATGGTTGTAGGTTTTCTGGCCCTGAGCAGCGGTGCGAGTTTGAGTTCCAGCGTTGGCAGAAGTTTCTCCCAGGTTTTCTTGATCAACTTCTTGGTCAACCTCTTCGAACTAAACAGCTTTTTGAAAAGTGTGTGCCTTGCGTTTTTCACCTGATTCTGGCATTCTTCCCCATTTCGATCATATGAAACCTCGATGTCGTCTAAAAGAGCAATATCTCCTTGCTCACCCACAAAGTTCGAAGCCACGAAAACTATCTGAGAAACCTTCTCATTCTTTTTTCATTCATTTGACTCACATCGACGAGGGAAGTCTTTGGAAGAACGACTTCGGTGGTTCCCATTCCATTAACATTCGGGAATTCTTGGCAGTTGAGAAGAGGATTCCGGTCGGCGTTGGTTGGGAAAGATTCTCGAAGGCATACTTGCAAAAGCACGTTTTCGGACTGCCAATGTCTGAAAAAGTTCTTTCCTTCCGTTTGACTCTTCCTGATGAGCTCACTTGGCTCGAACGATGATATCGCTAGAGGCACAGCCGATGGAGCAAGAAGCAAATTGAGCTTCATCCGACGGAGCGGCACCTTTTGCATAAGCCACGAGGTAGCTGCCAGCTAAATTGTCGACAAGGTTGGAACGATTTCCAAAATTAAAAAAAAAAGACAAAATCTCAAAAAAAAAACAAAAATACTTTTGATGATAGCTGTAAAATCGTTTTTTTTTTTTGAGTTAGACCAAGAGAGACCATCCTTCCCCTCCTATCAGAATGTTGACGGGGATTGGCTTTCATAAAACTTTCGATTTTTCGGCTACTTTCCGCAGAAGGAAGGATTGACCTCAGGTCACTCTCCAGTGAAATTGAGTTCTTGCGGCGCGAGGAACACGATAAAAAAAGATGAAAGTCCAGTAGTTCGATGACGTGAGATCATCGTGAGAACATATTTCTTTTTTCACAAAGCTCGGTTTCTTCAAATGAACTTACTTGGAATGGGAACATTGCGATTTTGGAGTTGCGTTGGAACTCCGCTGGCAGTGTGCCAATCAAGTTGATCTTCTGGAGGAGGTACGTTGGCCCAACAGCATGGCCGTCCGTCAAAGTTGCAAGTCAAAGCACTTCCTGAAACATTTTTGCTGAAGGCTTTGTGTTGAAAAGAATTGACCTGAGGTGACAGGACCACCTCCTTCAGCATTGTAGCCATCAGCGGTGAATTCAGCTAATGCAACTTTCTGTCCTAAGAGCGCTGAAAATTCTCATAGTGTCAGATATCTGGAAAAGATTTCTGACAAGGAAAATGAGTGAAGTGAACATCGCAAGTCTGGTCCAAACTTTTTTTGTAGATAGTCCTAGGTGTGAGCACTCGAAAATTAAAAAAAAATCTCCTTAGGGTACTGAGGAATAGCTTCTCGAGGATGTACGCAAAAGGCTCAAAAACTGATCCTCTTCGGTTTTTCTAATACTAAAACGTCTACTGTTATTCACTGCATGTTGAGAAACTTTTTTTTACAAAAAAACCCAATGAGAATTCGTTTTTGAGCATTTCTTGTACAGTTTTAACAGTCTATTTCTCGGTACCCTATGACGCTTAGCAGATAATTCTTTTTTTTTTCATGAGTACTCATATCTGAGACTACCTAACACAGAAGTTTGAACCATATCTGCGATGCTCACCTTACACACTCGTGAGCTTGTTTTTCAAATTCATAAAAATGAGAAAATTGGACCGGCTATATTTTTCAAATCATTTTTTGATTAAATTTCTTTTTTATTGTTCAATATTTACGCCTATCTGAATGAATTCCCTACCAAAATCCACCCTGTCTATCAAGCTTCTTAAAAATTTCAAGCATCTTAACCATTCAAGGAAATCACAAAAAAAACGAGAAGTGAAGCAGACATGGCCAGTCACTCTGCTAATTCGGGAAAGATCATTAATCGGATCGTTGGAGTGACCAATCGCTGGAATTTCTTTGCGAAATATTGCGCGCAAGTTAAAGTGCAACCAGACATGTCTCCCGTTTGACGCCGACAGACCCTTCAAATCCACTTTTTTCCGTCTTTCAGATCAACTTCCCTTTTAAACCAAGAATCCATTAAAATTTTCCAATTTAGTAGGTTTTCCCTGAATATAATTTTATTTTGGTAAGATGCTGAAAGATTCAAAACAATTTTACCCAAATATCCAAAACATAATACTTGCGATTGAATTTTGTCTGCGATCCAAAATTGGAGGAAGGATTTGAGAGGATGAGGTCAACGATACGGGTGTTGCCTTTGAAATGGATGAAAAGACAAGAATTCCCGCTGTGATTCACCTCTTTTCTTCAAACCGAAGAAAATAGATCACATTCAGCTTAGGCGCACCGTTATGGTCGCTTTTTATGGGCACGTGGATATTAATCGGCTGTATAAAGCTTATTCTACTGCTTCTTATAATGATTCAAGTTTCTTCCTTTTTATATCAAAAGATCAATGAGAGAACAATTTTCAAAACTTCCTGTCGATTTTTTTCACTTTAAAGTCAAAATTTTTGGGCTTATTACTCCTTTAATTCCGAATGAACCAGCGCAAGATGAGAAAAAAGAAGAATTCTAACAATACGTTCAGAAAGAGACAGAAAGTTTAGCAAAAATGATTGAATCCGGATGGCTTGAACAGAATAAATAATGCTGCACTTGAGACTGCCAATTCTATAATTGAACATTTGGTTCTGTCGCTAGTATTAAAAGGCTAAAACAATTCTCACATCTACCCAGTTTATTCTCACATATTTCATTGATAAATTGGATTAAAGGAAAGAACTAACACTCAAAAGAGCTGCCTTGAACTGGAATTGGCTGATTGTGGCCAGCAGGAGCGATTCGAGCTCCAGCGGCGACGACCTGCGGCTGGACGGCAACGGGCTGTTGCGCCTGAGAACAACCGCAGCATTGTGGAGTGCACTGCATTTGACACCTGGTTAGAGCGTGCACCATTCCTGTTACGTCATCACTCCTTCACATCACACGCTAATGGTTATTTGAAGCCGAGCGCATGCATTCTTGCTTTAGCCTCATTTTCAAAATGAAAAATCTGTTATTTTACAATTTTTTCCAATTTTTTTTCTCTGTCTGTTTTAAAACGATTGCCGAGTATAATTATTTTTTTAAAGATCAAGGGATTTTTTTTCGAAATAGTATGAATATACTTAAAAATGAGGTTGCGGAAATTTGGTTTTTAAGTACTTTTGCCCTTTGGTAACTTTTTTTCAAACAGGAAATATTTCCAACTTTCGCATGCATAGTTTTGAAATTCGGATTGTTAATAAACAGGTGAACACAATTCATTTGTTAGGAAAATTGTTTCGAATAGTGCATTCACGGTATCATAAAGCATTCTCAATATCAGTGATACTTGTGATGGTTGATTAGAAAAATAATTGACCGGAAAATTTACCCCAGCAAATTGCTGCGTCGGCGTTCCGTACTGATACGACCTTTGCGAAGTGGGGAAGCAGGTTAATCCGCCTGAAAAAAGACACTTTCTCTTCAAGGTTGCAAAAGACGCCACGGGTGGAGGAACTTAAAAAAAATGAAGTAAGTCATACAGAATTCCACAAATATTTACTGTTTCACATAATCAACTGCCTACAGAATATTCATTACGATTCTATGTTTTTTATCTTTTCCTCGGAATGTACTCGGATTTATTCTCGTGAAACGGTTTGCGGTGTTGTGTTCCAAGAATGAAAGCCGCCGAGATTGGAATCGTCAACCGGTTCAGCTCTTCCAAAGCATCATAAAGATTCTCGACCGTTTTCACGGATTTCCCCGATATCGCACTATTCATCTCCCAAAATTTCAACGCAGAATTTTTCAATTGTTTCCGATGTCTTTAAACCTGTTTTTCACAATGAACACGATCTAGAATCCTTGAAATGAGATGGGTTATTCAAAAGGGCCAGAATCGACATATAAAACCGACACTGGGAAAAAACATAGTCTACAATAATATTTTACAACGTTTGCAAACGAAATAATTGGGCGAGTGAAAAGAAATGTCTAGAAAATCTAACAAATAATAAAAAAAAGCTAAAAACTTTAAATGTATCCTAAAGTTTGTGGAAGTTCTCGATGAGAATAAGAGGGAAACTTTTTGTCAATAACGTACGGCAATGCCCGTATTAGTGCTTGAATATCTCCTGATTTAACTCTGTTTGATTTGGACATTTTAGGAAAAAAAAGTTAATAAAGCAAACTCTGAAAGTGTGACCTTATAAAAATTTTTAGGTGTTTGAAAGATTGGAAGCTGTGTTTTTGTAAAAGCGCGAATGCCGACAAAAAAAACGAAAAAAATTTTCCTGGCTTGCGCTTGACTTTTCTATTGCGAAATGGTTTGAAGATTGAAACTCCACGACTCCTTTCAAATCAATCATCTTCAAACTACAATAAGAATTGGATCCGGAGCCTTTGCCCGATGAGACTTGTAAGGGAAACCCCATAAAAGTCATTTTTTGTGGATGACTGCTTATGTGAACCGCACCCAGGACTGCCTAAACTGGTTTTGTTTCCTTCTTGTGGTCGAGGCTTCTTTTTTGCGCGGATCGCCAGGGTTGACTTTTTTTCGCTTGAGTCGAGTCTATATGAATAGGTTGAAAAGAGAGGGGTAAGTCCAGTTTGAGTGTTTCACTAATTCAAAATGGAAAAAAGGGCAGAGATCATTCTAGGAGAAAAAAAAGACTAAGTCGAGATAGTCGGTAAAAAACTTCAAAAAAAGGGAATAAACAAAATAAACAGTTTTGAATAACAAACTATTATCTCCTGAAATCAACTCAAGACAGTTTGATCAAAAATGGACACAAGTAGATAGCCTTTTTTTCAAATTTGATCTATTCAAAATCTAAAAAAAGAAAGCTTCAATAAAGTAACGCTCCGTTTTGAAAAAAATTTTTTTTTTGATTCAAAGTTCAAATTTACTAGAAAAAACAGAGGCAGTGCATTCTAAAAAGAACTAAGAGTCGACTGATATTATGAATCCTTGCAAAAAAATTCAAAAGAGATTTGAAACGTTGTTTAAAAAGAATTCAAAGGGAAACAATGCGATAAAAAAATTTCTCAAATTGAAAATCTAAGGATTATCTCAAAAAAACGCTGATGAACTTGGTCTTGAACGAAATTGGAGAAAAAAAGTTGAGATTTAGTTAGAAAGAAAAAAAAGAAACTATCCTGAAAAAATTAAAAAAGATGCTAGAAAATATCAACAAGCATGATCGAATAATTTGAACTAACTTTCAGAAAAATCACGAAAAAAAGAGAAATTGAGCTTGTCGCGCATAAAAAAAGCTTCATCGAGATATGAATTTCGACAGAAAACAAAAAAAAAATCAGACCTTGAACAAGGAGCAGAAGCAAGCCGAGGTGCTTCATCTCTGGAAACAGAAAGTAAAAGGCGGCGTGAGGCCGTGCTGTCGATTCGGGTGGGTCGGCTGCGAGATAAGGATAAGTTGACACGAAGAGGTGGGCGGAGTTCGTGGAACGGCCTTCCTCCTGTCTTTCTTCTCAACCACCGGTCCTCCGATTCGAAATCCGCCGACGCCGCCGTCACCGACGCCGCAGCCACCGGCTGATTCTCCCCGCTCTTGGTCTCCTTCGTCGCCTGCGGCGGCTAGAGCGGCCTCGTTTCAATCTGACCCAGTTTGGCTTCAGAGGTCCGATCACTCGCTTCCTGTCGCTGCCAAGGAGCTTTGCAGAGATGCCAACATCTGACTAAGCTTGATTTTGAAACAAGCGATGAAAAGAAACATTTGCAAACAGAATATTTTATCTTTCTCCCCTGAACTCAATTTCAGTGATTTTTTCGACATCCTGAACTTTGAGAGGATCAGAATATTCATAAGACCCAAATGTGAGGCTCAACGGATGAAATCAGAGAAAAGCAAAAGAGTAGCAATTAAACTTAGAACGTTCTTCAATCTGCAAAACTTACTCTCGATGAAGTCATCGAAACCTAGAGTATGCAGAATGTCTGGGAAAGGCCAATATGGGTAAGAAACAATTAAAAAAATGAAAGAGGCCAGGCGTGAAAAAAATTTTCCCGTTTTTCTTGAAATCAAAAATCTTCATGAGCTGTTCTAAATGGGGTTTTGCCATTCGCTGAAAATTTTTTCAAAAACTCCTTCTTTGGCCCACGAGCAGATTGATATATAAGGCCGAAGTTTTTGCTGATTTTTTTGTTGCGAATAGAAAAAAGTGAAAACCAACGGTCCGCGACATAATTAAGCTACTGAACTTCGCGGAAAAAATTTCAGAAAAACTTTTGTCGCGACTTTTCTTTTCGATCTCAGAACAAGCGGCATTTGACAGCATTTTTCAACAATTTGATGAGAAAATAGCTAGCTAGATTTTATCATTCCGCTTGAGAAGGAATAAATCAAGTCTGATGCGTCATTTTCGTTTGATTTCTGATGCGTGGGATAGGCTAAGACGACGAGCGGCGTTTATCATCGCAGGCGGGCGAGAATTTCAAGCAAATGTCCAGAAAAAACATAATTGGAATTGTAAGCAGCCAGTTTGGTGTTATGGTTTGTATTGACTTACCGAGAAAAACAAGTTTACTGTCTTTTAATTTTTTTTAAGGATACGAAAAGCTTTTCGACAGGTTTTTGAAACAGTTTATTCGAAAGCATGCAAGTTCGAAAAATATTGAGAGCATCACTGAATTGATTATTGATTGACAAGTTGGACGAGATCTTCAAGAAAAAACACGCATTAAGGGGACTGAGGGGATTTACATGGAAGGTTCAAACTACTGAGTTGTGCGTCTGCGAATCTTGGCTTCTGCGCAAGGAACACGTTCTTGTTATCTGTAATTTTGAAACTGTGAATTAAGTTCAGTTCGATCTATATAAGTTTTGAAATTTTTTTTTTATGATTCGACCGTCATGCAGCTCCAAAAAGTTACTTTTGTACTTCTGAAAGAATTAGCAGCCGCAACCAAAAAAATGATTCGGAAAAAAATGAAAAACGAAAGATAGAAAGCAAACTCACAACAAAAAGCGGAAATCTTATTCATTAAGCACCACGATACTTTTGTGGGCGACACTGCTCCGTTTGCAGACCTTTATTTTTTGGGTTTTCCGAAATCAGTCTCACTGAATACCACCACTGCAAATGACCCGAAAACGTGCGAAGCAAAAAAAAATAAAAAGAAAACCAAACTATAAAATATTTTCAACTTACAGGTCGATCCGTTTTGAGCGGCATGTTTACTTCGAGCTCTTTTTTCCGAGAGCTCACGTTTTTCCGTTTTGAGCTTCTTAACAACTTTCTAACGATCCAGTTTTAACAGATTACAAAAGTTCAAAACCTTGAAGAAGATTTGTCACCCCTGCTGTTTCCATCTCTGGAACGTGTTTTGGAAGAAGCCCGAGATCTAAGACTTGTCCATTGCGACCGTAGCTTAATTTTGAAATTAAGTTCAAAATTCCGAATGGAACGTACCTGTCTTCTTAAAGCTGGTGTTCTGGCGACAACTATCAAAGGGTTCAGAACAGGATCGACAAAAGCCAAAATTCGAGCGTAGTGGTACCTGTCAAGCATTAGTTTAAGACATATTATTTTTCTATAAAGTTAAAATTGATTTTATAGGAAATCTTATGATATCTCACTTCATCCGTGAATTTTGAAATTTTACTTCTGTTCCTCAGTTTCCCAAAAGTTTTTGAATTTTATTGAAAAATCATCGTGATTTTCCAAAAACAGCTTGACAATATAATACTTATCAGCTCTACTACGCTCTCAAAATAATCCTTTTTCTCATTGTTCTGATCATCCTTCCTGTGAACCGGCAACATATAATTTCATCAATCCAATCGAACAAAAAAAAACACGGGAAAAGAAAAAAACCATTTTGACAAAGTAGCAATATCCTCGCGCTCATTGACCCAAAACACGGCGATTTCGATGTAGGTTTGGCCCATGACGGACAAGAAAAACGTGACGATCGACAAGATGAGAGTGTGGAATAGCCTCTCGCGTCTGCGATGAGGCGATTGTGCACTGGAAAACCACAAACTTTTGGACTAAATCCATTAAAAGAGCAAAAAAATTATTTTCAATTTTTTTTTGTCAAAATGAAGATATGCAAAATACCGCAGTTCGGTGTGTACGATCTCGTGTTGGCGCCTGACTTTAAGGTGATAAGTAACAGTTATCACAAAGATGATGATAGAAGCTGACAAGAAAAGAACGGTAAACATTGTATGACCCTGAAAACTTTTTTTAGTTTAGTTTTAGAAAAACTGAGAGAAACAATTAAAACCCAAAACGTCAAAAATCAGTTTCTCCAAGAAGAAAAAAATTTTTCAAAGCGAGTTTTTTTAGGGATTACAGGTTATGCAGATTAAAACCTCCGTAATTTTTTTATTTGAAACTTTCTAGCCGTTTGAGGGCGAAATATAATGTGTTTTATTTTTAATCTTTCGATTTCATAGCAATACCCGAAGAAGATATGCGCCGAAAGCGTGAAACACTGCAGTCCGATCACAGTGAGACGCAATTTCCTCGTATCCAGAATGTAGGGTCCTGTAAAGCAAATCGTAATTAGAAAACGGAGGCGGATGAGATCAGAATGAAGAAATCTCTTTGAGAAAAGAGATTTCTTTGGAGTTCATTAGCTCAAGTGTGTTATCTCACCGATTGCACTTAAGTGATCCTCGGCCTTTAGCCAACGTCAAAAACAGCTCGTCAAGATTCTGTATGGCGCTCATCTGCAAATCGGTTCATCTCATCGGCCGCAAAACAAAAAAAAACGACAAGGCAATGAGTTTGACGGGAAAGTGAGACTGAGGGACTCCTCCAAGAGAGAATAAATCTACAAGAATATGAGAGTTCTTAGTTTGAACTTTTTTGAATATTAATTTAGTTTCAATTCTTTTTGTTATTTTTATCTAACTAGAAAAACTTTAAGAAATCAAATTAATGAAAAACAAAAAAACTCACTTGCATCGTAGAGAACATAGCATGTGAAGCAATAAGAAAAATCCAAACGCAGGCAAAAACGCTTATAACTGATAAACGAGACAGATGAATGGATTTTCCGGACATCGACCGATTAATTACTACCTGTAAATCAGGATTTTCAAAAAAAATTTGCAAAAAAAAGCTTACTAGTACAAGGACAAGAAGATGAATTAAACCCGTAAGACTGCCGTTTTGCGCCAATGAATACAACGTTTCTTGTATAAGATGTTTTCTGAAAATTAATTTATAGTTTCCATTCTCTTTTTATCCGATCTCTTGGTCTCAATATTTTTTTTTGTTAAAAAGCTAGACGTAAATTGAGCCCCCACTTTCTTTCCAAGAGGTGATTCAAAAAAAAACATGCCGAAATTCAGCCGAAGCAAACAAATGTGTTTGAAGCGTTTCCGCAATCACCAATTCTGGTGATTTCTCTTGGTACTGAAAATAACCCAAAGTTTCGTTGAAAAAAAAAAACTCACATCTTCATTCACTGCTCCATATGGGTCATTTCCTAGAAAGTCCGAAAAGAAAAAGGTGAAGGAAAACATAAAAAAAGGATATTTGAAAAACATAATATTGAAGACGAAAAGAACAGTGGCTGTCGAAAGATTCCGTCGAGTCTGAAAAAAATTCTTTTTGAGTTTTCCGTTTTTTTATTGAAATCAGATGAAAAAAAGGTTTTTTTCAACAGAAAGCCTTTGGCTTCTGATAGACTTTAATTTTTCTTTTTTTCAATTTAATAAATAATCAAATGATAAATTCGAGTATTCATATTTCAATAGTTTAGCCCTTTTTTTCAATATTTTTTTCGTTTAAAAAATGTTTCTTAATATCAAAAATCAAAAGGAGCTTCTTTACTTTTTTCTCACCTTCAATAAAAGGTAAGCCAGCAAAATAGTGTTGAAACAAATTGCAATTAGAAGGCCGCCTTCAATGTAAAACCCCTTCTGAGCGTTATTAGCCAAATTTCTGAAATTCGAGCTGTCAGGAGTCGAAAAGACAGTCAAAACTGGTATCGCCGCTCATTATTGAGGTCGCAAATGTGCATGTTGTTGACAGGACAGCAATTGTGAGAAATTAGCGTGCTCATCCGGATCGCCCTACAGAAATCTTTGTATTCCAGTTCGTTCTTATTTTTCTCACTTTTCCTCTTCAGTTTCATTTAGAAAAGAGTCCGAGAAAAGCTGTTGTGTCTCAAGGCGGCATCTGAAAAAAAGACAAACCCTCCTCTGGGGATTTTTTTTTTCTATTGTTATGAGGAAAAAGTTTTCAAAACAAGAAATCAGTTTACTGTTTCACTTCGAGCATTTGTTGCCACAGCTTGATCGCAGCCAAGGAAAAATGTTGAAGTAAAAGACGTGTCTGAATTAAATCATTTTTGAGAAATCGTTTAATCTCACTTTTAGGACAAGTGAAGGTAGTTCTGAATCCGAGTGAATATTTGAAACCAGTTGGGAGCTGAATAAGTCTTTCGAAAAGGTAATCAGAACAGAATACCTTAAGAGGTTCATGTAGACGAGATCATTGGTGAGCGTGACACCGAAATTAAAAAGTGAATTATTTTGAGCGATAAATTCTTCGAAAGCGTCACACCCTGAACTTTATATTGGCATTATTCGAATTTAAAGTTTAACCTCTGGAAAATCTTTGGAAAAAGTCCTGAAATTTGAGTAGTGGAGCGGAAGGCCCGTTGCATCTCTGGAAACTTCTATTACATTTATATAATTTAAAAAAATCAACCTCTTTGATTTTTATTTTTGTCGTTTTTTTCGACATGAGGAACATAACATCTACCGTATAAATCTGCATAAACAGCAGAAATTTCATCACAAACGTGTCTGAAGTCAAGTTTTTTTCTAACAGGAATCCTTGAACTTACTGTCTGTCATCATTTCTGGTTTGATATAATATATTGAAGAGTGAAGAATAAACGTAAAGGAAAAAATGGTTTTCCTGAGGTATTTGACTGCCTCTATCACATATCTGAAGAAAAATGTATCGCTTATTTTTTTTCGAAAAATACCAGGGCGTATGAATATTTCAAAAAACGCCTTTGAAAATCCCGATTGTAATCATATTTGTGCTTGTTGTGCGTGAATATTTGATTCACCTCGCATCCCCTGAAAAGCATTATTTTCGAAAGATTTGAAAACGTGAGCGATGGTCGTTGGACATGAAAAGATTGATCTTGACGAATTTGTTGGTTGAACACATTCTGATCCCTGAAAGTAGAAATATTTGATCAACGTACCTCAAAGCTTTCATGAACCAGACAAGGGCATGATGCTTTTTAGGGACGAATTTCGTGTAATCCGGCCAACATAAAATATACTTTTCCAAATAGAATGTAACCTTGAACGAAAACATTTAAAAACTGATTTTCGAACTGTTGACTTACTGTTGGATGCTCAAAATTCGAGTGAAGAAACAAATTTTCGTTGTAATCCGTACAAAGCTGATAGATTTTTTCACTCTCATTGAACGGAGGCATGTACAAGGTGAAGTTGAAGGTTGAGGCGCCGCTTTCTAGCAGCCTTAGAAGGAATGGCCACCAAATTAGGCCATATCGCATAACACCTTCAAATTGTGAATAAATTTAGAAAAATGGAAATAACGAAAAAAAAAATGTTTAACAGTAAAGCTTTGGTTGTGAACAAAAGAAAAAAAAGCGCGAGAAATTTTTCATAAACAATCAGAAAACGAAAAATTAAATCAGAAACATTCTAACAGCAAACCAAACAGCGCCGAAAAGTTGTTGAGTGAGTTTGAGCATAAGTAATGAAATTGCGAACGGATTATTGGTCCTTCTCTGCTTCTAAATTTAGAAAAAGAAACCAGCCTCTGCCATTCAATTGATGGGATGGGGTATAAAGGGCAAAATGAGCTTGTCAAGTAGTCCTTCTGTTTTGGTTGCTATGAAAAAAGCCTCTATTCTAACAAAAATCAAAAAAAAGAAGTGAGAGACAATTTTTGTTTTGCCGAAAAAAATAAGCTTTGAAAAATGACACCAAGACCAAAAAGGGGAAAAAGTTTTGGCGGACCTTTTGTTTTTTTATTTTTTTCTTGACACATAGAAAGAGTACAAACGTATCCTTTTTCAAGAAAAATAAAATTTTTCTTCATTAGCGGAGCTTGTTCAATAAAAATGTTTGAAAGAGAATGAGAAGATTTGAAATGAATTATCAGAAGTTAAGGCGAAACTAATAAAACCAGCTCTACTAATTAAAAAAATTATAATCATATGTTTCGAAAAAAATTCATCCTTTACTTTCCATAGGAAAAACAAGAAACCAATATATAAACGATTCTATATATTTGTGTCGATAAAATTCGATTTAGGTCGAAAAAAATATAGTAATCACAACGGCTCAAAAAATTATTATTGCTGGTAGGTATTTGTTAGTCTCAAAAACATCATGAAGGTATTTTTTAAGCGTTACACAGTTCTAAGAAAAAAAAACTAATCTTCAGAGCAAAATAAAAAAAATCACGTTATTTCAATCAAAAAGGGATTTAATAAGTTGTCGAATTCCCAGAAAGCGGAACTTTTCGAGCCTATTTGTATGCACACTGAGTTTGTTTTTGGAGAGTGGAATTATCAAAAAAAAAAGCAATTTGGTTGATGGGAGGAGAGAGGGAAGGGATCGTGACGCGACTCGATTGTCGACACATTGCCGCGTTTGGTTTGCTGCATCCCCGAATAGTGGCTAATTTTTTTGGCAACTGACTCGTTGCTCATGAGCGTTCAATGTTGGATGATGGGTCAACGAACTTGAAAATATTTTGAAACTTTTTGGTTTGAGGGCAGAGGATGGAGAAAAATATCCGAGAGCCTAAGCAGCCAAGGAGAAAATAAAGCCCGCCTGTTTTTAATGAGCCATTTAGGATGACTCCAAAAAAGCGGAAAATTTTTGTGAAAATGGTCAGAAGGCACGAGAATGAGAACTATATTGGATTATTTCAAAAACTTGGAAGAGTGGAAGTTCGTGACCAACTTTTTTTTGCCGGAACGGACCCAGAGAATCGGATTGCGGAAACAAAAAAGGGTTGAAGCTCGGAACTTCTTCAAATTGGCTCTCTTGTTGAGCTTTTTCTTGTTTGGTGCGTTTTCCAATTTTCAGAGAACAAATAAATTATTTTTATTCTTGAAACTTATACAGAGATGGTTATTTTCGGCCGTAGTTGTAGCCGTAGCCATAGGGCTGATACATAACGTTGCGAAGACCTTGATCATACATCCCATAGCGATACTGAAAAAAAAACAATTGAAAGTCAACTCAGAAGTTTGGTCAGAGAAAAATTAGAAAATATTGACACAATTATGAAAAAAGACAGAGAGCCTACAGAAATATTTGCTCAGTTTGAACAAGGGTCTTGGACTTTTGATTTAGGATTTTTTAACTATAGCCAGCTGGATAGATAGAAAACTTCAAGCTCAAACAACATGACCTAACTTGCTAAGACCACTTTATACCGTTACACGTAGAACAGCTCTCGGTCGGGTGCACAAACATGAAAAGTTTTGAAAAGCGATAATTCCAAGTTTATACGGGTTATGATACATCCAAAGCAAAAATTGAACAAAACACGACTGGGTGATCAAAACTCCATTTTTCCTGCAGAATTTCGAAACCCTCTGAGCATTTTGTCCTGAAGCAGCGTGAAGCGCTATACACAGAAGTGAGAAAAATTATATCAAAAAACTCACCATTCTTCTGAGATCTCCATTGTCAAACGAGCTGCTTGACAATTTCCACTTGTAGTATTTATAAGCTTCAGTGACTGTAGCGAAGCAAAGAAATGCGAAAAAACAGATAAAAAGTAATTTCATTGTTGGATGACGGGTAAATATGTGAAAACTATTTGAAACTCTTTTATATTCTTATTCTTAAAACGCCTGTTCGCCGAATAGTTTGTAGACTTCCAGTTTAAACTTTATTTGTAAACAAAGATCCTTGACGACGTCATTTTCAAAAAGAAAAACAAGAACTGATAAAATTTTCTCAAAATGAAACCCGTTTCCCAGTTTATTTGTCAAAACTTCCTTAGTTTCCTTCTATGATTTCTTATTTCAATGTGCTCATCAAGATTTATTTTTATTTTTATTACATTTTCCAGCAGACATTGGATGCGATTGTATATATACGTGAAAGTGCGAAAATATCAGAAAAACTGTAATCAGAGATATTGGAAAAAGCAAATGAAAGCATAGCGTTCATAGTTACAAACTTGAAGAAAAAGATTAAAAGAATAACCCTAACGAGATGAATATTTGACAATTTTCGACTAGAACTATTGACAGATTAAAGCTTGTAATATAGATCAGAAAATAAAAACTATGACACGAAAAAGCGGAATTTAACGCTGCCGGAAGATTATGGCGAAGGCTCACAAGATTGTCAATTAAACAATTTCCAGAGGATTACTGTACTTTTAGGAAACATGGCAGTTTGAGAGAAATTCTTTGATTTACAAAAAAGTGGTTCCATTGCGGAGGTAGCACAGAAAGTAGGAAGGTTTGAAAAAAATACTTTTAAAAATTACATTGTTTTATCATCACAATCAGAGCAAACAGGATCATTGAGAAAATGGATTTAATAAAACACGTAAGAGACGTGAGAAAGTTGGAGTGGGTCCTTAAAAAGTCTATCATAATTCCAAAAAAGCTCATAATACATTGGCAAGACACGAAATCAATCACTTTTCGACATTTGCACCGGCTTTTCGATTTCTCTGCACACATCGATAGTGTTAGGTTTTAAAGACTAGATGAAGAAGATAGATTTTGAGATTATTTTTTTTTGATGAATGAAAGAAAACAAAAAAAGAAGAAAAAATTAGATAAAATGATATTTCCCTAGCCTGCGGTGGCGTCAGTCGAGCGTTCCTTGGCCGTGTTCGGCGTCCCAAAACTGAGTCGGACTTCGGTCGACGTTGTTAAAGTCTTGCCACAGAGCCAGGATCAGTTCGCTGCTCATCAGCTCTCCCGCGTGCGTCGAAATCATACGCAACATGAAAACCCCTGGAAAAGGCGATTGATTACATAAAAGTACACGAAAAACGACAATGATAGAAGATAACACGATTCATTAATAGCTTAACTGAAAATCCCTTACAAGACAGTGAAACAGTTTTTTGTATCAAAAGTTGGTTTTTTTTTGGTTTGCATAGAAAGGATTCAAGCTCATCTCAACCGCGTGTTTCTCAAATAAACTTGGCTGAACTTGAATACTCAGTAATGTTAGACTCTCAAATTATAAAATGAACGCCAACCGTCTTTTCTGAGGAAATTATTCGTGAATTTCCTGAGTGTTACGTCATCAGCGATCGGTTTTGCTGGATGATCCGGCAAGACTCGTAGATACTTCCGAACAAACGACATGCCCTGGAAAGGATCAGTTCAACAATAAAATTAAACAAGAACTTTGTACCTGACTAGGTATGAACATTATAAGTATCCAGTAGACTGTATTGAATACTGTGATAATGCCACATGTTAAGAACCAAAACCTATAAGTTTTTCTTTTTTTATTGATAAAAAAACTGGAAAGTTGATCGAATTAAGTAAATTTTTTTATTTTTTTATAAATCAAACTTTACCATAAAAAAATAAGAAGATTTTTTTCATTGAACATGTTGATCATTAAAACGCATTGCACAGTGTGCCTGTGGATGTTTCCAAGTACACGGACCTGAAAAAAAATTGTTTTGTGTGATTGAACAAAACAAACTCACTTCAAAATCGCATAAAGTGACTCTGGGGAACATTCCTGTTTGCTCCCATTCGATCTCGTGCATCAGATCTTTGAGTAAAGAAAAGCCATAGGCTAGATCATTGGACCCGAGTAAATGATTGAGCAAAAAGAACTGAAGAAGCACATTCGCCGAGTACAGCACCTGAAATTTTTCGAAAGATGAATAAGTATAAAATGAGGGAAATTCACGTACTTTAATGCCAATGTACAGCATTGTAACGTAGCAGCCACAATGCCTTCCGCAATTGGCTCCTATTTGAATATTCGAAAAACAGCCGCGACTGTGAGCTGCTCTGTCGATGTTAGTTAGCTGAAAGTTTATTTGACCAATCTATTTTTTGATATTTCTTGATCTTGATGAACTCATTGAAAATTGTTATTAGTGTTTCGAGGGGGATCAAATTCTTCTCCATCATTCTGTACTTGCACCACTGATTTGAAAAAGAAATTATAAGAATCACAATACGAAAAGCGGAAAAAAATTCGATAAACATAGTTTATGTGCCACAAATTGAAATTTTACCAAACGACATTCCGCTGTGCCGCTGCGCGCCTTTGCGAATTTTGGTCGCGCTTTTAACTTTTTTTTTCTTTTTTTGAGATACTTTACTTTCCTGTACTACCACAGCAATGAAAATCATTAGTAAGCGTGATATAAATTCGAAAGACGCTTCGCGAATGCACGCAGCGGAACAGCGGAATGTCGTTCGGCGAAATTTCAACTCGTGACACACAGAATATAGCGTTTGGTAGTTCCGAACATGTTTGTCCGTCCATAATGCCTTGTTTTATTTGGGAGTTTCAAAACAGCTGTATCTTAAAAAATTGATGGGTGATCTTTAGCAAAAACGCGGAAAATGAAGTAGGAAAACTCAGAATATTCAGAAAAATCGTTTCTCCTTTTTTTGAGGCTCACCTGAACTTCGTCTTGCATGTGCCGTGCCATCGTGTAAACTGTTCTCGTTTTGACCTCGGAGTCCATGAGCCGGGCGTCGCAAGCCATTTGAACTAGTCCTTGCAAGTTTATCCCTAAACTTATGTCTTTTTATTTAAACTTTGACTCATCAATAGGAAAAACTCGGAAAAAGACCTTACCGCTATGCCAATACAGCAGACCTCTCCATAATATACAAGGGACGTAGAATAGCAAGGCCTCGATGGCAAGAATAAACGGCACCCACTGGTAATAACCAATTTGGCGGTTACGTCTGGAGTAGATCTCTCGCGGAATATCTTCCTGAAATGCGAGTTTCCGGAAAATTTCATTGCGGTAAGCTCATTTTTTTTGGATCGACACACCTTCCAAAAGTTTCATCTTTGTTTTTTTTTATTTACTCTGTACGGGAAAATAGCTTATAACAAGGGACTTATGGCTCAGATCTACAAATTAATTTTTTTTTCTAGTTTTTTTTCGACTTTACTGAGCTGACCTGCATTGGAACCCAGTAAGTATTCTGGACCCAGCAGTAATTTTCCGTGTACTGCTCCATGGCGTCTGTGAATGTTGCTGGCACCCAGCACTGAATAGGGAATCCTGGAAACAAAAATCAATACGTATAATAGAAAACAATTCACTCACCAACATACTGCTTTGCAGAAACTAGAAGGGCGAAAGAAGCAACTGAAATACATTTTTAAATTGCGTTGCTCTTGTACATAAGGTTTCATCAAATCGCTACATGTGGAGAAATCAAGAAAATAATTTTTTTCAAAGCTTCGAAGAAATGACGATTTTTAAGGCAATCTCGGCAACTTCAGTGTACATAAAAATCTACAATTTCACCTACTCTCATACTTCATTTCGTGCAACCAAAAACTAACGAATGGTAGTCGTGTAATAGTAGTTGAGCTTATCAACAAAGTCATCGTCAAGTCTTGGGTAGAGCGCTCGAAACGCCGACGCCAAGTAGTAGAGGATCATCGCTGGCCCGAACTCCTTTTTGTGTCCGTGGCCTGGAGTTCCAACAGTAATGATAGTATTTCACGCCTCTTATTCAAAATTATTCGGCGGCAAAACGAAGAGAAGCAGACCCAAAGCCAAAATTTATGGAAATTTGTGCAAGGAAGTCCTTTGGCGCGGGGCAAAACTTCCCACAAATCCAAGTATGGAGTTTTTAGAAGGAAGAAATTCTCAAGGCTAGGGGAAAAAACTCACCAGCTCCGTGTCCAGGTGCACCGACGTGATGTGAATCGATCCTCAACTGATGAGACCCGTCAAGCAACTTTTGAGCCTAAAACCGAGAGAGTTTGGCTTATAACCCATCAACAAGGGTTAAAAGTTAAGCAGCTCGGCTCGTTGCTCATTTTTCTTCATTTCCAGAAAGTTAGTTTTCAGTTGGATCAATACCGGTTCAAACGGTTCTACAGATTCAACAAACGGTGATCAAAGTAAAACTTTGTTTTTGCGTTCCCTCCGTCCTAAACTTGTGACAAATGGACTTCAGATCTCTGTTTCAGAAAACAACTCGAAACCGAAGAAAAACTCAACCTTTTTGATGTAACGGGTGTTCGCTTGTCTTGTTTGGTACATAGTATGGTAAGAACCAGAGACGAGCTTACATAATATTTGGAATCACAGAAAAACCGAGAAAAATAGAAGAGTAGAAGCTCTAAGCAACGGTTGTACTCGTCGCGCAGGGCATCATTGCACAAAGTCGACGAAAACGGAGGGCGGAGGCCGTTCCTGATCAGCCAAATAGCATTATCTAGTCGTCGCCGTGCGATAGTTGCGAGTAGAGCATCAATTCAAGGAAAGAAACTTTGTGGACGAGCCGTTTTCAAATTTTTGTTCGAAGCAATGTCGTTCTCGACTAGTTCAATCGACGATGGATTAAGGCGACGCTCCGCCTCCCACATGCGCACTTGCCGCCACTTCAGTTCTTCCAGTTGCTCCAATGTAATGAGGCGACGTGCTGCATTTTTTCTTCCGTAGCTTCAGCATGTTTGAAGATTCAGCTCTTCGCAAAAAGATGGACCGACTTGAGGAAAAAGTAATAAGTTGAATCAAAGTTTTAAAAAATGGTAAAAGTTCAAAACTACAATATCATTCAAAAGTCACAAAACAAAAACTTATTCAAAGTGAAATAAATTCGCTGATAGAAGAAGCTGAAAAAATTTGTTAGAACTCTGGGTTTGTCAAATTTCAAACTTTAACGAAACTTTTAATCTTTTTTCATAGTGGTCCTCAAGTTCCACACATCCGAAATTTGAATTTTTTCTTTTGGTAAAGAACGTTTTTCATTAGATATTCCGGAAACTTTTCAGGATATTTTTAAAATTGTGAAAAAAATTTCTCGCATCGGGAAGATGCATTCAAAACGATGAACGAATACGAAAAAAATCATTTTCAGAAGACTGCTTGCTTGGGTATATAAAGGTCTAAATTCATTCGCAGTAGTTTTCCGTTTTAAGAAATTTAAATCAGTATATGCTTAATCAAAAAAAGGAATAAGAATAATTTAAAAAAATGAATACCTAACTTATGGGAATAAAATTACTTTTCAAGCCGAAGTTAGGAATAATTATACCTCTTTTCACTCATTTCTATATGTTTTGTGAGAAACAAAGAGCGCCAAACCGAGCCGAGGAAATGAGAAAGATGAAACAAACCTGATACGAGGGTAGGTTGTCGAGATGTCGTGCCTTCTCAAGGGGCGTACGCTGCAAAAGGTTACCGATTAAAAGGCTTTATCTTGCTGAATGTTCGGGGTGGTTACCCTTGGGACTTTCCTAGATTTACTGGGAAAATACTGGAAGTCATAAGGTCAAAAATAACAATTTTCCCTTGTTTTTTCTCACACTTTGCAGTTTTTACCCGTAGACTTTGTCTGAGCGTGAGAGCTGCTGAGATTTAACTTTTGACTTTTGTCCGTGGGATTTTCTCAAATCGTACAAGTTTATTAATACATGCTTTTCTTGCAGGTTCTGCACTAAGACTGATATTTGATGAAGAAAAATGTACTTGGAACGCACTTCGATTATGAACGCGGAAGAAAAATAACACCAAGTCGGCCTTGAAAATAAATTGTTGGCCTAACTTTGATTCAAAAAAAATTTTTTTCACATTAAAACGGGAAATTTTTTTCGAATACAAAAAGAAAAAGATTTGATTTTTATATCAAGTTTTTTTGAATTGCCTAAAAAAATTTATTTGCGCACTTTTGAAGATCCTGAAAGATTCAACACGCTGAAATCTTCAAAAAAATTTCAAACCTTTTGTTAAGAAAAAATTTTTTTCATGATCGAAATTTGAAGGAAAAACGACTTCCATGACTTTAATACAGCGCATCAAAAATTTCTCGAATGATTTTTTTAATAAATTAAAACATTTTTCCAATTTGGAAAAAAATCCTGAATTGAAACTTTCTCACGATACAATGTGAGCATGCGTTTGGATAATGAAGTCTAAATTCGAAAATTTGATTTTTTTTTCAACATATCAAATATGAAACTGCCTTAGAAAGAGCGCTCTCGGCGTATTTGTTTCGATTTGGATCGTGCGGCTTTTTGATAGGCTTAGGAGGGACACGGAGGACGAGGGCTGTGGTCGGAGCTCTTGGTGGCGGTGGTGGCGGAACGCCGATGATCCGCGAGAGCAGTGGCGGCTCAGGATTCGACGACGAACCGAGCATACATCCGTCTGAAGTTTGGTCGTACCGGCGGGGCTAGAAGAGCCGGCAGAGGTGGCCGCGACACTTGGGCTGGCGCTTGGGCCGGTTGCTCTGCGCATGCCGCTGCTCGGGACTTTTCGCTGCACGTCTCGCTGCTGCTACCAGAGCTGTCTATGAAGCGAAGGCGGCGGCCGCCGACAAGCGATGGCTTGTAGGACAGGGTGCCCACTCAACTCATTTGTTTAGTATTGAAGTTTCAGAAAGCCAAGTTGTAGAAAGAAAAGACGAAAAAAGAATACATAATGTTTTAAAATGAAAAACGTCATTTTTCTGAGACTTTGAATACCATTTTGGATTCATCAAGATTCATGTGGTACATACATAAGTGACCGTGTCACTTCAAAGATTAATTTTCAATTACTGGCCTTCCTGTGAGAGGAAAGCCATTTTTTGTATTACTAGGATCAACGGAAATGTATTAGATCTATCAGAAGTCAAATCTTTTCAGGGTTGTCTGCAGAAAAAGGTCGAACTTTCAACTCGGGTTTGAAACTTTCTAGAAGCTCACTTTGTGTCAAAAAATGGAAAACATATTTTCGGACCTTACCCGAACTCAAAATGACTGGAAAAAAATCACAAAAGTTTTGGGGCTCATTTTGGAGAAGTTTTCGTTTGGTTGGCATCAAATAAAAAATCTTGAAAAAATTGAGGAGATTTAAATAGAGTACATCAAATCAAAAAGCTGGACAAGTATGTGAACTCCGGTAGAAACTCAGTTTGCATTTGCGAGAGATGTGAAACAGAGAAGTTGTTTAAAAAAGGAAACGAGTAAATATGGGCGGGGATCGAGAAACAATGGGTCGAGATCGAGTGGCGACACTCTCACACCGGCTCCGAAAAATGCTTCGTGGCCACGGGAAAGAGGCAGCAGAAGACGTGTGTGAGAACTGCCGTCTTGATTGAATTTACTTCACTCTTCCTATCTTCCCCACTATCCGCCTCCCATGCCCATTCTTTCAACGGTAATGCACTCCACGTATTATTTTGAAGAGCTGCGCTCTGTTCTCTTGGGAGACGCAGAAACAAACAAAAAAAAACTTCTTTTTTTGAAGTGCGGCTCAGAGAAGGCTTTGGAAAAGAAACTTTGTTCTGAATAGAAAAAAACAGCGATTTCTCGCGAATTCTGGGTATATAAAAACTCATAGAAAAGTAAAAATGAAAATGAAAAATTGAAATTAATCATTCGCGTCAAGTGTAGCGCCGAGTGTGCATGCACCAGTCTTGTCAAAAAAGTCATAATCAAAAAAAATTTTTTTTTCTCATATTTTTACTTGCGTTCTGAATGGTTAGATAAGAGCATTCCTATAGAAAATTTCAGAGGGAGTTTCGAGGAGACCTTAGTTGAGGCGAAAATAACTGATTTAAAAGTTTTCTTCTGATGATTCACTCTGGCTCTCAATACATTTACGTGTTCACCAGTCCTAACACTGAAAAAAAACGGGATGATTTTACCTTCAAAGAAAAATAATCTAAAATTCAACAAGGACATAGAGATAAAAAATTTTGGTATTCACGGCCACATCTTTCCGATTTTCGAATTATCCATCAGTTCCCACTTATTCGGGTCTTTCTTTACATTTTCTGCAAAGTCGTTCGATTTCTTTTTCTCTTTTTTTCGAATCATAAGTAAATAGGTTATAACCTGGAACTTTTTTTCCAGCTGAACAAAAAAACGAATTCTAACAATTTTTTTCCATTTTTCCTAAGAGCCGATGAGAAAATATATTAATCTATTGCAGCATAGATTATTCATAAGTGTCCAGAAATATTGAGCGCTTTCAGCCAATCCTGAGTGTAATGCAACCATTGTCATTTTTGATGCGTTTTTGTTTGAAAAGTCGCAGTAAAGACTAAATTAGAACTTTCAAAAACTTGGTTTTTAAAAAAACGAAATCGCTAATTTTGATTAAAAAAACCAAGCTTTTTTTAAAATTTGCTGATTTTTTTTAATCTTGCATTATTCGGTTTCAAAAAATACGAACAAAATAAAACCGGAATCCGTGTTTTAAGGCAAATTTTTGGTGCCTTTAAAAATTCAGAGCGGTTAGTTGGAAAAAATGAGAGCTTTCTAAATTTTTGGAATACGGAAAGTCGAACACTCTGCAATAATCTAAAAAAAAAGATCTTCTTGCACACTCGCGGACCTCAGTTGTTGTGAATGAACTTTAATTTTCTGAATGTAGCTTTTGATGAGAAAATGTCACAAATCCCCACTCACACAAAAAAAAACTCAAAGCCACCTCTCCTGAGAACAATTATTACTAAAGTTATTTTTGAACCTGTGAGAATCTTTTCCAACAGCTTCTACCCCTGCTCTATTCAAGGAAGAATAAAAGTTGTATTTTTTAGTCGACCTCTCTTCTCGGCGATAAGCCAACAAACGCGTGTCGTTCAGGAGCTAATCGTCAGGCTAATTGCCAGGAGGTAAAAATTCACACTCAATCCTTCAATCGGTAAAACACGTTGCTTTCTTCACATCAATCTCAACAGCACGTCCTTGGAAATCGTAAAGCTCGTGAGGCATTTGAAGAGCAATAAAAAGAAGAATTCTTCTTCATTTGACATCGCAACAAATGGAACTCTTTCAAAGGAGAAACGATAATGGAGAAATGTGAACTTTGGAATTCTATGGTTTTGATTGCGTCAAAAAAACTAGAGACTAGAGTGGTGATGACACTTTTCATAACGAGCCAGTGGCATAATTCAAATTCAAGCGATCAGCTGTTTGAGGGACACGTTTCTTAATATCTTCAAATTTATGAGCGAAAATTCATTTTTTTTTTAAATTTTTTTTCACAAGGCTTTTTAAAAAATCCTGATTCGCCATGTACGGCTTTAACCAACCTGTTCGATTTTTTTGGTTTTTAAAGCGGAAGTTTTAAATTTGAAGAAACTTGCGTCCAACGGGGAATATACTATTTTAAATTCTCATGTCAGTTCACGAAACATTTTTCAAGCTGCTCATTTTTGCATCATCCTTAAGCACATAGTGCTGGAAAATGTGTTAAAATAAACTTTTTTCAATGAACCTCGTACCTGAATGGCTAAAACTTTAGAAAATCTGGAATAACTTTTGACTTGGGAACCTTGTTGATCCAGGCTCCATACTACTTCTAACAGCGCCGAAAAAGTTCAATATATTTATATACTTTAGTGTTATAAACTTTATTCAGTACACGCACTAAATTTTCTGCTTTTCGAAGGTTCAAAGAATAATCGAATCAAATTCTAGAAAAAGACTGGTCAGGAGGCTTTCTAATTTCTTTCTAAGCCATTGCAATCCATTTCCACTCTTCTTCAAAACGTCACACAGTCCATTTCGCAGAATTCACATAACTTCTCTCAAAAAGTCAGTGTAAAAAGTGCGATAGCCTTTTATTTCAGCGCCGGAAATGGAAAAGCGAGTAGTTAATCCCGCGCACATTCGGCTTCAAAACAAAAATCCAATCGGCGCGAAAAATTCCATTTGCACGCACTTGCTTGTTTCTTGAAAAGACCGACTGGCCCATTTTTCAAATGAAACACGGCACTGGGACCTTGGCCGGCCGGCTATAACAAATGCAACGTGGAGAAGTGCGCTTGAAGCGGTAAACCGATATAGGGAGCCGCGTTCGGAATCGCGTCATTTGAGAGACTCACACTTCTGCATCTAACACTAAAAAGACGGCAAAGTACTTCAATAGTTTCAGAAAGTTAAAAGAATGCAAGTTCAAAGTTTGCTCGAAGCTTTAGTGATCCATACCATTTTTTAAAATAAAACTGGTGATAAGAGAACATGTTGCAAAATTTATTGTTTCCTCTGTTTAAATAAAACTTCCAGTTGATAAAAACAAAATTTAAGTTTCATGAACTTCTCAAAGGGAGACATTTTTCTTCCTTCCAATATATATAAATGGCACTGTTGCTATGGAGCTACCAAAGCTAACAGGAACTTCAAAAATTCCAAATGAAGCGCTCTCAAATTGATTTCAAATCCGGCCTCTTTCCAAACGACCTTGAAATCTTCAATGCAAGTTCCTAGCTTCTCACATTCATGGGAGTCTATTTTTTTGCATATATTTGTTATGCTCTCAAAAGTAATTTGACCACGGGAAATAGTGAGTGGCACAGACGTAATGGCGATTCCACCTCTACCTCCATTCATTTTTTTTTTTTTCGCTAAACATGTGTTATTATATTATATTAGAGACCAGGTTCCGGAGGATTAAAAAAATTTGCTCATCGAGACTAGAGATTAACGACTTTTTTTAGGAAAAAAAAATGTGAGAGAAATCAGGAAAAAAGTAATAAAATAATGATGAAATTCGAAAACGTGAGATTAGTCAAAAAATCGAAGCTTTCTCACATTTTCCAAGTTGACGTTACCTTTTTCAATTACCTCTAACTGTTTATTTTCACATAAATAAATTTCAAGACTGACTTCAAGTCAATTATTCAACTGAATTTTACCTTGAACTTGCCGAAGCGGGTGGTGAAACGTTGCCAAGAAGCGTGCCCGGCATGCATTTCAACAGGCCCACATTTTGCGCTGCGCCAAATGGTCGCCAAAATGCCGCAGGGAATGGGTTATCAGTCACAGAGATTTCAATTATCAGTAGTTCGCAAGGCAGGTATTTCACATAGGGCAGATAGATTAGGGTAGTTGAAGTCGGATCATGCAACGGCGGCAAGCGGAGAGTCGAAGGACACAGGCGCGGCGCCACCGCAGAATGTAGGCGGAGCCTGTTGGCGGCAGCTTTAGGAGCTCGAGACCTGAGGTCGTCAACACCTTTGAATGGCCGACTCAGAGCCTGATAGAGCTCAGATTCAGTTAGGCACGGCGACCGAAATCTCCACAAATTAGGCCTTTTTTTTGCCGTTGTGCCGCAAAAGAGCTTCACATAACGTTTTTCTTGCCATTCCGCAACGCGTCGTCGATGTTTCACAGGAGATCTTTTGTGGCCAGTGCGCGGAATATTTGAGTAAGCCCTATAGGAATGTTTTTCGCACTCTTCCCTTTGCAGGTTTCAACACCACCTACACACTAATGTTGAGAAGTCTCGTTTTGTTCAAGCAAGTAAGTCTTTTGACCCCTCTTCTATGAATATTTATGAACAAAGAATATTCATGCAAAACAAACTTCTCATGTTGATTTGCAAGTGGCGACATTCCTATCTACAGCCTGGAAAAACACTCTTCAATATGAAGAGGACATCAGAGTGAAAGCTGTTTTCTGAATTCTTCTTCTCGTTAAATATAGTTAAATAGGGCTAAACGCAGCTTTTGAAACACAAATCGTGTCTCGACGCTTATACCCCTGAACGCAGGTGTGAATTTGAGGATAGCGCGAAAAGCTGACGTCTCACTTCACTCATTTCTCTCCCACGGGCCGATTTCGTCTTCACTTGACATCTGGGGATACGACGTTGCGAGCAGCTTCTCTTTTTTTCTCTTTCAGATACTGTTGAGATTTTCGCAAAAAATAAGATCAACTTCGAGTACACACATAAATTGATGAGAAAAACCACTTTTCTCTTTCAGTTGGGAAATTCGCAACATGGATATTAGTGGTGAATGTTCGTTAGCGAGTGTGGAACGGAAAGAACTCATTAACTAGAACTCTATCTCGCCTTCGGTGTGACATATGCGGCAATTTGGGCTTTTGAATCATTCAGAACGTCGGTTCAACTGAGTTTGCCATAAAAAACGAAGAGAATGAGATAGAAAACGTAATGTTGAGCTCGAAAAAAGACTGGAAAAATGAGGTCAAGCCGTTTTTCAATCAAAAATGACAGCTCTTTCTATTTCTTGTTTTAGGATTATTTTTTTCCTTTTTTTCCTTTCCATGCACAAAATTTGAATAAAAAAAGAGAAAAAAACTGTTCTTTGAAGTTCGAATGTTGCAACTCACATTTTTCTCTCAATAAAGAACACAATTTTTAATCTAACATTCGTCGCTACCAGAAAGGTACT